TAGTCGTAGCCTCTGCTATATCTTCAATAAAACACGAAACGGGAGTTTCCGATAAAAGCGTGTATTCCGCACTTTTACTGTGCGTGGACTGAAGCAGTGTTCGTAAAAGTGGCAGGGAAGAGCGCGGCGCGAGATCCTAATCAGATCTCTAACCGACTTTCAGCACTAAGACCTCACAGCTCCCCAGATTCTAGAGACGATCGAGAATCTTCGGTTGAAGAGTTGAAGTCGTAGAGATGAGTCATCGTAGAAGTGCAGAAGGGAAAGGTGAAGGGAAAGGCAGCCAATCAGCTCAACGTGGCGTCGGAATTGCACCAGTGTAGAGACGAAAAGTCGAGATATGTCGGACGGAGATCGAACCATTTCCGGACAGCGGGAGCCAATCAGAGCGCGAGTAGAAGCAGACTCACACCAGCCGAGTTTTCTTTGAAGAAAACTTCCCTTTTTCTACGAGTACTCTTGCGAGTGTGGTCAACTCGAATCAAGGAAGTTTTTTCCTGATTTCACCACCCAAGACGCTCGGATTTCCGAAGAAGGAACAAAGATCAGCTGACGAAGAAGGTGAATGCAAATGATGTCCATGTAGAGAGTCTGCCGCACATCCACGAGGAGCAGAAGTCGTTTTAACAGGTAAAACTTGAACATCATTTTCCACCAAGTCAGTCGAGCGAGGCGTAGTTGAAGTTGACGTTGAACGGGCGGGAGCGGTTGAATTTCCAGCAGTCGAGGGAGGAAGTGAAGCTGTATTTTGACGCTTCGGATCAGGCAACGAGTCGGGACTCGCCCTTTTCCTCTTTTTCTAGTAGACATGCCAGAGGTTGATAATTGCTTTTCAGCAGCCGGCCTCCCAACCTTTGGTATTTTTGCTAGAGGTTCAGGATACGAACCAGAAGCGCCGACCAGTAGATTTTGAGGCGAATCGAGATCATCGCCACCAATGAGCTCTTGTTTTTGAGCCCGGTCGGAGGGAGATTTGAGTTGATCATTGCGCGGTGGGACCAGACGCAGATGAGATCGGTGAGCCCAGCCACGAAAATCGGCTCCGTCGACGATTTTGACGACAGTTTCTGAGGCGATTTCATAAGGGCCTATCCAGTAACAGTTGGAATCCTTGGCTACCTTAGTGACGGGTTGATAGAGATGGACCATATCGCCGTATTTGAGAAGGCGATCACGATGTAGACGCTTATGTTGGCGTTCTAGAGCTAGATCAGCGGAGCGATTGGCGATTTTCGCTAGCTTCGAGAGCATTTTAATCCGCTTGCCATAAGTTTCAGGCGAATCGTAGCGTACATCAGGGTCGTGTAGAGTATCAGGCAATGTAAAGAAAACCACCACTTCGACAATCGTGCGAGCAGCAACATTCGCTCGCTCCCCAGTGGTAACTCGAGCGACGGAAAATTGCGTGGATGTGTCGAGTTTAGTGCAGCACAAGCGCTTGCCAGCACAGTTGGGGAATTCGCCATTTGTCGGGATTCGGACGGGTCTGTAGAACAGGCCAAGCTCGTCAGTAAAACTTCCAGAGACGTCTTCATACTGGACACAAAGAACGGCGAGTTCATGAAGTTCGCTTCTATTGTGGTAATAAGATGGAAGAACGAGCTCTTTCTGGCTTTGCAAGTAGCTCAGAAGGTCCGAAGTAGAGGTGTTGGGGCCTGGAGCAGGAGGGTTAAGCTGAATTTTGGCAGCTTGAGAGGGTTGAGATCGACGAGCGTCAGCGTAACTATGAAAATCTGCGCTACTGGAGTTGCCAGAGTCGATCAGAAGCGCATTCCAGGGATCACGAGCGTACGACTTGATTTTGAGAGCCTGTGTGTAGATTTCTGCTCCAGGGCTATCTCGTCGTTGAAAAATGCCTTTGGTACCAGTTCCACCAAATGGAGCATTTGCGGCGTGATGTGTGACAGTACTGCTGATGAGTAGCGGCTCGTTGTGGCCATCTGTCACTAGAATGCGGGTTCCAGCGAATTTTGAATCGCTGAAATTGATGATAGCGCGGGACTCGCCTTGGGCCTTAGTCTCGGAGTTGACGCCAGTGAAAGTGAACTTGGAGCTCTGCAGATGCTTCAAAAGTTCGTCAGGGATGTGCCATTTTGGCAGCCATTTAGGCAAGATAACATCGTCGGCGCCAGTGTCGAACATGCCGTTTTTGACGGTTGAAGAATGTTCGGCGAGAGTGACTGTGAAGTCAGGTCTGGAAGGTTTCGAGAAGGTGAGTTGCGCGGGGAAGTGGAGTTAGAGTTGCGCCGATCTAACTCTCGATCCGAAAAAGCTTGGTCGTTATCAACGGGAGAAGCGGAATCGGTGCCAATAGCGGAGTCATGGACGTCAGCTGAGTCGTCAGAACTCTGGGTCTCGATTGGATCAGTGCGAGAGGCTCCAGGTGAATGTTCGAACTCCAATAAAGCCTTACATCGGGCATTTATTAGCTTTAGGCGAGTTTTGATCGCTTCTAAGGCGGCTTTGAGTAGCGCAGGGTTGACGGCGAGAGCAAACACGTGGTCCAAGACCTCATCCCTAAACGCATTTAGCGTGAGGATGCAGAAGCATGAATCGATTCGGTCGGCGGGGATGTCGAGCGCGTAGCAGGCGCCGACAGGGGACATTTTGGCGGGCCAAACTGTCGTTGGAGATTGGGATCGGCGAAGTTCACGGGGTTTCGTTGGCGGAACTGATCAAAATCTGCGGCGCGGCATAACGGAATTGGCGGTAAGAGGTTCACAACAAGATATTGTACCTTTACAAAGCGCTCAAGTAACTGGAAATTTCCTTGAGCGGCGCACGTGGCGACTTTTTCACGTGAAGTGTGTGTTCCAGGCAGCCGGCGGCGAAATGAGCGATTCAGGCGCGGTCGGAGACGAGTTCCACGGTGTTCAGGGCGATAAAATGCGGCAGTTACAGTTTTCACAACTTTGACTGACCTCGTTTGTGCGCACAGAAGGGTTACTGTGCGGCGCGCGGACGCGACTTGATTCACGAGCTCCAGCGGTTTATCAACACGGGAACGGCGGAAGATCGCTCGATCGACTTGGCGAGTGGTCAAACCAAGTAAATAACACTTCTAGCTTCGCAGCGGGAAGTGCCGGTGATGAGGGCGAACGTGGGTTCGGATGAGTCCAGTGAAGAAAGAAGCTTAGCGATTGTCACCAGATGTAAGCGTCTAAGTACTGCTGTATGCTCTCTATACTAGACGGTTCTCTTTATCAGCTAGTCGTAGCCTCTGCTATATCTTCAATAAAACACGAAACGGGAGTTTCCGATAAAAGCGTGTATTCCGCACTTTTACTGTGCGTGGACTGAAGCAGTGTTCGTAAAAATGGCAGGGAAGAGCGCGGCGCGAGATCCTAATCAGATCTCTAACCGACTTTCAGCACTAAGACCTCACAAAATTCAAAAAGTTTGGTTTCAATAAAGCGGATTGGGTAATTGAGGGCGTGAATTTTAATATAAAGTCAAAAAAGACTTTGTCAATTCATTTGTTAATTTTCTTTATAAGTATAAAGTAACAAATATAGCCTATATTATATAGGGAAAAATACAATTCAACTTTTGTTTGCAACTCTTTTTGTGCTGGATTTGAATGATAAGCTTAGACTTTTAGCCGAAGATAAGCTTTCTTAGGGAGGTCTTCTCCCTAATTTTTTTTATTGAAGGGCCATCCGCAGCTTGTTATTCCTGCTTTTTCCCTTTCTTGTCAATCTTCTTCTTGTCATTGTTCGACTAATTTCGGTGTCCTCAAAAGTCTGCAGCTGGAGGAGCCTTGTGCGAATTGTTGATATAATTCTTTATTAACAAAATCAAATTTATTTTATAATTCAGAAGGGAGATCTTCTCCCAAGTTTATGCTTACCTTGTAATTCAGAAAGCAGATTTCCTCCCAATACATTTTACTCAGAAAACTTAGAATACTATATGATAGCCTATATCAGTAGGGTAGGGGACAGAACTGAGATTGATCAACTCGGTGTTCCAAGCCTTTGTCAATTACAATCAAAAGCCTTTTTTTATTAAATTATAAAATCAAGGAAGTAAGCGGGGTGTAGGGCGGCTACGTTACAAGTACAAAATTGTAACGGCGTTACAAAAATTCAAAATCAAAATCAATGAACGAGTGTGCGCTTCGCGCTTGAGTTGAAGGAAACTACTTTTTGGTATGCCTTATTGCTTATTATATCCAAAATAATAAGAATTACGGAATGAAAAATAATTTTTATTGCGAAAAAAATCTGAGTTTTTGTAACGGCGTTACAAAATTGTAACGGTAAAGGTAAAGGTAAATGGTAAAGGTGTTGATGGGTTAAGCGAGGGCCGCTATGTTTTTTGTGATCAGTACCCCCCAGGCTATCACCCAAAAAAAATTGAGCGTGTCCAGCGGTCATCACGTGAAAATGCCCGACCCTAGTGTACAATTTTTCCGGGAGAAGATCCGTAAAATTATTATTCGAGCCATCGGTTGAAAAATCCACAAGTTCTCCCTCTCGCAAATTTTCAGGAAGAAAAAAGTTAAAGAGCATAGCGTCACAATCGTTCAAGATTTTCCGGAAGTCGATTTCTTCGTTTACCGCGACGTGTTTTGAGAATACAGCTTAATTAAATTACTTTAACTCAATAAGATTAGGTTCTCCTCTACATTGAACGCACTCATTGTAAACTCTGTTGAGAAAATAAACAGAAAAGCCGTGGCAAAAAGTAAAGAGGATAAAAATGCTGAATAATCTCATTTAAAATTTCAAAAAGGCAAAATTTTTCCTTTTGAGAACTGCTCACTTAAAAAAACCTATTGAAAATGGCAGCAGCTCGTTAGTTATTAATCGACGATAAATTATCGTGAAACTCAATGGAAGGGGAGGAGTCGAAACCGCGATTGGCTAACCACACGATCATGCAGATGCGGCATTTTCAAGTTCGATAATTTTATGCAAATTTGACATGATCAATTTTGTTTTTCTTCGATTTTATTGAGATAGTTTTTGAGTCGCGACAGAAATAGATTATAATTTTCAGAATCCAAACATCATCGCTTGCTGAAGCATCAGAAACTTATATCCTTTCGATTTCTCGCAAGTGAACGAGCCAAATTTGTTCACGCATGTTTCCGTGAACTTGGCGCAACTATGAGCTCTTCTAGAACACTCGTTGACGTCTACGCAGTCTCCAGCTGAGTTTCGCTCAAAGCCGGAGGCGCATGGACAGGTGAACGAGCCGACAGAGTTGGCGCAAGTCTCGACGGTGTTGGCGCAGTTGTCCGTATTTCTAGCGCATTCGTCGATGTCTTCGCAGATTCCAAGTGGGTTGCGCTCGTATCCGGCGGAACAAGGGCAAGTAAAACCGCCATTGTTATTCGCGCAAGTTTCAATCGTCGCCGCGCAAGTAGCAACTCCGGTGGCACACTCGTCCACATCAACGCAATTGATGCTTGCATCCCTTTCCCAACCAGCTGCGCAAGGAGGAAGACAGTATTTTCCCACTCTTTCGAGTCCATCCGCGCATGCTTCCAATAGCCTAATTGTCACGCATCGACGCTCAGAAGATCGACCATAAGGATCGTAGACGACAACGCAGTGAGGATGGTCGCCAACTTGACTTTCGGTTGGGCTCCAAGTGCAAGTTGCTGCGCCATTCGCATCAAAAGCACTGCAGCTCATTCCAGCAGGACTGGCGAATTGATAGCGGGGGATATCAGTGTAGGTAGCTCCTTCAATCTGATACTCAGCTTGCCAATCAATTTGAATCGTCATTCCAGCAGCGTAGCTCTCGATCTTTTCCTCGGCCTGAGCAGGAGAAGAACCGACAAAGGAGGGTCTTCCCGCGCAATAGGCTGGTTCTGCGGATCGTCGGCGTCGAGAGAGGGGGAAATCGACATGATCGTCGTCGCCATCAATGAGCCCTGCGTAGAGAAGTCCAGGGAAAAAGGGAGAAGTTCTAGAGCTGCTTGGGAGCTGCGGCTCGGAGACAACTGCGATAAATCCAAGTGGAACGGAATGGCTGAAAAAGAATTTTCTAGAAGAAAGATCTTGTTTTTTGACTTACAGTAGATTTCCGTCAGCATCAAAATCCTCAACTTGAACCGCAATCGCCTTCGATCCTCCCGTCGTAGCCTGATCATTTTCAGGATGATAGGTCACAACGCAAGTCTCTTCATTCAGCGAAAACTGCGAAAGACCGGAGTCATGAGCCATTTTGTACGCTTCTGACTCGCTGGACCATCTGCATCGAATAGTATCACCTTCAGGGTCGACCGGAGCGACGGCGTATTCTTGACCGCCGCATCCTTTCATCAAATAGGTTGCTGGTGGAGAGGCGAATTGGGGAGAACTGTTTGTTACATCGTTGACTCGAGCAGTGTAGCCATAATTACCTGAAAATTGATGTTGAGAAATTTTTTTTAGAAAAAGATCGGTTAAAAATGGAGAAAATCTCCCGTAGTCAGAAGCGACGTCTTAATCGCATATTTCCAAGGCACTTTTGACGTGCGGTCCAAGATAAGCAAAATAAAGCTTATAAGCCCGAGGGCTTCTTTAGGTCTTTTCGGAAGAGCTTCTAAAACCGCGTTTCTGGGTTACCTGACTTGGTGCTTCCATCATCTTGCTGAAAGCCAATTGTACAGCACCCGGTGTAGGTATGATCGAAGCTAGTAATCGAGCTGACGTCGATCTCGAAAGTGTAGCTTCCGAAGCAGAAGTGGCTGCTGGAATCGACTGTTGGTGAGTTTTCGATGTTGGAGACAATGTATGTTGCCGGGACGGAGCCGATGCCGGTGATTGTTTCGCTTCCTTGTGTCGATGGAGTTTGGTTGTCGATGTGCTCTTGAGTGCAGCCGCCGCTGTAGCCGCCGCTGAAATAGCTCCATCCCATGTAACGGGTTACTTCGAGCTTTGTCGGGTCATTGGTGGTGCGGTACTAGAAAAAATAAGGTTATTTCAAAGAAGAAGGAAATCAAATTCAATATTTGTCTTTCCCTTAAATAAGACCTCCTTTTATTTAAGGTAATAATAAATTCAAAAAATATAGACAGTTGCCGATTAAATGTTTTACCTGAAGACCTCCACCTCTGAAATGCGAAGCAGTTGTCAATCCGAGAAGGCTAAATCCAAGTTTCATTATCGTTAGTTTCTCCTAAGATATTCTCTAGGGAAATTTCTCAAGTGGCTGAATGAAGGTCAACCTTTCGTAAATTTAAGAGTTCTCATAAAGAACGGCTCATTGGCGCCATCATCAAGCGTACCAAAAACACCGCTGCTCTTTTATGGTTTGTTAATATTAGAAAACTCAATTTCTAACGATGTTAATTTCCTGTTGAGCATTTTTGAGATTATAAAATAAGTCTGACGTTTTATTAAGAAACTCATTTAGCGTTAAAATTTATGATTAAAAACCAGGGCTGGATATTTTCTCATCTCATTTTAGCCCTGTTAAAAACTGCAAAGTTATTTGCGAAATATGCATTTGGGGGTCAAAACTTGAACCATCGCTTTTTTAGTCTAAATGACCAAAGAGTCATCCTTCAGATCGATTTCACAGGTTCAAGGTGAATATTGATTGCGCTGCCCGTAGGGTTGGCTTTTCAAAGCCTCATTGTATAAAAATCCTCTAGAATAAAATTTCCCGCGGAGATTTAAGGAGTAAAATAATAAGAGACAAGCAATTTCTCCCCTTATACAGAATCTTTTGTTTCGTTGTTTTTTCAATTAAATGAGTCCGCTGCATTGTCAAAAATAAGAAGAGGAGTTCGACGTTCGAAAAATTTCAAAATAGTTGCGAAAAAAATCGGCTACAGGCGATGGCGGCGATGCTATCAATAAAAAATTTAAATTCGTGACTTTCGGTGGAAAGAAAACAGAGAAAAGCCCACTAAGAAGGTGATTTGAGGAGATTATTGTTAGATTCTATTTATAGATGAGTTTTGGTTGGTTTAATTTTCTGAGCTTTTTTTTCTTGAGCGTCAAAACAACTTGTTAAAAAAAGATCTTGAAATTTGTAATATGTTTATAATGATAAAGAAGCGTTGTCTTCGAGAAAAAATTAAACACGTGGCTCTTTCAAAAAAATTACTAGTCTTCGAAAATAACTACTTTTTACTTGTCATGAAGCTAAGAATTATTCATTTGAACAAGTGGTGAATTCCACTCCATCAAAATGTCTTCCAAAGAACATCGTTTCATAGAAAAAGAGAACATTCAAAATAAACAAGCGTAAATATTCAGTGAAGAATGGGAATAAAATTCAAAAAAGATGAAATAACAAATCGAACGCTGTTTTTTCTCGTCGCTTCGCTTTTGATGATCTTGGGCTCGATCTACAACATCCAGTTAATTAAATGACTAATGCTTGTTGCTTCTATTTTTAGGTCTTTTTCCGAATGCAAAGAGGTCTACGAGGAGCGACAGCTGATTGAAGAAACTCAAGAGAGAATTTTCATTGAAGAAAATCAAGAAAAAGAAGATGAAAAAGGACAATGCAGTCCAACAAATAGTGTGGTTTTTGTTAAAACTCACAAAACTGCCTCTTCAACTCTTCAAAATATCTTCCTTCGATACGGGTTAATTACGATGTCAATCCTTTTTCTTCATGACCATTTTCAGTCTGAAACACGATTTGAAAATCGCTCTTCCGAAAAACAGCGGCAATAGATTTTATTATCCTCAGCCGTTTGGAGAATGGATGTTGAAGGAGTTTCCTGATGGAGAGAAGCCGGTAATAATTGCGAATCATTTGCGCGCATCGAACGAGCTTTACGATACGTTTCCGGGTGCTAAGAGAATCACGATTTTAAGGGACATCCCTTCGCTCTATGAAAGTTCTTTTGGGTGAGCTATATTTTTCATTTCCCTTTTATATCTATTCCAGGTACATGAAAGATACTTCCGCCCCTTACAGAAAAGCAGGAAATATCGAAACTTTCTACGCCAACCCTGATGCCTTTTACAACCACCAGAACCCCGTTGGACCGCATGGAAACGACGTCTTTGCCCGAAATCATCTCGCTTTTGACCTTGGTCTTGAGTGGACGAAACTTGAGAAGATTCACGAAAGCATTGAATACCTTGATAAGACACTGGATCTTGTTGTTTTGTCGGACTATTTCAAGGAGAGCATGATATTGCTGAGGAACGAGCTCTGTTGGGAGTGGGAGGATGTCCTCTTTTTCGTGACAAATGAGAGATCGGAGAAGAAACCGATCTCTGATGATTTAGGTAAGCCAAGAAACTTAGAGGAAGTAAAAGAGGCTAATTTCGAATTCTAGCGCAAAAAATGCGAGAGTGGAACTCGTTCGACAATGCAATTTACGATCATTTCAACAGTTCTTTTTGGGATAAAGTCGAATCCTACCCGAATTTTGATGAAGACATGAAAATTCTTGAAACAAAACTCGAGGAAATCAAACGATTCTGCCTTGCTGGAGAAAAAGTCTGCCCGCCAAATGATAGAAGCTGCCAATATAACCCTGGCGGAGGAATTAAACTCAAAGCTTTTGAGGTTAATCTCAATCATAATTTTGGTTTAAATGTACTTCAGCTGTCCGAAACGGGCAAAAAGAGCGTCCTCTGTCAGCATATGATCATGCCAGAACTAAGTTTGAGCAAAAAAATCTTCAAAAAACAATGGCCAGGTTGGAAGAATTTTTACGAAAACTGATCACTGTATTTAAAAATATATTTTCTGTAACTTATCACCTCATATTCGCAATAAAAAGCTGAACCTGAATCTGAATTATCGAGTTGTTGTTGAAATCAAGAAAGAGTTGTTTTTGAAATTTTCAAAAATCGGAGAAAAGCTCTAGAATCTCTAGAGCGCACCTCGTTGTTTTCGATTTTTCCCATTTTTCGTCAGTTAGTTTTTTGCGCTTCCACAAAAAAGGCGTTTTTCCCATTTTCGCGACACCCTCGCAGCCCCAGTTCGTTTGTTTCAAAGAAAGTTTTAACGAAGAAAGTTCATTTTTCCCGATGTCGAACTTCAGCTCAGCATACGACAAGCTCTTCATTGCACGAAAGAAGCCAGATCTCATCCACGAGTACATCAGAGTCCTTGTCACGGAGAAGCAGAGACTTGAGGGTCTTTTAGAGGTATTTATACTTGTTTTTTGAGATGTTGACTGATATAAAGATTTAAATTGATCTTGAGAAATTTTCCTAAAGAAAAAGCCGTTTTCTCACTTTTTGAGTCAAATCACTAGATTTCTGTTAAAGTTTTTGTAAAAGCCGCATGCGGCTTTTGAACGCTGAATGAAAGAAATGATTCTTTCGGCTTGAAAAAATCCTCCATCTAAAAAATCTTTTTAGCAAACAAATCAAGCTCTAGAAAAAGCGACGAGCGAGACGACGCTTCCACGAGTCACCGATTGCGGTGAAAACGAGCCCGTCCTGGAAGACGTGAGCTCCGACGAGGAAAACTGCGACGATATTCACACCGACTCATCGGAAGCCGGCTCCGAAATCAACGACAGTGATGCATCTGATCCTGATTTCTTCACGAATAACGATTGCGCCATGCCTTGCATGCATCAGGTAGGAATCAAAATAAATTGCGTTCTAGAGATTTTTCATCTCGGAAAAATTTTAAACATGATTTTCTAGTCTCACTACATTTGGCTCGCCCGAAGAACCGAGCGGCTCCGAGCATCTTGCCCCGAGGGCTCGTGCCCATACGCCACCGAGTTCACCCCGTACCAGCACCCGCTCTACAGAACCTCGAACAACTCTTACGGCGCCTACCCGATGCAGCGAGCTCTTGCTAACCGACATCATCACGGAATTGTAAGTCCAAAATCTTTCTCCACTTTTCCTTACCAACAATCTCAGGTCCCGCTCTTCTCACTCCCAATGCACCAGATCATGTCAAACTTGGACGGACACATCTACGCAGGCCACGGATTCAACACATCCATCGACAGGAGCAAAGTTTACGATCAACCACGACTGTAATTCATCTGCTCAAAGCACATTTTTTTTCGCGCACTGTTCGTTTTCTTTTTTGTACATGATGCAAGCATAATATTCAACTGTAAATAAACAAATGATAATGACAATTTTTAGTCCTCGTTTTTGCATTTTTGAGGCAATCGGCAGGCGAATCTAATTTTGAAATGACAAAAGTAGTCGTTGAAAAGATCCGCTTCTGTCATGGTGACACAATATTCCAGTCCATCAAGGTTATTTGGCTCGTTTGGCGCCCAGTTGAGCCAGGTTGCTTCATTCCCGTCATCTGTGTAAAAAGTAGGTAGCTCACACGAATGATATCCTGAATATGATTGAAAACAGAGTTGCAAATTTTGATTAATTTTTCTAAGCTGACCTTAGTGAAAATTTCTCTAAGCTGAGCTGGCCTATTTCCGAGGTTACTGAGCTGGCCTTTTTCAGAGGTCATTGAGCGGAGCTGAGCTGAGCTGACCTTTTGTTTAAGAGAGTTGAGTTAAGCTGAGCTGAGCGGTCCCTTATCAAAGCTTAGCTGAGCTGAGCTGTTTTTTACTGTTTTTTGGTAGTATAATTGTATTCAAATCATTGAGCCGAGCTGAGCTGAGCTAAATGATAGTTGTCTGACCTGAGCTGAGCTAAGCAGAACAGATCATGTTCGAAAAAAATTGAGCTGAGCTGAGCTGAGTGAGAATTGTCTGAGCTGAGCTGAGCAGATCAGATCATTTTCCAAAATTACTGAGCTGAGTTGAGCAGTCAGCCAGCTCAGCTCAGCAAATTTGCAACTCTGAATGGAAAAAAAACATAAGTTTTGAGCCTACCCAAGTATTCCCTCGCTAGTGCTGGCCAGTGTTTAAGATACTGAAGACGAGTTTCTTGTTCGACTTGAAGATAGCTGTTGCTTAGTTTGAAAAAAAAAACCCTTGCATGCATTTTTTTCGCACGCGGACTCACAAAAATTTTAAAATTATTTTTCTAACTATGAGCTATTGTATTCTTGTTCATTTATGAAAAAGGCAATGTATCCATCTTGGCTGCGGCAAATTTCATGTGCAGAGACGTAATCTTCTTCGATGAGATTCCCAGACTCATCTTTTTGAAAGACAAAAATTGGTGGGCATTCGCAATTTTCTCCAGTGTATGAAGTCGGGCATTTACGTGTTTCGGATTTCGATTGGAATTGATCTTGAGCAGGGTTCGAAATCGGGCCAAAAAGTCGCTAGGCTAGGCAGAGCGGATTTTCAAAAAGCTAGGAGAATTTTTTGTCACAGACTCTTGGCTAACCTAGGCTAGGCGAATCTAGGCGAAAAAAGCGAAAACGCGATTCATTTTAATTTTTCTAGGAGATTAGGCAAAAATAAGGCGAGAAGCGAGAATTAGGCAAATTTTCGCCTGGAGCTGCCTAGATTTCGCCTAAATCTGCCTAGATCTCGCCTAGATCTGCCTAAACTTCGCCTAAATTCGCCTTATTTCTTCGCCTAGGCGAAATTCAAGGCAAATTTTCATTTTCGCGTTGTCGCCTAGCTTCGCCTAAGGCTCCAGACTGGAGCCTCCAGTATGAGACTAGGCTATGCTAGGCTAGGCGAAATTTCAAGAATCCTCGTCTAGCTAGGCAGCTAGGCGAATTCGCCTAGCCTAGCTTAGCATAGCTTTTTAGGCGAATTCGCCTAGGCGATTTCGAACCCCGATCTTTAGGACAGATATTGGAATTATGGCAGAAATATTCTTCGCAAGTAAGTGCTCTTACTCGTCATTTTCTGTGTTCTTGCTGTGGTAAATATATCTGTAGAAATAGAAGGCTCCGTTGTTGTTTGTGTTTTTGCTAAAAATCACTCTGTCTTTTTAAAAAAACTTGCAAATACCATGTGTGATCGTCGAAATGGATGTGTTTGATGATTCAAAAGAGTTTGTTGTGAAGCTCGGGCTATTTGTAGTTTCTTTTTCCGAAGACTCATCCTCTTGAAAAAAAATTTTCTGAAAGAATTTGGGAGAACTCAAAATTGTCCCAATTGCTGCAAACGACACTGCTATCCCAAGAAAAAATAATAAACGGTTTCTTTTTCGAGTCATTTTGTTCTTTGATCAGAAAGTGGCTAGTTTCCTCGATTTCTTGAGGAATAAATGCATGCTTATCCGCAGATTGCACGAAATATCGGCAGATTTATTTGAAATTTTCAGTTGAGGAAACAAGATAGCGCCATAATTATGCGCACACTTCATCAGAACTAAATGAACAAAGATAAAAATTATGCTTTGTTCATAAACAAAGCTGTAAATAAACAAATGATAATGACAATTTTTAGTCCTCATTTTTGCATTTTTGAGGCAATCGGCAGGGGAATCTAATCTTCTTGTACTATTTTATTGTGATCGCATGCTTCGTGTAGCGGTGGTTGTTGCTCTTCATTTTATCTCAAAAATCATTCCCAAATTATGAGTCGAAATTAGCTCGAGGGGCTCTTTTTATGTCCGTAAAAAGGGAAAACAGTCTCGCTACTCATAACAGGGTCAATATTTGCGCGCTCTCGTAAAACTTTCCCTTGCGCGCGTGAAAAAAGCTGTGGTTCAGCTCATTTTTTAGAGAAAAAAATGGTGATCGAATCCAATTTCGTTCCCACAAGCATATACAATGCGAAGGGGGCGAATATAACGAGCCTTGAACTAAGGCATGCGAAATCTCGGTAAGTTTTTCTTTGTTTTTTGTTGGCAAAGGAGAATTTTCCAAGGATCGAGCTGCGGGGAAAGCAAGCCTTTTGTTATTATGAGCTCACATTTTGGCCTACAGAAGAGCAGGCATCAAAGAAATCATATTCAAAGCCGCCACAAGGTTAGGGCTCTTTCTTCTCTCTTTGAGTGAGTTTTCGTAAATACTAGAAATGAGACAAGAAATAACCCAAAAAAGGCGATGGTTCAATTTTCTCCTCCCCAAAAAACTTCGGCACTGATATTCTCTCCTTTCGCGCCGAGTATATAAAAGATGAAAAAGTCTTCCATGTTGTCAAAGATTGCATCAGAGACCGAATGGACACTCACGAAGCAAGACCTTATCTGGACGCGCTGAATGAAGGAATGATTGACGGAATTCATGAAGCAATGGGCGTGACGGATTGCTACAACGACAATTTTAATTTTGTCATGGGGCCGATGAAGGAAGGGACAGAAAGAATTGTCATTCATTTAGAAACTGTCGAACAATTACAAATGATCAATGGAGAATTTCAACTTGTGCACCCTTTTTATCTCTTTGGAACGAAGGAAGATATAAATGAGCGAAACGACATAAAAATCTGCTGCAAAGAAGATGTAGAAATCAAAGCAAATGCGTATGTCAATAACTGTATTATGAAAAACTGCGTGATCGAGATGATGGAGGGCAAAAACTTCAACTTCGAATTCAAATTTCACCTCGAAGACTATCCAAAAGTCGGACTTCGCGAAGCGCCGAGCACTTACAACGCAAGATTGGCGATAAGAATAACACAAAAATCATTCGGACCTGATTCCTGGGTGGAAAACTTCAGCGCGAATGAAGAAGATGGGAAGATACTAAGCATGAACATTCAAGCGAAAGAATTATTGAAGAAGATGAAAGTTGAAAAATCAACGAAGAGAAAGAGATTCGTAACGCTGATTGTTTCTCGGTCGGGGTCTTTGCATGGCGATGTCATTAGAAATATTATTGGTGGACTAAGGAACGGATCGAACAAATTTTCCTTTTTTTTTTGAGGACCAAAAGTCTTTTTATAATCAAATCCTACTGGAATATTTTCATAAGAAAGATAGCGGCAATCAACACAAAGCTTCTATAAAAAACTTCGCACTGCTAGAAGATTGTTCAATTCTTTAAAAGACTACTGATTAATGACCCAAATCTTAACGACGGCAGAACTTTCATGAGAATCATCACTTACGGCCAAACAAACAACTGGACCCCTGAGAATCTCATCCCAAAGCTTCAAAATGGATCTGAATGGTTTCAACCCGTCAAAGATTATGAAGAAATCGACGCAACTGTTAAAACAATGGACGCGAACATTGGTCGACCTTTTATCAGAGAGATTCTAGAGCGCACCCTGGAAGAGCAGACGAATGATAAAAACTCGGAACATGAGGCAGAAAGAATCTTTTTCGTTATTGGGGATCAGCAATTTGGCTGGAAAGATGGAGAAGATGAAGGGAAACAGAACTTGGAGGAGCTCGTCAGGCGGAAAACGCAAGAGGCGAATGGGAATTTGAGAATCAACCCTATTTTCGTTGGACCTATCATCGTTGATTCCAAGTGCTTTAGGGAGATGGCAAGAGCTGGCAATGGTCAAGTTTTGCATTTTTCAGGCTCGGTTTGTCATTTTTTAATCAGTACCATATGGTCATTATAATAAGGAACACCCTAAGTGTAATTTCTTGATAAAATCGAATAACTCCCTAAATTAAAAAATCAGTTTCAACCAAGATGACTACTACTTATGGTTTCTGATATTCTTAAAAAAATATTAAACCAAATACAGAAAAAGAACGCTTCCGTGAAAAAATCGCCTCCGTCATCCCTTATTACATCAACAACTCCGAGTTCAAAATCACGAACGCCGAGATCATTAACAAATCCGACTCAAAAGACAAAATCGAAATCATCTCTGGCCCCGGTCAGAATTTAAAGAAACTATGGAATGATGAACGACTGAGAAAATGGGTTTATTCAGGCTTCAAAAAGAAGTTGCCAAGAGATTCAGATGAGCTCAAGGATTATTTTGAAAATTATTTGAAGGAAGATTGGAATCAAATAACGGATGTTATTGACAACGACAGAATAAGCTTTCATTTTAAACAAGGTAAAAGCAACTGAAAAATGCCTCTCTAGAAAAATATCTTTCAAGAAAACCACCAGCAAGATCTGTCCAAATACAGGCTTAAACTCACGTGGGAAGGCAATATCGAAACATCACATGACTTCCCAACCGAATCTCTTTTGCGACCCAAGAACTCGAAAAAGCTTCATAATTTCCAGCAGCTCAGATGGTTTGGAGCAAACGGCCTCAATCTTCAAGGACAACGTCAACTTGCCATTCATGTAAAATCCTTCTTTCGTTTTTCGATTATTATTTTTAGACCGAAACATTCCTCGAAAACAACGCCACCCACTGCGCACTCATTCAAAATGGTCGAGGTCCACCGCCCCCAGCAGATCCCAATGATGTTCGTCAACTGGCGCTCATGCACAATTACCAAGTTTCAACCGGTTACAAGCCTCCTACTGAAAAGCCGTCCTTCTCTTTCGGAGGTTTTGGCAGGCCGAAGCCGAAGCCAAAATGTAATGGCATTAATGACGGTTCTGAAATGTCTTTCTATTTGATTTTTATCAAAAAAGATTATTTTCGTGCTTTTGAACCAAAAAAGGCTTGAATTGAACATGCCTTGGCGCCGACAAAGATCCGATTATTTTGGCAAACTGATTTTCAACGCTGACGAAAACGCTCACTGGCAAAATGCCCCTGGAGAACCAGCATATATGATCAGAAAAAGTAAGTTCTTTCCCGCGTCTGCAGTAATAAATCGTTTTGAAAGGATCGACACTTGAAGAGTTGAGCGAAATCTGGCTCGATATGAATGAAGAGCAATTCAAAGAATTCCACCAAAGCCCGGACTTCAAATTTAAAGATGATCATGAAGCAATCTCGATTCTCATTTGGACGTGTTTCTATTTCTGTGAGATAACAGAGAGGTTTAATCATCAATTAAAACATCTGACAATTTTTTCAGAGAAACGTGGAGTAGGATAATCCACAAGGCCATCGAATACCACAAAGGAGAAGATAAATTCATCAATCTACTAGAAAGAACACAGCAATATCTTCTTGATAATGACCTTTGGAAACGGTCCGATCGCAATAAAATCACAGAAGCATAAATTTAAATCCTGACGCATCCCTAAATAAACCAAAAGAAAAACTGATATCTTCAAATGAATTTTCAGAAATATAAGTTCTCATATCCGTCAGATGATAGCTATGGTAGTTAAAAAAGAGATGTAAGAGGCTTTTGAGTCGTGAAGGTAAATCCTTTGACCACTTCAAACGTGATCCCTGGATAAATTAATTAGCGATCTAAAACGCGTAATCAATACCAAATATTATACCGCCCAGACACTCCAGCAATCATTCTTAGATGCCCCCTTTGAAGAGCGAAAGAAGATTATGATATAATCATCCTCCATCGCCAATTATTTTTCATAATGTCAGATAAAAAAGCTTATTTCAGATTCTTCGAAAATAGCCCTTTTTCGAACGACATATCTCATCATTTATATAATTAAATTAATTGTAAAAATTATTGCCTCAAATCTATCTATGTTCTCCGTTATCGAAGACGTTTGAAATATCTAATTTGAGATTCTTTGTGCGACTTTTCAATCGTTAATTGTTTTAAAAACCCTCCAATAAAATACCAATTCCGCTGAATCTTCGAAGAAGTCGTCAATGGAAAGAAGAAATTGTTGTTTCAGATCTACCGCCTTTAGAAGCAAAGAACGCGCTTTCTGCGTGAAATCGGCAATTTACGTGAATGATTTTTAGAGCGACCGTTATTTCAGATTTAACGCAATTTCGAGCACACGTGAAGCTACCGACAATTTAACTCGATTAGTTTCTAAAAAATTGGAAAGTAGAAGACCTTTTTATTGAAGAAAAAAAATATTGAAAATTCAATTATTCAGTCCGCCCAGAATTTCGAGCAAATTCTCGTCATTTGCGGCCGAGGCGAGTTTGTCCATCAGTTGATCGTATCTGCTTCGGTACGATTGGAAACCAAAGCTGCGTTTCAGTAGATCGTGGTTGGCAGCGTCGTCGATCGCATTACTCCTGAATTATAGCCCTAAGCCTCCTTCCCAATTTTGACTTACAAAAGAGCATCTCGAAAGGAACTAGCGAATGCAAGTCCGATAAATAGAATGCTCGAAAATCTCATTTTTCTTCGATTGATATTTTCCTTTTCTGGTAAATTAAAAACATCCAATTCTATTTTATACTTTTCCACAACCATCCCGTTTTTAATTATTTACCTTTTCTGCGCCTGTTTTTCACTTTATGCGGCAGAAGATTGGACTTTTAAGTGGTCACGCAGCTTAAAATTTCATGAACCACAGATTCATCCTTTATTTTCGACGAGTTACTGTTGCTTTTCGCAATTTAGAGTTTTGCGGATTTTCGACGTGTTCAAATAAGCCGAGCACTTGTAGATTTCTGAATTTATTATTCTAGGTTGGTAACAAATTTTGTTCCTTAGATGTTTTTCTTACTCGAGTGAGCTGACATAATTCTCCATTTTTATCTGAACGAGTTCCTTTTGTGGACAGAAAAACGGGCTTCTTGTCCATTTTTTGGTTTTTGCAGCAGACAGTATTGAAAATCTGTCCTTTTAAAGTGCTGAATCTAAAATCGGTAAAGTGGTTTACACATGAATTATAAAAAAAGAAAATGATTGTTCTTGCTTTATAAACAAGGCGTAAGAAAAATAATATTTCTTGTGATATTTGATTTTTGTCGCGGATGTTGTTTCTGGTTATGTAAGTTGAATAATTCTTAATCCTTTATGCTTTTATCTCCTTAAGAAATTCTGATAATCCGGGAGATGACAGTAAAGCAACTGTTTTCCTCCACGACTCCTCCTGGCCTGAGTGGATTGAGCAGCAAAAACTCTGGCTTCGAGAAAATGAAATTGACCTGCTGAAGATCATCGTTATTTCTTTTATTCTCACTGCAATTTATATTTCCCTTGAAAAAATTAACAAAAAATTGACGAGGAGAAGCATGTACCGACAACTCAGCGTCAAATGAAGAAATTCGGAATAAAGAAGAATTTTTGAGACTGAGTTTTTCCTTTACGTGAATAGTCTTTTTCCATCGAATAAAATCTAAAATTAAAATTTTTTTTCGCAGACGGTCAAAAGATGATTTAGATTTTTGATCCCACAGCTTTCAATTCTCCTCAAAATGTCGTAAAAGAATCATGCGGAAATTTAAATTCCTTCCGGCTAAGACGTGATTATTTTTAACAAATAAGGGAACCAGTGCTTTTCTTTGCGCAGCTTGTTTCATAGGCAGAGGATGAGAATTTCAGGGTTGAGTTTTATTTTTCTTTTTGCCCGAATTGATGGATGCTGGTGGATAAGGAAGAAAAATATAGACAGACTTGAAGATGAAGACAGGAGGATAAAGACGACGGTAGCTCCTCAAAAGGAAAGATTTTATTGTTCATTTGATAAAAATAAAATAAATTTTTTTTTTTATTTTCTAATAAAAATCCAAAAGAAAAAATATTTTTTTATTCAAACATTTAATTTATTTAAAAAATATTGAATAAAATTTCCATTTTGAGAACTAATATTTTTCCTAATTTTATATTTATTCAGCGAAATCCATTGTCAAGAGAAAATACTTTCAACCAAAGAAACAATCCAAATTCGGTCAAGGCCGCGGTCGATTGGAATCTCAGCCGCCCCATGGCTCCAAACAGCCGCAAGAAGTCATTAAGCGCTCTCGTGGATTGAAATGTCTACCAGACAGATCGACAAAGCATCTGTGCTCAAAGAAATTGGAAAGGGGAGAAGTTTGCAAGGATGAAATTCACGATTGCGACGGGTGTCAGAAAAATGGCGAGTTTATTGAAGTTGTGGTTCGCTGCGCTCAAGGAAATGGGATAAGGATACATATTTTAGTTCCCTTTTCACGTTGCTTTCATCATCAATTTTCAACATAAAGGTTTTGGGAAGAATCGTAGCAGTAATACTATAAGCGTAATTTAACCGTGGATAGTGGAGAAAGTAGCAAATTTGGCGAGAAAATACACAGATAAAAATTAAATTCACGTTCTCGTAAAAAACGCAACGAATAAGCGGTAAAAAAGGGAGCGAGGAAATTAAAACGATGACCGGAAATCCTTCTAAAGCTGCAATGTCTAATGCCTATAGCTTGCGATATACGATGATGAAAAAGTGCAAAGGAGTTTCTGTCAGGGATGATGCATTCGGAATCGGAGGCGATCATGTTTGTTGGGAAATGTAACTGTCTTTTCTCAGATCATGAATAAAGCTTTAAGCTGTAATACTAACAAACCGTGTTGATTGATGATTAATGCCTTTCTTCTGAGTAGGGTGAAAAAATAAAGAAACCGCAAAATGGAATACATAGTTCGGTAGTTCAATTTTCATTAATTTGACAAACCGCGCCCGTGGGGACGGCGATAATACTCTGAAAATGTGAAATAGCAAGCTCATTCTGATCGAATAATGATCCGGTATCGACGAGAGAACGAGCAGAGTTTTCATGATGGGTAAGCACTTTTTTGGAGTTTAGACTTTTCAGAAATTCTTGTGAACAAAATCGACTCGAATTTCGTTCTTTCTAGCTTTTTTCTTTAGAACATATCTTTTTGGGGAAGATGGAGCTGGCGAAAAACCGAAATCTTTATTCGACAAAACCGGCGTTATGATCGTCCTTGGAATGATAGGATTTTGGCTCTAGAAAAATGATCTGCTTTTCGTACTCTAATTTGATTAGAGAGCCAGTTTTAAGTGGCTTTGGTGATTTATCTTAGTGAGAAAAAATGACCGAGTTCATGAAAAATTATGATTTTTAGTGGTTCGACAAGTTTGCTTTACGAAGAAATTCAAGTACGAAAGCTTCTCGGTAAGGGAGTACCTCAATTAAAAAATGGTTAAGCACGGAGCTATCCGATTCCCTTGGGTGGGGTTAAATCGCTGATTACCCGCTTTAAGATCCATGCTTACTATGATCCAGGATTATGAGCAATTATGTCCTCATTATATCTTATTTTCAGCGCGATACAGTATCGAGTGCAGAAAATGCTCAGTCTGGAAGTGAAAAATCAGGTTTACTTTCTGGAAAATGATAATAAAATCAAAATTTTTCTCTGTTGTCAAATTTTATTTACAGAACATGTGACGGTCAAGAAGCCTCTTTAGTTTGGCCAATAAGATTCCTCGTCAAAAGAACAGTCAGTGTTATCAGCAGTGATGACTTCAGGTCGCGCCCAAAGAGTCGAGTATCCCTTTGCCTTTTCAAGAAGCTCGTCGTATCGTCTTGGGTTGAGGACTCGCATGTCCTTTTCTCGAGTCATGAGCCAGCCGTAAGAGACAGTGAATCCATCATCTCGGCCTTCGCAGTTCATGACGATTGTGTACTCGTCGTAGTCGGTTTCCATGACCCAGTAGTTGGTTCCTCGTTCTCGGACATTCGGGCCAAAGTAGTCGAAGTTGATATTGAGCTGAAAAATAATATATAAGCACAAGTAATAATCTATGATGCGGATGAAAATCACTCAACACGTCGATTCACAAAAAGAACACCTTGTCGAGCAGATGATTGTACCTTGTTTGGGAACTCAGGATCGACGATGGTTCCAAAAGCGTTTACATATTGCATCTCCCAAAGTCCGGATCCGTCTGGTTTTGGGATGACGTTCGTGTTGAGCACGCTGATCTTCGACTCATCAATTACACCATATTTGGCGCCGACGCATCTGCCCAGAGGATTTTGGAACGCATACGGGTAGCGAGCTTGTTCCCACCTTAACCATGACGGATTAGTAGGGCTTTGACAGTGGACATGACCTTTTCCGGAATTCCCCCAATGACGTGGATATTTGAGGATAAAGGATCATTTCTAATGGGTGGAAAAAATATAAATTTAACGAAATTACAAAATCGTTTCTACGTTAATTTTTTAAAAATCTGACTGGATGTTGTGATAGAGTAGGTCAAGTTCTATATTCTCCGAGAAAAAATATCGAAATCGAAAAGTATTTTTGCCGTCTAGAGGACATTGAAGTAAATTTCTGCTGACAGCGATTGTGCAAAAAGTACCCATTAGGGACTCCAATTTTTTGACGGAAATATTTTCTCGAGAGTCTGAACTAGGGCGCCAGCTATTTTCCTGACAATTCTGATTATTTTTCATCGGTTTATCAGCAATCAAAGTTAGGTGAGAATTTCGCTGTGGCGATGAGCGTGGCGGTGACTAAGCGGCGTGGTGGCGCTGTTGCCCACCCTACCCTGTTGCTCAAAACGAGATCGCTTGAATGAGATTTTCATTCGTGCCTGGCTAGGGTGCGCCACAGCGTCACCGTGCCGCATTGTCACTGCCGCGCTCCCCGTCTCATCACGATTTTCGTCTGACTTTGATCGCTGATAAGAGAAGGTTTGCGTAATCAAAACGAAATAAAAATAGCTGGCGTCTTACTTCAGACGCTCAAGAATATATTTCCGTCAAAAAATAAGCCGGTCCAACGAATACTTTTTACGCTAGAGCCGTCAGTAGAAATGTACTTCAATTGCCGTTAGACAGCTTTAGGACTTTTCAATTTCAGATTTTTTCCTCGGAGAATATGAAACTTGACCTGTTCTATTAACACGTCTAGTCAAAGTTTGAAAATATTTAGAGAGAAAAGATTTTGTAATTTCGTTAAATTTATATTTTTCCACCCAATTCTCCGGCTTTTGGAGGAAATCCGCCTATGTCATTTCGGATTACGAAAATAATTTCGGTAAAAGAAAATACCCCGGTACAACTCACCATTGACCAGAGTATCGTTCAGCATCAAAATCAGCAATTTTTGGGATTTCAGGACACGCTTCTCGGGAAAGAAGCTGGCCCTGGGTCGAGGAGATGGCGAGAAGACTCAAAAGTTTCATATTTTTTTGTATTGGAAAACGGTTTTTTGATGAGCTCCATGGCTAGACTGTCGATTAAATATGCAAAATGTTATGTCAGGGCGAAATAATATGAGAAGTTACGAGACTGAAGTGACTGGGAAGTAGAGCAAATGTCAAGCGCACCGAATTGCGTCGAATTTTAACGGGGTCAAATGCGAGGGACAAAAGGTCAAGAAAAATAAGAAGCGATCACTTCTCTTAGAATATTAGGCTTGATTGACCCAGAGTTCGAAATTTTGCGGCTCCCGGGCAAGGGGGCGGCGGGCGGGCGGGCACGGGCAGAATATTTAAGATTCCCGGGGGCAAAAACGGTCACGGGCACAAAAACGAATTTTCCCGCGAGCCAAGCGGGCACGGGCACTATAACAAATTTTCCCGCGGGCAGATACGGGCACGGGCATGAATGAGAAGATTCCCGCGGGCATAAACGGGCACGGGCGGTTTGCCCGCGTTCCCGCACGAAATATTCCCGAGGGCAGCCCGGGGAACATTTTTTCTACTGCTAAATCTCAAGCCTATTTTTCAAAATAAGAAAATAAAATAAAAACGACCCTGAATCAATTCGGATTTTTAAATCGCAAGTTTTAGGAGCTAGTTAGAAACTACGACCGAATGGTCTCCGTTTCCCCAAGTTGGGCAAACGGCGACTTGGGCAAACGGCGATGTGAATTAGTTTAAATTGATTGATTTTATTTTCTCTTATATATTATATTATATTTTTATTTTCTTTTATTGTCTTCTTCACAGTCAATCCCGGCTTCACTTATTTCAATCCCGGCTTCAAAAACTTCGATCCTAGCTTTTCAGACGTCAATCTTGGTGGCTCAAACTTGAATCCTGGAATCTCCAGCGTCAATCCCGGCTTCTTCAATGCTGATCCGGGCGTCACTTACTTCAATCCAAGCTTCTCAAACGTTACTCCCGGCTTCTCAGTTGTCAATCATCGCTTCTCGAATGTCGATCATGGCTTCTTCAAGATAAAATTGGCGTTGAAAAAGCCGAGATGAAGATGGATGAAGCCGGGATCGACGTTGGAGAAGTCGGGATCGACGATGGAGAAATCGGGATTGACGTCGAAGAACCCGGGATGGACATTGGAGAAGCCATATTTGAAGTCGGTGAAGCGAGAATTGGCGATGGAGAAGCCATAATTGATGTAGTGTCGATGATATTGGAGAAAACATGATTGATGTTGGTGAAGCCAGGATTGGCGTTGAAGAAGCCAGGATTGACATTAAAAAGCCAAATAATGTCTAATGATCAATTAATATAAACTTTTTCAGATCGCCGTTTGCCCAAGATCTCCGTTTCTCCAAGTTGGGCAAACGGCGATTTTCTATAATAGGGTCGGCCAAAAAAAATTTTTGATCTCCAATCCTTTCGAAACCAGTTTCAGTGGACTCGCGGTGCTCAAAAACCTTTATAACCCAAAAATTGCCGAGATCCGATGCTCAGGTCTCACTGAAGGGCATTTTTTCCAAAAATTGGGACTTGAATTTGACATACTTGCTTTAAAAAATAAATTCGCTATATATATAAGGTAAATCATATATTTGATGACAGAAGATAATAGAGCAGGGTTTAAAGTTTACAGGTAGTAAACAGAAAAGAAATAGAAAACTCATGTACCATTTTTATGGAAGGGTGTTTTGTTCCAATTACCCTTTTATATGGATAACCAAGGTATTCATTCATTCATAAATCAATAAAGAGAGATGTTTCAGTTCCAAATTTTTGCTCATAAGTTAGATTAAACACTTAGGAATTACTTTGCTCTTACAGAATATCTATATGAATTGGGGAATTTTTTAAAATAATTTTTAAATAAAACTACTGGATTTTTACGAAGCCTTAAAATTGAAGAAAAAATCTTTTAAGAGGACAAAAAGGTTCAAATTCTTATCTATATGTTTGAACGTTGATAAGAAATTATTAACTAAGTATTGTGTGGATATCATCAGTGATATTCATGAGACTCTAATAACAGAGGATCTGTTGGTCTCTATCTGTATCATTAAGAGGTCTTGAATGACCTTAAGCACTATAAATGTAGTTTCTAGTCGTTCAAATTACACAAAATGTCTTTTTGAATTATGCTGACATCATCAGAAGTCCTGCTACTGATACCTATGATCTGTTAGGTAATGTCTGTATTAGAACCGCTTAGTCAATGACTCCGAAAATTGCATACATTGATTAACAGGGCTAAAGATGCCCAAAATGTCTTTTTGGATAATCCTCAAAGTATCAGAAGTCCTCTAACTGATACCTGTCATCTGTAAGTCAGTGTCTGTATTAGAAAGGCTTAGTCAATGACTTCCGAAATTGCATACAGTCATTAACAGGGCTAAAGATGCCTAAAATGTCTTTTTGGATAATCCTCAAAGTATCAGATGTCCTCTAACTGATACCTATCATCTGTTAGTCAGTGTCTGTAAAAGAGAGGCTTAGTCAATGACTCCGAAAATCGCATAAAGTAATAAACAGGGCTAAAGATGCCCAAAATGTCTTTTTGGACAATCCTCAAAGTATCAGATGTCCTCTAACTGATACCTATCATCTGTTAGTCAGTGTCTGTAATAGAGAGGCCTAGTCAATGACTTCGAAAATCGTATACAGTCATAAACAGGGCTAAAGATGCCCAAAATGTCTATTTGAATAATCCTCAAGGTATCAGAATTCTTCCAACTGATACCTGTTGTCTGTAAGTCAGTGTCTGTTTTAAAAAGGCTTAGTCGATGACTTCTGAAATCGCATACAGTCATTAACAGGGTTCAAGATGCACAATTTGTCTTTTTGAATAATCCTCAAAGTATCAGAAGTCCTCAAACTGATACCTATCATCTGTAAGTCAGTGTCTGTATTAGAAAGGCTTACTAAATGATTTTGGAAATTGCATACAGTCATACACAGGGTTCAAGATGCACAAAATGTCTTTTTGAATAATCCTCAAAGAATCAGAAGTCCTCTTATGAATCTCACTCGGAGCACATGAATACAACCGAGAATCGCCACTACTTTTCTCTCATTTGCTCCTGCTGACTCATGTTCACTCATTTTTTTTCTAAACGACTTTTTCGTTTTCCTAACTGTCTTAAGGAACCTTGGCGAGCTTGCTTAGGCACGAGTTTACGAGCGCTTTATTTGTTTTTGATCTTAGATATTACAAAAATTCTTTCTGCGAAAATGATCTACAGACGCTTTTCTTTCTATTACAGTTTTTAGTTTATCTCTGTCATTTGTAATTCAGGTGCTATGGTCGAAAAGATATCCCGACCCGAAGGGCAACCCAGCTTCGTTTATGTAATGCCGTTCATTTAGTCTGAAATGGAGCCAAGCCGACCCGAAGGGGAGGCTAGCTCCGTTCATGCATTCAAGTCTGAGACGGGGCCAAGCCGACCCGAAGGGCGATCCAGCTCCGTTTATGCAATTCAGTCTGAGATGGGGCCAAGCCGACCCGAAGGGGAAGATAGCACCGTCCATGCATTTCAGTCTGAGACGGGGCCAATAAATATTGTTAAAATGAAATTCCAAGCTAACGCCCAGTTACCATAGTACGGAGGCTTATTTAGAACGCAATATAAATAAGCCTCGTTTCTTGAATTCAGTTAGGTGCAGAGCCAGACCGACTCTGAGGGGAGGCTGGCCTCATCTTTTGAACTAAGTTAAGTAAGGCGCGAAAACGACCCGAAGGAGAGGCAAGACCAATCTCTTGAATTCAGTTAGGTAAGGCGTCAAGCTGACCCGAAGGGGAGGCCAGCCCCTTTCTTTGATTCCGTTAAGTACGGGGCCAAGCCGACTCAAAGGGAGGCCAGCCTCGTCTCTTGAATTCGGTCAGGTAAGGGGCAAAGCCGACCCGAAGGGAGGCCAGCCCCGTCTCTTGTATTCAGTCAGGTAAGCGGCGAAGCCGACTCGAAGGGAGGCCAGCCCCGTCTCTTAAATTCAGTCAGGTAAAGGACCAAGCCGACCCGTACCTAACTGAATCCAAGAAACAGGGCTTGCCTCCCCGGGTCGGCTTTGGTCCTTACATGACTGAATTCAAGAAACAAAGCTCGCCTCCCTTTCGGGTCGGCTTGGCCCCGTACCTAACTGAATCCAAGAAACGGGGTTCGCCTCCCCTTCGAGTCGGCTTGGCCCCGTACCTAACTGAATCCAAGGAACGGGACTTGCCTTCGCTCCGGGTCGGCTTGGCCTCTTTCATGACTGAATTCAAGAGACAAGGCTGGCCTCCCCTTCGGGTCAGCTTGGCCCCTTACCTAACTGAATCTAAGAAATGGGGCTCGCCTCCCCTTCGAGTCGGCTTGGCCCCGTACCTAACTGAATCCAAGAAACGGGACTGGCCTCCCCTCCGGGTCGGCTTTGCCCCTTACCTAACTGAATTCAAGAAACTTCAGTTTCTCAGCTCAAGCTCGCTTCCCCTTCGAGTCTAACTGAATTCAAGAGACGAGGCTGGCCTCCCCTTCGGGTCGGCTCGGCTCCTTACCTGACTGAATTCAGGAGACGGGGCTTTCCTGCCCTTCGGGTCGGCTTTACCCCTTACCTGACTTAATTTAATTAAACGGGTCGTTTTTGCGCCTTACTTAACTGAATTCAAGAGGGGGGCCGAGGTCCGCTTCGAGATTTGATGATTCAAGATTGAGGCGTTGGTGCACTCTTCGCCCGCACTTTTTCTATTGTTTATTTCTAGACTTGCTCAAAGTGATTGCGTGACTGGTGCACCCTTTACCCGCTCTTTAGAGGTGCACTATCTGCGCAACCCACTGACAGTACCTGACTGAATTTAAGAGACGGGCTTAAGAGACAAATCCTCAAGGAGTTGGTCTTTCACCCGGGTTCCTTCGGAAGGTTTACGGCAGATAGTGACCGAAAGTGGTCAAATATGGCAGTTTGAGGCCAAGCAAGGCTTTTTATATATTTTTTTGAATATTGGTCTTCAAGCAGTTGGTCTTCTAGTAAGGGGGTCCTCTGGGAGGTCCTCCGGCAGAAAGTGACCGAAATTGGTCAACATTGGCAGTATGTCGCCCTCAAAAGCTATTTATTTTTTTCTATTATTGGTCCTCCAGTAGTTTTTCTTCCAGTAAGGGGTCCTCCGGAAGGTCCTCCGGCAATAAGTGGCCAAACTTGACCGAAGTCGGCAATCACTTGCCAATCAAGGCTTGATATTTGGCGTAGCCAAAAATTTGATATTTAGAAACGTCCAAGATTCACGTTTTTAGTGACAAAAATCGCGATTTTCAAAAAATTCTAAAAAAATTTCCCCAACTCGCACAGACAAATGGTTAGTACCATTCGAATCGTCTCGTTCTCCTCTTTCTAATGATGTGTAATTCGTAATTGAAACACGAGGTCGATTTTTTTTTGGCCGACCCTATTCTATAATATAGACCCCCGAACACCATATTTTTTTAGAATCAGTAGAAAATTTCAAAAACTTCAAAAACGGTTTAAAATTCTAGAGAACTCCACTTCCGGTCGATTCTAGAGCCGGAAGTTGACGAAATTTAGTTAAAATGGTAAAGTGTGACCTATCAAATTTTCGAGTCATCCTAAAATCAATATTTCAGAAGAAACAGTCCCAAACCTGGTCAAACCGACCGTTAAAATTATGTAAAAAAGGTATAAAGTGATGAATTCTTTTTCATTTTTTTCCGGTTTATTTTAACGCGGTTGGTCTTGATTCTTGGTCAAAAATGATAGGAAATCCTCTGAGCATCAATTTGATAGGTCACACTTCACCATAACACCTAAATTACGTCAACTTCCGGCTCTAGAACCGAACGGAAGTGGAGTTTTCTAAAATTTTGAACCGTTAAAGTTCTTAAAATTTTCTGTTGATTTGTAAAGGTATAATGTTCGGGGGTCTATAAGGCGGAAATGGGCTGGAAAACTTCGTTAACTTTAAAAAAAGCACGTCATAACAGTTCTGTATGCAAATTAGTTTTCAATATACTCCCTCAAGTATTTGGTGTCTATTTCCTTGCTATTTAAATAGTTTAAACACTTTTTCATAAGGTGCATTGAATCTGCCCGTGCCCGTTTAAGCTCGCGGGAATCTTGCCCGTGCCCGAATTTGCCCGCGGGAATATTTTTTATTGTGCCCGTGCCCGCTTGGCCCGCGGGAAAATTCGTTTTTTTGCCCGTGACCGCTTTTGCCCTCGGGAATATTCACTTTCTTGCCCGTGCCCGTATCTTCCCCTGGGCAAACGCGGGATTTCGAACTCTGGATTGACCAGTTAGTTGCAGCCCTAAAAAGGGCTGACGTTGTCGTCGTTATTGGCTAATGCCGATTGAAAGTGCGCGTTTGTAGCATCGATCCTTATCTTCTTCGCTGTCGGGAAGATTTTTTTTTACATCTCCCATTGCACTTCGCGTTGCATACGTCGCTCCCTGGGTGCTCCAGAAAACGGAGCACCCCGTACTCGAGGCTTCTCAAAAATGAAGAATTTCTGCATTCCCGCTCTTTAAATACGCCCAGGTGAGAAACGCGGGGAATTTTCTTTTCTAGATGGAGGTGTTTCTTTCTCATCGGCGCAGTAGCTGAGAAACTCGACCATCTCTAGAGAAAAAAAATGATCAAGCGAGAGCAAAAAGAGACATAGATTCTCTAGAAGAATTGTGCTTCTCACCTGGCCGTATATAAACAGCAGAAAATCTCGGTCTTGTCACATTTGAGATAACCCTGCATAAGGGGTACCTCTTCGTCTGGTATATCCAGGCGATGGGTATAAAGTGGAGTCAAGTTATTAATTGATGAGGCTGAGAAAGATCAGCATGGGAAAATCCTCGATATGCGGGAAACCAACACACTTCCAGACCAGGAGAAGAATTCACAGCAGCGACACAATAACGCTCCAGTAGCCCTTTTTAGGGCTTCAATAAACCATTTGATGGAATTGAGAATTCGTGCCGTAGATTTTCCTTCACTGACACGTCTTGAAAATTAATGAAAAAAAACGTCATGAACCCAGTGTCAGTATTATTTGTCCGGCGAAAATCAGCGCCGTCCATAAATTTGAAATGAGTAAAAAAATCTAGCAGACAATGTTTAAATTTCCTTATTTAGATCGTAAAAACTTATCATTTCTATGAGAACCTGCATTTTTGACAGCTTTCACGGCTCGTCATACTTATTTAATTTTCTTTTCTAAAGAGAATTTTTCTAAATCAAAATCAAAGTCAAAAGTCATGACATTTTTAACTCGATTTTAAACGCAAAGGCATTGTTTTCCGCGATGGAATACAACCCCGCCAAGCTAACTCGACAACGGATCAGACGTAATCGTAAATCCCTTTTCATAATTTTTCAGGGGGCGCTCGCGAGGGGCACGAGTCGCGTACCGACAGCTGGGGCACGAAATTTCACGGACAACCTGAGCCGACTGGTGGACGGATTAACGAACTCGTATAAATAGCGATGCGGTAAGAAATGATCCAACAAATATAGCCGCTAAGAGATCAGAAAATGGTAAGATAAAATATATGATGATCTTTTTTCATAATTATGCGATAGGAAATTTGTTTCTGAAAATTATGTAATTTTCAGGGTCTTCGAGAAATAACCGAAGTCAAGATTTCATGAGAATAAATGTCACTTGCTACTATTTGAGCTTTACGACGTCATTTCGGATTCTTGAAATTATGAAATGATGAAATAACAAAATTTTTCAGAAGCTCATCGCAACAATCTTCACATCAACCTTCGCCAGCACTGGTTTCGCCAAAAACTACAACGGAGCGATCAAGCGTAATCTATCCGGAGCATGGCTAGACGAAAATTTCGGAAAGGGGCAGCGATACTTTCCAGACACAATCTCGTCAACGAAATTTGAGCAGATCGCGAAAATGGTTGCATTCTTGGAAGGAAAAGAGCCGACGGAGGAATATCTTCAACAAATTGAGGTAAAAAACGAACATTTGTAATTTATGATAAATCGATTGATAGGATGACCAAACGAGCTACGGATGCTATTGCTGGAACAAAGGCGTCGAAAATGTTCAAGAGCTTGGTGGAGGCCAACATATGGATAAAATTGACTCTGTTTGCTCCAAATTATACAGGTGAAGGACCTTTCTCCGGGTTTAACCTCTCTTAGTCTTACGTAATCGTACTTTCCTCCTTCATTATCAATGTTTCTTTGAATCCTGACATGTTCCAGCCTTGAAAACAACATAATAATCGTCCCTTTTAGATGTTACAAATGTATCGACGTCGACTACAATCTCGACTACAAAAACAACAAAGGCGCCCTTGCCGAACTTGGCTACACCGCTATTTTCATCGGCGATCAAGTCAACGAAAGATCCATCAACTGTGAATTCAACGGAAAAACAAGCTCCGAAAACCTCTGCCGCTGTGACGTTGATTTTGCCGAGTCGATCGCCCAACTTCGATCTGAATGCGTAAGAAAATGAAACTTACCTATTTGCGTCAATAATCCTTTCTTTTAGAACGCAGGAAATCAAGAAAGCTGCCCTGACTTAAAATACTACACTCCTTACTCCAAGTTCGATGGAAATTTCGACTACGATGCCTCGTGCCGACTTAGAGCAAACCAGGGTCAGGAGAGAGACCAGTGCTGTGGAATCTATCCCAACAGGAGATCTTACGATAAAGAGGTCCAAGAATGCTGCCAGACAGAGTAAGATTACCCTCTTCTTTCCAACTCCTTACCTTTTTTAAGCCTCTTCGAAGTGTTCAAATACAAATTGGTCCCAAAAGACACCTGCCAAGGAAAAGTAGTCGTCAGCGTGCAAGGCAACCCTAACGAATATATTCCAGCGCAATCAGAAAATGAAATGTGAAGATAGTTATTTTTTTCTTTCTTTTTGATACTGAACGAATGTTATGATTGTTTACATAACAGAAGAAAATACTTTTTACTCCTGTACAATATTTTTACTTTTTCAACTTCATACTGTTTACGCCAATCTGATTTTTATGATCACAATAAAAACTAAGAACTTCATGAAATCATCAGTTTTCGAGATTCTAAAATGGGTACCAACTGCATAAAATTTGCTTATTGAAGACAAATGCGTTCATTTATCAGAAGAAACCGCATTCCTTGCATTAGTTCTTTGACTTATTTGATAGAAACTGACATTATCTATTATCATTTACATGCATACAAAAAGCGTCATCTTAGAAAATAACTCAAATAAGAGGAAAAATGAAAGCCTCCCCCGGGAGAAAATTGGGAAAAGTATATTATGGGGATTTTTAATAAATCTTTATTAGAGCGACAGTCACTGTCGGGCGGGCAAGTCGGATTTGCCAGAACAATAACGGCTTTGAACCAAGCTTACTCTAACAGTCGGCTTGATCATTTTAACACAGTCTGGATCAGGGGAAGAGAGAGAAAGAGAGAGGGTGGAGTTTTTGTGTTTTGAGGTAAGAGAAATATTTTTTTGAATAAAACAAGAAAATAATTTTTTTCCGGACAATAATTGAGAATTTTAAATATTTTGCTTATGAAAAATTAGTAGAAATCTTGCACAAAAATAAACATAAGGACGCCCTTATTAATTCTTATCAACAGAACGCTTAATCAAAGAAAGCTTCGTTTATTTTTGCCGAAAAGTTATTTTTACGAAGATTTTCTTTTTACCTTAAAAGATCATGCATGCTCTCAATCGTAACAAGAAGTGATGTCATTCACGGACAGCCATCCTTAATGATTGAAATGTTTTCAGACTAGAAATTCTCCGCGTCTTCACCTTGCGTCAACTTATTCAAATTAAGGCGAACGTAATTGTTGTTGAGCTTGGAAAGCTCGCGAGAGCGCCCTCGACTCAAAAAGTATATAAACGCGTAAGTATAAAAAGAACTCGAATAAGATTTTAAACATCTTTTAAAGATCGTAAATTAGAAACCGAAGAATGAATTTTCTCGTCCTCTTCTATGTCTTCGTCTCTTCCGCTTCCGCACGAAACCAAATCAGAAGCGCCCGATTCGCGAGTTTTCAACGATACCACGGAAATCAAACTCCTCCTCTTTTCGATGCATCGAAAATTTGCAACGCCCAAGTTTGCTCCAAATGCGAAATTCTCACTTCCAAGAAACCGACCGCGAAAATGATGACTTTTCGCCAACACTGCAATATTATCCTTGATCTTCCATCCTGCTGTTCCCTCAATTTGAGAACTCGATTTTGAAATAAAAAATTTTCTGATTCAGAAAAAAAAATTTTTTCTTCCTTCTTTTTCTTGATTATCAGTGATAACGATCCTTTGAGAGTTGAGAAAATCTAAATCCAATAAAGCAAATTAGACTTGACGTGCATTAATTTTGCAATGACCTCATTTTCTCAGAAATTATGAAAAGTCAAAGCTCATGAAGGGTTGACGTTCTTTCATTAAACTTAGGCTTGGTTCACTTTGAATCAAGCGTAAATAAACTTTTTGACAAGTTCACATTTTAATGAAAAAAATAAATAACATAAATGACCTTTGAAGAAAACGCGCTGAAATTAACAGACATCGTGTTTGAGCGTAATTTATTCAGCATCAGATTTTTTCCGAAAGGAAGTCCGCGGGGAAAATCGTAAGGGAGTCCTCCTGTCTGTAGATGGAACGGAAGGCGTGAACAGAGCTCTGAAAAAGAGGCTGCCTTCGCCGATGATTGTGCGTAAAATTACCTTCTGCAGGTCCAGATCAAAAAGCCGAAAATTGACGATCCTTTGTCGGAGCTTTCATTTCTGGTTCATAATTCAATAGTTTTTTAATTAAATCGGATAGCTCCAGTCCTACGAAGCTCAAAATAATCGCCACTTCCATGATCCACGTTTCTCTCGATTTCTTGTCTTTGTACTCTGGCCATGTTGGGCTCTTTTCCTCGACGGAAAATGAAAGATTACCTGATTCATTCATTTCAAAAGAAAGAAAATTCTTGTTCTAACTTTTTTTTTCTGGTAGGCGCTGTCTGATGATTTTAGAAGGATCCTTCAACTCACAAGAGTAAATCATTTTGTGCCCTCAGGGGTTCAGGACTGTTCTGTTTCAGGGGGATTTTTGATTTTTGGGAATAATCTTTTGAGAGAATTTTTTATTATCTTAAGAAGTATCAACTCAATTCTTAAATCACATTTTTGGACAGTTTCATAGTTGTAATATCGAGAAAATTTCAATAATGATAAAATTTTTCTCATTTTATGGTTTTCCTCAAAATCTTGATTTATGCGAAAAATTGTTTAGAAATGTTTCATGTCCCTGAAAAGGGCTATTTCATCCATTCAGATACACGGGAGTACATTCTTCCTGCCCCGCGGCAGATTCAAGTGCTGCGCTAGAATCGTTCACCCTCTGAAATAGTAACATTTCGGGGAAATAGATTGCTTTTTGACTTCATGACATAATTTCGCGTACAAATTTTTAACAGAGAAATAATGATTATGCTGAGACTTCTGTTTATTCTAGAGCTATGCTCTTCACTGCCACCAATGCGTTGGGATATTTCATGTAAGTTTTTGATGCAAAAAACCATAAAAGCTTTATATCTAATTTTTATAAATAATTTTCAATTAGAAACTGATTCGAGAAAAAAATAATAATATCAATTCTAATAACTACTTGCACCATTGCTTTATACGGTATATGGTATAAATTATACCTTCCTCTTTCTTAGCTTGCGTTGAAAATAAACTCCGAGCAGAAACAAACCAGCGAATCGTCGTTTCTCAATCCTTCCCCAACGCGATCCAGGTCGGCTGGAACTGCGAGTATGAAATCTACGTTTCTGACCCAAACGACCGAATCATCATCGAGTTCCAGCATTTTTCAATGCATCCAAGCTGCGAGGTTCAAAACCTAACCATCACGGATGTCAAAAGTAAACGAGAAGCTGGTCCGTATTGCGGAACAGATTTACCGTTGAAGTTTGTCTCTGACAGCACTGAAATCAGCATCAAAACATTCACCGGCGCAAACAGCGGTGACATCGATACAGAGGGATTCATGTACAACTACTGGAAAGTGCCAAAAGAAGAAGCAATTCAGCCAGTTCCAATTTCCAGCTCAACAAATTCATTTGGCAATGGAGGCATGTTCATGCTCAACCCGGGCCCAGCAGGGGCGAATCCAAGCTATCCTCAAAGCCCATTCAGCAATTCAGTTCCTCCAGCTTTTTCTCCTGGCAATTCTCAAAGTAGTGGGACTTTCCAAGAGCCAAGTAGAGTTATGGCTAATGGAGTACCGATGATTGGGCCATCCGGGCAGCAAGCGACGATTTACTCGAAGAAGGATTCTAGTGAGCCAAGGAACTGTTGATAATTTTGACTCGAAAACGGGAATTCTCATATATGAGTATGAATTATTCTTCAATTTGAAATCATTGAAAATTAATTATTCGAAAGTGAAACCGAAACGACCTACCGAATAGATAATAGCCCTAAATACAATATTCTTTCGATATATGATGCTAAACCCACTATAAAAAAGACGAGCGGCACCGTCTTTTTCGGGCAAAATAAGTTCGACTTTGCTCGATTTTTCTCTCCGAAAATGCGTAGCTACGAGCTTTTATACCAAGAATACCTTAATTTAACAGAAAAAAGATCTCCAGATATCAAATCGAATCTTCCTGGTGGCTCAACTGGCTACATCACTCCCAATTACGAGAAAAACAAGGAAGAGCTTGAGTTGATGAACCTCTGGGAGGAGGGAGAAGAGAGTGGCTGGACTGTGCCGAAAATAATTGGAGTCGCTGCGGGTGGACTTTGCTTGTTGAGCTTGATTGCGGCGGGTTTTCAGATTTATATGACAAAGAAAGAGAGAAAGGTCAAAAGAAGAATTCAGAGAAATAGGTAACCATTAATGCAAATATATTTTTCAGCATTTTTTCTAGTGATTCTAACAGCTCGTTCTCCTCCTTCGATTCTTACGACGAGCATCGCCAACGACGAAAAGAAGAAAAAAGAAAGCGGCGACAGCAAAAAGAAGAGCTTCAACTTCGAAGCCAAAAGGTTATCATTCCTCTTTAATTCTTTTTCGCGTAAGTTTGATATTTAGGTTTCACGGGCGAATAAGGACCTCAAAGCTGTCCAACAATCGAGCTTCGATAAAAATGCATTGCATAATGCAGAGAGAGCGATTCAAATCAAAAAACTTCAAGAAAAATTGGAAAAATATAAGTAAAAATATTTCTGTTTCTTTCTATTATGTAATCGTTGCTTTATCTGTACATACGAATATAATTATAAATAAACAAATGACTCAAATTGGTCTTGACCGGGGACAAATTTATCCAAAATTTTTTCCTTTGCACCAAAGGCTTTGGTTATATGATTTGAACTTACTGTTAATAAGCGATCTTGAATGACAAGGAAATATTTGTTCAAATCAGATTCCAGAAAAATGATTTCACACGTGCTGATATGATATCAATTATTTCTATCTCCAGACGTCCGCTAAAAGTCGTGAAAATAAACTTTCCATGGCCGAGACAAGTATGATAGAGAATATCTACTTCATTTCGAAGCAAGAGAGAGAATGGAAATTTGTCAGGCAAAAATCAAATTTTTACTTTAGAGAACCATTCTTCGACCAGGTCTCACCGTCATGCTTACTTTACCCTCAATTATTTTCATTTATCTTGATATACGTCCGCATAAGTCAAGAGCATTTTTGCTGCCATTTGTTAGCCAGCACTTCTGTCAATTATTACAAAAATTGTCGCATTTAGAGAGATGTCGTCTAAGCATAAGCATTGTTACCTCCCAATTTTTCTTTTGGAATTGATTTGAACATTATTCTGCTTTTTCTTCAAGAGAAATTGACAATTTCAAATCTTTAAAAGATACCCTTCATAGGACTGTATTCTTGGAAAACGAAAGAGATCTCCGACTTCATCATCTCCTCGACAGGGTTTACGCTTGATGAACGAACTTCAAGAAAGAATATTTATATTTCAGCGTCTTTCCGATCTGGTTCTTCGTTTCTTGGCTCTATTTTTGACCAGAATCCTGATTTTCTATATGAAAGGCTTTTCAGAACCCCCCTTACTTTTGATTAAAAAACCCATTATCAGACTCATCTTATTCGGTCTCAAAAGCCATGATAAGTATTTTGAGCCGCTAACGGGAAGTCTTACAGAACGCCGAGAAATTCTCGAAGAAGCCTACAGTTGCCAACTCCCTAGAAATCGCAAGGACAACCCAAGAGATCGTGTTCAATTGTCTCACACTATCGGCCACTGGTACGGATCAGAAACGCTTTGCAGCCCGCCATTTTGTCAAGAAGCAAAGATGTGGTGCCAGAAATGCCCGGACCCATTCAAAACCAAAGTTGGAAAAGAAAAACTTATTCAATTCTGTGGCGAGAAAAAAGGCGTCGCAATAAAAGAATTTCGTCTGCACGGTCCGGAGGATCTTTATCACTTATTGAAGCCAGAGATCAATTTGAAAATCATCCGACTTGTGCGAGATCCAAGAAGCATGTTCTTATCAAGGCGAAAACTAAGCAAAGTATACAAAGCCGAGCAGGCCGTCGACAAAGTATTCGACGATTGCGAAAAGACACTTGATTTCTTCCTTGATTCCAAAATTGCTAAATATGTCATTTTTGTTCGCTATGAAGATATATCAAGATTTCCGGCTGAAGTAACAGCTCAGATTTATAAGAAACTTGATGTCGAAATGAGCAAAGAGTTCTCAACCAACTTTTATGAAGCGACGCATTCAGGAAAAGATTGAATAAATATAAAGTGGTAATGATGATAGGTCTTCAATAATCATCTGTTCACAATCTTATGAGTGAAAAAAACCTCCTTCAGTATCAATAAAGAAAAAACAGAAGCCGAGCTTTTTGACGGATGGAAAAAAGGGCTCGACGCTGGGAAATTTAATGCCACGGAGATTTCACAAATTGAAGCAAGATGCAAAGTTCTGATGAAAATATTCGGCTACAGAAGAGATGGTTTGCTGAGTCAGAATATTTCTTCGGCCGAAAAGAATTGGAGTCCGAGCGATAGAAGAATTGTAACCGTAAATTTTTAGTTCCGCCTTCTTGACTGATCGTTTTAAGTTATAAATGATAAATGAGTAAGTTATTCTGTTTATATAAATTCTCGTAAATAAAAATCATCATTTTCCCTTTCAAAATGACGAATTTCAGATTCTTTCTGGAAAAGGGTTTTTTGGCGAGTGTATAATATGTATAAAATTTGTGTATCAAATACCACAACAGCAAAAACTTTCGTTTGGGATTAAAACACGTATCATTACAGGTAACGTTATCAAAACAGTACTTTTCTTAATATTCGCTCAGGTTGTTCAGACTGGGCAAAAGTATCAACGGGCCAAAGTAATAAATTTTTATTGCGCCTATTTTATGAACGACGTGTTTGGTCGAAAGGTAGGTTATATTCGAACTTTCAGAGATGACGTCTCAACAGATTACTCCAAAATTTTTTTCCTTGGTTTTTCTTTTGGAAAGGATTTGAAAATATTTTTTCGAGCAATCTTGAATAACAAGGCAGTATTTGTTCAAATCAGATTCCGGAAAAATGATTTTTCGGAGTACTGGTCATATCAAAAAAATTATGATAGAGAAAATCGAATTCATATCGAAGCGTAAGAGAGTTCAAGTTGGTCAGGCAAAAATCAAACTTCCAGAGAACCATTCTTGAAAAACGTCGCCCATATTTGACCGTCATGCTTACTTTACCTTAAATTATTTTTTATTCATCCTGGTTTATGTCCGCAGTTCAGAGACAGTTAACTTAGCTATAAAAGCTGCCATTTTTTGCCAACATTTCTGTCGATTAGCATCAAAGATTGTCGCACTTCGAGAAATGACGTCTGAACATTGTTTTCTTTTTATGTTTCTTTTGGAATTGATTTGAACAGTATTGAGACATTTTTTTCAAGAGAAATTTCAAATCTTTGAAAGATACCTTTTATTGGATTGTATTCTTGGAAAACAAAAGAGATCTCTGACTTCATCATCTCTTCGACGGGGTTTATGGTGGATGAGCGAACTTTAAGAAAGAATATTTATATTTCAGCTTCCTTCCGTTCTGGGTCTTCGTTTCTTGGCTCAATTTTTGACCAGAATCCCGATTTTCTTTATGAAAGGCTTTTTATAAATCTCTTTCTTAAATTATCTTACCCCTTCAAAGCCATAATGAAAGTATTTCGAGCCTCTAACCGGAAGTCTAACAGAACGCCGAGAAATCCTCGAGGAAGCCTACAGTTGTCAAGTGCCAAGAAATCGCAAAAACAACCCAAAAGATCGTGTTCAATTTTCTCACACTATTGGCCATTGGCTCGGTTCAGAAACGCTTTGCAGCCCGCCGTTTTGTCAAGAAGCAAAGATGTGGTGCAAAAACTGCTCCGACCCGTTTAAAACCGAAGTAGGAAAAGAAAAACTTATCCGGTTCTGCGGCGAGAAAAAAGGCGTCGCAATAAAAGAATTTCGTCTGGACGGTCCGGAGGATCTTTATCACCTATTGAAGCCAAAAATCAATTTGAAAATCATCCGACTCGTCCGGGATCCAAGAAGCATGCTCTTATCAAGGCGAAAATTAAGGAGTTTTTACAAGGCCGAGCAGACTGTCGAGAAAGTATTCGACGATTGCGAAAAAACACTTGATTTCTTCCTTGATTCCAAAATTGCTCAAAATGTCATTTTTGTTCGCTATGAAGATATATCCAGATTTCCGGCTGAACTGACAGCCCAGATTTATAAGAAGCTTGATGTCGAGATGAGCAAAGAGTTTGTTGAAAAGTTTTATGAAGCAACACATTCAGGAGAGATTGGAAAATTGTTAAGTTGTTATATTTTAAGATCTTGTGTTAACAATCTTATAAGTAAGAAAATCCTTCTTTAGTATCAACAAAGGAAAAACAGAAGCCGAGCTTTTTGACGGCTGGAAAAAAGGGCTCGACGCTGAGAAATTCAATGCCACGGAGATTTCGCAAATTGAAGCAAGATGCAAAGTCCTGATGAAGATATTCGGTTACAGAAAAGATGTTTTGCTGAGTCCGAATATTTCTTCGGCGGAAGAGAATTGGAGTCCGACAGATAGAAGAATTGTAATGTTCAATTTATAGCTCCGCCTTTTTGACTGTTGTTTTGTTGAAATAAATGATAAATAAGCAAATAGTTTTTTTTGTTTTTGCAGATTTTCATTAATAAAAGTCATCATTTTCCCTTTCAAAGTGACGAATTTCAGATTCTTTCTATCTTTTCCAGTAGGAAAGAGTAGGAAAATCACCAAGTCATCATTTCCAAGATAAATTTCCAATGCCGAAACTAGGTAACGAACGTCCATTTACTGCTTGCCAAATATGACCGTCCTCGAAGAACTGCATATATTCCAAAGATCGAGGGATTCTCACGCCAGAAACAAAAAAGTTTTTCGTGATGAAGTCGAACAAAATCTCCGTTGAGATAAATGTCGTCAAACCAGAGGATGTGGCCCCGATTGCAGAGCCACTTCCTCTCCCAGACCCAGTGCCAGTCCCGATTCCGGAGCCAGTGCCAATTCCGGCTCCAGTTCCTCCTCCAACTTTGCCAAATCCCTACCCAGAGCATCAACAACCAGCTTATCCTCAAACACAACCGTATCCTCAGCCACCGCCTCCTCCTCCCCAATATCATCCCGTTGCGCCACCTCAATATCATCCGCAGCCAGTAGCTCTACCTCCAACAGTAATCATCGTTGCTCCACCAGCCGCTCCAGCACCTCCAGTAGAAGAAAAGAAAGAAGAAGAGCCGGAACCAGAACCAGAGGAGCAAGAGATATGCGAAGAGGAAGAGGAGCCAGAAGAGGAAGAAAACGAAGAAGATCTTGAAAAATGTGAAGAAGAAAGCGAGCACGAAATTGAAGCAGTAGGCTTCGACGAGGTATCAAGACGCTCCTTCACCATGAAAGTGCTCATGTCAGTCTTTCTCATGATGACAGTCATGATGGGCTTCACTTTTCTTTTCCTCTTCGACTACAACATTGCCTACAACATCTACTACTACCAAAAATGGATGTACTACTTCTTCATTCCGCTCATGCCAGTCGTTGGTGGAGTAATCTATCTATCAGACACGTTAACCAAACAACGTCCCTGTAATATCATCACATTACTTACCTGGACAACAATTATGTCACTTGCTTATGCGGTCGCTGCGAATCTTTGGGCACTTGGTGGCTATATAAAAGTAAACGGAAAGAAAGTCTATTGCCACAAGGAGATCAGAAAGCAAGAGAGTATGTGATGAAATAAAGAGGCTTTTAATTGAATTTAAATAATTAAGAGTACGCGTGTTGGGGACAGCCCCTTGGTTCATGCACCCTTGCTGACAGATGCGTTGGTCGAGCCGCCGGAAGTATGCTCGTTGCTATTTTAATCATTTTGGTGGTCATTGGTATCGGATTGCTTCTCACACTCTGCAAGAGAGGTAAAAATGAGTTATCTTCACTCTCTTTAATAAATTCTTAAAGACCCACTGAAGGCACAAAAACGAGTAGCGATAATCTTCTGCATCCTGCTCTTTCCTTGCACTTTTATCGGAATGTGGATCATGCCCCTGGAGTGGTACTGCTGTTTCCTCTGGTAGGCTGAAAAACCACAACAATCCGCAATTGACTTTTTATAGTGCTTTCATCGTTTTTACAATCGTTATTCTCCTATGGAAGACGCTTAATGATATCGTAAACGATGGAGAAGAATCATGGCATCCCGACGAATGGGTCCGAGCTAGTCTAGTACTATTCACTCAAATTGGAGAGCTCTTCTTAAAACTGATAGAATGCATAAAATGCATTCGAGCAGCGAAAGACCTTGCGGATTAAATTATTAAATAAAAAATCACAAAATTAATTTTCATTTGTATTTTTATTAATTCTGTTAGGTGAAACGATTATTTATGATTTTGCATAATTATCGGAGAAATCGAGCATTTCTGACGACTTAAACTTCGTCTTCGAATCTGCAGAGAAAGTAGCGGGGTCTTCTACAGTTGTTGTCGTTCATCTTGTAGGTTCCCATGCCTCTTTTATTGCGGCCCCAAGAAGAAATTTCAACGCAATTCTCCCCCTTTGGCCATTTATTTCTTTGCTTTTTGGTCCCCCAAGGTGCATCGGGGTCTTTCGGAGGTGCGAAGGTTGGGTTAATATGCGTTCCTCCGTTGTAGTTTGCATTATTTGGCTCGCCCGAATGCCAATCGAAGAATAAATTCTCCGTTTGGCCGTTTGGAGCTACGAACGTATCAGTTCCAGGAACTCGCTCGTAGCCAAGCCAAACTCGTCTGTTCCACTTTGGACTGTCCTCGTAGTAGGCTTCCAGGTATTGCTCGTATTCGGCTTCGTTGTTGAAATAGGGCAGTGTGCCACCACGCTCCTCGCATCTTGCCTTAGCGTCGAGCTGATTGTAACCTTGTCCCCCGAATTCAAATCTCACAGCAAGTGCAGCCGTCAAAATAGGACAGGCCCTAGGCTCAATTAATGAAGAAAAAAATATATCTTTCAAAATTACCTGAAAATTTTCATTATTTGAAATCAGTCTCTTGGTTCTCTTGTTGAAATTAAAATGCGGGCAGAGGAAAAAGAGTTCTTTATAAAGAGTTCCTTCTAAAGCAAAAAGGCGCCATCTAGTTATTTTTATGAATTAATCGTCGTTTTGGATTACAAATTATCTCTCGTAACAAGTTTTTGTTGCGGAAGCATGATAGAAAGCCAGTCATGTAAGCAGCTTTTTCTAAAACAAAAAAAGCAATCCAGAGTATTTTCACCATGCAATTGTTGTTTGTAAAAAATACTCATTTCAATGTTAGAAAAGAGGTAAAAGTGATCTTCTAAATTCTTAGCCAGCTTAAAGCTGATGTAAATTACCTTAGGTATTTAGTAAATAAGTTATTTAAAATAACTTCATTTTCCGCTGATTTCTGCCTTCGTGAACAAGATCTAAATACAAGAACAGCAAGACGCCTCTTTATAAAGCAAGAGGTTCCAAATTGTAGGTTGATGTTCGTGCGAAAAGCCTTTTAGAACGACCGAAGTAAGTACCTTACTCTCGAATTTCTCCCTAAAATGAAGAGAGAACACTCAAAATTCAACATGTTTTGCGGAATGAGATGCAAATTATCAGTTTTTTTACAGAAGAGACGAAATTTTTTCTTGATTCAAGAAACGCGATATTTATTAAAGAAAGTAAGAAATAATTATTTAGAAGTGTGCTGAAGTCGAATCTTGTTGAGATTATTCTCAGCAATCTCGGCTCGCTCTCGAGCTTCATCAACCTCGTGCTGGATCTTTCGGTATCGTCCGAGGTTGATCGAGGCATTTTCTTCGGCTTCTTCGGCTTGGACCTTGTAGTTCTTGGACTTAGCAGTGAGCTTGTCGACGAGATCCTGGAGTCGGTTGACGGACTTTTTGTCTTCTTCAGCTTGGTAAATTACTTCTTTGAGTCGTCGGTCGATCTTGCGCTGGGCTTTGATAACCTCGGCGTTTTTCTAGAAAAGATTGAAAATACATTTATTCGTTTCATTTTGACACTTACCTTTGTTTCGGTTTCAAGCTCCGACTCAAGTTCGGAGACCTTGCTTTCCATCTTCTTGACCAGTCGTTTTCCGCCCTTGAAAATCAGATCAGAATCGGATGATTTATAAATCTCACCTTGAGCATAACCTGCTCAGCTTCATCAAGTCGGTGCTGCAGCTCCTTGACTTGTGTTTCCATGTTCTTTTTCATTCGATGGAGATGGTTGACCTGATCTTGTTCTTTTCGGAGTTCTTCGGCCATGATAGCTGCCTCGGTTAGCGCCTGCTTCGCCTTATCCTCAGTTTCGATTGCAGCGGTCATAGTTTCCTCAGCCTCAGTTCGCAAGACGTCAAGACTCTGCTCGACCTTCTTTTTCTGGTTGATAAGGGCGGTGTTTTGAACGTGAAGCATGGAAGCTCGCTCGCTGGTCTCAAGAAGTTCAGACTCCGCTTGTTTTCGAGTTCGCTCAGCTTGCTCAACCACGGCTCTCAACTCGTCGATCTCGGCAGATTGAAGCTGGATGCGCCGCTCGCTGACGGCCAAGTTTTCAGTCAGATCTTCTTGCGCTCGGGAGACATCATCAAGCTTGTTGAGTTTTTCTTTGAGGTCTTGCTGGAGTGTTTTGATGTTTCGATGAGCCTCGTCGGCTTGTCGCGCGGCATTTTTCTGCTGAATTTCCAGATCGGAGTAGTCAGTTTCCATTTTCTTTCGCTGGCGAACGGCTTCGCCTCGAGCTTTGATCTCAGAATCAAGCTGCGCCTGAAGAGTTTCGATGGTTCTTTGACCATTGCGGCGTACATTGTCAGCTTCTTCGTCTTTTTCGGCACATTTTCGATCGAGTTCTTGTTTGCGCTGGTTGAGTTCTACTTGCAGCCGGATAACTTTGTTTTCTTCCGCTTCAATTTGAGCCTCGCACTCTTCAATTTGAGTCTGGAGAGTTGTTCGACGAGAGTCGCTGGCTCGTTTGGACTTTTCAAGCTCGTGAATGACCTTTTGAGCTTCGTGGAGTTGATCTTGAGCGTCGGCGACTTCTTCCTCGAGAATCTTTTTCTCTCGTCGAGCAGATTCAAGTTGATCAAGTGCCTCGTCGGTGGCGTTCTTCAGCGTGAATAATTCACCGTCGTTTTCTCGCAGTTCTTTTTGCGCAGCAGCTAGGTCCACAGTAAGCTCTTCAATCTTGCACTTGTGTTCGGCGAGAAGTTTATCAAAGTTACGTTGCTTTTTGTCCAAATTAGCCGCGTGCGCCTGAGCTCGCTCTAATTCAGCAGTCAGGTCTTCTACCTCTCCCAAAAGTCGGATCTTTGTCTTTTCGAGAGAAGCGGCCTTCGCCTGGATCGTTTCCAAATGTTCCTCAGAAGTTTGAACCTTTCCAACGAGTTTTTTCTTCGCCTCTTCCAGTTCTTCCGTTCGCTGAATCGCGTCAACCTCGTACTTGTTTCGCCAGACATTGACTTCGTTGTTGGATTTTCCAAGAGTTCGGCCAACTTCAGATTTTCCTTCTTGCTCGTCTTCGATCTGTTCTCGGAGCATGTCATTATCTCTCTTCTGGTTGGCAAGCTCTTGGGCAAGAGCGGCCTTCGCCTTTTGCTCTTCGTCCAAATTTCGCTTGAGATCATCAAGTTGCTGTTGGCTGTTAGACTTGGATCGGAGAATCTGGCTGTTGTTCGCGTCGAGTTCTTCAATTCGCCGCTTCAAATCAGCAACCTCCTTGTCTCGCTTGGTTTTCTCAATGGCGAGTTCGGACAAGATTCGCTTGTTGGCTTCGTACTTTGTACCGACGTCACTCTTGTTTTCCTCGTAGGATCGAATCTGCCTCTCAAAGTTTAACTTGGACTTGGTCAACTGCTCGACATTGCTTTGCATGTCATCAATTTCCGTTCGCATTTCAGACTTTTCCTTTTCAAGCTTTTGTTTTGTTCGGACAAGACCCTCGGCAGTTTCATTGAGTGATACGCTCTGATCGCCCTGTTTCTTTCGCAGCAGATTCATCGCCGTTTCGTGGCCCAGGTTTTGCTCTTCAATGGCTCTTCGGGCCTTGATGACTTCTGCGTCGCGGCGCTTGTTGAGCTCCGCTTGTGCTTGAGTCGCTCCGCCAGCTTCTTCGAGTCTTTCAGAAAGCTCCTCAAGTTCGCGAGACAGATCGTTCTTGGTTTTCTCAGAGCGTGCTCGCCCATTTCGCTCGGATTCTAGCTCTTCTTCGATTTCCTCAACGCGCCCTTGGAGCTCTTTGATTTTCTTCTGCAAGCTTGATGAGTTGTTTTGCTCGTCTTCGAATTTCATGTTGTTCTGGCTGATGTCGAATTCGGCCTTTTTGAGCGCTTCCTCGTGACCTTGCTTGTCGGTTTCTAGATCCATGATGTTTTCTTGAGCCAATCGAATGTCACCTTCGAGCTTTCTCTTTGCTCGCTCCATGTCTTGACGCGTCTTCTTCTCGTTATCGAGTGTGATTTCTAGATCGTCGACTTGGGCCTCGAGCTTCGCTTTCATTCTCGTCATAGAAGTGACTTTCTCTTCCTCAACTTGCAAGTCTGCCAAGGCTGCCTTTGCCGCTTCTGAAATACCCTTGATCTCTTTTTGATAACCGAGAATTTTTTCATCAAGAAGTTGCTGTTCTTCCTGGAGATTTTTCAGTTTATTCTCGGTCGCATGTTTTTCTTTCTCGATCTTTGCCAGGGCGACTTCGATTTCATCAATGTCTTTTTTCAACTCGGAAGTCTCATCTTCGAGTTTTCGCTTTTTCGCGACCATTTCATTGTTCATTTCTTCTTCATCCTCAAGTCGCTCCTGCAGTTCCCGAAGACGGCCATCGATCTCAATCTTTTGCTCGATTAGCGCTTCGCATCGCTCTTCGGCTTCGTTCAAAAGTTCATTTTGCCCCTTGAGTCGATCTTCCAGGTCATTTTTCTCTTGGCGAACTTTGATTTCAAGTTCTTCGAGCTCGACTCGTCGCTTCTTTTCTTTTTCGAGCTTTGCCTTGACCTCGTCGAATTCTTTTTCGAGGTTTTGGAGGGCTTTTTGATCCTCGGCCTGAGAAATGAGTGGTTTGATCTTGAAGATGATCTTCATCCACTCCCAGTCTTTGAGATACATGAACGCGCGAATGTTCGACTGGATTGTATCCAACGCATCGCGTCGTTCCACCATTTTCTGGTAGGTCTTGAGCGCCAGTCTGTATCGCATCTCGGTTTGAATCGATGTAAGGATGGCAGCAACTCGATCGTCTCGCAAGTCTTCCAACTGACCGATGATACCAGCTTTGAAGAAGAGTTTGGTGTGGCCGAACTTGTAGTTGTCGACGGAAATCGGTAAGTCTTTCATCAGCTTTGAAGAAATTTTCTTGGAATCAAGCTCATCCTCAGTAACCACGCTTGGGTTGAGAATCTTGTATCGCTGAAGAAACTCATTGTAGACAACTCGCGAAGGAAAGCCCTTTCGACAGATTCGAATGCCTTCCAACACACCGTTACATCGCAGCTGATGGAGGACCAAGTTGTTATCCATGTAGCCAGGCTTTTTGATCTCGTTCGGGATGATGCAGCGTACAAAGTGAGGCTCAGTCGATTTCAAATTTGTAATCAGCCGGTTGAGAGATTCTCGATGAAGAGCAGAAACAGTCTGGAACGAACCACCTTTCTGCCGTTTTCCACCTTTTCCGGCTTTTTTCTGGTCCATGGCATCTTCAGCAGACATGTAAGTTGACCAAATTTCGTGCATCACCTTCTGGCTTGACTTTTTCAGCAACGCAACGACAGAGTTGTTAAGGGGATCCTTGTTTTTAGTGAGCCAGTCAATAACGTTGTAGCCGACGATTCCAGCGTAGTGCTTTAGTTCGAAATGAGCCTCAAAGACTCGCTTGACTCCAGGTCGAGGTTTCATGAAGTTGGGATTTTTGCCGAGATGAGTTTGGTAGAGTTTGTCCTTGTAAGTCATATCGGTAGCTTTGGGAAACATGCATTCTTCCTCCAAGATGGACATGATACCGAGAGGCTTTTCAATCAAGTCGATGCAAGCTTGAAGATCCATTCCGAAATCGATGAAGACCCAGTCGATTCCTTCTCGCTTGTACTCTTCCTGTTCGAGAATGAACATGTGGTGGTTGAAAAACTGCTGGAGCCGCTCGTTTGTGTAATTGATGCAAAGCTGTTCGAAGGTGTTTTTGTCAAAAATTTCGAATCCGGCAATGTCGAGAATACCGATGAAGAAGTTTCGAGGGAGATTCGTAGCAAGAGCTCGGTTGACGACGCCGACAAGCCAGTTGAAGAGCTTCTCGAAGATAGCTTTGCAGAGAGCACCGAGTCCATAGTAGACTTGGTCAACAGTTTGACCCTTGGTTACGTACTCCGAGCCGACTTTGACTCTCGGGCTGCAAAAAGCTTTGAGGTACTCGTTGGAATTGATGCCCATCAAGTAGCAAGCCTTGTCAGCGTGCTCAGTTCCATCAGGCTCAGCTTGTTCTTCTCGCGGTTTTTGCTTGAAGAGCATGTTTCCAGAGTGCATGATAGAGCCAGTGATCATGTAGATCGCATTTTTTTCTTCTTGAGTGAAGCCGAGAATATCAAATGATTCATCGGTAGCGTTGAGTTCTTCTGAATCGTTGATGGATTTGACCTTGACTTCACCTTGAGAGCAGTATTTGTACTCTGTCGGATCGTTGGAGACAACAAGAAGCTCGTTGATTTCAGGTTTGCCGCCGGAACAGATTTGGTAGAAGATGTGGAAATCTCGTTCAGCCTTCATCTGGAAAATGACTCGTGATTTTTCGAGCAAATATGTGTCAATATCTCCAGAAGCGAGTTTTCCAGTAAGGCCGAAGTGAATTCGAATAAATTTACCAAAACGGGATGAGTTGTCATTTCGCGTGGTTTTCGCGTTACCGAAGGCTTCCATCGCAGGATTGGCGGCGACGATCTGATCTTCTAGAGTTCCCTTCTTTCCGGAATCAGAAGGTGCGTCTTTGTCAGCGCCAAGGGCGGCGACGATCGCGAAGTACTGGATGACTCGTTTGGTGTTGACGGTTTTGCCGGCTCCAGACTCGCCTGTGATGAGCATCGATTGGTTGTGGCGATTCATGATCATGTTGTTGTAAGCGTTGTCGGAGACAGAGAAGACATGAGGGGGCATCTCATCTCGTCGCTTGCCCTTGTAGCAGCCGACCACATGATTGTCGTAGACGGGAAGCCATTTGTACGGATTGACGGTGACACAGAACAAACCTAGGTCAAATCGTTAATTTACAGAGCGAGATGAAAGTTTTACCTGAGTAGGTGTAAATCATGAATCTCTCATATCGAGTGTTCAGGTTGTTGATGACAGTAGCCTCGGAGAGATAAGTCATGTTAGCCATATCTTCGAGGAGCTCATACTTTGGCGGATTTTGCGGCTCGACTTGCTCTTCAGGAAAGTCCTTCACCTTGTTTTCCTTTCCATACTGCACCTTTTTCGTTCCGGGTTTATCACCAGGGCCTTGGACGACACCTTTGACATATCCAAGCTCTTTGTTAGGAACCCAGACGGCATCTCGGCCGATAAAAGGAGCATTACGGATCTCGAGAAGTTCCTCGGGCTTGAGTCGGAGGTACTGGGCGGCGTTTCCCGCAGCCTCGGGATCGTATAACGCCATTTTTGCAGGCTAGATAAAAAAAGATTCTATCTCTCCAAGGACTGGGGAAAAGAGGAAACAGCATCCTCTTTTATTCCGAGGAGAGATTAGTACCCCCGAACAGCTGGCTCGGCCCAGAACAGGTTGTAAGGAACTCGCAAAGGATGCGGCGCGGGAGTTGTTAAAAATTGACACTTGCTGGAAAAAATAGTCACCAACACGGTTGAGGAAGTCCAGTCAGTGGAAACATAAAACCCAACACGCATGGTACAAGAGATGTTTTACAAAAAGAACAAGATCTTTATTACATCCGAATATACAGAGGACAGAAATGCTTTTGCGATAAGGATAAATCATCGCGATTGAGCATTATTTTTCAGCATGATTCGTCTTTATCGACAACGACTCCGGAATAGCCATTTGAAGCTGGGCAGCACTTCTTCTTATTGAGTCCGATCCAATGGCTAAAATTGCGATTAAAAATATTCCGAGAAGGAAAAAGTTACTATTCTCGATCGTAACCACCGCAGCACTCATGTTCGACTGGGATACCACCGTTGGAGGGGCAGTTGTCAGGATCTCGGTTGTCAAATCCGCCCCAGAAGAAGTGGTATTCATCGCTGAAGATATCCTTCTCGGCAAAGGTATCCTTGGCAAATTGAAGATCGCATTGGAAGAGTTCACGCTCGCAGGAACCCTCAGTATTCACAGATTCGAACGCACCACGCTTTCCAGAATACTTCCAGGTGTATTTCGTGAATTCTCCGATGCAGGTATCGCCGTGCTTTTCCCGGACGCACTTTTGGCAGTCTTTGTAGGCTTTGCACTTGTTGTCAAGAGCATCCTGGGAAGAGAAAATAAGGAAACAATTAACATCTCAAAATTTACCTTTGGTGCTCCAGTGCCCATTTCGCTGAGTGGTCGGTCGCCAAGAAGGTAGCAGTGGCAACCGTAGGCCCAGTATTTTCGCTCGTCGAACTTGTATTTGCCTTTCAGTCCGTTGACGCCCCAGATTTTCTTCGCGATTGCCTTCAAATCAGCATATCTTCGCTCACCAGAGACGCTTCGATCCACCTCAGTCGGATTTCGAGATCGAGCAAGAGCAGAGCATGGGACTTCCTCACCATTTGAGTAGCAAGTGTCGTCTTTGATCTCTTCAGCGACAGCGAGGGCAGCGAGGTAAGCGAAAAGCTTCATTTCTCGTCTTTTTGTTTTAGGCTTGGACTTCTTATCGAAGTTTGATGGAGCACTAATTGAGCGATGGAGATTTTATGGAGAGTTCTAGAATTGTTTGAGGGCGCGCGAGAGGGGATTTTACCGCGCTGGTGCGATTGTTTGATAAGAGGATTTCGAAAAATCGCTTGTTTTTCGTCAAGATTATGATTTTTTGAGGAGACTTTTTTCTTGAAAGCAGAAGAAAGACAAAGTATTATAAAAAGATGAGTTTATTTTTCAAATTTACACAAATGAACATTCATTTGAACAAAGAGAATACAGTTATTCTTCGGGTCTTAGCACTCTTCAGTAAGATCCGTCACAACACCGCTATTTCCATCAGAAGCCGGACAGCATTTCTTCTTGTTGAGTCCGATCCAGTGGCTAAAATTGCTAGAACATGAAGGGAGGGAAAATGACTCACTATTCTCGATCATAACCGCCGCAGCACTGGTGCTCGACTGGAATGCCTCCGTTGGAGGGGCAGTTGTCGGGGTCTCGGTTGTCGAAGCCGCCCCAGAAGAAGTGGTTGTCCTCGCTGAAGACGTTCATCGCGGTGAAGGTGTCTTGGGCGAATTTGAGATCGCACTGGAAGAGCTCTCGCTCGCAGGAACCCTCGTTGTTGATGCCCTCAAATCGGCCTCGTTTTGAAGCATACTTCCAGGTGTACTTGACGAATTCACCGATGCACTGGTCACCGTGCTTGTCTCGGACGCACTTTTGGCAATCTTTGTAGGCTTTGCACTTGTTGTCGAGCTCGTCCTGAAAGCTTATGTTGAAAATAGGGTCTACTATCGTTTTCTCACCTTGGGAGCTCCAGTGCCCATTTCAGAGAGGGGTCGATCACCGAGAAGGTAGCAATGGCAGCCGTAAGCCCAGTACTTTCTCTCATCGAATTTGTTCTTTCCAGCGAGTCCGTTGAGTTTCCACACTTTGTCCGCGATCGCCTTCAAATCAGTATATCTTCGTTCAGAACTCTCTTCGGTCGAAACAGCGATGCTTCGACCCCCGGTTCTGGCGAGATTGCTGCAGGAGACCTCCTCACCGTTTGAGTAGCAGGTGTCGTCTTCTATCTCGGCGAGAGTGGCGGCGGCGAAAAAGGCAAAAAGCTTCATTTTTTGGACTCTTGGAAAGTGCTGTTGACTTTGACTTCTTATCGAAGTTTGATGCGGAAATGAAAATGAAGCTGGATTATAAAGGGCGGTGGTGGCGCGCCACGATTAATTTTATTCATCAACCAAAATAATATCCAAACGACCAGGATGCTCAAAACGCGCTTGCAATGTCTGAATGCTAAACATAGCTAAATGAACTTCATTGAAGTACTTGTTAAGAAATGTCTATTCATCTTTCTTGCTGCAATGAATCCCATGCGACAATTTTTTGATCGAGATTTGTTTTTATTTCATTGATAATGGTTTCAAATAAAAGAAGGCGACAAGCTTTTTAGCTGCTCATATTCTGATCTCTTTGATCCCATTTCAAGGATCAGGATCAGTCTTCTCAGGACATACTCGTTGATGTCTTTCTCTAAAATCTAAAGAATTGAATGTCAAATCTCTACGTTAGACAAAGTCTCTAAAACTCACCTTATATTTGCTTCGCTCGGACTTTCAAAAGTCGAAGACTGATGAAATGATTCAATTAGGCCTCACAATAATGTCTTTTCTAGAGATTTTTTCAAAATTTTTGAACAACTTGGAAATACCCTTCTCTTGTCTAGAAAACTTTTTACGTTTTTCAGTGAAGTGAGTTCATCACGTGATCGATGGTAAATAGGATGTTTGGAATATCATAGTCCAGAAAATCCTCGAAATTTCATCGAAAGATGATCTTGAGCAAGTTCATTGGGATTTTCAAGTGATGGCAGAGTTGCAAATTTTGTGAGCTAGCTGAGCTGAGCTATCTGAGCTAGCTGAGCTACAGCTCAGCTCAGCTCAGCTCAGCAATTTTGAGGTGAGGGTCAGCTCAGCTCAGCTCAGCTCAATTTGACCTCAGCTCAGCTAGCTCAGCTCAATGGTTCTTCGAAGAGAGCCAGCTCAGCTCAGCTAGCTCAATTTTAATCTCAGCTCAGCTAGCTCAGCTCAGCTCAGTCTATTGAGCTGACAAAGATCGAACCACTTTTGATTGGTCTTTATTTCAAAAACTTCGACGTATTTTCTATTCATGCTTTCCTGTTGGTCAATTTTAGATAGAAATAATTTGAGTTTTCTTTGAAACAAGAGAGAAATTAAATAAAAAAGGGCTTCCAATAAAAAATAATAAAGTACAGATGGTAAATATGTGATTGCGAATGTGAGAGACTGGTCTAGGGGTGTGCGAGGGCAGGGGCTCCCTGTCCATCTACGCTAGAAGGTTGAAACATTGGCTCATCCACATAAATGATACCACTGTATAATATTTTGGAGGATTCCTTATTGTTAAATGACAGAATAAATTTTTTTATGTCAAAAAAGTGCTATGTTGCGAGTGAGATGCTGGTCAAGGGGTGTGTGAGGGCAGGGGCTCCTTGTCCATCTACTCAAGAAGGTTGAAATTCGCTTCAACGCATTTTTTTGCCATTTTTTATAGTAAATAAAAATCAGCTTTCTCAGCTCAGCTCAGCTCAGCTCAGCTAGCTCAGCTAGCTCAGCATAAAAATTATGGTCAGCTCAGCTCAGCTAGCTCAGTTTGAGAGATCGTCAGCTCAGCTCAGCTCAGCTCAAAAATTTTCAAATATGCCCCAGCTCAGCTCAGCTCAGCTCAATTTTTTTGAAAAAAACCAGCTCAGCTCAGCTCAGCTCAGTTGTTTTTTATAAGGAGCCAGCTCAGCTCAGCTCAGCTCAATTTCGACCTCAGCTCAGCTAGCTCAGCTCAGAAAAAAATTTCAAAAATTTGCAACTCTGAGTGATGGAGCCTGTTTTGACCATCCAAATCGAGATGCATTTTACTAATTTCTGCTTGTTCTTATGTTTACTTTTTTGATTATCTTACGATCAACAGCTACATCCGATTTTACGTGTCCGATTTGCAAAGCTGCTTTCTGGGCGATTAGAAAAAAGCGCGCGAAATAGAACCCAGCAAGCTATTTGGTGCGTACACAAATACTGCCCACGTCAGTCCCTACTTTATCGGATTATGTTATCAATCGTACCAGTGTTGGAAATGTTTTGGAACCGGCTCGCGACAAGAATTTGAAAATATCATTACGTGAGCAGAATTGAACGGTTAACTTGTACATTGACGAGTTGTTTAAAACATTCTGCGTGTAAATCCATGCTTGTGAGTTTTAATTAATCATAATTCAAACTACTAGAGCTTTGTTCGGGAAGACATGCCAAACGCGGTAGCAAATGAAATAAGTGCATTCAAACTATTCTTTCCAAGGAGATTTTATTCCCATGAACATTTAAAAGAATAATCAATATGCAGTGTAATGGAGCTTGTTATACCATTCAAAAACGCCCAAACATGGAAAATCTATTGTGGAAACTGCTTCATTTTAAAAATAAGTAAGGTGCAAACTACTATCAGCAGAAATATATTGAGTGTAAAGAAACATTTCAAGATATTCTGTTTCAAATTCAATAAACTCCGCTTATATGGGCCTAAAAAAGCTGAAAATCAGCTGTGAAATTCAAGTCAGCTGGCCTTAGTTCGATTACTGAAAGACTATCCATATGGCCTAAAATTTTTTTATCTATCGAAATCTCTCTTATGATAAGGGCCATGTGATATGGCCCATATCGAATTTCCAAGTAATATTTCCAAAGTAATATTTTGTTTAAAATTTCCATTAGATATTCTTTTTCAAATTCGTGCCGATGAGAGCTTTTCATGAAAATGGAAAAAGTTCCAGTTCTCGAAAATCAATACCCGAGTATCCGGTCTCTCCGGACGCTCTCCGATATTAGTTTTTATCCTTATTTTAATAAAAAGATGGCAGAATTATTTTTGAGAGAAATTACACTCTTCCTTCACATATTCATCTACATTTGGTCTGTCAGCTTATGCGTCAAAAGGTATCAAAGGACAAGAAGTGTCTTTTTTAATGATGATTATTTTTTCTAAGCTGGAGTATTTTGCATAAAGAGAGACAGAAAATCGTCAGCTTTCTTCGAATTTTCGATGTCCAGTTTCAATTCGTTTGCGCAGTGGTTTTCTACTATACCAGTTATCATTTTCAAATTTACGAAGTCGAAAACCCAAAAACAACTGGAAACACAATCCTCTGGCTTTCAATGGTTCATCTTTTGGTTCGAGTTCTGTTCTTGTACCAACACTGTGTCGATCCAAAGCACAGTCTGATAGAGATGATTACTTTGATCTTCGACTGTATTATCAAATTGACGATCATCAGTTATTATGGAATGGAGACGACGATTTTGGGTAATAATCCGGAAGAGAGATTTTTCTTTTTGAGGCTCATCGTTATTGGTAAAAAATGAAAAATCAATAACTTGCTGAATTTTCATTTTAGTAATATCTACTGGCTACATTAGCTCATCCCTTTGTGTTACTCTTCAAGTTCGAGAAGATGTTCGAGCAATGATGAAAACTGCGGAGAAAATAAGGTGCTACACGATTACGACAAAGTTCTTGAGCATCATCATTCTCTCAGGAAGAGATTTGAACATTTGAAACCCCTCATAACTTTCGGCCCAAATGTTTAATCTCAAAAGTCATTTTATCGAACAACTATACTTCTTCATCATCGAGGGACTATTTCTCTAACTGCATCTCGAAGTCGACAGAAAAAGACGAGAATGCTCATGATTTTGTCTATTGCAATAGGAAGGAAACAATTTTCGTTGCTGCGTATTCTACCATCATCGTAAGTCCTGTCGCCATTTTCAAATCTAAAAATATTTTAGATGATCGTTCTTCTTTTCTTTTCCTGTTCAATTTGGCTGCTTTTCAAACACCACACACCCTTAAAACGGTAGAACTCCAGTCCATGTTGATTACACTCTTTCGACTCTAGAATTTCGCACATACAGAGAACCGCTTCTCAAGTCTCCTCTGCTTCCGAAATGCAAAAAGTCATTCGAACTCGAAACGTTCAGTTCAGGTATTATTAAAATTGACGCGGAAGAATCTAACTCAATTTCAAGCAACGCGCGGATTAAAGTCTCCCTTGACCTGGCTACAGTACAAGAGATGGAGGGGGAAGAAGGGTGTAAAGATCAATTATTGATAAAGACAGCTAACGCTTTCTTAATTAATTTAAATGCCTACCGATTCTACTAGTTTATAAATACATTCTTGATCTAAAGAAGAAAGCAACATAGAAATTGAAATTTCATCCGTGGCGAGAATAACAACAAGCATAGCAAGTTCACACAAGGTATTTTGATATAGTAGGAGGTTATCAATGATAACTTATCATTCAAGCTGTCCCTAACCCTAAATCTAAGCCTAACCCTCACGCAGGGGCTACACCCCGCCCCCTATGACCTAAACGAGGGGCTTCGCCCCCGGAGTCCCTCGTCAAGAGTTCCCAAACCCTAACCTTAACCACTAGCGAGTAAGCTTTTCCTTTCACGAAATCGCTATCTATGTTTCAGTCAACTTCAAACGACTCTTGCTACAAATCCGAGCAAGAATCCTTCCATCTTTCTCCATTTTCCGACGACTCCAGCCAATAATAAATCGATCCTTTGAAAAAACTTTGACCTCGACTCTTATTGATAATGACAAAGCCAAGTGGGCTTTTAACTGAATCGATAGGCGAGAGAAATTGATGGGCTGAAAGACGTCTAAGATCATTGCACCTCCATTTAGTGAGCATGTCAGTTATAACTGAATCGATAAATCACACTGACGAGGCGTCATGAAAAACATTAGACGAGCACGTAAATCGGTAAACACCAATTGTCAGAATTTCGAATGTGCTTTTGAGATCTCGCAAAAGATGAAAGTACTACATGATGCTGAAGTCAGAGAGCTTGAAAAACGAGATATCAGTAAGTAGGACAATTTTCTTCTTTTTTCAAAGGACAAAAAATTGAATAGAAACTCAAGTTGCTCCTCTTGACGTATTTTTCAGTAAATCCAATCCTCTTATAGCTACATCATAATTCGCTCAGCAGAATATGCATCCCATTGATTTTACATCAGCAGCCATTTGTGTTCTGACTATTTTTCGACAGTTTATTCATTTTTACTGGCGTTATTAATTAATTAATCAAACAAATCATTAGGCTGTTTATGAAACTTTTTAATGAGAAAAAAGAGTGCAACTCGATTTGTATCAGTAAGACTTTTCCTTCAAAAATAGAGATGTTTTTCAGTGGAGCAAAACCGAATCGGACATTTGTCGGCGGCGACGATTTGGGTAATTGTGGGAGGAACGGTGGTTGTTTTCTTTGGAGTCGTGGTTTGGGCCTTCTTTTTGGCGAATATGAAGCTTTGGCATAGAAGATGGATAAGTAAGCATTTTTTTTGTTTGAAAAAAGTTCAAATTTTAAGACCATCGAATACTCCTACAAAACAAAGCCGCGAAGAGAAGACATGCTCGAAAGCAAAAAGAGGTTATTCTTGCTTTCCAGAATAACGACAAGCTAGAGTGAGTTTGTCTCAAAGATTGTTTAGCTGACTGAATTTCTAGAGACAGTTCCTCGAGCGATCGTCGAATAACCCTTCCTAAGACTCCCCGAATGTCGCCGAAATCAGAGTTTTCTGACCGAAGCGTAAGTCAAAATTTGAAGTTCATTTGGCTGTCATCAATATCGGAAAACTGATTATTGTTTACGTCTGACTTACTACTCATGGAACGAAGTGTTAATGGAATGATGAATATTCAATAATCTACGCCTATTAAGGTCGATATGATGCTGAAGGAGAGTGAGCTCCACCGCGCTGTATAAATATCCATCCATGTGCATCATTTCTGAATAAATCTGTCAAAACTTTATAAGATATACATAAGACCGTCGTTCCAATTTGCTCACTTGATTGAACATGCTCTAAAAGTCAAAATGCAGAAGCTACTATTTTGTTTTATTTTTTGCATTCCAGTAGCAAGAGGGAGGATTCTAGAGCCGAATCAAGAAGCTCATCAAATCAAGTCACGTGTACCAAGTCTTTTTATGCGACGATCTCCGGAAGATCCCTTCGCTGCGCTGCAAAAATACGCGGACATATCTAAAGAAGGGGTATCTTTATTCTAGATTCAGCGAAAAATTCGGTGTGAACAATCAAAATTTAGGAGGCGCATAAGAATGAAGGACCATTGTTACATTTGACGCATGAAATTGATATCAACGATTTGCTCAATTACTCCTTGAAAAACGCATATTCACAGGTTCGTAAAAAATCAAGATAAACCTCATTATGATCATAAGATTCCACTTTTTGGGCCGCCACATAAGCAAATTTCGGAGCTAAAGAAAACGAAGACCAATCCTGATGTTGACTTCAGAAATACCGAAAATGTTCTTCTTCAGGTAAGTCTTCGCTAGAAACTCGATAAAGATCGATGTTTAGTGGTTCAAAGATGCAGCGAAAAAAGAAGCGAAGCAAATTGAAACAAATTCAAAAGAAGAAATGCAGCTGTTTGAAGATATGAGACAGTATTTGTCGGAGTTACAATCAGAAATTTCTCCACTTGTCAATCAAATCCGAATTTACGACTGAATAAATGTTTTGTGTCTGTTTTTTTTCTTTCTTTAAAAAGGCTTTGATTCACAAATTTGGCGATATAAGCCTCATGTAAAGAAAATATAATGAGGCAGTCATTATGGTTCTTTTCGACGTAGAAAAACTCTTGACAAAGTGTCACAAGAGAACAAAAATGATTTTGACTTGCTCATTTTTCATGAATTTGGGATTTTGTCTTACCGTAACTGATGATTTTGCGATTGCAAAAGATACTGCGGGAATGACCTTTACTCAGGCAAGGACAAAATGCAATCAGTATGGGTCCTATTTGAGCTACCCGAGGCAAGATTTGTTAAAATTCAGCTGATAATAATTATGAAGAAATGATGATGATGGGATTAAGCTGAGAGGTCTTTTGAACGAAGGTAGACATGCAAGCTGGATAGGTGCTGATGATATAGAAAAAGAGGGAACATGGAGGAATGTGAAGGGCGAAGACCTAACTTATCTTCCCTGGTCCGCGGGTCAGCCGGACAATATGAGGAACCAGGATTGTGCGTGGCTTGGAATAAATAGAAATACGATGAAGTGGGATGATCGAGATTGTGGAAATCAACTGAATTATGCTGTCTGTCATAAAAGCAAGATCACTGAAGGAATCAAGATCACAAGTAGAAAATGAAACGCTTAATTTAAGCAGAAAGCTTAAATTTTCTCATTCTAGGACCGTTTTCGGGGACTTTCAACGCGCCGAGCAAAGTCAAACTTGGGAAAACCTTTGAAGTCTCCTTTACGAAAAGAGTTTTTGAAAATTTTCACGATTATAAAATTATTTGTCGAAAACTCGAAAAAAGGGAGCCTCAGACCATCTATTTCAAATCTTATTGGACAAATGCTCTGCAGTCTTTGGCTCTGATAGGATTCCTCTAACAATCAGTTCTCCTATCTGTTGGACTAAATCGAATCCAGTAAGAAATACTGTGAAACTAATTTACTATGAATCATAAGGAGCTGAAATTGAACCGACGGGCAGACACGCTAGAAATGGCAATGTTTCTTTACTCAGGTAGTTCATGGCATTTTTATCATCGTATTTATCAAAAACTAGATTCGACAGAGCTTGAAATTTCCTGCAATCCGAAAATATCAATAAACTCGAACTCATGTTATCAATGACTTACTTCGATAAAAATTTTTTTTGTGTAAAATTTATTAAAACAAAAAGTAGCTAGAAGTGAAACTTGGAATATTTTGAGCAAGGAACTTTTGTAGGATTTTCATGAAAGCATCTTTTCTATTTGGCGCGAAGTATTTTACTGACGAGTCCGTCGACTTTCTCATCTGTTTCTCCCCAGACGATGACTTCGAGAAGAACAAGCAGGAATTTTTCGTGTTCGCTTTTGTTCAAAGCGGAAAGGACTTTATCACACATTGACAGGGTCTTAGAAATTATTTTTGACGCTGAATTATTTTGAGACTAACCTTTCTAGCGCCGTCGTTTTCGGAAATCTTCGCCATCAGAACATGCAAATCTGATAGGCTATCCTCAGCCATGGCACATGTTATGGGCAGATATTGAATAAGTGTGTAGGCTTTCTTCCATTTGTTGACGCTGATGTACCAAAAGTAGATTTGGAGCAGGAATGTGAAACAATAGAGGGTAAATGTCAGGAATGAAACCAAAAGCCAGGATCCAAGCGGCTTGAAATAACATCTTGTTGTCTGCCAGAATTCACCATTCGAAGCTAAAAATGATGCTCATGAATAGACGATAAAAATTCGGAAATAAAAAAACCATAACTATATCAAAAATTCTTTTCGTATTAAAAATTTATGCTTCAAATATTTTGAAAATCTCTAGTCAGCTCAACGATGGCTACAAGCCTGGTCGAAAGCGTATTCATTAATAATATTTCATCTCATTCATAAATATTTCATTAATTCATAAAATCTGACTTACTTTGATAGTGATAATACTCCGGCAACAAGCAATTGAAAGAGTTCAAGTCAAAGATTCGATAAACAAACCAGTGGAACAAAACTCCTCCCGCAACAATATTAACAATCAAGCAGTTCACCCGATTCAAATAAATCGTCGTCAGAAAATCTGATGATCCAGCTCGCGCCTCCATTAGATCTTCCAATTCCATGAATTTTGCTCGAGTGTCGTTTTTCTTCCAGTGCTCTTCTAAAGACTCGTAGATGGATGAGGAGAGGTTTTTAGTGACTTCTTTGATCGCCAGAGTTCCGAGAGGAGGTTTTTGAGGGCTGTCGCCTTTTAGGCTTATCACTTCGTCTTCTATCCGGATATCAATCTTCTCAAGGGCTGTCGAAAATAATTGTCGCTAAACAAAACAGGGCGCTATATTTTCAGTTAAGATATTCAGCCCTTTTCTTGAGAGGATCGTCTTCAGTTCCAGAAATGGATCGCTTTCTCGCCAAACCATTCGGCTTTTCTTGACACTTGGAAGTTTCTCTTGTCAAATTCGATGCGATTCGCTGTCTGACAGACGCTCGAGCTTGCCGATTATGTCGCATCGCTTGCTTCTGTTCTGGCCCTGCTTTGTTGATCGACATCATGCTTCCGTAAATGGACTTTTTCTCCAAGTTTTGTTCTTGGAGGATCTTTTTCTTTGGCTTGTTCAAGATATTCGACACAGCTTTCAGGCCAGCGATAAGTTCTCCTGTTGCTTCTTCTATTCCGTCCATCAGATATTCGGCTTAATTTTTGCTTGAGGAAATATAAAACTCGTTTTTGAGCATATCAACATTTTCTGATTGCATTTCTTACCTTGCCCTATTCTTTTAATGCTCGTTATTTCCCAGCAAATACCAGTCTGAAGAATAGCCCATCAATTACCCACTTATCTCTGCAGAAAAATCACTTACCCAAGCTCCAAGGGTCGTCAAAGCCAACAAAATATAAGGAAAAAGCTTCAAAAACCTAAGTGTCGTTTTTGATTCCAAATCAACGTTGCCGAATTCGTCGACTTCGTAATGCGCCATTCGGGAGAAACAGTAGTTATTGATGAAATTGTGATCCGCGACGTGAAAAGTGTCGCAGGTTGAGCCCGTTTCGTTGACTTTTTTAGTCCGCAAGGAGCAAGTTAGAATTTCTGGCGTGAAACCTGCAGGCGCAATGACCTTAATCAAGTTTGTAAAAAGAGGATTTAATTTATGTTTTCAGGACTCTCATGGTAAAAACGACGCTTACCAGCAAAACCGAAAGGGCCATAACAGGAGCTACGGTAAGAAGAGTGGTTATAAATCGGTCATTTTTGAAGACAGGGTTCAAGGTGACATGGGATTTCTTTTGTTGGAGCGTTTCTGTTGCCTGCCACTGGATACAAAACGCATTATTTCATGGTCTTCCATAAGGGCGTCACTTTGTTAATTAATATCCAGTTCCTTGTAAGCCGCGGCTGCCGCAAAAGCCGGAATACTCATGTTCGTCCTCTTTCAAATTTCTCTTCTCAAATCCGTTTGTTTAAAAATTATACTGCGGTTTGTCAATTTTATCCCAATATTTGATCTACCGCTTTTTCAAGCTTCCATTTTGCGTTCTTTTGCTTATTCACTCTCGGCCTGGGCTCGGTTACTGTAATCGAGGCAGAACAAGCATTCGATCAGTAATTAAACAAACTCTGGGAAAATCGAATAAAGTATCGAAGATATGGTCCTCTTGAAATTGAAAGAGGCCCCCTAGAGAGAAAAAGATTGTAGTGTATAAGATGCCGGAGGGCGAATTTGCAAGCTTGGAATTTTCAAGAGCTGGATCTTCGTCTTGATCCTCTTTTCGAATGATCCGGCTCGTTGACCTTGATAATTTGGATGAGTTCAAGAGCGGTAAACAACAGATCAAATAAAGTCATATTCAAAGAATAGTCCACTAAAAGGAACTACGCACTTGCAAGGATACATGCATTTTCTGGTAGAGAAGTCATTGGGTTGGCGGGTTCAAATACTCAGTGCTCGAAAAAAAACTATTTCGGCAGAAAAATTCGTCCGAAAAACCATAAGTCCGATTTTTATAAAATGTTAATACAGTTTTACTTTCTAATCTAATTGATAATAAATTTGCAATCGTAAGTTTCTTGCCACTAACAGGACCAATAAATAACTGTTTCTTTCATAAAAATTCTAATAAGCTCTTCAATAGCTTCGAGTCGAAGGCTTCGACATGATTCATTTTTCATCGAGGAAATGGAATCAAGGAAGAGAATCGTCAAGTCAAAACTGATTGAAATGCGCTCCTGATAAACGTTTCTATTCTGCTATTAATTTTTATCGTCAAATCAGGGAAAACAATAAACTCTTCATTTTGTGAGAATTTATAACTTTAAAATGTCTCAATACATTAATTCTCAATAATTAATAGAGCAAAATAAGTCGAGCACTGGGACTTGTATATCTTGCAAGGTCTTTGTGATAAGCAAAAAATGAAATAAAGATCTTCCTTCAGAAAAAGACTGGATATAATCTCCATTCAATTTCCGGATTAAATTCGATCCGGCGCCGAGAACACCGGGAATGATTAATGTCGCCGCCGGGCGCCTTTATTCACTCTTGATCCATAATTACAAGCCATAACAAGAAAGAACAAGAAAAACAGATTTATGAGCCCCTAAAAAGGACACACAGTTGACGTGGATCAAACACCCTTTCATCCCTTTTCTTGATTGAGTCGCGCTTTATTTCTCGGATTAGCGGCCCACTCGTTATTTCATTTGACACTTTGGATTTTCGATTTCTTCTTCGAAAAGGTACTTTTTAAGGCGCTACGTCTTTAATTTTTAAATCTATTAAAATCTGGCAATCGATAAAAAAATTCAAATTATATTGATAAAGATGGAAAGCAACATTTTTCAAAGCGCAAATTTCAAAGGTCTTTTACAAAAATTTCAAGAAAAAAGCGGGTTGATGAATAATGAATAAGCTGGTGATAAATGATAAATGCTTCCTCAAGGTTATGTCGGAAATGCCGGCAAGTCACGTGGCGGCTCAATCCGGAAACGAGCTCCGGAATCAAAGGTTTACTGGGATTTTGAACTTGATGTTGATTTATCAATGATAAATTATAACGGGAAGAGTTTTATAAGCTTTTTTCATCATCTTTTTTCATAACGAAAATGTTCCTTCAAGTAAATCCGGAGTTTTAAGATGATTCTAATGTAGCAAAATTCTTGGTGAAGAATTTATTTTTTCAAATATCGCTAACTTAAAAATGTGAGGTCGAAAATACAGATAGTGCTCTTATGGCTTTTGGATTCATAATTCTGCTGTGTTTATTTTATTTTTAAATAAATGAGCATAAATAATAAACCAAATAAAAATCACTTTTAAAAATAAAAAAGGGAGTTTTGCCGCCCCCGTGTTGCGCGTGGCGCGTATCACCGCGGCGGCGCTCTTGCCAAAAGCGACCTTTGTGCGCAACGTCGTCGCTTGAAAAAAAAAATACTCAACTCTACTACCTCATCGCTCAATCTCAAAACACATTAATAACAAACTATGGCAACTTAGATCTCTTCAACCAGAGAAAGTTTAAAATCAAGAGATAACTAAGAAGAAAACAGGCGAAAACAGATTCAAGAAGATTAGGAACTGTTCAAAAATAAAATTGAAAAAAGTAATTTTAACGAATAAATTTCAAAACAAAGCCGCTTGCGGCTTCGCAGAAAAGCATTTTTCCCGGATACTATCTCTTAGAGCAAAAAATGGGCTAAAACGATAAGCCGCAAAGCGGCTTTTTTGAGAAAAAAAGCTGCAAAACGGCTTCGCAAGGGTAAGTTCCTATATCTGGCAAAGCCGCTTTGCGGCTTCGTTTAAAAAAGCCGCTACTCGGCTATTTTGTTAGGCTCTTTAGGTCCTTTATCAAGTTTTGGTCACTTGTCTCGTGACCCAAATCCTTCGTATTAGTCCAAAATCGCATTTTAGTCCGATTTGAGCATGAATGTTTTTCACACTCAAACTTATTTGATTATCAATAACCCGTAAAGCGTCTTTTCTGTCCATCGTTTGCCGGACTTTTTTTCTTCGTCAAGCATTGTTCTTTATTTTCAAAAGCCTTGAAAAGCCCGCCTTTTGTCCTTTTAGATGGCCGTGAATTTTCGAAGGCTCGTCTTTTTTACATTTTGAAAGGGCCTTGGAATGTGGAAGATTGGTGGGTAAAGGCTACTCGCCCGGGTGGGATTTTCAGGTGGCCAAGTGGGGTGCAAATGAACGGTTATTATTTTCAGGCGAATATTTCATCAGAGGGAAGATTCTTTTTTCTTAGATCATAAATCTGTTAGAACAAAGCAAAATCAACTTTTAAATGTTAACGAGGTTGTACTAATGATTTAAATAGCTCGATTCAAAATGCTCGTAAAACGCACATCTGACTCAAATAAAAATGAAGAAAAGAATCAAACTTCGAGTTCAAACGGTAATTTTCATCATCAAAGATAAAAAAGACAAAATGATCCGCTTACTTTATTTATTCATAAAAATGCCGGCGTAAATTTGTATTTTTAGTCGAAAATAAAATCAAATTCATAGTGACTTTTTTGAAATAATTAAAAATTTGCCGAAATTTCATTTTTAAATCTCGCGCCAAAATTTTCATAAATATTGCCCCATCAATTCAAAAAAGAAAAGCCCTTGAAGTTTTCTTCTTTTTTTTCCTCCGTTATGTATAATCACCAATTAGGCAGTTGTTGTCCGCGCGCATTTTATTTTCAGGAACCCTTTGGAAATCGCTCAGGCGTGAATTTTGACCGCGAGCGCAAAGTGAGCTCCAACTTTCAAGCTCGATCAATTTTGGATGCTTGAAAGTTTTCGGAGAAAGTTTTAGCGCACCTGCTTCCGGTCAAGGGATTTATTGATAATCAATTTACACGAAAAGGAGGAACTTGAAAGATTGATGATTTTTGAACAGAAAATAAGCAGCCACCGACGATGAGGTGGCTCAGTCTTCTTGGACTGGCCGCAGCCGAGACAGGAATGGTTTTGAAAATAAAATATAAAAGCCGCATGCGGCTTCATTTTGAATTGAACTTTTTTTTTTCAAAAAAAGCGAATTTAGGTATTTGAGTACAGATTTTTCCCAGACCATAATTTTTTATCGCATCGAGCTTATCACTTTTGCCTTTTCTAAATCGCCTTGTGAGTCACCTGATCGTCGCGATAAAGACTACATTTTCAAAACTGAAACAGGCTTTGCACCTCCGGACCGCGCGCCTGCCCGAATTGTCACCAAAAATGAAAAAATACAGGTACTCTTTCATTGATTCATATCGAAATTGTCAAATAAAGCAGGTTCAAGTTGTCCTGTTTCGGAAGATTTTGAGAGGCATTCAAGGAGCTTTTTGGGCTTCTTGAAGCGTCCCATTGACAAGTGTTTCAGTTCACTTATTCTGTAAAATCGTTTTAGTAAAGAATTCTCATAACACAGCAATGATTGGTTGTCCAATTCTTCAAAATCTAGAGTCTTAACAATCAAATCAGTTAAGACATAAAAACAATACACAAAATTTTCGATTTTCTTTTATGGTTCCCAAAATTTCTCAAATCAAATTTTTCAGGTTCCGATTGGCCGATCAAGCCCCTTATGGCCCCATCTACAAATTTCTGCGGAAGGAGGGAACACGTGCGAAGTTCGCGTCCTCCCCTCTCCCATCGAACAGGTTGTTGGAGAATTGAACGTCGATCGCTTCCCATGCGATTTCACCGAAGATGAAGTATTTTACCAGCATTACGGGCGAGCAGAGCCCAGAAGCGACAGGATATCTTTACAAGTTCATTATGAAACGAGGACGACGAAGAAAATTTTACCACTTCAAATCGAAATTGAAGTCTTGCTGACGCCGCACGATTTGATTAAAGATTTTAATGACTTAGGAAGAGTTCTTAAGAATTCTAATTTTGTTAGAAATGAAAGCCGTCAGGAACAAAGACCGTTTTCGGCATTTTTACGAGATTTTTGTTCAGCCGAGTAAGTTCAAAAGGGACATTTTTACGGTCGTTAAAAAGTGTCACGTTCATCAATAACTACGGATTTGCCACCCTGGTGGGCTCCGTTAAGGACCTTCTTTTGAGAATTATTGCAGCTTAGGGTATGATGTCTCAAGATATTTCAGTAAATTAGTGCCCGGAATTGCCGGTTAAAAAGTAAAAGAACTCTCAAAAAGAAGTAACACGACTCGCCGGAGAATCCAAAGCAATCGACTCCACCATCCTCAAAATCGACTTCGACCCGACAAAATCGATCACCTCCTTCATCTCCTCCGATGATTACAGTTACTCCGACAGTACCGAGCTCGAATGCTTCGTCACAATTCCCGAGGCATACCGCCCAACAGAGCGAGTTTACATCGACAATCAAGAATTGCTCGGCGAAGTTTATCCAATTTTCGAAGGATCGCCGCCCTTCGACCGGCGTTTTTTGTCTGATAATCCGAAAATTGGAATCTGGCCCAAATACGGAAAATTGGCCTACGCTCCTGTCAGATCTACCTGCGACGATTTTGTTAATTCCGGCATCTATTACAGGCATTCTGGCGCTACTGGCACTCCTGACAAGGATCATCAACCGCTTCTGATCGAGATTGAAGACAAGTCCGGCTTCGTTCACGAGCGAGAATGGTTCGACCTCCAGATCAACATTCGCGCTGCTGCGAAAAACGAGCCGCCAAATGTCGATCCTCAAGCGGAGTTGAAACTCTACGTCGATCAATTTATCCTTACTGCCCTGACACGAGACGTTCTATTCGGAAAAGACTACGAAACAGACGAAAGACTACTTGTCGTGGAATTTGATGATCAACCGAAATCCGGCTTCTTTGTTTCCACTGATGATCGAACGAGACCAATTCTGAGCTTTTACCAATCGGAACTGCTTGACAACAAAATTGCCTTCCAACCTCCAGCGGCCGATTCTGCCTTTGACCGACTCCTTTCTGTAAGAAATTTTCTTCAAAAATTTTCGAGTTGAAATGTTTTGACATTTCTTTTTTTTTGAAGTATCGGGCGGAAAAGACCATAGTAGGGTTAACAACCCCATTTTGACCCTATCGCGCCCTCGTTTCCGTCCTGTGTTTTTCGTCAATTTTATATTGTCATTAACAGTCTTCAATATAGCCCCAAATACAGTCGACAATGAAGGTAACGCCCCGGGGCACAAGCCTTAGGACACACACCTGACCATTGCCATCCCATTTGACACTTTATTAACATCATTTTATATTCCGCCAAGTTAAAAATATGCCAAAAACCATCCATTTAACATAAAAACTCGTTCAAAAAAAGATCTTTTGAATCTAATAATCAGCTTCATTCTTAGGTCAATTTCCGGATCCACGACGAAGATGGAGGAACCTCTCCTTGGGTCCCTTTCTACATCAAAATCCAGGCGATGGAGAATGACACACCATTCGCCATGGAAAACAATGGTCTCATTCTTTACGAAGGAAGTCGTCGATGCATCGGTCCGGATGAATTAAAATTGACAGACAAAGACACTCCAACGGGAAATTTGAATCTTCGTGTCCTTGATGGAACCAAGCACGGCCAAATTTTTGTTGGACCAATGGCGATTGACATGTTCTCCGGAAGCGACATTGAATCATGCTCGGTTGTCTATCAGCACGATGATTCTGATACATTTGTTGACAACATTATTATGGAAATTTCGGATGGAGAAAGCTCGATTGAAATTCTTTTCCCTATCTGGATCGTTCCAATCGATGATCAACCTCCTCAGATCATCAAGAATCTCGGCGCTGAAATTTACAAGAATTCCAATGTCACGATTGACCTCGAAGATGTCGATATTGACAGCAATGGCCCCACTCTTTACACTCTTCAGAATCCTCTCACCAAAGGAGAATTGTTCGTCCTCAACGATGAGGGGCAATGGACTGTCACAAGAACCTTCACATCCGAGCAAGTGCAGAGAAAGCAGGTCGAGTACATGCACAACGCAGGAGTAAACCAACTGAATGTTGAAATCGAAGAGCTCGAATTGACAGCATCAGACATTCGGGGCAACACAGGCTTGTCATTCAACTACACAATTTTCATCCACCCACGTGATGATGATCCACCCCGCTGCAATTTCTACCCCTGTACTCTTGGAATGAGGGTGAATGAGTACGAAACAGCGCCGCTTCGAAAATCAAATTTCAACTTTGTCGATAATGTATCTCCACCAGAAGAAGTTGTGATTGACATCACGACAAAACCTCACGATGTCGCTACCGGCCAATCAATGGGTCGCCTTCTCTGGGCAGATACAAACCAGGAGGTTCAGCAATTCACCCAGCAAATGGTCAACCATTTGAAAATCGTCTACGAAGCTCCGAACCGAGATTTGGGGCTTGTCCGCCGCGTTGTCCAGTTTAACTATCACGTGTCCGACGCCATGCAAAATACACTCTATGATCAGAGCTTCACCATCGAACTCATGCCAATGGACAACGCCGAGCCGGTCGTTACCAACATGGGCCTGCAGGTGATGCAGGGCGAGTCTGTGACCGTGACGCAAGATAAATTGGACGTAACGGATATGGACACTGCCGATGAGATCCTAGCATTTATGCTGCTCGAGGAGCCTGCTCACGGAGAGCTGCGAATCGCAGATATAAAGATTGAAGTTGGATCAGAATTTTTCAAGCTTGATATTGTCGCTGGTGACATTTCATATGCAAACAACGGTGATGATGATATTTCAGGAAACTGGCTAATCATTTTTGATACGGTCTTTGGATGTTTTAGGGCGATTGAGTGAAGGTAATCATAAGCGTTAGAATCAGGTGCGTGCGCTTTTATTGCCATAATTGCGCGCAAAGTCATGATGCCAGCGGACGTAATTAGGGGAGAGCTTGAAAGTTCATGCCAAATATGTTTTATGCACCCTTTGAATCAGCATTATCTTATTATTTCTTGAAATTTGAATTATTTGAAAATTGAAATCATAAGCCGTCTAAGAAATCTTTTTAAAAATATTTCCTTCCTCCAACTCAATAAATAAATTATGGTTTTCAATGAAAATAATAACACTTACAATGACTAGCCAAATAAGACATCATTCGACTCGAAGTAACCGACGGTATGCACTCCTTCCCTGTGAATGTCGACGTTGTCGTCATCCCTCGTCCCGTGATTCCAGAGCCAACTCAGCGAAACCCGTCTGAAACTACTCTTGTCGTTCCTGAAAGATCCCAAACCGAGCTGACCCTCGCTAAATATTTCTTGGGACCACCAGAAGCTGCTGACAAGGACCTCTCATTTACAATTGTCAAGCAGCCTGAGAAGGGCCAGTTGCTGAAAGATGGCCTTGCTCTGCCAGCAATGACCCAGCCGGTAACAACCGCTGATTTGGCGAATGGACGAGTCGTGTACCAGCACAACAACCAAGAAATTGGACCAGAAGAGGTGCAAGATCTCTTCATTCTTCAGGCTCAAGACATTCACGGAAGAGCAGAAAGTATGGAAATCATAACTCATGTTCGTATCATCCCTGTCGACAATCAGTTCCCACTTGTCACTGTCCTTCAAAGCATAACTGTCGATGAAGGAAGCAAGAGCTCCGTGAATCCATCGCACTTGGAGATCAATGATGCAGATACGAGCCCAGAAGATATTATTTGCCGAATCGACCCGCAGCCAGAATTTGGTTTCCTTGAGAACATCTCTCCTCTCCCCGGCAGCGAGAAATCAAGAGCGGGAGAAGCCATCACCGATTTCCGAGCAGCCGATCTTCCTAACGAGTTTATCAACTACGTCCAATCCATTCACAAGGGATACGAGCCGACTGCGGATGAATTTTGGATCCGTTGCAGAGACAAGCAGAATAATGAGAGCATCCAGAAGAAGATCACTGTGATCATCAATCCTGTCAACGACGAGGAACCAAAAATTGAATACTCGAGATGGAGAGTTCGCGAAGGCGATATTCTCAATTTGGACGAAAGCATTTTGAATTGCCGCGACCTTGACATTCCTTTCGACGAATTAACCTTCATCGTCACTTCTCCACCGAAATTTGGAAAGATAATTTACCTCGGAATGAACACCCTTGAATCGACAGAATCGATCGACTCCTTCACTTGTGAGCAGCTCAAGGCTCATGAAATCGCTTTCGAACATGACGATTCTGAAAACTTCGAAGACTCGATCAAGCTTCAGTTAACTGATGGAAAACATGTGACTGACGAGACTATCCCAATTGATATTATCCCTGTGGATGATGAGACGCCAAGAGTTGAGATCAACAGAGGACTTCAAATGGCTCATGAAGATAGAAGCGCTAGAATCGGAGCTGATATTTTGAAGGTATTCGCAATGTACAATCCATATGCAGGAGGGTATTGTTTTATAAATTCAGATCATTCAGTTTATTTCTAAAATTTTCCAGTTATTTTATGGCCTTTTAATATTATTTCAAGGTAACTGACTTGGACAGTGTAGATGAAGACCTCATGATCATCATCACTCATCCACCTCGACTTGGAACTCTAAGAATGGACGATGGAAGTCCCGACGGTCGATATCTCTCAGAAGGAGATGTATTCGAAATGCGCCGACTTTGGGAAAATCGAGTGATTTACAAACGTGGAGAAGGTGAGTCTTCTTTTTTCGTTTTTTAGAATAGCTTTGTATACTTGCTCTGCCAAGTATACGCGCATATTTATATTCTTTATGTAACACTGTTTTTTATCCAGACGCCCTGTCGCCGGCGGACTATTTTAGTGACTTTACGTCATCTTCAACAACGGGTAATAGTATCTCTTTTTGTTGTTGAATCCGAGTCTCGTCATTTGATTAAATTCTTCCTTCATCCCAAATTTTGGATTTTGACCAAAATTCATAGTCTTGTAGTTTATATTATCCTGTTTGCTCGCTTACATCTGTAAAGTCTGCCGAGAAAAATTTTGCTTGCCAGTCTTTTGTAGTGAAATTTCTTAGTTATCCGGAATTTCGATTTGATAACAAATTTAGATTCGCTTCAATCGCTTGATGAACAGCGAGACTACTTCGTTTTCGAAGTCACCGATGGTCTCAATCGACTTATTGACAGAAAATTCTTCATCCAAATCGAGTCTGGGGACAAATTGTACCCAATGGTCTTCAATGAGGGACTTACTCTTCCTGAAGATGGACGAAGAACGATCACTACTGATCTTCTTCAGGCCTCAGACTTGAATTCCAACGATTTGGATCTGATCTTCAAGGTGAACAAAATGCCGATCAAGGGCCATCTTGAGTCTACTGACAGCCCCGGCAAGAAAAGAACGACATTCACGATGCGAGAACTGGTCGGTTCAAAGATTCGATACGTTCACACGGCAGATGATGAGATTCGAATGGACGCTTTTGAATTTTCCGTGACTGATGGAACGAATACTGTTTACCGAACATTCCGTGTAAATATTCTGCCCATTGATAACAAGCTTCCAGTGGTCAAAGTCGACGGAATCAGACTGAATGAAGGCGCTGAGAAACTTATTTCTCCCTTTGAAGTTTCCATCGAAGACCAAGATACTGATGATTCGCAAGTTCGAGTCACAATCGTTGGTGACCCAATCCATGGAAGTCTCAATTTTGACGGATCTTTTATCGCATCTGAGTTCACTCTTGCGGATTTGAAGAACAACAAGATCACCTACAAACATGACGGCAGCGAAAGCACGAAAGACCAATTCCGATTCCTTGTTACCGACGGCACTCACGATGACTTCTATTTGTTCCCTGAACTCAAAGACACTCATCGTGGAGCGGTGACTTTCCCCATCGACATTGTCCCAGTTGATGATGAAATTCCAAAACTCGTGGTGAACAAACCCGGTTCTTACGTCGAGCAAAACGCGGACGGAACCAAAACCTTCACAATAACAAAGAAGCATCTAAGAGCCACAGACAGAGACAGTTTCAATCCAGACCTCAAATACCAGATCAAAGAACTCCCAAGACATGGCCGAATTCTCAAGGCTCTTCCTGCGCAAGTTCCTCAAGAAGTCGATTACTTCACACAAAAAGATATTGATGACAAGGCAATCCGATACGCTCTTGACGATGATGTCCAAGAAACAGAGGACTTTATCATTTTCGATTTGGTCGACCAAGGTGGAAACAAGCGAGAAGATCTGAAATTTATCTGCCGCTGGAGTTTCACCTCACTTGCCAAGGAAATGATCACTGTCGACGAAGCTGACAAAGAACTCATTGTCACCGTTTCTAGAAGAGGCTATCTCGGTGAGACAGCCTTCGTCAGTGTCAATACGATCGATGTTCTTGCTGAAAAACTCCTGGATTTCAAGAACGAAGCTATTTCTTCGAACCAAGTTCAGCTTAATCCAGGGCAAACCGATGCAGTCTGGAAGATTCGCATTCTCGACGACGACATTTATGAAGAAGCCGAAAACTTCGAGGTTCAACTTTCTGATCCAATCATGACAATTATCGAGGAACCTTCACGAGCGACAGTCGAAATTATCGACCCAGATGATGAATCGACCGTTTTCCTTCCTGAACCACAAATTGATACTGTCGAGAATGTCGGTATCCTTCGAGTTCCCATCCAACGAGTTGGCGATGTTTCGATGGAACTAGCCGTCATTTGCAGCACTGTTTCTGGTTCAGCCGGCGGAACTGGGCCAATCCCACTTGAATCGTATTTCGACTTCATTTCTCGACCGGAATCGCACCAAAGCGTCATTAGATTCGGTCCTGGTCAGAAGGAAGCTTTCTGCGAAATCACAATCATTGATGACTCGCTTTACGAGCCAGAAGAAAACTTTACAGTCGTCTTGTCTCAACCAACCGGTGGTCGAATCGACGAAGAAATGAATGAAACAAAAGTGGTTATTCTCAAGGACCCCGCTGATACTCCAGTTGTCAAATTTAACGTAAAACATATCGATGTTGAGGAAAACGTCGGACAAGTAGAATTCCAAGTCCTCCGAAGCGGATCCGATCTGACCGGAGAATCGTCGGTCATTGTTCGCTCTCGATCTCCAAATATCCCTACCTCTCTTGCAAGTGCAAATAGAAGACGAAGATCTGCTGATGACATCATTGCTGATTTAAAATATCACGCAGCCGAGGCCGGATCTGACTACGTAGCAATCAGCAAGGTCGTAACTTTTGAGCCGGAAGCAGTGAGCGCCACCGTTACTGTAACAATCTTAGATGATCTAGGCAACCCAGTCATGGAAGGACTCGAACAATTCGAAGTGTATTTGAGCATGCCTGAGGACTGTGCTATCGGACAGCCAAATGAAATGAAGATTACTATCGGTGAGTTTTAATCAAGAACTAAATAAAAGCAGAAGAGGTAATCGGATCTGTGAGTCCGCCGAGTCGATGCCGAAAAAATTCCTTGATGCTTTTCCAGTTCGCTCCTCCAAAATTTCTCTAGAAAGTATCTCTAGTTCATGAGTAATTATTTAAACTTACGTCAAGATATCCATCTGCGTCCAATTTTCGGTCGGCACTTACAAAGACAAAAAAGAAGAAAATCGGGACGAAAGTGATTCTCATTTTCGTAGAAAAAGACGAAACATTCTTCTTCTTTTTCTTCCTTTTATATAGATGATCTACTTTCGAAGCCGGCAGGAATATAAGAAATTCATGCCGCCAAATGGATGTCTACGATCGTAGTTTAAGTGCACTTCATTTTATTTTACTTTATGACTTGCATTATTTCTTTGAATTCAATCTAAGAGGGGTCAGCTCATTTCGGCCGAGATTGACTCAAAATGATATTTAAACAAGGGTTAAAGTGAATTTTAGATGACCGAGAGGACGACAAGCCCTCTGTCGAATTCCAAAAGCCAGATGTAGAAGTTTCGGAGAGCGAAGCCCACGCAACCGCTCTGATCATCCGGCAAGGAGACTTGAACCAGGAAACGACTGTCCGCTGCTACACCCGGCAAATTGGAGCTCAAGTGGCTAAGGATTACATTGAGCGACCAAACACCGATGTTTCCATCGTTCGATTTGTCCCTGGACAAACTGTCGCAAAATGCGATGTCGAGCTCGTTAATGACGAGAGCTTCGAATCCACTGAAGATTTTCGACTTGTTCTCGGAACTCCTCTCTCGCCAGTCGGAGCAAAACTTGGTGAGCGATTTGACACCCTCGTGAAAATCAAGGATGATGGAGACCAGCCAACTGTTGGCTTCGAAAAGCCACTGTACGAGGTTGTCGAGCCAGCGGAAGGAAATACCCAGCGATTGAGAATCTGCGTCGTCAGAACTGGTGATCTTGCTGGCGAACTCGAGCTCCGGATACATACTAAGGATGGCAATGCCGATTCTGGACTTGACTACATTCCGCTCTCGAAAATGATCAAAATTGAACGGGACGATGACAAGTGCTGTTTCGAAGTTGACATTCTCCACGACAAGAGAAAAGAAATCAGGGAAAGCTTTACCGTTTGGATCAAGGATCCCATCCCAGAAAATGGCGTCGATCCGGAGATAATTCAGCCCCGAACAATTGTTTACATAAAGCAGCGAGATATCCTCGCGGACGTTACATTCCCGACGAGTCCTAAAGTCATCAGCTTGGCTGATTACGATAAGTTGAAGAATGCCGCGGCTACTGTTCCAGAGCCAAAGAGTGGATACCCCGTCGTTTGTGTCACCCCTTGCGACCCGAAATCTGACGTCTTTGAAGAAGTCCAAAGCCTCTGCGAAGACGAGCAGATTGACAATGAAATGACTGAGTACAGATGGCAAGTCAGCGCGCCAAGCGACGAAAACGGAGCCACTCATCCTCTTCAGGTAAATCTAAGTCTCTCTTCTCTTGTTAAAAATTTATAAAGGACGTGTCTGCAACAACTTTTATGACGACAGTTAATCGAATCACACTTGACTCAATTTACTTTGGCGTCGGTTCTCGAATCCAGTGCCACGCAAGAGCTGTCAAAAATAATGGCGAGCCGGGACGAGAGTCTGCTTCTGAAGTTGTCAAGATTTCTAACGAAGGAATTTGTCCTCCAAGACAAGAAGGTATCCTCTTCTATTCAAGCTAGAAACTCATCTGGCCTTAAGGTGTCATGGGAGCTGATCCATTCAGCGCTAAAATCCGATACATCGACGGAGACGACGAACATCATCCAAACACCATCAAGGTCTCTGTGATTCTACCTCACACTGATGGCATTATTCCTCTTATCTCGACAAAACAGCTTACCAACTTTGAATTCACAATGTCTGAAGATTCCACCCGAAGCTCACAGCATAGGTATCCACTTGCTTAATTTTAAGTATGCATAGGGTTTCACTAGCAGAACTCCAGCATAGCTGATAACAACAAAATGAACTGAAAATAATAAATATTTCAGTGGGTTCCTCGCACAAATGCATAGGTGACAAATCGTAGTCATAAATCTAATATCAAAATGCTCAAAACTCAACTAATCAATTCTTTTATCCATGATTTTTAACCAAAAATTGATAGGATAAGCACGATAACTGCATGCTAGCCTTCCTTAGTGAATCACTTTTTCGTTCCCCTGAACAATATTTCTAGTTGCTCAAATTTGCTTCTTCCGCGAGAAGTGCGTACTAATTTTGGCTTCCTGACAAATGCTACCTCCAATCCCAAAATCTACTCTGACAACGACCTGATGCCTTACCAGTTCGATCGAAACCTACGATCTGAGCGAACTCTTCAATTCTATAAAAACCTCAATCTCGAAGCATGTATTTGGGAGTTCGAGTCATGGTACGACATGTCTGAGCTTCAGCAAGCTTGTGGAGGCGAAATCACAACAGATGGACAGGTTTTCTTTTTCAAATAGACAAGGAATAATAGTTGTTAGGTCTTGAACTTGATTCATTCGTATGTTACTCTGTCGGTGCCGCTGTATGTTTCGTACATTTCCCACTCGCCGACGAGAATTCCATGGAGACATTTCGACCTCGAGACAAATTTGCGATTGACTTTCGTTTATGACACCGCAAAAATGTGGACGGACGGAATCGGCACTCCTCCAGAGTCGACTCTACCAGGTTTGTTCAGTTCTTAATTCTCATTTTCTCATCCTTTTAGGCACTTTCTACCCAACGTCGATGAAAATCAGACCTGATGGCCGACTCGTTGTCCGATTCAAGACTGTAGCTCGATTCACTGGAATGTTTGTCCTGGAACATCCTGGAAGGTATTATTCTAGAAAAGTCGAAAACTCACGTGTGAAGCACACTTGTTCTTTGTCATTTAGTAGCTCAAGTTCACCGTTCATTATGATCATTTCATCATTTCATTTTTAGCGAGGATGATCCTGATGTAGGATACACGTAAGTTCATTTTCCATAACATTGGTGCTAAATAATCACTCACTCACACAATTCTTACTCCTTGATCTCTTATTAATAGACTCTTTCTCCAACAAAATACTCACTTTTTTTCTAGCGCTGCTGAATCGACGGTTACATCTGTCCAGCACCCTGAATTGAGCTTTACTCTGAATCTCATTCGATCCGATAAGACCTACAGTACTCCCGAGCAGCAATGGAGCTTCGTGTCGAACTATGCTATCACGGATTACTCTGGCGACTACAAGATTTCACTGATTCCTTGCACAGTTTCGCATGATCAGACTTATTCCGATCCTCCTAAGTGTAAGTTAAATTTTTACTTCCCGAGCCTATTCAGTTCACATTTGTTGAAAGAGTAAAAAAGAGTGATACAAGAAATCAACGGAAGAAAATTTCTGAAATTAAATATTTCCCGAAAAAATCCTTCTAATATGGTCTTTTTAGGCAATCCGAGGGAGCCAGTCGAATTCGCCCTTCCTCTCCGTGCCCAACAAGTCTCCGATCCAGTTGCTGAACAATTCTCCTTGAACACTACTTTCTCGCTTCTCTCCAAGAAAGATCTTTGGACTGCCGACTCGGCCATCCAAGTCACTGAGAGCTCTGATGTTGCTTTCCCAGAAGGTAATGTATCGATTATTCTAGAAATCGGCTTATTGATATTTTAGGTGCGCAAATTTATGGGCGAGTCCAAGTCGATCCCGTCCAGTCTCTTGGCGAAGGATTTACCGTCAACATCGAAAAAGTCTTCTTGTGCTCCGGATCTGAAGGATACATTCCCAAATACAACCCAGCAAACAGCGAATATGGATGTCTAGCTGACTCTCACCTCCTTCTTTACCGATTCAAAGTCATCGTACGTCATTAAATCTGGTTATCGTGGTCTAAATAACTGCTTTCAGGATAAAGAGCAGCCAGACACAGAAGATGACAACTTGAACTCAGTTCCCTTCAATGCTGTTTTGGCCGTCGATGATCCTTCGGCTAAAGGATTGACCGAGCAGCCAGGATCTGATGGTTTCAGAATGGATTCTACTCCGCTTTTTCAGGTTAGTTCGGTTTTTAGTGAAATAACTATTGATATTATTTCTATTTTTTCAGGTGAATGTCGGGGCAGAATGGTACCTCCACACAATTTACACCGTCCGATCTTCGACTAAACGAGTCCGACGACACTCAATTGTTCGACGAGCTGCCTCACCCGAAGACATCGGAATCGGCTTCGATCGAGGAACCAACATGATGCCAATTCGTCTGATGTCAGAAGAAGCATTTGAAGAAATGGAGACTCAAAAGGCGCAATTTAACTGGATGATTATCCTGGCTGCTGGCGGTATCTTGTTTATTGGTATGAAAGAGAAACTAGAATAAGAGCATTAATTCAAATCTAGCGATCTTTGTCCTCGTTGTCTTCCGAAGAAGAAATGATGGAAATTATCCGACAACTGGTTATGCCCAGGCCAGATCGAATTCTGATGCTTTCAAGCCAATTGTCAGGCCACATGGTAATATCCCTCTTCAAATATTAAATGAGCTTATGTATTAATTTCAGAAGGATCAAGCTCATCAAACTCCTCGATACCATCTGGTACCGAAGTCTAGAATTTCTAAAACACGACCTGTCTTCCTCGCCAGGGAAAAAGACCAGAACCCCTCTCAAGCCTCAGTACTTTACCTCAAAACCTCTTATCATAAAAGTTATCGTTACTGAAACTCATTTTCTATCAAATTCGAACCCGAACAACCCAGAAACCTGAAACACACAAGACGTTACTTTTTGAAAATTTGTCAAAACAGCATTATTATTGTACAAAAGAAAGTATCTAGTTCCCGACTTATGCAAGTTCAAATATTGTAAATAAAATATGAAATATTTTCGGAATTTTCATTTTTATATCTCAAGATGTATTTTCATTATTTCAATTCTGAACAAATTGTTGGCAAAAAAGAAATAAGTGTTTATTTTGAATTAGTGTTGCAAAATCATTTTTCACAAAAAAAACTCTTCCATATCAAAAGTTTCAGCAATTTTGCGATTTCATACAGGTAAATTTTCTGAGAGCGTTGCAACCCGAATCATGCATAACAAACTGCTCGGCTGGCTTGATTTTCACGCATTGTTCATCAGCACTACTTGGTTCACCGCTACTCTTATCCCAATTGAAGAAAATTGCCTCTTCTCCGTCAACTGTTTCGTAGATATCATTATTATTGGGGTACTTTTGGTGGTATCCGATCCACTCTTCATTATTATCGTGTCGAGCGTTTTTAAAAATGCTGAACTCGTTCTCGTCCCGAAAGAATGCCAAAAAACCTCCAATTTGAGTGCAGTAAGTTTTTGCCGATTGCCAGTTCAAACTTTCCGCTGGTCGTACAAAATTCGGCGGACATTGACAGAATATACCACTGAATGAACCAGAGCAACTGCATTGACCGTTTCCATTTACAACGATACAGTTTCCACCATTTTGACAGGTTATTAAATCGCAAGGATGAGTTTGGCATTTATCTCCTGTCTTATATAAGGGCTCAAAGTAATATGCATATCGAGCAAGGATAAGAGACAATATTTATGTAGTGTTTCATGTCTAATAAGTTATTAGTAATAACGGCCTTTCAAAAATAAATGATAAGAGCCCTTCATATGGTTCATGACAAGAACATTGAGCATTTCCAGATTCAACATTACAGTCTCCATGATCACCGCATTCAAGATCATCACATGGATGTTTATCGCAGAGATCACCCAAAAATGGCTCTGGGCAATTGCATTTACCGACCTCATTTTGATCATCGCAAGTTCCACCATTTTGACAGTTGATACCATCGCAAGGATGATGTTCGCAGACATTTCCAAAAACGGCTTTTCACAAAGACATAAACCGGCGTCATTTTGAACCTCGCATTTTCCGTTGTTCTGACAATAAATTACATCGCAAGGATGAGTTTGACACTTATCTCCTGTCTGATATCAGGGTTCACTTGGCTTTGCTAAGAAAAATCATAAATTGCGCCATATAAAGGCTCTAAACGATATAATAAAGTCATTGATGCTGCATCAATGATGCAAAGAAATGAAGAGAGCCCTAGGTATGGATCAGGACAAAAGCATTTAGCATCTCCAGATTCGGTAACACAAGTTCCGTTATTTTGGCAATCGAAACCATCGCATGGATGTTTTTCACAAAAATCACCAAAAAATGTCTCTTCGCAGCTGCATTTTACTGCTCCCTCTTCCACAACACAAGTTCCACCATTTTCACATGTAATGTCATCGCAAGGGTGATCTTCGCAAAGAGTACCAGTAAAATTTTCTTTGCAAATGCATTTACTGTTGCTTTTCTGAACAACACAGGTTCCGTCATTTTCGCAGGTTATTCCATCACAACCATGAGTTTCGCAGTTGTCGCCAGTTTATCACCAGGGCTCTCTCATTTCATCGAAAATCTTTATATAAAATATGATTTGAGAGCCCTTTATATGGGTCCCGGCAAGAGCATTTTGGAATTCCAGCTTGAATAACGCAAACACCGTGATTTTCACAGGTTATGTTATCGCAAGGATGGTCTTGGCAGGATTGACCAGAAAAAGGTTCTTCGCAAATGCATCGACCAGCTCCTTTTTGAACAACACAAGTTCCGCCATTCTCGCAATTAAAAGCCTCGCAAGCATGAGTTTGGCATCTATCGCCTATTTATTTTTTGGGCTCTTTTAATATATATTAAAGAATTGCATAAAATGAAATCCAAGAGCCCTCTATATGGGTCCCGACAAGAGCATGTGGCATTACCAGATTCACTGATGCAGATTCCTTTGTTCTCGCAATCTACTCCATCGCAGGGATGGAGCTCGCAGAGGCTTCCGTGAAAAGGCTCCGGGCACTTGCACAGAAAAGATGCTGCTTCAACAACACAATTACCACCATTTTGACAAGAAACATAAGCGCAAGGCAAAACAGTTGTGAGAACAATCTCTGTGGCCTCTGTGTACTCAGCTTTCAGGGTAGATGATGCATCGTCCTCTTTAAAAATATCAGTGACCAATTCTGTATCATGCGTTTTGAAAGCATCAGTTGTCACTAAAACAATATTTATTGCTTTTTTCTAAATAATTTTTCACACCGTCATAAGAAGGGGTTTCAACGCGTAAAAGATCTTTTTTCGTCAGAAACAGAGGAGCCATGAAAAGCACCAAGAGCCCCAAAAAAGCCATAATTATTCCAAAAATAAAGATGCATTTATCTCTTTTTCGTGTCATTCTCTTTCTCTTGCTACAGTCAGAGTCGAATTTGTCTAGAAAAAGGGTATCATCTTCGAATGTGAACGTCAAAATTGTCAGATACTGTCATAATCGGAACGGAGCATCAAACGTTATCTTTTTGCATAGACAAATACAGTTTGAAAAAAAAAATTGAATGAAGAAAATGATCCGACAACTGGCTATGCTCAGGCTCAATCGAATTCGGATGCTTTAAAGCCGATCGTCAGGCCACAAGGAAAATTCCTTTCGCAAAATAAAGATAATAATTATCTCAGCATTCAAACTTGCAACTAATAATTTGATTTTTCTTGTTGCTGTTTATTGAAAGAATAAGCAATTTTGTGATTTTTGACAGGTGAACTTTCTGTGAGTATTTGAAGTCAGATCATTCATAAAATAACCATTATGCAGCATAATGGCTGCATGTCCCTTTTGGGCAACACAGATTCCGCCATTTTCACAAATGATTCCATTACAAACATCATCTTCGCATTTTTCCCCAACTTATAATCAGGGCTCTCTAAAACTTGTCATAACTAACGTAAGAAAAATTTTAAATTTAGAGCCTTTTATATGGGTCCCGGCAAGAGCATGTCGGGATTTCAGATTCAAGAGCGCAAACTCCATGATTTTGACAAAATCCATCGCACGGATGATCTTGACAATATTCTCCAGTAAAAGGGTCAATGCAGTCGCAAGAAAAGTTTTCTTCCATTTCATTGCAAGTTCCGCCATTGAGACATGTGATGCCATCGCAATATTTTGGGACTGTTGACAGAATCTTTTGAGTTGAAGAATATTCAGTCTCGAAAATAGTTGTTGTCTTTTCGGCGTCAGTCGTTTTGTGAACGATTTGTGAAGGCTCTGTGGATTCGGCTTTCAGAGTAGATGGTGTACTGAATTGCTCAAAAGTATCAGTGACTACTTCCGTCATATCAGTTGTTATGCTATCGGTGGTTCCTTTTTCAACGGAAGGAGTACCGTCAGGAACAGTTGATGATTCATTGACCTGCTCAGAATTATCAGTGATTTCTTCCGCCTTATCAGTTGTTTGAAAATCGGTCGTTTCTTTTTCAACGGAAGAAGTACTGCCAGAAACAGTTGATGAATCATTGTCTTGGTCAAAAATATAAGTGGCTTCTTCCGTCCTATACGTTGTAGCATCAGTTGTTACTAAAAATTAGAAAGCACGTTTATATTTATTTATTTCACCGTCTACGTTGCTGTCATCATGTCCTTGAACAAAATCCTGTTTTGTCAGAAACATGGGAGCCGAAAACAGCAATGAAAGCGACAAAAAAGCAGCGACTATTCCAAAAATAAAAATGCATTTATCTCTTTTCCGCGACATTTTATTCTTTTTTCTTGAATCAGTACAAAGAAAAATTGTCACTATTGAATTTCAGAATTGAAACTTCAATAAAGATCATCACTGTTGTCAGATATTGTCACAACCGGAAATGTTTATCAGCTCATATCTTTTGCATAAACAAATACACTTTGTTACTCAAAGAAGAAGAAGTCTTATCGAGAACTGTTGATTTTTTTTATTCATTCATTTCACCGTTCGAATCTGGTTATTGAGTTGAATTGTCTTGAACTCACTTAATTATTTAATTCCAACATCGGGTTTATTGAAAGAGCGGTATCTTCTCGGAGAAGAACATGTCGCTTTATTCTTTATTTATCAAAACAAACCATTTATTTGATACGCGCCAAGGACAGAATCGTCCTTGTGTTTTAATTCAGCGGTCAACCCTTTTTTCGAATTCTGACATCGCCGACGGGCGCATCAATTCGAATAAGAGCAAAAACATTTTTTTTCTGTCAAAATCGATAAAACGGCTTAAAATGAGAATATGAAAAAGAGAAGAGACGAAACGAAAGATCGAAAAGTCTTATTTTTTAAATTAGTTATTCAACGATGAGTTTGCTTTTTCAATTCTGCCAGCGTCGGAAATGGTGGTTTTTCTGCATTTGTATCGCGGCTCTTGGGACGTTTATAAGTTTCGAGCACATGAAATATTCAAAGACAATGGCTGATCTAATTGAAAACATCACATACGTGGCTGAAAGGGAAAATAAACTTGTTCACGGCGTTTTGGAGCTTTCAAAAAGAATGGACCATGTTTCGGACAAATTGACTTTAGTCAATAGGAAAATAAGGAGCTTGGACGCATCTGTTCCGCATGAAAGGACAATCAAGGTAATCATCTCTGAAACCGTCGAAATAAATCATTTTTCTCAAAGGTTTTTGGCATCCCAGAAGCAGTAAACGAAACAGACACTATTCTCGAAGAAAATTTCCGAAATCTCTCATCAAGTCTTCTCAAAATCGAACTTGGGCCGAAGGACGTTGAAGCTGTCGACCGAGTCGGGGGTTTTCAAAAAGCTTATCCAAGGGCAACGATCGTCTACCTCGGTGATAATGATGTCAAAAGAAGGCTGATTCATGCTTCGGCGGAGAAAGATGCAGGAATGAAAGTGATTGATAATCGACCGTATGGAACGACAATGGATCCTGATAGACCGGAAGACTGCAACTTGGGCATTGCAAGTAAGAATCAGTTACTTTTTCAGAAAGTCATTCTTTGTTCTCTAGAATTCGAACAGCCCGTCTTCGTTGCCAACTTCTCCCTTGTCCCTGAAGGCGCCTGGCTGACCGATTCCGCCTCGAATGGCTCCGAAATCTATGTCTTTCAGCAACAAGGAAAGTCCAAGTCTGTCCTGAAATTCAACTCAACAGAAGATCTCATCGCTGACAAAATCGCAGAAACATTTAACCTTCCTCACCCTTGGTACGGAACTGGTCACGTTGTCTACAACGGAGTTTTGTATTATGTGAGAGAGAAGCCCCTGGGAATCATCAGATATGAGTTCGCTGCTAGAAGAATGAGGAAGCAAAAGGAGCTGGATCATGCGACGATAGAAGAGTGTACTTATGAAGACAGTGAGCTTGGAGGAGTAGAGCTGGCGGTGGACGAGACTGGCCTCTGGGTCACTTACTGCAATACAGGTACTCCAGCTAAGATTTGATATAAAAGCTCGCTTGAAGAAGAAATATACTGATAAGCTTATGTCTTTCATATCAGAGGAAGCTGATTAATTTCTATTAGAATATTATAAACAGATGTAATGGTCCCTGACAGATATCCTCTAGAAAACAGGCGAGGTCAGGCCGGTTAGCTCAGTTGGTTAGAGCGTCGTGCTAATAACGCGAATGTCGCAGGTTCGATCCCCGTACTGGCCATTCTTTTACCATTATTCTCCTTCATCACAAGTCTTTTTAGAATCACATGGGAATATTGTCCTCACCCGTCTCGACCTCTTCTCCTTGGAAAACCGCCGAACATACCACTCGACGCTTCATAGAAACTGGCTCATGCAGAGTTTCATCGCTTGTGGTGTCTACTACGGCTTCAGGTCGTTTGCAAGAGACAACTCTGTCGTTGTCAAGTATGCTTTCAACAGCCACACTTTCAAAGTCGATCAAGTTTCAGAAATCTTCGGGAATTTCTCGATCTCACAAGCTTATTTCGATACGAGAACGTAAGTTTTCATTATTCACCAGAAAATTAAATTAGTTTTAGGAAGAGGATATACTTTTGGACGACAGAAGGTCGACTTGGATACAGTCAGCTCAACTACAAAATAGCTCAACTCGGAAACGAGAGCTGACGTTTGCCTCTGTGATATTTATATGTACAATTATAGACTAAAATAATATAGTTATAAAAAAAAATGCAATCCGAAGCAGAAATTTTTTATTGGGAGCAGTTTTATGTTGTCGGCGAACGAAGGTTTAATTTGTTTTTGAAATGTAATCACATAAAACTTTTGCCGTAACTCGACTTCTTGGAGACCTACTCGTAAAAATTGTCAGTAAAATTTTATGTCTTCAGCGGGCAAAGCCACCGAGGTATCAGCAGCTTTGCAGAACAGAGAAACAAAATTATGAGAGAACTTCTTTTGTATTTTCTCATCTCCGCAAATGCGAAATCCGTTGAGGAGGTTTTGGCCAAAAAACTTTTGTACGATGCGGGATACATGAAGAGTGTCAGCCCTCTCAACCCAGAGTACGTACAACTGGACGCAGGAAAATTATAATGAGTATTATTTCAGGTTCACATGGTTAGATCCATCCCATGAAAAATTTGATGCTCCAGCAATTTGTAAAAAATGGTTTAAGAAGATGAAACAAACTTGGTCATCAGATTACGAAGAATCGCGAATTGCAAATTATGCATTCAACTGCGAATGGGAAGCGTCGGAAGGCTGGACCTGGAAGAAAAATGGAGAGAACGACTGTGTTGGCTGGCTTATGAACATCTTCTACGGTCCTGCCCAGGGCTGGCAAAATGGTGCCCCGCTGGCCGTACTTACAAAAAAACAATGGTTGGGCCCCCAAAAAGTAGTTTGAGCGAGTTGGTGCGGTTTGTCTCCAACCGCTTTATTTGATCAAAATAGATCAAAATTAATAAGTGGAGTCTTAAGCCAAGTAATTGCGGATAGTGTGGCACCAATTCGCTAGCCCTGGTTTTGACTATGGAAGTCAAAATGTTGAGTATAATGGCGCCTGCGATCCAAAGAACGGACCCGTTGAATATGAAGATTATGGTTCAACAACTCAATCGTCAACTTCGTCGGCAACGTCGACCAAGTCCCCAAGAACCGGAGAAAATCCGGAGCAACGTCTCGCTTATGCTGAGGATCTTGATCTCCTTGACGATGTTCTAACTGTTATGACTTCCGACGCGATGAAAGTTAATGTCGAAGTAGAACTGGTGAGCTTGAATGCGTTGGAACTTGCAGATAGCGCCATGGATACGACCATTGTCGTATTTTCTTCATGGACAGGTATCTGTTTACTCTAAACCCAACTTTGGTCCTTATTGAAGATACACTATCTTTACCAACATCTTTTTTAAGACGATAGGCTGAAATGGGATCGAATGTATTACAATGACACACAAAAGATCGAAGTCGACCCAAATCTAATCTGGACTCCCCCAATTGAGATTGTCAACCTGGACACCTGGGGTAACTTTGCTAAGGTAAGTTCGATTTCAAAAAGGCACCTAGTGAAGAAATTGTTTAGATCCAAGAATACGGCTGCATAGTTAACTACCGCGGAGAAGTAAAAATGTCTCGAAAGCTTCGACTCAGCACTTCTTGCTCGATGGACCCCGCCCTTTACCCTTTTGATGTTCAAGTTTGCTCCATCGATCTGTCAACACCGGGAATGCCGATGAGTAAACTTTCTCTTGAAGTCACAAAATGGATGTTCAAAAATGGCGTCCAGTTCGATCCGAAAGATGGGGAGAAGTCGTTAGATTACAGTCAGACCGATATGACTGTTCTTCAAAATGTTTTTTACGACGACAATCCAGCGTGGAATTTTCTTGGGTATAAATTCACTGATGTGGCGATAACTGGAAATGATGGGAACAAATATTCTAGAGTTCAAGGAATGGTTAGATCATACCGTATTACCGTATTAATAATAATACGGAATTCTATGCTAAGAAAAGAAAAATGATAAAACCATAGGAAGTTACTTTTGCCGTAGCTCGTAACATCGCTTTTTATGAGCTAACGCTCTTCCTGCCTATTGTTTGTATGTGCATTCTGGTCGTTCTCGGTATCTGGATGCCGGTTTCTTCTGGTGAAACACTTGGATTCCAAGTCACAATGCTCTTGACCATGATTGTTTATTTGGACGTTCTTTCCAGGAACGGCTCTAGAATTTGCGCGTCTGATGTTAAAGAGCAGAGTCTGAGCCATGAACTAGTTCTGTTCCGATTTTCAAGGATATCAGCATCGCTCCTCGTCTTTTGATCATGTTTTTGATCATCGCCATCGGAAGCGTCTTCGCTCATATTATCATAAGTAAGAAATTTCTTGAGAACTTTATGATTATGAGCTTTATGACAACATGTTTTATTATAGCGATGAATTTATGGTGCCACGATAAAACTTCCGACCGTGTCTTCACATTCGACCGGTGGAGAGCAAAGTTCGCTCTTCGATGCGCGAAATTTTTCCAGGTCTTCAAGCATGGAGTCTACACGATTCCTACTGTCATCACAAGTCTTGTCAATGGCGAAGATGTGAAAGGTATATTTTCCTCCTTGATTGCAATAAGCCAAAGTGTTTTCAGATCAAGATAAAGATGCTTTCAAAGAAGCTTGGATTTTCTACGGAAAGATCTGCTCGCATTTCTGGGCTTTTATTCTGTCATCGGTTATCCTGATTTCGATGATTGGCATCATCATCGATATGCACGTTGAAAGTTCAGTTGCGCAAGCAAACTTTTCCTGAATCCTTTGGCATGCGTTCTTTCTCTCTCAATGTTCTCAATCATTATTTATTTGCATGTTAAAAGCTTGCCCGCGATTGCGCTATCTTCCTGAAAGAAGCATTCTCTTTTCTACATTTATTAAATCGACATAAATAAAATTTTTTCGTACAGTTGTGTGAGGAGTTTCCACACTCCCATGTTGTTCATTTTTTATCAAAGTGAGGGTAAAATATCTCGGACAGCGAATTTCTAATGATCTGCTCTATTATCTTGCGAAACTGGTCGCCAACCATTACCTCTGGGACCTCCCTTATATTTAAGAAGCCAGTCTCGAGTATCAATACGTAAGCCAGGATCATTTTTAGCTTGCCGAGATAATTTACCTGCTGCACCATGGAAAGAATTTATATATCGTGCAATTGGGCTCTCTTCATAAGAAGGCTTCCTGGAATACTGTGAACCCGCCGGGTGAGACATCTCAGTTCTAGAAAATCATTTCAAATGATTCATTTGTTGAAATTGCGTTTTTACGCTAGGCATCAAAATATTCAAATAATACCTGAGTCGATCAGCGAGCAACTTTGCTGGATCAGAAAATACAGATCCAAGTAAAAGAAAAACAAAAAGAAACATCATTTTTTTCGAAAGAATCGTTTATTGCAAAGTTCAAAAGAGAGACCTGATTTTATATACCGTAGAGCCTCATTTCGATAAATATGCCGACGCAGACCGGCAAATCTGTTTTTCTGTTAACTCCACTTTGCAAAAGTCGCTAAAAACCAGATAGAAGATGAAAGTTTGCAAATAACATAAACCGTTTCTGATTTATCAAAACTAAATTACGGTAATTGGGCAGCGGTGATGCCGCATAAGCCCACTCCCAACATGGAAGCGCTTGTATCGCAGTTATCTAAACGTCTCCCCCATCAACCACGATATCTTGTCTTTCCGTCATGTTGACCCCATTTCCCTTAGCAAGTAGCTCTTACAAAATCAAATAAAACCACGTTGAAAACGCAGTAAAAGTTGATTCACCATTTTGTTAAAAATCGTGACAAGACCGCAAACCCAGTTTTTCTTTGATTCAAAACATCAAGAAAAAACTGCTTTTCGGTAAAAACAAACTTTTTATTTCATGAAAAACTTTTTTTGAAACAGGTCTCTCGCTTCTTATTGGCTGATTAAGCTAAAACAGGCTTCTTATTCGTCAAAAAATGCGCTTGACCCAACGGCCAATAAGAAGCCGAAAATCCGTTAATTACCAAATTTTTCAAGAAAACAAATGTTGCCTTTGAGAATTCGAAAAATTTTTGCAGGTTCAACTGAAAGAGAAAACTACTATTATTTGGAATTGCGTGATTTTCGACGCGTTCGAGCTATAATTTCGCCGCGTCGCTTCCAGATTGTCACCTGACCTAACGCTGATTGCATCTCAAACTCATCAACGACCTGTAGGATCAGGCAAAGGCGAGTGAAAAGTATTGAAGAAGCCTGGGGTCGAACCAGGGACCTCCGTGTTCATGAACCGGTGTGCTACCACTGCACTACTTCTCCGGGGACTTTGTCCGCCATTCGAGCCAGTTACTATGCCTAAGAGGAGAGGACCTTCTCCCACAACTCCCCCTAGTAACTGCTCTAACAACTCGTCTTACATATGCCGCCTTGGGTTTTGGTTCTTTGTCTGGTGCCACGGTCCCCAACCGTTACAAGCCTACCAACCCTCCCAACCTTCAGCTTCTCCTGAGCTACTGAGTGAACCTTTGTCAATCTCAGCTTAGGGTTTGTTTTGGCTACCTAGACAACCCACTGTCTTCACCAGTTTGTAGGATCAGGCAAAGGCGAGTGAAAAGTATTGAAGAAGCCTGGGGTCGAACCAGGGACCTCCGTGTTCATGAACCGGTGTGCTACCACTGCACTACTTCTCCGGGGACTTTGTCCGCCATTCGAGCCAGTTACTATGCCTAAGAGGAGAGGACCTTCTCCCACAACTCCCCCTAGTAACTGCTCTAACAACTCCGCCTTGGGTTTTGGTTCTTTGTCTGGTGCCACGGTCCCCAACCGTTACAAGCCTACCAACCCTCCCAACCTTCAGCTTCTCCTGAGCTACTGAGTGAACCTTTGTCAATCTCAGCTTAGGGTTTGTTTTTGGCTACCTAGACAACCCACTATCTTCACCAGTTTGTAGGATCAGGCAAAGGCGAGTGAAAAGTATTGAAGAAGCCTGGGGTCGAACCAGGGACCTCCGTGTTCATGAACCGGTGTGCTACCACTGCACTACTTCTCCGGGGACTTTGTCCGCCATTCGAGCCAGTTACTATGCCTAAGAGGAGAGGACCTTCTCCCACAACTCCCCCTAGTAACTGCTCTAACAACTCGTCTTACATATGCCGCCTTGGGTTTTGGTTCTTTGTCTGGTGCCACGGTCCCCAACCGTTACAAGCCTACCAACCCTCCCAACCTTCAGCTTCTCCTGAGCTACTGAGTGAACCTTTGTCAATCTCAGCTTAGGGTTTGTTTTGGCTACCTAGACAACCCACTGTCTTCACCAGTTTGTAGGATCAGGCAAAGGCGAGTGAAAAGTATTGAAGAAGCCTGGGGTCGAACCAGGGACCTCCGTGTTCATGAACCGGTGTGCTACCACTGCACTACTTCTCCGAGGACTTTGTCCGCCATTCGAGCCAGTTACTATGCCTAAGAGGAGAGGACCTTCTCCCACAGACCTTTCCAACGAGAACCACCGAGGTGGCAATTTTGTGGCGCAAAGCGCGCGTTCTTTCTCTCCACCGATGCTCTCTTCTTGTGATAAGTGATGCTTTTACGCGTTCATATTTCGACAGCCACGATTGTGTTGAGGGTACACCTGCTGATACTCTAAGAGTGCTCTTAATTTTATTGAGAGAAAACAATTAGCATCGCTAACTAGAGGACTGTTTTATTTTAGGGTACTACCTTCGATTATACCAACTTTCCGCTTGAATAACTCGGAACCTGTAAATGCTGGAGTTTACCATGTTGGGTCTATAAGTAGATCTTTCTTAGATCTTAAATCTGTCAGAGCCGTTTCTAGAATTTTGATAGTGGGAATGAAAGATGTAACATTTGTTGCGTAAACAGCTATTAAGGACCCCCGTCAGCTTTTTCCTTCGAAAAATGGAAATTTTTAAAACACCATATTTTTGGTTCTTAATGCGTCCGAGGGTTAAACTTGCTTCAAAAACATGACAAGAGGAATATTTGACTAAGAAAAATCAATTTTTATGCCAAAATTGAGGCAAATTTGTCAATTTTCGACGAAAAGTCCAATTTTCAAATGCGATTTTGAAGGTGTTAGAGTCGAGATAGACCCCCAAAAATGAAGCCTCAAAATCGTTTTTTGACCTGAAGAATCCATTTCCGGGGTCAAAATTTTAAAATTCAGAAATTTGATTTTTCGAAAAAAGCTGACGGGGGGTCCTTAAACGAGTAGAAGCCGTGTAAGTCTATTTTTCCCGTTGAAGAAATGGGCCAAAAACGTTTCTGATAATTTGCTGCCCCCACAGAGACTAATCCTCGGTTAGAAAATTCTCAGCCGTAGTTACACGCAAAAAACGTGTTTATATATTTAATTCGCTTGAAAATAGTCAACGTGGTGCCCAAGAGTATTGTTGTTTAGCTTCTTGTTTAGTGTTGTTTGGGGCGGCTGCTGACCCACCGGCCATGGGACACATTTTTTCAGTTCACGTGGATTTCCAAAAACATGATTTTCAATCAGATCTAGGGGTGGAATTATTGGAAATATGTGACTTTCGAACCGCTATTATCAAAAATCTTTCATAAGTTCAAAAATGAAAGAATAATCTGTCGAACCCCTTTTTAAAATCGAGCTCTAGAATGCTAGAAAGGTAGACTGTCTAACGTGTGACGCAATTTCAATTTTAAAACGTAGCCATTTTTACGATTTTCCGTGAAAATTGTGCCCCCGTTAATTTGTCATGCATCTGCGGCGATAATTTTTTGACAAAAAAGAAAAACTCTTTTTCTTCTTTTCTTCGGTAGAAAGTTCTTTTTATGCGCAGAAATTGCAACTTATAAGTTATGAAGCATAACAACGGTATTATCGGATTAGGAGATGTAAGCACTGTTAATTAAGAATCAAGCCACTTCAAGGAGCAAAGACGCTCAACGGCTCGAAATTGTTCAAAAAGGAGGAAGGTTGTTGCTCTTTCGCTCCGGCCCCGCAGTGAGATTTGACAATAAAGAAAACTTTTTTTCTGACCGAATACATCCGATTACTGACGAGTATTTTAAAATACGAATGAATGAACTTTCAAGCCTCAGTCAGCTTTAATATGACTCTTTTGATAGCAAATTTCTCAAATTTAAGTTTCCTGAATGCCTTCTTTTTTGCTATCGATGGGGATTTTAACCTCTTGTTAGCGTGACTTATCTTCAGTTATAACTGCCTCGCAAATTGAATGATAAGGATTTATTAATTTGTCTCCTCGCCGTCATCATCTTTTTTTTCCTTTTTCGATCAAGGAAGAAAAAACTCAGAGTTTTGAGGAAAAGGTCAACAAGTTTCGTGTGTTTTTGTTCAAATAGAATTTTTGATGGATAAGGAGCTCTAGTGCTCGTTGCAAGGGGTAAGCAGTTTACAGCTAAGTGGTTATGGAGAACCAAATTATTTTGTCAATAAACAATTAAATACAATCGAATTAGATTGAATTAAACAAAAAAAAAAGAAAAAAATCTAGCAGGCAAAACGACAGATCAAAAGAATATGCAGATTTGATTAATAAAAAAATTAACGATGCTTTGAAAATGATTAATTACAAAAATAAGAACGCATAACACCGCTCTTGATGATTGAGAAAAAACGCTGTGGCGCCCTCCAAACCGCGCGGCGTGAGCGGAGGCCGGCGACGATCGCGCTTTTTTTGAAAAAGTAACCGACTGATTCTTGTGCTTTTTGGTGAATTATCTTTGAGTTTGAAAATGGTAGAGAATAGGAGACGACGATTTACTCGACCTGATGTTTTAGGTGAGATTGTAGATTTAAGATTTCGAGGAAAATCAAAAGAAATAGACCTTTTGCCTTTTCCTGGATACAGTAAATTATGGAACTTTTGGACATTTTTTGTCCCAAGATTTTCGCGAAAATGTCCAAAAATTTGATGCATGCTGTCAGAAAAAATGTCCCACCCAAAACGTTTAAAAATTTTTTTTTTGAGGAAAATCTCCATCATCCTCTGTTTCATCCTTCTTCTAAAGACAAAAAATGTTCTTGGGGTACTAGATCAAGCTTAAATCTCATCATTTTCAAAAAAAAGTAAGATTTTCGATAAGAAAAAACGCCATATCTGGCAAAAAACGGGAAATTTAAAATTTTGGCGCAGAAAATGTCCAAAAATTTGATACAGGCACTTTTGAAAAGTGTCCCAAGAAAACCCCTTAAAATTGCAAAAATGTCCAAAAAATTGATGTCCAAAAATTCCATAAAAACTGTATTATTTCTAGTTCAATAGGTTAAGAACAATAAATCTCTATTTTTCTTGGAGGTTGTGTATTATTACGGATATAAGCATACGACTCAAAAACTGCCAAGAAAATGTTCATTGTGTGAGTAAAAAGAATAAAAGGTTCCTATCATAAATCCGAGCTTAAGATTGATATCCTCATCATCTCAATATTTTTGATCATTTTAAATGATTCATTTATGTAATAGAAGTCAAAGAGCAATCTGAATGAAGAGTGCATTGTGAAATTTTCCTCGAAAAATTAATTTCTAAACTACAAAGAGCCCTTACTCCTCACTCGACTCGGGCGAACACGTGCCCAATAACTGAGCGTAAAATTACCCGCAGATTTTTTTCTCCCTCTTTTCGATAACAAAGTTCTAAAAACTCATATCACTTCAATTTTATTCATCACACTCATCATTTTCTACTCTTAAATGTTTCTTTTTCAATCGTGTCATTTCCCGTTTTCCCGTTTTTTCAGTAATTGCTTTCAGCTTTTTGTCTTTTTGACAGATGATTATTTCATAAATATTCGTTTACTTGTATGTTTAGTTTTCGGGGCGTTTATTCGTAACATTGTCCGTTTGTCTTTGACAATAATTCTTGTTGGACATGGGAATTTAATGATTGACCCTTTAGGAGTAAAATAATAAGGTAAAGAAAATTTCTTTCAGTGACAGAAAGGAATATTCTAGAGCCGTATTAAAGTTCAAAATCGCTAATTTATGTAATTTAATGACTACTGTATACTTGACTGTATTCAAATGAGCATTGAGAGCGTGAAACTTATGTTTTCCAAACACATTTACTTGAAAAAACGTGTGAGCCTCTCTATGCAAAAGTGCCGCCCCAGAACATGTGTTTATTATAATCAGCAAGTTGGTGTTTGCATTAGCACTAGCAGCTTACTTTTGCAATAAATAGCGAAATAATAGTTACATCAGGGTGGGAAGCCCGTGGAAATTACCGTTTAGAGTATGAACGACCGGAAAGAAGAGAAAGAAACACTATCTCGGGACACTTCACTGCCGGACTTAGAACGGATTTTTGGACCTAAAAGAACTTCTGCTTCTGAATTTTTCAACCTCAGCAAAAAATAACGAAAAATAAAAGAAGGACTCTTTTTCTTTTATTTTTCGAAAAATGACTCATTATCATAAAAGCTGGAAAAACGCTGCCGAATTGCAAAGAAAAAGTTGCAAAGCGGCTTCAGCTGCCGCCAATCCTCTTCGAAACATTTTTGGGCTGCATTTTAAAACCTTTACTCCCCCTCGTTTTCTGACAGCGTGTGTCGTAGTCGAATATGCAAAACGCATATTTTACGAAACAACTGCCCTAAATCTGCTGCAAGGGGTTATTGTGTTAACAAATCTCAATACAGGAGGCTCCCGTTATTTGATAAATCTGGCAACCTAAATAAAAACCTGAGTCAGGTTTTGAAGAGCCTCAATTTAAAGCCGCAAAGCGGCTTTTAATAAAGCCGCAAATCGGCTTCGATTTCAAAAAGCCGCAACGCGGCTTTTTATTGAAGCTTTTCAGAACCTGACTCAGGTTTTCGACACAGGTTGCCAACTCTAGGTAAAAACTTCTTGTTAAATTTTTTAAAATATTTGGTTGACGCTGAATTCGCTGAAATTAACGAATCCACGTCTTCTTGTGGCTGCGGTCTGGCAGTAATCCCTTCCCTGTTTGGTTGAAAGTGTTACTCTAAGCGGATTAGAGTTCAAGTGCACCGAGGAGTGATTCCATTTCAAATCCGAATTAGAATTTCTAACCATTATTCCCAAAAGAGGGGGCCAGCTCAGGAAACATGCATGCCTTGACATTTTCAACGTTCAGCTAAGAGATCCACCATCTAAATGGCCATTTAACGCGCTAAATAGACAACACTTAACCTATTATACAAATCGAACTCTAAAACACACGGGCATTTAATATTTACAATGCTCTTGGCTCGAAAAACTCTGTGGAAAACCTGAGTCAGGGTCTGAAAGATATTCTAGACCCTGACTCAGGTTTTCAACACAGGTTGCCAAGCCCAGCCAGTCCCCTTTATTTCAAAAAACAGAAACAGAAAGTTTCTAAATGGAAAAATTAGAAATCATCGTGAAAACAATCTAATGATTAATATTTCTTCTAATATATTCTATTTTGTTAGCGGCCCGGCGGACTTCCTACGATCCGTTCGGAAGCACGCTTCCCGTCAACTTTCCGCCGCCAGACTCGCTCAGCACCTCTTCCACAACTTCAACCGCCAGCTCAGGTAATATCTTATCGAACTCATGATAAGTGGTCAATTGAAAAATTGAAATCGAATGTTTCAATAAAATGAATGTCGATTAAAACGTGTGGGGGCATTTTTTGATAAGCCTTCAATTGAAAATTCTAGGGCCTTATCAGCCTTTATTAGATTCAAAGTTATTTTGCTCGTAAAAAGGGTCCAACGGATTGTAGACTTGCTTTTGGATAAATAGAGAATAAAAAAGAAAAGCTGTGTTTTTTATTGATAGATTCAATATTTGCTCAAGAAACGGGCTAATTGAGATAATTGCTTGTATATGCAGTTTTTGTATTTTTCGTAAATTTTAGATTTAATTAGCTATTCAAATGCCTTGATACACCAAAGCAACCTTTCAGAGGATGACAAAAAAGTCGGATAAAAAATATGATTTAAGGGGGTAGAACTAGATTTTTCGAAAATAAGTGACTTTTGAGAGCATCTTTAAATAAGAAAAACCTGTTTTTACTTATGTTAACGAAATTTCCTCAAAGATGTTGCTAGAAAAAGCGTTAAACTATCAAAAAATGAAATTTAAAAAAAATGCCTAGCCACGTGACTCGAGAAATTTGAGGACGCGAATAGGCTAAAATGGCGATTTTCGATGAGATAGGTTGGTGTATCGCTCTCTACCGCCAAAATTTGTTGACGAAAAATTTTTTTAAGAAAAATGTTGTTAGATCTAGGTTTGCTCTATCTTCAGCTGAAGAGAGAATTTGAATATCTTAGCTTGCCTGGCTTTGAGCGCCGGTCTAGAATTGCCTATTTTCGAAAATCCTAGTTCTACCCCCTTAACCCGTTAACAGGCCCGTGGAGATTTAATCTCCACGCGTGGAAATGAGTAGCCAATCGGATGCCCGGATTCATGATTTCACTCAATCGCAGACATGCAAAAGCGTAGGTGAAATCGACCACCCTGTTAAGGGGGTGGTGGTCGAGACTAAGACTTTTTTCAACCTAAAAAACTCCAATTTTTTCAAAAAAATATTTTTTTCTCTGATTGAAAATAAGTTAAAAAGGGTCCAATTTATGCGGGCGGCTATGTTTGAAAAAAATAATTTTTCGAAAAAATGGTGAAAAATTCCTTCAAAGTAGACCCATCTCTTGACCTAAAAAACTCGATCCCCTTAATATTTTTTTCGAAATAAAACTTACCGAGAGGAAAGTTTAAACCCTTATGCGTGTGGGCGGCTTAGTTTTACAAAGTTCAGCCAGTTAGAAAAGAAAATAGTAATTGAATGAAAATATGTTGTTTTCTGAAAAAATCGTCATTTTACTCATTTTTCAATGAAATTTTTGTAAACATAACAATAATCGTAATTTTTTAGATTTTTATAAATGAGATATGATCAAGAAACATAAATTCGCAATGAAAAAAACAATTTTGAATCGGTTTTAGTGAGAAAAACGCGTTTCAAAACTCCCCAAAATGGCGATTTCAAAGTATAAAATCGAAAATTTTCTTAAATAAAGTTGGTCCAATCAAAAAAAGCTAGAGACCAAAAATGCTCCTTTTTTATCAAGGAATCTAAAAATAATATCAAAATTTTAAAAAGTCCGAAAAAATTTTCTCGACCACCACCCCCTTAACGGGTTAAGAAAAAAAAAGTCAAAAAATTGATAAAATTTTGAAAGGAAAAGGAGACCGATTAAGATCAATTTAAAAGCATTGGAAATTGCTTTGTCGTAAAAGCAGTTTAAAAAACTAGCGTCGAAAAAATGCCCGAAAGGTTAAAATTGACGGTGCGATTTAGAATCGCGATTCAAATGGCAAGCGCCTCCAACACAACCGAAAAACTCGATTTGGAGCGTCACGACGATGGTCCTCCTTAAACTCCGCGACGAGCTCAACTTCAGGTAATTCCCCTTTCCTTTCCCGGCGTTCGCTTGTTTCCGCGTAGACTCACAGCTAAGTAACCACAACTTTAGCTAGCTGGTCCGTGGCGGCGACCGAAAATATGCCACGTGACCCGAAAACGGGAATTTTTGCGGCTGAGCCTTCCAATTATGACGAAATAATTCGCCCCACGTTTTTATCTTTTCCGTATTTTTCGACCACTTTTTCTCCTTAAAATCTTAATGGTCTGAAACAAAGCAATTATGCAATAAAAAAGGAATGAACTTCAACAAAGCAACAATCTCGGAACCGGAAGGTTTTATGTGGTTTGAGCCCCTACCCTCTTGCCCTTTAAAGCTGTGGTCAAAGCACTTCTCTGATTTTTAGCTCACTTATTTAACAATTCTTTCAGGAGAAAGAAGAACAAAAATGCGATTCAGGAAACGGTCAAACTTTTTTTAAACCGGACGAACTAAGATGGTTCAACAAACCGCCGGATAATGATCAAGTATTGTATCAACAATGTTGAACAATGTGCAGTTAGATCCGTGACAGTCGAACATTTCCGAAATCAAAATCCTCGAAGGCGACCGATTCATTTCCATGGCTCTTGTCGAAGGCTAGTGGCTCTGCTTGAAGTGAACACTACCCCTTTCTTGATGATTTCGTTCAACCAAGATTTGTTCCTCAAATTCTATCGTCTCCGCCATTTTCCAAAGAGCAAAAAGTGAACAAAGAAAAAGACATCTAAAATTCACCGAAAATCGTCGCTTCCGTAACAGGTTTGGTCGTTTTTCAAAATGTTTGTAAATTTAGGGCGAAGGTTATGTTACTACTGATGAGCTCCTCTTTCCGTCCCAACAATTCACTCAAGCAATCCTTCTATCCTTTTAAAAGTTTATTCTTGCTGTAAATAAAGTTTTACCCTTCTTTTCACTTTTTGATCTGGCAAGTTTTACCGGCAAAATTTCGAGGACAAGAGCATTTAAAATCAGAGGCATGGGTCCAGCAAAATTGAAAAGGATCATCTGTACAGTTTTTTATGTATTGAAAACTGCATTTTCCTCCATTTAAACAAGGCTTCTTTGTACAGGGCGTCTTCTCGCAGAATTCTCCGTAAAACACATCTCCGCATCGACAAAATGAATAACCACCATAAGATTCTTCTAGATTCGGAATTAAGGAGCCAAAGCATTCGCCGAAGTTTTGACAAGGCACAGTTCCGCATGTTATTGCGGATTCATTCTAACGAATTGCGCTTGAAGTAAAATAAATAAGTAAAACACTAAATATAAATATAAATTACAGCTCAGTATTTTGGCTCGGAAACTCATTCAAACCCTAACCCAGATCTTTGGCAACATCATTTCATTTGTTTCTAGAGCTCATTATTATGACTAAAAGTGATAAAAAAGATTAATCAGTTCAAATCGACACAAAGGTCGATCCCTCGGAGGCAGTGCACTGGGCAAATATTGAATGAGAACAAGCATTGTTCGCTTTTTCAGCAGGAAAACTGACTTAGAGAACTTTCAACCATGAAGCTTCCAGCTGCAGATTCCGCGATTCTCGCCGGTGTATCAAGCTTCATTGCTTATAAAATTCTGACAAAGTAACTGAACGAAATTTTTCGAAACTTAATTTTTTTGAAGAGAGCCGGAAATACAAGTCCAATCGAAAAAGCTCGTCGGTTACGTCGAAGAGTTGGTGATTTTTCCGCTTAAAACATGCCGAGGAATCCCGCTGACAAAAGCGATGGTCACCGGATTCGGATTGAAGTCGGGAAATTTGATCGATCGATTCTTCGCCACGAGGAAGTTGAATGGAGTCAAAACAAGTGCCATTCAAAACTTGCGGCTCAAGGAAAGAGCGAAAGCTAAATCTTTCTCGTTTGAAGTTGAATTAAAGTTGAAGCTCGAAAAAGCTTATTGAAGTCAAAGAAGGTGCAAACAACGAGAAGTTCATTTTCACCGCGCCAGATATGAAACCGCTGGTTTTCAATCTTTCCGACTGCGGAAAACCGGCTTCAATCGACTTTTACGGAGACAAAATCGAAGCAACCGACGGCGGGGATGCGGCAGCCGAGTGGTTCACTGAGTATCTTGGTGAAGAAACAAGACTGACAGTGAATCCAGAAGGCCGGGACGTCAGCAAGACAAACTGGATTCCGGAAAAGAACGGAAAAGCGCTCGACTGGAGATTGAAAGGCATCGAGTACATGAAAACGGACAATTTCAGCAATCACTATCCGATTCAGCTGATTTCGCAAGACTCGGTCGATGATGTCAACAAAAAGCTTCCTGCGAATAGAGACAAGATTTCTCACTGGAATTTCCGGTCCAATATCATTGTCAAAGTTAGACTCTCTTTTTTATACGTTCGTAATCTTCTTCAGACGCTGAAAAACGAGCCTTGGGAGGAAGACAAATGGATAGGAAGACTCCACATCGGCGATTGTATAATTGCAATGGCCCGAGAGTCCCTACGATGCCCCCTGATTACAGTTGACAAGGAAGAAATTACAGTCTGCCAGGAAGACGAGCCTACCAAGACGCTCAAGACTTTCAGAAAGATCAACCCAAGAGATGTTCCTTTCTTAGCAGAAAGAAAGCTCTGCAAAATTCCAGGTAATCAACGAAAGTCTATTAAGTCCTAACTCAAATTCTAGCTGGCACAGATCACGTGATCGTAAAAGAAGGCGAAATTCGTGTTGGAGATCCTATTTACTTGGAACAAGTTGCCTAAAACTGCCTCCGAGCATTTATTTATTAATAAATTATTCGATTAAACTTCCTCTCTTATTTCAAAGTCGATTGCATGTGAGCTTTGAACAGTGAATAAGCCCTTCTTTGATGCTCGTCTGAGCACTTTTCGCGTGCTACGGCAACCATTAAAAGAGGAGGGTGAACATGGTTGGGAAGAAAAATGGATTTTTGGACGAAAGAGAGAATTCAAGGTTCGTAAATATTTTCATATATTTTTTTTTTATATTCTGTAAATTGAATTTAAAAGTTGCTTTCTCTCTAGAGAATATCAATTTGAACCGAATTTTAGCTCGCTTCGATGAGATCTGGAGCTTCGGTCAAGGAAGCCAGCGTTCTCACGTTGACACTCCCATGCCTTGCCGGAGGATTCTTCGTCCCCAAGACTCACTTTCCTCCATGTCTTCGACCGACCCGTCGGATCAATACGAAGTCAATTTGTCGATGAAATTCTCGAACGACAAAGGTACCATTTTTCCTTCGACAAAATGAAAATTATTCCTTTAGAGTCATTCCGCCTCCAGAAGAATTTCGGTTTGTGGCGTAAGTTTTTTGCACTTGAGAAATTTGTTCAGTCTTTGGCGAAAAACAATCTCACGAGAAGCATAAAAAAGCGAGAAAGGGTGGAAAGAAGGTTCGCCTAGCTACTGGTAATCGAGAGAAATAATCATGTTGAATAATTATTCATTTTTAAGCTACCGAGAAACCCGAAGATACAGCATTTTAGAAATCATTCTTGAAAAATTCCTTCCATACTTACGTGAAAAGTTATCTCTGAAATAGAATAAAGATCGAAAAAACAACTTTGTTGAAGAAAAAAAAAGACGAGAAACAGAAAATCTTGGCCGAAAAGGAGTTTTGCTTCGGGTCCTTTTTACCGCGGCAGATGTGATTTTCGTTACACGGCTACAACTTGCTGAGTCTTGCCGTCAGCATGAATTACTTACAGGATTCTAGCCATTGGCTAGGTTCTGTTTAAAATTCAGAGACGCCGAAATCCTTTTCGAAACTGATATTTTCATAAAAAGGGGCCACAATTCTAACGGGTTCAATATTCTTCCCTGGACACATTAAGTTAATGTATAATAATTAACCTTTAAAATTGTGGTCCCCGGGAAAAGTTTGCCTGTTATATTTGAGCCCCCCTTTTATTGATCTTTCAAGACTCATTTAATAACTAAGAGATAAGAAGAAAAAACAAGAATTGGCAGTTTCTAACTTGTCCGAATGATGATGAAAGGAAATCAATTCACATTTTTCTTTGTGGTTCTTTTTTTAATAACGATGTTTTATGGTTTATCGAGAGCTTCTGATGATAGAGAAAACAGTCTCAAATCAGAAGAAATCATTCCAAAGCAACTTCCGCCGGCAGAAAATGTTCTTCTTTTGACAGGATATAGAACTGGCTCGTCGTTTTTTGGAGAAATCTTCAATGAAAACGAAGATGTTTTATATGTAAGCTCGTGTTGTTACAAATTATTTATTATGAATGTCCTAAGCTTTTCGAGCCCGATCATGAACATCTCGCAAAAAGGGGATACATGAACCCGAAAATTCAAGAAAAATGGGCAAACTACATTCTTGACCTCTTCGAATGCAACTTCACCAAGTCAAAACCATATCTTCCTTTTACCAAAAAGAGTCGTCAGCTCAACAACTACAAAATTTGCGACGAGACCGCATCATCAAAAAGAAGTAGATGTAGGAGATGGAACTGGACGGAAGCGGCAGAACTTTGTCATCAAAAGAAACGAGTGATAAAAACGATAAAACCTGCAGATATCGATGTTTTACTGAGTGTTGCGGATGAAAGAAATGTTGATTTAAGGGTGTTCATTTACTACAGGTTAAGATTTTCAGCGTTTATCTTCTCAAATAATTTTTAGAGACGCAAGACCTGTTTTTCTTAGCCAAAAAAAGCTCGGGAAACTGCGTGATCAGCAATATTATAAGAAAATGAGCACTTATTGCAACGAAAAAAGCAAGGAAAAGAAATTTTTCGACGAAAATCCCCAGCTTCAAAACAAACTTCATCAATTGAAATTTGAGGAGTTAGCGGAAAACCCATTTTTATATTCAAAAAACATTTACGATTTTCTTCAATGGGACTTTCCGGAAAATTTAAATGCCTGGATCGAAAAAAATACGAAGTCGTCTTCAGGTAAGAAATCTTCAGCTTTTTTCTTCTGAATTTTAAATAGGCGGAGCTTATGGGACTTCGAGGAATTCATCAGCCATCATTTCTTCTTGGAAAGAGAAAATCAACGAAGAGGAAAAGTTTATAGTCGACGCTCTATGTAAAGAATATTTGCAACTGCTTCAATATGAAATTTCATAAAACCGCTTTTTATATAAAATTTATCAATAAAAATATGTACAGTGAATAGAGGAGACGATTATTTTCTTCAGTAAATACAGGTTCCAAGAGATTGGAGTTTGTCACCAGGGCAGCATTCAAGAACATTTGGGTCGTATGTTTTTTCTCCGCAGCAGTTTCGTTGGCCATTTTTCGATCGGTACGCGTATGGGGAGCGCTAGAACGAAAATTAATTATGATAAAAAGATGGAATTTCTTATTGATCGAATATCGTTTAAAAAATGAGCGGAGGAAGGTGAGCATTCAGAGAGAGAAAAATGATTTTAACAGAAATTTTTGGCATATTAAATATTTTTGACGAATTTTAGAATGCACCAAATGATAAATTCTGCTCAAACAACGCGTGTCAAATCGCCAAAAATAAAAAATATTCGTCGAATAGAAAATCCGTGCGAAAATCTGATCAGATGAAACAGTACTTCCTCTCGTTTTATGCCAAGCTGTTATTAATGATTAATTCAGCTTTCGTAGGAGGCTTAATTCCGTCCATCAAAGTGGAAAAGGTACTTTTCAAATACGCTTCGAATTTGATTGAAAAGTCTGCTAGAAAAAACGAGCGCAACAAGCTGGTTTTTATCATCATTCTTCCTCAGGCAAAGTAAGTTAACAAGTGTTTTACGAGCCTGGTAAATTATTATTATTTCCATTTTACCGAGAGAAAATGAGCTGATTTTTCTTAATTCAATCTGAATGAAAAAATGGCATTTTTTTCTTGGGCTCAAGAAAAAGTGAGAAAATTTAGCATCCGGCGGCCAAGGAAAGTGGCAATATAAACGAATAATCTGATTTTATGATGGATTAAGAGGATCGATTTTAATTTTATGCCGCTCATTTACGGCCAAGGATAATTTGATAAAAATGAGAAAACGGGGACTGAACAGAAAAAACAATCTTGCCACTCAAAAAAGCCTAGAGGATGAGTCAGGGAAAAGAGCATCAAAACCTAATGACCCAAAAGTTCCAGGTGTGACGGTAAAGTCGAAATCCTTGACGGATAAAAATCAATTTATTCTTGGTAAGAGAATTTTTTTTTCTTTTATGAACGGAGAATTAAAGCCGGATCGGTGCTATTATTGATCTTTTCCTGCGTTTCGCTGGTCTTTACGATCAAGACAATTGTTCCTGGTCTTCACTCAAGACATTTGCAGGTAAATTTAATCTGTAGAATCGCGAAATCAGCATCTTTTAGGAAACCAATTGCACAGTTATCGATTCAATTTACAATGGAAAGATCATGTGCCCAGTCACAAATTTGAGCGATCGAGGATGCACTCCAAAAATGAACTGCTTAGAAATTTTCGTCTCAACAAATCCGAATTACGGAGACAAAACAGCTTATGAACGTTTTCATTTTCATAAATCCGAATCACGTAAACGGCAAAAAAATGAAATCGTTAAAAAGCTCCTTCACCAAAACGAATACTCGTTCGTTACTGATCTCCTGCCGTGCTCTTATCATCCCCCGCAGTGCACTTGCAATACGGACATTTTGAACAACGCGACTGAGAGATTCAACGAAACATTTGGCCTTCAGGAAATTATCAAATCAGTTACTTAGCTCAAAAAATTTCTGATTCGAATTTTTTGATAACGATGGAAAAGGGCAACAGCTTCTCATGTTTCCAGAGCACAAAAAACCCTCAGGAAGTAACTATGCATCGAATAATCAAGACTTCGGACATGGCTCACTCAATTTTTTGGCCTCTTTTTGGTAAGTTCAGCTGATGAGAATTAGGGGAGAAAATTATTTTCAGGGATCATTCTTTCCGTCTGGAGCATCGTGTCTTTTGCAAAAAAGAACAATTCAAAAATCAATCGACTTTATATCTACAATTATTTTGGTTCATAATCATTCTCTTCACTGTATTGAGAAACAAGTTCAATAATAAAAAAATATACTCCCGAGATCTTACTTTTGGATAGTAGCCGCAGCATCTAACATCAACTGGCTCTCGCTCAGTCACTGATCTTTCCACCCTCTGACAGCTCGTTTCAAACATGAACCCGCCATACATCGCGCTGTTGTTAGGATTCCACATAATCTCCATCTGAGCGAGCCCCTCCGCTAAACAAAATTGATTGTTAAAGATATGACGATCAAATCTCAACAAACCGAGGGCCTTATCGCATTCGCATTGCGCGCTGGAACATTTTGATTCTTCGCTCCTTTTCGCGTCTTAATTTTAAAAATTATTGATTCAACAAATTTATTCTTATATCAAATAAACAATAAATGATAAAGAAATGAAATTGAATAGAAAAGATGTAGTTTCATTTTTTTCATGAATACTTGAATTTACCTTTGCAATGAAGAGTTCTCTCTCCAGTCTTCTTATTCTCTTTCCCTTCAAATTCGTATCCCAAACTATTGATACAATCTTCTTGTCCGTAATCAATTCCGACGCATCTTTAAATTAAAATAACCACCTTCTAGTACATCACCAAATTATTGCTCTTTATAGCAAATACTCAATCGAGGATAACCAAAATAAATATATATTCAAGGAAGCAGCAATCCCTGTTGTGGTCTTTACCTGTAGCAAGTCTGAAACGCTTTGCAAACTTTATCCACCTCATCAACTGGATTTCCTCTTCCGACAAAAAGTTGAGCATCCCTCTGCGGGAAGCAGTAGCAACCGTACTGTAAGTACTTCTCAAGCGTGAATGCGCTCCTGTCAGCTTGCAAGAACATGACGACTTCGAGAATCGACTTGAGCTTGCGCTTACGGTTTTCAGCGCGCTGCGCTTCCGTGTCAAAGTATCCTCTTGAGTCGATCTTTACTTCTTCTCCGTTGAGTGGGGAAAGGGAGAGGAGTTCCTTCGCGATGGGGCTGTCAGATTCGGCCAAGAGCAGGTCGAAGTCGAAGTTTTCAAGTGATCCTGTCCAAGTCATATTGCTCGCTTTTACAAAAGAAGCGATTTGTAAAAGGCCGAAAACTCTCATTTTTCTCTATTTTTTCAAGAAAAAAAATATTTTTTTGGTTGTATATCTCAACAACGTGAACTGAGGTTATGACGGTGTTGTTTGATTTTTGTTGTTTTTGGTGATTTGGCGGAGCAGCTTGGTGCCGCCCAGTGCTCCTCCTCGAAAGCGAAAGAGCCCGCAAATTTCAATTGTTAAAAATGCAAAGCCGTTTTATTTACACCACACTTGTCAGACTTCTGGCTTCCTGCTGATTGATGAGTCAATAGAAGGATAACAAAGGGTAGAATTTAATTAAGAAGATGAAATACCGTTCATTTTATCTAAAAATATCCTGAATTTGAAGTCGACTTTGCCGATTTCCCAACATGCCTGAGCCTTTGTTTACACCTAAAAAGCTGACTGTATCTCTTTTGGTCTAAACAAAAAATGCACAAGCAGATCGGCAAATGACCAAAAAAAGTGCTCTCTCTGTAAGTGCTTGCGTTTTGGCCAAAGCATTGAACCTGCAAGATATTTTGAAGGCGTTTATTGCCGCACTCTGTCACATTACAAAGAAATCCCGTCATGCCAGGGATCACTCATTTTTTGACACGTGATAAATAATGCCTTATCAGGTATTTTTTTAGACCACTTCGAGCTTATTTTTATTCATAAAATTTTGAAAGTAACAGTGAAAGTTTGAACCCTTCTGAGTCAGAAGGAATGAAAATAATTAGCGACAGTCGCAATTTTCTCCTTTTTCGCCTTTTTTGCCATTCAATCCCCTCAAATAACCTGTTCTTCCGGGTTCTCCTTTGAATCCAGGCTCGCCTCGTCTTCCTGGCTCGCCAGGAGGACCAACCGGGCCAGCAACAAGTCGGACTGGACCAAGCTCTCCTTTTTGCCCTTGAATTCCAGGGGGACCTTTATTCGAGTTACAAAGTTTTAACGGAGAAATTCACCATTTATTAAATTTAAACTCTTTCCTGGAGGACCTTGAAGGTCTTTATTCTTATGAGCATTGATCAAAAACCTCTCCACAGAATTATGTCGTTCTTCTAGATCATAGAAGTCCTTCTCGTTGATTTCAAACTGAAAATGAACCATTTATCATTTTCTTCTTTCTTTACCTGTTTGATCTTCGATTCAAGGGAGGAAAAATTGTCACTTAGGGTTCGAATTTGAGACAAGAAATCGAACTTCATATGTTTCCAGCTTTTCAGCTCGTCTTTGATTTCTTCGATTTCCATATCAAAAAAGTTTTCTTCTGGAAGGGAGTTTTGGCGCTTATCTCTAAAATGATCGCTCTTTATCGCGGTTAACCGTGGACCACGGTCCGTGGTTTTTCTTCACCTGACACGGTCGACAAGAGCAGCTCTCATTTCCCAAGCATTCGGGTAATAAGCGCCATCTCCAGAGCCGGAAAAAGCATAGTCGTACTCTCGATCATAGTCGTCGACAAAATACAAAATCTGCTTAGCAAGTTGTTTGTTGTCTTCTTGAAGGCTCTTCATGTTTGTTTCTAAAATGTTGATGCGCGCGCGTTGAAAACGAATGTTCGAGATGAGAAGTTTTTGGTAGTTTTCGAGGATATCGAGGCGTTTATAGATGTCTTCGTTGATTTCAGTGGAGGAGCAGAGTGATAAGAAGGCAAGATAAAGACGCATTTTTCTGAAAAAAAACTTTACTTTTGTTTTTTCGAAGATTTTTTTCTGAAATCTTATTGGGCAACCCGGCAAACGCGGAAATCTTAATGGTCTAAAATTGGACAAACACATAGATCAGAATAGCAACAAAATTTTGTCAATTCGGGCTAGAAACAAAAAAAAAATAGATTTTTTTCAACCAAAAATTTAACTGAGAAAAAATTCAAACATACCTCGGGATCTCTCAGTTTTACGTTCTTTAGTAGGAATCACAATAAATCCTGACGATCAGGCAATAAATTTCTCTCGCTTTTTTCCTCTCTCGATTCGTAATAAATCCAAATACTTTCTCTACCAAATTTACTCTTCGCGGTTTTGTACCCGTTTCACGCTGTTTTACGAAATTTTTAATTTTGCGCAGAAGCGAAAAGTTTACAAAAGAGGAGTGCCACAGCACTCGAGATGAGCGATAAGGATCACGGGAAATTAGTTTTTCTTTTTGAAATCGATGGAATGAAAGGGATTACGCCCGCGAGCTGACCTGAAAAGAGGTTGATGGAGGTTTTCAATAGGAAGTCAATAGTCTGCCGGAGAAGACGGAGGTCTTTTTCATATGAATAGACGCCGGTTATATTTTTTTGTAAATAAGACAGAACGATTTTTATTTGCAGGATAAAAAAGGCAAGCTATATTATTAATTATGTTGGATTTTCATTGATCATCATTTCTGAGCTTTCCAAAGCTGAATCTGCCACTGATCGGGCTTGATTTTTCGGAGCTCATCTCGTGGACCAGCGGTGCGATACCATTTCTAAGCAGCTTCCGTGCTTTTCATTTTTGATGTCTCTTACCTTCGATGGAGAATGGAAGTATCACTTCTGCTTTTGCTCGAATGACGCTTCCAGAAGAACTTTTTGTGACTGACTTTTCCCATTAACGAGAGCTCAAGAGGAGGAGTTCGTTTTTCTTCGTTTTGAGATTTGAATAAGACAGAAGCCACTTTTTCTTCCAATTCATTGATGGATTCCGGCTCGTATTTGCTCGAAATCTTCAAATGTGCATCAAACTTCTCTTTGAAATTTTCTGAGAGTTCAACTGGTCCTTCCGTCGTCAATAAATCCGACTTATTCCCGACCAAAAATATCGAAAAGCTCTTCGAATTCCTTGCCCGTTCAGACTTTATCTTCATATAAAGAACTTCAGCGATTGCGACGGAATTTTGATTGACCAAATCGTAAACCAAGAGGACTGAGTCGGCCCAGCTGATCAAATCGCCAAAGTTTTCCCTGGAGTTTTCCCTGTCAGGATCAGTGTATTGGAGGACGATTTCGCGATCCATGATGACTTTGGTTTTTCGACCAGTTGCTTGGATATCGGCGTATTCCCCGATAAATCGACCTGCCGAAGTATAAAATAGAATACAAATGAGAATACGAGCCTGTAAGAAGCCTGACCATCAGCGCCGACTTTCCAACTCCAGCTCCACCGATGATAGCGATATTGAAGACCCCCTTTTTCTGCTCTCCAAAAATCGACGTCCTCGGATTCCTCGTGATAAAGTCTCGAAGACCTATCACTGTATTTTGCTTCAATAGCTTTTTCGGATTTTCCATGAGAATATATTTTTCTCTCTTTAGATACCGATCGTCGGTTTGAGGAGCGACCATTGATGCTCGGCGAGGCACTTGCGCGAAGATTTCCCGAGAGCTAAGAAAAGTACGGATTAGAACTAAGATTTAGAGCTTTTGACGGATTACAACTTGCTCTTAATTAATAGAAGTTATTTAAAAGATACGCTTACGCAGCTGCATTTTCAAGCGACTTTGTCCGTTGCTTTTCCAAAAGTTTGATTTGCAATCTTTTTTTCATTTTTTCTTGCTTGTCTCAGAATTTGAACGCAGTTCTGAGAGTGTAAGTCGCCAATTTGCAATTTATCGATACTCTGATTAGATGCTTCGCTGCGAAATTATAATGTCAACTGGAGTTTCTTGTCAATGCTTGATTGGCTCTGGATGATACTTTTCATGCTGCATTTATTCTTTTTATTTTTCAAAAATCTGAAATTTGAAAATTATTATTGACGACTCCAATTTCTTTTTCTTCACTTTTCTGATTTGCATCATTTCTGTTGAGCTTTTCCTTTGTGAAAAAATTGAGAATTTCACATAGAAACTCTGTCCCAACTAAGCAGCGTTAGAGAAGATATGTGATAATCAAACTTACTAAGAATATAAAGCCCATTGTACGCCCCCTGTGTTTGAGAAGCGTTTCCTTCAATTGCCATTTGAGAAAACTGAGTTATGATGAATCCGAAGATTCCATAGCTCATGTTCAAAATTGCAGACATAGAGGACTCAGACACGGGAAAAGTTATTTCAGCCATGAAGTCGTATGCGACTGTGAATTGAGAGGTCATCGTCAGTCCACAGAAACCAACGAGAATGTACATCGAAATCAGGTTCGAAAAATTCAAAAATCCAGTCAAAAAGGCAAGTGAAATCAGGCTCGAAACGACAGTAACAGTCGACACAATTTTGAAGCGCTTGGTTTTGTCTAGTGCGAAACCAAAAAGATACGATCCAATGATTCCTGCAAATATTGCGGCGAATCCCATCATGCCGATTTCGCTGTCGATTTTCTCCGAGTCGGGAAAGAACGGCTTGATAATTTGGTTCAAAAGAGTGAAGAAAGCAGAATACACACCAACATGAAGGCCACAAGAAAGCATGTACAGAACTGAATTTTTACTTGTGAAGATCCTCTTCAGGTCGCCAAAATATCGCTTGAATGCTTGATTTGATTCCTGTTTTACTGGTGTATTCCGCCTCTGAAGCTCTGAATTTGATGGTGGATTTTTCGGCTTGTCTTGAAACAAAAGAAGACCGAAACGACAGTAAGAAAAGCAATCGTCGCGGTGAAAATATTCATTCCATAAATTTGTCTTGAAACCTCATCAATCGCGGCTGTCGTGTTACTTTCCCCATGAATTGTTTGATTCGACCAGTTTTCATCAAAACCTGCTCCGTAAGTGTTGATCGGCCCTTTGACAACAAACGGAACAAGATATGATAGCGCGATTCCGAGCTGATCGCCAAAGACGGAAAGAGAGATCGCTTGGCCAAGCTCATTGTTTGGAAACCAGTTCGCAGCGATTTTCGGAGGAAGGGAGAGGACAATCGGCATGTTAATCTCCACCAGTGCTTGTCCCAACATAAGTACCCAATATCGCTCTGGATCGACAGATAAACACTTTATCACGGCGCCGATAAAACTCAAACTCGTTCCTAGAAGAAGCACAAATCTCGTCGATTTCAACTCGACAAGGAAAGTGACGGGGATGATCATGACGATCATCGAAATTGAGCCAAGAAGCGTCGTTGCAGAAATAGCATTGTATGACTTTTGATAGAACTCGACAAAGATATCTGGAACGATTGAGTATTGAAGCCATTGGATAGAGCTGGTCATGTTCTGAAAAGAAATTATTCTTCCTTGATTTCAAAAGCTCAAGACTTCAATTTTCATTCAAGGCTACATACCGCAAAGAACATCACTGTCATAATCAGCCATCTTCTCTTTGAGATTTTTACCCTCAAAGCTTTATTATTCTTATCTACATTTTCTCTCATGGTAACTCTTTTCTAGCTCAATCAGACAAAAAGAACGACATTAAAAATTTATGCTAGAATTTTCTCTTGAAGATTCGATTTAATAAAAGGTCTTCTGTTTGCAGTGCATAAATTCTTCACTTGAAAGGATTTCCTGCTCGGACTTTTGAATAGATTTTCATCAGAACATTATTTGCGCTCGTCCACACAATATTTGCTTTTAACTTTCGGTCAAATCGAACTATTTTACTTATTCCTAGTAACTTTTATGAGAAATTTATTATTTACAATCAGGGACAGTTTTTTTTTCGAATAATCATTGCCCCAAATACATTTGCATCAAAAGAAAGACTCTTATTTCTCAAAATCGCCAGCAAAAAATAATGTTATAAAAGGGCCTTCTTTGAGCAAAAGCATTGAGGTATTTTCTGTACAGATGACTTTTTCACACTTGGTCAGTTTTTCATCACTGTGTGAAATCAGAATCGCAAGGGGCCTTTGCATCAGTCACTTGACCGTCGGCGCAGCATTTTTGCCCTTTTCGGAAGTAATGGACAGTTGGGAAGCGCCCGCAGCAGCCGATAATTGGTCCATAAATCGGGAACATGGAGTTTTTCACGCTGGATTGAGGGCCACCGTTTCCTCCTCCTCCGCCACCGTGGGTGCCCATGGCGAAGTTGACGATGTAAGGTCGGTTGTCCATCACGTAGCTTGAAAAGGTCGATCAGATTATTTTGTCACGTTGGAGGAATGAGACAAGATCGAAAGGTCAAGATCACTACTTACTCGTTGCCGACCATCTTCAGTTTTCCGGAAGTTCGGAATTCATTGATGTTGAAGTTGCATGCGTCCTGAGGCTGGAATCTACCCCATTTATGGTGGTACTGCATGTTCCATTCGGGCTCGTACTGGCGGAGTTTTAGTGCAAGAGATCTTTTTCAAAGCTTATCCAATGATTTAAGAGATTTTAAGAATAAATCAGCTTATCAAATATTCGCTTATCTCATATTTTCATTAGTTATTACCAAATTATGGTCTTTCCCTTTTTGATTACTTTTTCCAAGAAATAAGATTTTTAAAGCTTTTCCTGTCACATTCACATCGGGATCTGTTGCAAGTGCCCCAAGGATCGGTGCAGAAAATCTGAACAGATCCGAATCTATCAACAAAGCCTCCGATTTGGTATCGATCGGCAGTGTTCTCCGGGCATTTTTGACTGCCAATGTTTTGGTTGTAGATGCAATTGTAGCAGGTCGAGTATTCTCGGCAGGACTTGTCGATGTTGTCGACTGGTTGACCGAAGCCGCCGTTGTTTCCGGCTCCACGGGGGAAGCACCAGCAGCCGTAGAAGCAATATTTTCCGAGGAACTTGTTTTTCTGCATGAAGAGAATGACGATCTTCATTTGGAGGTATTTGATGATGTGACCTCGATCGGCAAGAGTGAGTCCTCCACCTCCAGTTCTGAAGAAATTTTTTTTATAAAAATCTTTATTTTCTTATTTCTAAAGTCAATTTATTCTTACCGGACGAGTCTCCCAGTATTCTGCTCAAACTCAAAGAGACTATCAGCTTTTTCACCCCATTCATTTTCTTTCTCTGGATGATCATCTCTGTATGAGTTGAGACCTTCAATGATTCCTTGAGTTACATTGAAATCTTCGAATTGAATGTAGTCCTGAAATTTTTATCATGAGAACGATTTTCTCTCAAATTTTTTGATAATTTCTCAAAAGAAAGATTCTTTACCTGGAGCTGAAGAATAGCGTCGAGCTCGATTTCCTGAAGGAAGCTTCTCTTTTTCATGTCCAAAATATCATTCTGTGACTGTGCAATTGCACTTCCAAGTAAAATTGGCAATAATTTCATTTTCTCCTTTCTTTTCTAATTTTACTGAATGAGAATAAGGAGAGAACGTCTACGTCGCTTAAAAAGAGCGTTAACCTTTCTACAGCTGTGTCAAAATAGCGTGCTCCGCCTGTGCACCACCAGAGAGCACCGTGGTGGCGCGCCCTGATGAGAATTGCGCCGGACAAAATGAGATCGCAGAGATCGGAAGGAAATCAGTTTGCCAAGGCAATAACGTACAGGAAGTGCATTCGCTGAATTAGCAGGCGAGAGACACGTTCCTTTTTTGGCGATAATGTTTTTTCTTGTCCATCTCAGCTTGATCAAGAATAACGTGGGCTGTTTGCCTGCTTTCCAGAACTTCGAAGTTGGAAGCCATTTTTGGCGATTTTTAGGTGTTTTATTGCTCCCTAGCGCCAAATAGTGGCCGAAATTTCTAGTGCGGTTATCATATTGTTAATCGGTACATTCTAAGCTTTCAATAGACCCCTTATTTGTCTCTGTTGGATAACATTGAAAAATCGAAAAAAATAACGATTTTCACGCTAAGTACAATTCACATGCATTTTTCCAAACTTTAAAGGGCAAAATTTCGGAGACTCATTTACGTTAAGGGTACTGTAATATATCAAAATGATCCTCAAACGACGAGTAATCTATAAATAGGCCATATAGACCCCTGCCAAAGTTTTGAAAAATCAGGGGGGCAAATATTGAAAATAGACAAACAGGGTCGCTGAGGGTTGAAAAATAGACCGGAAATAAATGGTACGTGAGCGAGAGGCACCTTAACCCGGGAGAGCACTTCCGTTTTAGGTGTTTAAAAGAAGCCGTCGAAGATCCATCTTCACCAAACCAAAAAAAAATTGATTTTTTGAAATGGGCAACGAGAACGGAACCCCTACATACGACTACAGCATGCTGTTGGACTTCAATCGCTTGCCAAAGGACCAGAGCGATTTCTATGATTCTCTTGATGATGCGCAGAGAGCAAAGCTCAGCGATATCCAAGATATCATCAAGGATTTTGCTGATAACCTCAGCAAGGATCAGAAGGAACAGAGTTAGAATTTTGATGAGTAATTTTTATAATATTTTTTCGTTAAAGTAAAATATTAATAAAGCTTTTCTGAAAAAGAACTCTGAAAAGGATTTGATTAAATAAGTATGACCGTCTTCATCGGTAAAATTTACAGCCTATAATAAACTTTATGTTATGTACTGTAATCACTCTCTCTCTAAAATTTTCTCTGTCTCTTTTTATTCATTGAAAATTCTGATTAATAAAGTCTCCAGTAAGGACTTATTTTGAACTGAAGATCCGGGTAAATTCTGCATTTTTCCTCCAATCTTGCCTCTCCCCAGGTCGCCTTTTGCCCACTTTTCTTACTCGCTCTTTTGCTGTCATTTCCTTTCTTGTTCGCTCTCTTGGTGTCTCGTCCAATCTTAGTTGTTCCTTTTCTTGGTTTCCCTCCTCAATAGCATAATGCTAAAATTTTTAGTTTCATTCTAGCAGCAGTAGACAGTATTTTCGATCGCCAAGAATCATTGACGAGTTTAAAAAACGGTTAAATTTTTTCATACATAGAAATAATTCGACGAAAAAAATTAACCCTCGAACACATTTTGAAAATTCCGACATTATAAACAAGTCGGATATTATTGACATCCGATTCGGACTTAATAAACTCATCGGACATTATAAACAAAATCTGAAATTTGACCCAGACATTATAAACATTCGGGACATTATAAACAAACCGGACATTATAAACAGAAAAAAATATCGCCAAATCCTAACCAGACATTATTAACATTGCGGACATTATAAACAATCAGACATTATAAACAGTGTTTTAAATGTCTGATTGTTTATAATGTCCGAATGTTTATGATGTCAAGCAATCAAGCTGCTTTTCGAGTATTCTTCTTGTAATGATTTAATTAGTACTGAAGATGATTTGATAAATAAATCGAAAACGTTCTACAACCTATTTGTGAATACTACGAAGTCAACATCCGAAAATATAAGATATGTACATGAAATATTCTCATAATGAAGGTGAAAGTTTAATATCGGTCAAATTACCTTTTATTTCCGACATAGAAATCCGCAGACAAATCACTTTCCGGCCGGTCGGAAATGTCATCGTGCAAATCACCTACATTCCATGCTTGCTTTGATATTATGGCTTCTTTCTAGTGCAGCGAGTTTAGAAGGCAGGCCAACCTTGACCTTTTCTTGCAACATCAGATTTCGTTTCTTTTTTGATATCGCTGCCGCGCGAACTTTAGCCAACTTTTCGTGGCATTTTTGGTCTTTCTTTTGATTATTATGTGATGGCGCGATTTCATGGCCCTCTGAGAAGGTTGAACCTGATGACTTTTTCAGAAAGCTTCTAAAAGCGATATAGAAGCGTCACTTCTTTCTCACGGGCAGGAAGCTAATGAACGATTTTCTGCTCTACGAAGGTGTCGTACTGTTCATCAAGATATGGCATTTCGGAGGCAGGCCTTTTCTCAGTCAATTCGCAACGGCTTACGTGCCATTTTATGGATAATTGCTTGCCACGCACCTTTTCAAAATCTTTTACTGAAGTATTTTTTAACTTTTGAGCAAATCATGTGTTTTCGAATCAATTCTTTATTTATGTGAAAGAAGAATATAAAAGCACAAGTCAATAGTAGAGTTATAAAAACATGAGTGACAGGCCGAGTGACGATCTTTAATAAATCACGTGTTGGGTGCATCATTTGATGCGGCAAGGTCGTATCGGTGTCGATTCTTTTCTCATCGATTGCAGCAGCCTCTGTCTCTCTAATAATGCAAAAAGTATAACCCTGTTACTAAAGGGCTGTGGCTTGTTACCTCGGTTGAAGATCTTGTCGAAATCGATCTCGGTCTCGTTTGTGAAATGGACGATTATGACCTCGTCTTCCCGACTGTTTGAGTTGAGGATACTTGTGTTGCATCTGTTGTACTAAAAAAAATGATTTGAGATTTTCAGTAGTCGAAATTTCAATTTATTTTTGTCTAAAAATGGTCTTTTTTTCTTTTTATAAACCTTCTCTTTTGCCATTTTCTTGTCTACAAAAGCAGCCCTGTTTTTCGTTTTGATTCTTTCTGAGAAAATGAAAAGTGATAAAGAATCCTCCTGCGCCAAAAAATGTTTCTCGAAGTATAAGACGCGATCCGGCCGCGAGGGGGAAATATCATCGCCCCAGGCGTGCGCCTAATCGTGGTTTTAGCGAGCCAACTTTTCATGTCATTAAACTTTCACTAAGATAAGCGTTTCGTGTGCTGATTATTCCAGCGCGTGGAAAATAAAGTGGAATTTCTTGAATATTTATCAAAAAAGATAAGAGTAAATCGGAGCTAGAATAAAAAAAATCTTATCTGCATATGTATTTCCATTTTTAAGCTCTTATTTATAGCGGCCGTTGTTCTGTGTCAGTGAGAAGTTAACGTTATTAAAATTTTAACTGAAATAATGAGAAGGTTCGCAGAGACAAATAAATAATTTGAAATTATTATTTTTCTGTGAAAACGTCCGTAAAATTTAAGACGAAATAACCTTAATTTATGTAGATGATAGAGATATATTTTCGCTTTACGAAGAAAAGAAAATTTCTTGTGGATAAAAATCGATCATAACTTATGGTCTTTTGAACTAATGATTTTGCTCACCATAAAATCTCGAGGAAAATAAGTTCCAGTTGTCGAAGCTGTAAGTTCCATTTCGCACCTTGAATTCACCGTCTCCATAAATTTCCTCTTTTCGCTATAAAGTTTGCTTCTTCTTTATAATTTAACTTTTGCGTCTTAGTCTTTTTTCTTGAAAAAATATTTAATGGAAAGTTTGCTAATCTCTGCGTCAAACAATTCACGATTGATTCCCCATTTCATACCTTTTTATAGTCGCGCGTGCCCAAATCCCAGGTGGTGCCGCTCGCGTGCCCAACGCCCAATACTATCAATATCTTATATCCTTGACGCTAAACAGATTTTCTCCTGAATAAGGCCAATGTAGTTTCATGCAATAAAGCGAAAATCAACCGCCCCCTTGCGTCACCTCCCTGAACCCTCGGGGGAGCACTTTCTTCCTTTTCTTCCACGGGATGTGGGAAAACACACAGCTGACAAAAAAGAAGAATATATGAATACGGACTGATTTTGACCTCATAATTAACTCAAGCCTTCAAAAAAGACGTCAACCAAAGTAATAAGGGGGTGCACAACGCTAACCTCCGATAATTGCTCATTTTCTCATCAAATATATGAGAGTGATACCCTTATTCCATATTGCGGATGGAAAAACTGAACCCTTATCTTAGTTCTTTCAATGCAAAAGTAACATTTATTTTAATAAATTTCTTTTGTAAATTGATTAATAACTATCACTTTCGATACTTAATTTGACTGGTTTCTTAAAATATTTCTTTGGTAGATATCTTTTTAAGCGACAAAATCAGATTCTTTAGAAGCAAAAAAGTCGAGGATAATGCATAACGCAATTTGTTTATTTCGAGGGGCATATTTTCAGGGCCCAAATTGAATAATTCAACCGCCGAGCATATGCGCCGAGGGGACGTATGATCGTTTAACATTGTTAAAAAATCATGGCGCGCATCCGCGTTGCATTTTCTGGCCCCTGCCAATTGGGGATACTTTCTTTTCAATGCCAATTTCAATGAAGCAACAGCAGGGTGTGGACACGTTTTTTGAAAGCAGCGATAATTCGATTTTCGTCGAGAGTTTTCGTTTTTGATATTTTGGCGAAAAATCAGTGTACCACGCCCATATCTGCTCTGGTATTTAAGCTAAAGTACAACAAGCTCGGTTTCGACAGCTTTTATCGGAGAATTTGAACTGTAAACTACGGTACGGTGTTACGGTATTCATCATAAATTCTGATGTTCTCACTTCGACATGAAAAAACTGACAATTGTCAATTGATACTTGATATTTTATTAATTAAAGTCCATAGTTCTTGGAAGTTTTTAACGAGAAGTTGCCAGAGCAGCGCTTCAAGTTTGTGCTCTAGCATGAAATTTTTGCTATATGTTTGTCTTTTTGAGAGGTCGAGAGCAACGCATGAAACCTTGGGGCCACCGATCGAGTCTGACCCTAAGAGAGTTTGCCCAAAGTATCGAGAGATTCCCGGAAATGAAGCCCGCGACCTTTTTTCCGCTAATAATGTTTGTAAATATTATCAAGGAAATTATTCAAACAATTGATTTTAAGAAGGAACTTTAAAAATTTTATAAAAATTAAATAATTATTAATATTGAAAAATAATTTTCAAGAATCGATTACTTACTTCTGGGACGAGTTGGATGAAGAAAGATTTCGATCTTGGAAGAGAAACGATTCTTGGCATCCGGAGATTTTAGGTATCTGGAACTACGACTGGAGCTGGCGCTATAAAAATAAACTCACCGACCCGAATGAAATTTTTCCTCCTTTCATGAGATGGGCTGCGGATGAGCCAAGGACGTGGAATGGAGATTGCATTCGATTTGGGAGTACTGACGAGTGGTTTGTTACTGATTGCGGGGCTGCCTACCGGTTTTCCTGTCGAGCTGATATTTATATGTCTGATGAAGAGTTTTGTCCTGCTAATTATTGGGAATGTCCTCTAGGGTCAAGTCTGAACCCGTCAAATGGGATAAGTTGCATCTGTGATTCAGAGTCTTCCTATTTTTTGAATGTAGAGAAAAATGGCTGCGACGTAAAGTGTGATCCCGGATGGCTACGGGTCAATAACGGAACTGAATGTCAAAAATGCTTCAGCGACGAATGCGAAGAACTAGAAATCTTTCAATTCGAGGACGAACAATCTGTAACCAGTAATAAAGTTCAGCGTTTGTCTGGCCGCGCTGGTTATTTTTTAACGATGGCACTCAGCGAGAACTTGTTCCCGGACTTGTCGGAAGCGCAGTTCGCATTTTTGACCAAGAATGGAACTCTCAAGGAATCAAATTCAACCTCGGATCGCTTTATGTTGGTACAGAACTCATTTTTTCAGCATGGATCAAAGTTGGCGGAGATGAAGAGGTTAAAATCTCTGCCGTCAAATCCTACGTGACTGAACAAACGATGTTTCAATATGAAATTCTTGAAGAATACTTCTTTGAAGCTCACGAGGTAAACTGATAAAAATTTTATTTTGTCTTTCGAAAATATTCAGCTTTCGAATTGGACAAACATTATTGCAAGAACTACAAAGCAACCTTCTGATCGAAATATTTATTTTGAAACTGATGAAGTTCTCGATATGTGGATAGATCATGTGTATCTTGGACCTGAAGAACCCTTTGATAGATGCAATAGATTTGAGCTCGACCCCTTCAATGGTTTGCAAATAACATAAAAAAATAGGCATAGAAAATTAAGTTCGCTACATGTCTCCCTTACAATACTGCGAAGACAGTGTGCTCAAAACAGTTGAAGACGGATATTTTTTGAATTACCTTCGCTCGAATCAATTTGCTTGTCATGAGGGAAATTATTGCATGACCGGGCAGCAGGTAAAGCAACTGACTTTCGAAATCTTATTGATAACATTGAAATCTAGTGGCAATGTGAAAGAGGAACATATCAGCCGAATGAAGGTATGTTTCACTGTTGAATCTCAATGTTTATTTTAGCCATGTCTTATTGCTTTGATTGTCCAAAGGGGTATTTTTGCAATGAAGAAAATATGATTGCCCCGAAGCCCTGTGAAGCTGGAACATTCCAGCCTTATGCAGCTGCTCTCGGCTGTGAGAGCTGTCTTCCTGGAAATAAATGTCCACTGATGAATATGACAGAGGCAACACCATGTGAACCCGGAACGTATCAGTCTGAATATGGTGACCAATCAAGACAAAATTTTTAATTTTATCTTTTCATAAGGAAGAGAATCTTGCGAACTTTGCCCTCCAAACACGTACTGTCCGTACAGCAACATGACCTATTACGATCAATGCCCCCTTGGTTTCACTTGTCCCAACTCGACTCATCCTGAGCCTTGCCCAAGTGGACAGATAACTCCCTTACAAGGTGCTTCTTGTGAAACATGCCCAAATGGAAAATACGCAAATTTGATCGCAACCGAATGTCTAACTTGTAACATCAACCACTTTTGTGTCAATGGGATTGAGAAGCCATGTGATTTGGGAACAGAAGCTTTGAATGAGGGTCTGAGTGAGTGTGAAAACTGCCCAGTCTATTTCTTTCGAAATGAGTCGATGGACTCATGTAGCCAAGTCCCGAATGGGTATACCTCCGAGAATCGGGTAAACTTGACAGAATGTGAAGCAGGGCACAAGTGTATAAATGGACTATCGGTGAGTGCCGAAAATTTGAATGAGATAGAAGGCCATTTTTAGGAAGAATGCTCACCAGGAACATATCAAGACGAGACCGGCAAGGACTCGTGCAAGATATGCGAAGTTCATCGGTTCCAGGATCGAAAAGGAAGAACAAAATGCAAAATGTCTCGCAAAGGAACCGAAGTTTTGACCACTGGAGCGACGCAAAATATATCTTGTGCCGCTGGCTTTTATAATCCAGAAATGGCGGAGCCTTGTAAAATTTGCAATCCGGGATTCAAATGCCCAACGAATGGGCTTGTCGACCAAGTAAGCTTTACATTATGGTTTTAATTAAAGAGTTTTTAGATTTCATGCGAGCCGGGAGAATATCAAGACCAACAAGGGTCAACTGATTGCAAACCATGCCCACTTGGTCATTTCTGCCCTTCCGCAAATATGACCACTAAGATACAGTGCGAGTCAGGGTGGATTGCAACTTCACTTCGGAGTTTACAATGTACCAAATGCGATGTCGGATTTGAGGAAGATAAAGACATGCCGATCGAGAACGATGATATTCGCTGCAAAATAATTCCTTATGGAAATTGATTCACATTCAGACTCAAAATTTCGTTCATTTTTTGTGAATCATATTCAGATTCAAGTCAAATATTTTGATGAATGAGGTTCTTGCTCGACCAGTCTCTTTTGACGTCAAAGAAGAGTATCAATTTCTTGATAGAAAGATGGATGGCCTAAAGCTTTGTATGAAAAATGATCCGTTACGATGGAAAATCGACAAAAAGTAAGAGGTCTTCATTTGCTATCATTACGAATTTCAGTGATAACTCGATCATGTTTCGAAGGGAGCTGATTGAAAACAATAAAGAGTATCGAGCTTATTCCCAAATCGATGAAAACTGCTTTATGATTTGCCGAAATTACCGCGATTGCCTCGGATATACGATCACAAATACTCAAAGAGACTTGAATTGCCTTCTAATCACTCAAGAAATAATAAATAAATAACGATAACATAAGAGTATAAAAAAAGATAAGTTTATTTGTCTTTTTTCTAATTGACTTTTAGTAAGAATGAAAGAAAATAAAATTATTTTATATTATAAAATTGCATAAAACAAAAGAAACAACTGTGATCACTGTCTAGACCTAACAAAATAACGAATAATCTAGTGCTTTAATAATTAACGACGGCACTAGTTAAAAACCGGATCTACTGCTTGATAAAGATAAAAAGAGAAGAGAAAGAGAAAGCCAGAAAATGCACGGATCTCTATCAATAATTACATGGTAATTTTTCTTTTGGTCATTTGATTTAATTTCTTTTCAGTCCTACAAACGGACCAGGATACGAGCTGATACAACAGAAATTTTCTGGCGCTCAGGTTTTTACCATGTGAAATTTTTCTTCATAAAAACGTCCAATTTTAAGTTTTTCTATCAATTTGCAGTCTGCTTTCTTGGAAGCGAAGGCAATATTGTTTCGGAGTCGTACCTTCCATCTCATTGCACAAGATATTCTTATCATAACCAGATGGAAAGGTAAGGGGATGTTATTTTTCCTCAAGCAGTTTGTTATTCAAGATTTGTCTGCTTTGGGCCCTGTTTGAGTTATTGCCTTGCCGAATATGGCTCCTATATTGGCAACAGCGAATTGGTTGACTTTCTCAGATGCATCAGTATTTCACCAATCCATTCTTATGGTGTTGGATTCGCTTATACAGATTCTTGCGTCCAGTACTCTTGCCAATCACATGAGCGCTGCAGATTCGGGCATAAACACCAATGCACTTTAGGTTTTGAAAGTCGTTTTCCTCAATTTTTTATCAATATTTTGACTCAGGCGAATATTATCTTCCATTTACCGAAGAATGTATCTCCTGCCCAGATGGCACTCTTGCGAACTCATTGCAGAAAGAGTGTGTAAATTGTGATTCTGGCTTTTTTTGTCAAAACGGGCAGAGATACACTCCGTCAACTGGGTATTATATTCTTGATGATCAGTCAGCACAATCAATCTGCGAAGCCGGTTTCAGATGCCAGGAAGGGCAGCGTTTCCAATGTCTTCCTGGAGAATATCAACCATTATCAGGTTCATAAAATCCTAACTGTAGTAAAAAATCACCCAATAAATCTTTTATAGGTCAAACTTACTGTATTTCATGTCCCGAAAATATGTGGTGTCCAAGTTACGAAATGACCGACTATCAGTCTTGCCCGCTCGGAAACACATGCTCTGGTGCGACAAAAACTCCATGTCTTGCTGGCGAGTACACGCCTCAAGCTGGCAGCGCTTGCGTCACTTGTATTTCGGGCTCTTATGCTGTGAATAATGGAGAAGCTTGTGAGCTCTGTCTGCTGCATCACTATTGTGTGAAAGGACAAATGTTTCCTTGTCCTCTTGGTTTGTGAACTCTTAAATAGAATTGACAAAAATGAGTTTTGAAGGAACGGAAGCATTGACTACAGGACTAAGTGTTTGCCAATCATGCCCGGCGTATAGTTACAAGAATGGAAACATGGAGGACTGCGAGCAAGTCCCAGATGGATATACCACTGAAGATGGTATCTCCCTGCTTCCATGTGAAAAGGGTCATTTTTGTCTTCAAGGCTTATCGGTAAAACTGGCTCATAAAAATTCTTCCTTGTTTATTTTTCAGGAACCATGCGAAGAGGGACACTACCAAGAACAAACTGCACAAGGAAGCTGCAAACCATGCGAGATAAATAGATACCAACCCGAGAAGCAAAAAGATTTTTGCATCGAATCCGCGCCTGGTTATCAAGTTTTAACCAGAGGATCTGCGAAGAGCGAGCCTTGCAACTTCGGATTCTTTAACCCGGACAAGATGGCTTCATGCAAAAGCTGCGAAGCCGGATTTTATTGCGATGAGGAAGCGCTGACTCATCAAAAATCATGTGAGCCGGGAACGTATCAAGATGAGCCAGAATCGACCTTCTGCAAGGATTGTCCATTGGGTCACTATTGCCCGACGGAGAATCTCACTCAACCGATTCTTTGCGCATCTGGGTGGCTTGCAACATCTCTAGGAAGCACTGCTTGTTTCAAATGCGATGATGGATTCGAAGAAGATAAAGAAGTTCCTATTGAAGACGGCACTTTGAGATGCAAGATAATTAAATATGGGATTGGTTTTTATTATTTTTATTTAGCAAAATTTAAGCAATTACAAACCTTGAGCAGATTAAAATCAAAATTGGAAGACAAAAAAGTGATCGCCCGAGCAGTCCCTTTTGAGACGACAGAAGAATTTCAACTCCTTGGCGACAACCTTGATGGTCGAAAAATCTGTCTTGGTTCGTCTTTAGTCTCCTCAACGCAAACCATGTAACAGTTTTCATTTTTCACGAGTTCAGAAACCAATTTTTTCAGAAGAAATATCACAATGCCGCTAACAATCGAGCTTCAATCAGAAATAATGGAGAATCAAGAAAGCTATCGAAGCTTTGCTCAGCTTGATGAAAACTGCTTTGGAATCTGTCGAAATCAACCAGAATGTCTTGGCTACTCACTTTCAAATAGTTCAGAGAAGCTAAACTGTATATTCATTATTAATACTGATGCATAGACTTAAAAAATGGAATAGAGAAAGTATTTAATTTAATTTTCATTCATATTGAAGAAGTTTTAAATATTCGTTGCAAATACCATCAACTTTGAATTTTTCTTTTTTGTCGATTTTCTGCTTCCATGATGAGATGATGGCTGATGAATTTCTCGAAGTTGAATAAGCTCCATCTAAAAGATATTTTTATCAAAAGCGTCAATCGAGTTCATAAATACCTGAAGATTCTTTAGTATTTTTCCTAATCCAGGCTTCTACTTCCCCCGGATAGTCCCAATGAAGGAAATCATAGATTTTCCGAAATTGAACAACTGGATTTTCGGCCAAGTCTTCAAACTTTTGTTCATATAGCTCTTCGTTAAACTGAGGGTTATCGTCGTAGAATTTTTTCAACTTGCTTTTTTCAGTGCAGTAATTTTCGATACTTTCAAAATAATTTTGAAGTTTTCCAAGTGCTTTTTGGCTGAGATAGACTGGCCGCGCGTCTCTTAAAAAAAATCAAATTATGTTTTGTATTTGCTGTTTTGTATAGGCTATATTATAGAGCTCATATAAAAATATACCTGTAGTATAGAAGAACCTTCAAATCGACATTTCTATCATCCGCAACACGCAATAAAACCTCCACATTCGCCGTTTTTATCGTTTTAACCACTTGTTTTTTTCGTAGATCTTCTGCCTCTCTTCTCATAAAATACCATTTTCTGCAAGCAGGTTGTTTCAAGGAATCCGTCTTCTTACAAATTTTGTAGTTTCAAGTTGACGACTGTAGCCCAGAAAATCAAGGTATGGTGTTGAATTTGAATAGTTGCATTCAAAAAGGTCCAAAATGAAATTTGCCCACTGTTCTTGCAACTCTAAGCTGATTGTTTCCGTTTTTAGCGCGCCCAGTAAATTGTGGTCAGGCTCGAAAAGCTAATGGTGTGATCATGATGTGTTTTAAAAAAGAGCAAACTTACATATAAAACATCGTCATTTTGATTAAACAGTTGACCAAAAAAAGACGATCCAGTTCTATACCCTGTCATAAGGAGAACATTTTCTGCTGGAGGCGATTTTTGAATGATCTTTTCTGAAGTAAGCTCTTTTTCTTTATCACCAAAAATCTTCGGCAAGAGACAAAAATCGCCAATAAAGATGAAAATGAGAAAAGAAAATGCTGCTTGATTTCCACTTATCATCATTTTTTGACGTTTGCCTCTTCAAACAACTCGAGATGTCCGAAACCATTCGGGATCTTTCTGAACTATTCGGAAGTTCTCTGGTCTATTTTGGATTGTTTATGCCTAATAAATTGATAGAGAAAGAATTTTTCTATCAATCATTCTGAGGTTGGAGCTGACCCAATGCACATATCTCGTTAAATGGCACTTTTATGGTAGTTTTATATGTCACAAATGATAAGTGTCAAGTTTAGTGCGAATCCAATTCGGCTTGTTCCTTATGAAAAAATTAAGAAATGAGAATTTTTGATAAAAAAAAAAACTAAAATTTTAGGTTCAACAGATTTGAACCACGGGGGTCAAATTTGAATTATTTTCGGTTAAATTCCGCTTCGTTACTTTGTTTTTCCAGCGAGAATTTCTGTTTTCCAATGCAAAAATTCTCATGGAATTTAAGAGCGTCACCAAGAAATTCTTGCCAAAGCAGCAAAAAGTAAAATCGGATCACGAGAATTTCACAGATGTTCTTCCTATAAATATCACTGCTCACTTGATAAATCTATCATCTAAAAGATAAATCAAAACTAAAATAGAAAAAAATGAAACTTTTTGTCGGACTCATTGTTGCTATCCACGCCAAGGCGCGATCTCACAACATCTGCAGCTGGGAGTGCGACAAGATCCACGAAGCCGACCTTGAAATGTGTGCGCCCTTGTACGACCCTCTTGATGAACTGAACGAGGCTTACAACCAGTGCCGAGCCGAAGCCGACGAAAAGCACAATATCTGCAAGGATCCCTGCAACCAGTGCCACATCGACTGCAACGACAAGCACCACGAGGATAAACTCAAGTGCAACGAGATCACCGACCACTCTGAACACCAGAAATGCGTCCACGACGCCAACGACGCTCACAAAGAGTGCAACAGCACCTGCCACTGCATTGACTCCTGCGAACATCGATACATCCAGGAGCACCATCGATGTGATGTGAGTAATCAACAGATTAAAATTATATATTTCCTTGCAAATCTCAAAACCATTTTCAGGGTGTCGCTGCAGATCCAGCTCTCGAGCAGCTCTGCAGAGACAACGCCTGGGAACTTTTGGACGATTGCTTGAAGACCAACTGCGGCTCCTTCGCCACCAGTACCACTCAGGCGCCAATCACCACCACCCCAGAAGGCAGCGGAGAAGGCAGCGGAGATATGTTCGAAGGCGACGAATCTCTCTTCTTGTAAACTTTCTAGCAATCAGATTCTTATTATTTTTAAAAACAACCTCTTTATTAATTATTCAATAAACAGATCTGATGATCAATTCAATGACTATTTATTAACCCGAAAACAGCTGACAAATATTTGACGATGTTGAGATAATGTTCGATATCTACGGTAGTAGCGCTTGATTGAAAAATTTCTAGAGTTGTTTGAGCGAAAGATCTTCTCCAAAGCATCGCAGAGCCCAGGCACGGCCAAGCTCGAAGTTTGGCTCGCAGTTCTTGTCGAAACTCTCGAGCTCGATGGTGTAGTTGCCGGAGTTCAGGTGGAAGACGTAGCTGATCAAGAGGATAATAAGTGGGTGCTGACTTTTCTCTACCTTTCTTTGGTGTAGGGAACGAGGTTACGGTAAGAATAGTCAGTAGGATATGTCGGGAGAACAACTTGATTGCCTCCATCACGATTGTCGCGAACACAGAGGAACAGTCGGAATTCATCTCTTCGGTTTCGGCCATCGTCAAATAGCGGCTAAAATTGGTCATATTCTGTTCTGATGACGAGCATATTTTACCTGTATCCATATTTCTTGCTTAGATCGCGCAACAAGTCTAAAGGTGAGCTTATGTTTCTTGAATGTTCCATTGAGACAGTGATATTTTTTCCATTCGAATTCGGGCTCTTGAAAAATTTGTAAGAACAAAAAACATGCCAGGAGCTTCTTACCGATGTATCCTCCGTAAGTAATTTTCGGGATTCGGCAGAAAGTGAACTCATCAAAGCTCTGCAAAAAAATAAGTAAGAAAGAACATAAAACTGGCTTAAAACCGTTAGCCATTCGTCGTATCCCATCCAAAATCCACCGTCTGGCCATGCTGATCTCAGTCTCGTATTTGTCTCGTCAGGCAATGTCATCCACTTATCACTAAAATGAACTGGGTAAAAATTATTCACTGAGCTTTTTACCTTGATTCCGACCAATTTCCATGAAATTTTCCTTTGTTATTTCCCCAAGGGTTACGCAACATCACCAGCTTGATAAACTCATCATCGTTGTCTAAAATTATTCGTCAAAAATGAACGAAAAGAGAAAAAAAATCTTACTTTTGACAATTTCAACTTTGAGAAGTGAGTACTCGTGACCATCGTAAAGTCCGTTATTCAGTTCGTTTTCTACTCCGGAATTGTCGTTGTTGTAGATGCATGAAGTGATGATCATGTCTCCTTGATTTCTAGAAGAATCGATTTCCTCAAAAAAATTCTACTCAGGGTACCGATAGATAAAGTTCCAAGTTTCTTTGAGGTATTTCGTCGTGCTGAGAGTTGTTCGTACAGGAAAGCCTCCCGTAATGTCAGCCATTGCTTCTACTGCTTGTCCAGCTTCGATACTGCTGTATCCCCTGAGAAAGAGGGTGAAAACAAGAAGTAATTGTAATCTTACGAGTTGAGTTTTGCGTAAGCTTTTTCGCAGTAGGCAAGCCAAAGCTCATTCGGTCGGGTTTCTCCGCTGTTTTTGATAAGAAACAAAAAAAAATGATAAAAAAGTGACTTCAGACTCAAGAATAATTTCTTAACAAGTTCCTTCCTTGTTCAATTTGAGGAGTCAATCTTCTCGTAGTCCACATTTTCGGCAGCATATTGTCGACAAAAACAGGAACCCACTGGTGCATATCTTTAATTTTATGAAATCAAAACCCGGAAAGGCAGTTTTACCAAAGAAATGAAACTCAAAGGGTCCATGTGGCTTTGCCATGTTCTTTTGCTTCTGAATCATGTAAGCCAGATTCTTTGGGAAAACAGTCAGACTCGCGATAGAAGCCATGAACCAACTCTCTCCGACTCGACCTTGTCGGACATCTACAAAAACGATCAAGCATTTTAGTGGAAGAGCTTAAAATGTACCGGAAAAGCTGAATCCATTCTTGATGAATTTGGTGTCTTTGAAGCCCAAGTCAACTGGTTTTTCCATATCAATGGCTTCATTTAGATAAGTCGAGCCCAGCCCATCGTTTTGTCCTAAAACATGGATTTTACTCGACTTTTTCCGCTCTTTCTTACGTCTCTGTGCCGGAAGCGGCTGAGTATTGAAGTCATCTTCCTCTGGCGCCTGAGTCGGAACTTCCAACAGCCAGATAAATCGCGGCTTTTGGACCAACACCTATTTCGAAGTGATTTTTTGTTAAAGAGATAGCATTTTTAACCTTGGATTCATTCTCATGCTCTTCGTATCTGTAGTTGATTTCAGCTTCGTCGTTCAGCTCTTTTTCTTGCTAAAATATTTTGGATCTTTTGACGCTCTTCCAATAAATCGGTACTCCCGCCGCAATGGGTGAAAATTTGATATTTCTTACTTACAAGTTTATCAAGCTCAGCTTGGTATTCCGGAAAAAGTGGAGTTCGGAGCACATCGTAGCCAGCTAAGAAAAAGGGATGAAAAACCAATTTTTGGGGAAATTTGAAAATCTTGTCCATTTTGATCCCTTTCCTAAAAAAGACTCAGCTTTCGTGTCAAGCCCCATCTCCTTCGACTCTCTCTCGATTGATGAGAAATCTCGCGTAAAAAGCTTCGATCGTCAAAAACCCCATTCGGTGAAATTTGGCAGTGACGGCGAAAATAAGGAGCGCTGGAATTCATTATTCTCGATTTTGGATCGTTTTGGTCACTGTCGAAAAATCGATTCTCGATATGAAAATTTTCGATTTTCATCCGTGATCTCATAAAAATAAAATTCTTCATTCTATTTGGGATAGAAATTGACCTTCAAAATCAAAATTTTCGCTGGTTTTTGGCTCGAAAAAGCGATAAAAACTCGATTTTTGCGACCACTTTTTGCTTAGATCTGATTGGCTAGCCGGGGAAATGCTTGAATCTGATTGCTTGAATATTTGACCAAAATCTTGTACAAAATCTTGTTCAAAATCATCGTCAAAAAAGCAATAAAAAATGAAAGTTTAAGAAAGATGTGATTTTATTTGGATCTTATTTACACAGAGATCAAAAGTTAATTTGAGGAAGCAGAGCCCACAAGAGTATTTCTGAAATGATGAGTTGCTTTTTGAGCCCATCAAATTTTAAATTAGCAGTTTTCTTCGACGGGTGTGACGATTCCAGAGTTGCCATCGGAAGCGGGGCAGCACTTGTTCTTGTTGAGGCCGATCCAGTGGCTAAAATGATTTTTAGAAAAAAAGATCCGAAAAGAAAATTTTCAAGAAAAAATTAAGAAAATTCTCGAAAACTTACTAGGGTCGATCATAACCGCCGCAGCACTGGTGGTCGACTGGGATACCACCGTTGGAGGGGCAGTTGTCGGGGTCTCGGTTGTCGAATCCGCCCCAGAAGAAGTGGTAGTCTTCGTTGAAGATGTTCATCGCGGCGAAGGTGTCCTGGGCGAATTTGAGATCGCACTGGAACAATTCCTGCTCGCAGGAGCCTTCTTCGTTCTGAGAAACGAAGCCAATGCCGTTCTTGGACTTGTAGCTCCAGGTGTATTGGGTGAATTCGCCGATGCAGGTGTCACCGTGCTTTTCTCGGACGCACTTCTGGCAATCTTTGTAGGCCTTGCACTTGTTGTCGAGCTCGTCCTGAAAAATATTCCGTTAGAAAAAAGAAAAACTCAAGATAAGATAAGGGAGGAAGGAGGTTTAACCCTTAGATGCAAATCGGAAATATTTGACACAAAAATTTTTCTAGATTATTTTCTCTTTTTTTTACCTTTGGAGCGCCGGTTCCCATCTCAGTGAGAGGTCGATCTCCGAGCAAGTAGCAGTGGCATCCGTAAGCCCAGTATTTTCGCTCGTCGAACTTGTTCTTGCCCTTGAGTCCGTTGTTGCCCCAGATTTTCTTGGCGATTGCCTTCAAATCGGCGTATCGGCGCTCTTCGGGCGACAAAGAGCTTCTGTTCTCTTCCTTGTTCTTGTTTCTGTCCTTTCGGCCTCGGACAGTCAAGCAGCTTACTTCCTCTCCGCCGGAGATGCAGACGTCATCGGCGACGACGTCGTCTTCTTGGGCGAGAGCGATGGCGGCGAAAAAAGCGTAAAGTTTCATTTTTTTCAAGCTTGGAAGATTTTAGAAGATCTCTTTGTCTTGTTATCTTTTTACTTCTTATCGAAGTTTGATGAGGAATTGAAACATTGACGCTGCTTATAAGGGACGGCCGGAGCGGCGCTAGAGCGGTGGTGGAGCTAACAAATCGCGCCATCGTAAAAATTGCTCTTGGAAATATTGCATGCGTTGATCGTGTATGCTGACGAGTGGACTTTTTAACCTTTGCAAAACTGATGCATGAAACTGAAAAAGATGGCAAGAATCCAGGAAGACATTTCTTTTGGATGGTTTTTGTCTAAGACGGAAAATAAGAATTATTAAAACGACAAACGTGACAACCTCTTTCTAAGTTGACTCAAGTCAACTAAAGCATTCTTTCAAGATGTCAAAATTTCGATGTCATTCATTGTACCAAAACTACATCAATATATGCTAAGTTTAATTTAAAAAAATAGACCATGATCAAAAAATTTTTTCACCGTAAAAATTTATGGGTTGCAAGCACTGCGAAAGAAAAGATTTTCATAAACCCCGCGTGACCCCAGATTTGAGTCTGCTATCATCAGTAGCTTAGTCTTTTCGCGTGTTTGCTTATTTTTATAAAAGACAAATCAGTTGCTGCAAATGTTCGAAGAAGTCAAGTCATCGTTTATTTAACCCCCTCGAAATCTCTTTTAGTCTTTATAGCAAAAATAAAGCTTTATTTCTGCGAAGAAAACTGTTCAGTTCATATTGATAAGTACAATATGTATTAACCAAAAACTGTTTGGCTAATACAGTTTTGATTGATCAAGAATGTTAGAAATAGGGCGCTCCGCACCCATTTATATAGAAAACAGAAGAAAATCTTGATTTTATGGGAACATTGATCAACCAAAACTGTATTAGCCAAACAGTTTTGGTTAATACATGTTGTACTTATCAATAACGTGTTTGGCTAATACAGTTTGTACTAATGCGTCGGCCCCTTCATACTCGTACTTTTTTCGAAAGCTTGTGTTATCTTGCCGAATGGAAAATTAGCCGATTAGAAGGTTGAACAATTCGTAAAACCGAATCGAGCGTAAACCATGCCCAACCTGTTCTACCCGTGTTCTGTTTATTATTGAACATTATTTCATTTCAAAACGAAAAACTCGAAAATCCAACCGCTTATTCCGTCTTTTGTCAAATAACAAAACTGCATCAGGGGCCGGATCAAAGCTTTTCCGCAGAGGGGATTTTTCTTACGCTATTAACACAAACCTCGTTCCTGATAATTATTGTGAGCGTCGCGGTTTTCGGACAAGACTGAGGGATTTAGCAAGAAAAGCATTTTTCAGAAAAGAAATTTTGAAAAATATTTTTATTAAAGCAGAATTATTTGAAAAGATGCCTTCTCATTCGTGCACAAAAATCATTGTTGGCAACTTCAAATTTCTTGCAGCGAAATTGATTACGAATCTAGAATCTGTACAGAGCGGAGGCACCGAGCATGAGAACAGTCGAGAAACCAAGGGTTGATTGGCTGTTGTTTCCGTCATCTGGTTCGGTGGAGTTTGTATCGGGAGCATCAGTGACTACTTCAGTTACAGCAGCGGTAGTTTCTTCTGGAGCAGGAGCGTTTGTGTCGGATTCAGTGTCTTGGCCGTAGGAAAGACCTGAAAAGATAAAAAAGGTCAAAATTTCGATCAATATTTTTTTTGGAATTTTATGAGGTGGCTTACCGAGGAGAAGATATTTAAAAAGATTCATGCTCTCCCTTTTTTATGGCTTTTTTCTGACTTTTTCTCGATTTTCTTCTTTAAAAAAGTCTTGAACTAGGAGTTTTATAGTTGAGAGAAGTGCGCTGCTTCAGTAGATTCGCGGCGCTCTCTCCTCACTCTCCCGTTTTAATTGCTCAAGCTATTAGGATCTTCGGAGATCAAAGGGGTTAGGAAAGTCTCTCAGGCTTGTAGGAAAGATACAGATGAGTTAATGTGGTTTTCGGAGTTCTATTTTTAGTTCAAGACTCGCTAAACAATTTTTGTATTTTATAATTATATCGATATATGAAATTTCGCTTCCTGTTACAAAACCGCTTGCTCATGGAAAATAACTTCAATCTTTTTAATAAAAATAGAAGCGCTGAGCTGTCTTTTACGTTTTTTCTTGGATTAAGCTCATTACGTCGCGCGCATGTTTGAATCTCAAACATAAAAACGACGGCCACAAATTAAGTTTTCGTATTGGAGTTTGAATCAAACAACTCGGTACGTGGAGGGAGAGGCTTTATCATTAATTTGCGGAAGCATCAGACGAGCCTACTTGTTGCTTAAATCTTGCTCAAATTAGTCCAAAATGTGTTGATTAAATTAGCCTATTTTCGCAACGTTGGGTTTTCCCTGAATTTGACGTCATTGAAAAATCATTGAATCTGAACATTTATTAAAAAATCTCACTTTTAATTTTTCCACTGAAGACCAATTAAAATGAAGAAGACGAGGGTTAACGTTGATCATGAATTTTCATTTTCAAAAAGGAATTATCTGCCGGCTTATTTATATTGATGGATTTTGCTTGTCTTCCAATCAACGTCAAATCGACCAAGCGACAGGTTCAACTTGCTTTTGGCAGACTTGACGATGACAAAAAAGCAGTCAGCTTTTTTGATTATATTCTGTCCCAATTGGCTGCTTTTAAAAAAAATTCATTAAAGAAAATGTCATTTTTAAATAAAACCCTGTCATTTTGAATGTCATTTTTCTTATGAAAATAGTCATAAACAACCAAGCTCATTTGCTAGCGTAACAAACTGTAGCTAAAGAGTCTTCGGTGGGCGTATGCTGACCTGAAGGAAAGTCTTCTGGAAAATCAATCAAAATTAATGACACTCATGAAAATTGATATTTAGCCAGATTGGGCGGAAATTCTAAAAATCACATTTTGATGACCTCGGGAATTGTGGCCTTTGGTGCGTTGGAAAATGGTGTCGTTGGCCATGATTTCGTTCAAAACAAATTCAACGATCATAAAAACGATATCATTCGTGTATCTTCTTTACCAAATAAGCAGGACTCGTGGAGAAATCAACTCGTTTTGGGGCCCTGCTTGAGATTAAATTTTTGTCGCTGAGTTGCCACGAAGTTGGATATTTTGGAATTATGGTTATTACGTCGGGCGCCTGTTTTCAACACCAACTAGGATGTAACACGTCAATCTTCGAGAAATAATTGAAAGAACGCTAGCTTAGCGGTAAAATTATATGCAACTCATAAATCTTTACTTGCAGGAAATCATAATTGCTTCAGGAAGTGAAAACAGTTCAAAGTGATTTGAAGAAGCCCGGAAAAATATTGACTTAAATTCTACCGATAAAATTTTTTTCTCTGACTTTTTCAATAAATAAAAATTTCTTTAACTTTCAAGCATTGCTGGAAATATTTTCAATGCCGCTTCATTCAAAGCTTTTTGAGACCCTGACTCAGGTTTACTTCTTTTGTTGCCGACCCCTGCCTTTTTTCAATAACTCGTCATTTCAAAAAAAAAAATCGTAAAGCGGCAAAATCCGGATCATCCGTTTCCTTGTTATTCTGCTCAAAATAAATCCGTTGACGCTTGATTTTGTTGGAAATGACAGCCTTGGGATTCAGAGTAAAGACGTAAGAATTGTTTTTTTCTCTTCGCGCGAGAGAAAGTGGATCTTTGAATTTAGAAGAACTCGCGCTAGAATTCAAATGAGCTTTTAGGATGAGAGTTATTGTATAAACGGAGGATTTTCTTAGCTCACATATCGCGGCGAGGGTCGTTTTGGAGCGAGAATAAGGAAATCAAATAGGGAAAAAAGAATTTTATCGAAAATTTTAGGGAGAAAATATTCTATTTGTTGATTTTCGTGTTAAGAATTTATTTTGAAAATTATCTTTTAGATCCTTATTAGGGACTCCTTTACCCTCTTACTTGTACTAAGACCCTCACCAAACAAACTCTTAGCGAAACCCTGAATAATTTGTCTCCCTATTGAAGAATACCGTTCAAAAATCTCATCAAATCATAATCTTCGAATAAAAACAATCTCCCGCTCATCAATATTTCCCGCAACAGCGCCACCACTACCACGCGGTTCAATAAAAGCAAAATTGCTCGTTCGGAGCGTTCACTAAAGCTTCGATAAGAAGTAAGTGATATCAAAACTTATTTTTCCCCTTTTCAAATGAAACTCTTTGCCGCTTTTCAAATCGCTACAGTTGTGTTGGCGGAGACCGACGGAATCGTTGACGACGATGTTTGCGTTTTCGGAGGCGTTGAAGTTGATTGCGAGACTAAAGAACCCTTGATTCCTGCCTTGGCGAGAGCCGGTAAGTTCGCTTCTTTTTAATAAGAGAAAAAAAATGAAATTGTCTACAAAAAAATTTTTTTACAACAAAAATTTCATTTTGAATCTATCTTTATGGCAAAAATTCAGGAACCCGAGCACTCCCAGATGGTGACCGACGATATGCCGATCTTAAGGCTATCCACAAGAAAATGTGGAAAGTCAACGGGCTCAATGGAAAAGACAAGTTTGATGAGAGACAGTTGTGGGCTTACGGATGCCACTGTCACCTCCTAGGTGATCGACCTCTCTCTGAAATGGGCCGTGGAGCTCCCAAGGTAAAAAATCTCTATTCGAGCCATTCCCTTATTTTTTCTTCAGGACGCTTTGGACAACAAGTGCAAGGCTTACAAAGACTGCCAAAAGTGCGTTCGAGAAAAGCACGGAGACACCTGCATCGGCGAATTCGTCGAGTACACCTGGAAATTCTCCTCGAAAAACAAGCAGTTCGAGTCGCAAGACAACGAGTCTTCCTGCTCTCGAGAGCTGTTTGAGTGCGATGTTCAGTTCGCCAAGGACAGCTTCAACCAGCTCAGAGTCTTCGACGAGCAGTACCATTTCTTCTACGGAGGCTTCGACAACAGAGACCCAGAAAATTGCGTTTCTACTCCTGGCATTCCAGTTGAGCATCAATGCTGCGGCGGTCACAACAAACCTTAGTAAGTCATCATTAATAACACTGCTTCACCCCTCTCAACCCTTTCAATCTCCTTATTTCCAATCTTCAGCCACTGGATTGGATTGAACAAGAGCCAATGCTGCCCAGACTCTGCAGGACTCTCCGGATACGTTGCTGACGCTGATGCCACCTGCGAATAAGCGAGTCGAAAAACTTTTGGAAAAGTAAATTTTACTTACTCCAAATTTTTCTGTACATTTGATCTTCAATGCAAAATATTTGCAAATAAACAAAAAGAATTTTTAACACTATGTTTCGTCTCAAATTTCGTGACCTTTTCGCCCAAGTTTAAATGACACAAATTCACATAATCTTAAGAACAGCTGTTATTTCTTGATAAAATTCGCTTCTAGAAGAAAATAGCAAGTCGGCTTCAGGGTCAACTAAAGTCCAAGTGTACGAAGAACCGAGCTAGGCAACCGAGTTCACGGGAAGTAACAGATGGTAGCCAGTTGAAAACTGCTTTCGAAAGAAAATAAGTTGCTTCTCGAAATGAAATTATCCCTCGCCATTTTTGCCGTCTCTGACGCTTGCTCGAACGAGCTTCTTTCCCAACAGTGCGATAATGACTGTATTGCCAGTTATCTCGACTGTCAGACAAATTGTTTAAGCGATGGTTGCAATCTCCAGTGCGAAAACAACTACAAATCTTGCTTCAATAACTGCCCTTGCGGTGGCTTTTGCCCAAAAGTAAGAAATTGATTTCCTTTTTTTCTTTCAATTTTCATCAAGGGTTGCGAAAACTGCCCAAGCGAGTACTGCTACGATCCTTTGAAGAAAACTGTTGTAGTCGGGCAGCGCTTTGACCAAACGGATCTTACAGCATCATATTTTGTTGGAGAAAACTCGCTTGAGCAAGTTGATGCTTTTTCGCCAAAAATCAACCAAATTTACTTCGCTGGCAGCGTTTTTTTCAAAGGCGAACTTTGGATTTTCGGCGGCTACCCAGGTACAAGAGTGGTAAAAATTTTGATGCATAAATATGATTTTTAGACGGAAACAAAATCTCGATCCTTGGCGGATGCAACTTCGAAGAGCAGCAAACGAGGCTGAAGTATCTCTTCAGCACCGAGAGGCACGCGCTTACTCTTTTCGAGGAGAACGTCTGGCTCTGTTTTGGAAATGCTCGACGTTGCGAGATCTTCGACGGCGAAACGAGCGTCTTGGACGATCAAAATGTGAATGTGGCGAGAGGTTACGACGTCGCCTTGGGCGTGTACGATCAACAGTTGATTGCGGTTGGTGGGTACGGCGTTTCGAGAGGAAAGGTCGAACTAAGGGATGAACAGAAGTGGCGTCTGATTGAAGATCATCCAGTGGACATCGCTTACACAGAAGTGATCTCCTTCAAAAGAGGAATCCTCACTCTCGGCGGAACTAGCGCCAGGGTCGACGACATGAACGAAGATGGCTACGAAGTTGTCAAGGGAATCTATCGCCTCGAAGATTACGTCTGGTCCCAAGTCGGAGAACTCCAGCATGCAAATATGCTTGGAAAAGCAGCACTCAACGGAAACGAGTTGCTCTTCATCCCTGGCTTGAAGCAGCCCTGGGTTGTTCAGAAATTCCGATGGAATGAGGAAACAGAATGGCTTGATGAAAATGGAAGTTATGAGACTGGACAAGAAGGCTACACGACTTTCCCGCTTGTATTTGACTCTAGAGCTGTTTCCTGTGAATTGTTTTAAAAAAAGTTTTAATAAAATAGTCAAGAATGGCATTCCAAAGAAACCTCATCGTCTGAGTCATCGCCGGGAAACGATAAAATGTCAAAATTAGCATCCGTCTTAATTACGGTATTTGTGGCGTACACAGTCCAAAACTCGATGTTTTGGGATGACTTGGTTGCCCGCCGCGCCCGTGCTTTTCTCAAAATAAATCTACATTAAAAAGTGCGTGTTTTCGATGAACCGCGTCGTATAATTGGATCCAAAATATTGGACTCTAATGGCGATATTTGATGTTACACCAAAATTTGCGTCACACGAAGTCGGAATTAGAATTTCATATTTTTGGCAATGGAATTTGTGCAAATTTGAGCGCTGTCGTAAAAATGCAAACGACCTTTAGACCAATCAGAGATTCCTGGGGGCCAGAAATTGGAAGAATATTCTAGATCTAGACTATTTTGCTTTAAAATCAGCGCGTTTTTCAATAGTTTTCAAAAAGAAAAAAATCTAAAAACACTTCAAAAACCTTAAATTTTCGAAAAAATGGGAGGAACTTCATCAAACCTACCGCAACTCTCCACGACAGAAGTAACATCCAAGCTCCAGGACCCAAAATACCTTTTCATCGACGTTCGAGGAGCTTCCGAACTCGCTGGAGGAAAATTGGAAGCAAAGAGATTCCTCAATATTCCACACACACGTAAGTTTTTGACTCAATAAATGGATTTGATGATTTGTTTTAGAAATCGCTGCTGAATTTAAACGTTCCGAAGAGGAATTCAAGAGTGCCTACATGATGGACAAGCCAAGCAAAGACGCTCATATCATCATCTACTGCCAACGTGGTCGACGAGGAGGCATGGCTCAGGTAGAATCGTTTTATTCGAAACTGATTTTATATTTTCTTAGGACGCTATGGCGGAACTCGGATACGAGAATGTCTACAACTGGGAAAATGGATATTCAAGTCTTTAATTTTACTAGCGTTCTGTTAGTTTTCATGAAATATACCTATCAAATACATTTAGTCGTACTCGAATTCCTTCTTGCAACCGGCTGCGAGCGGAAATTCAACTCAGAGATGTGAATCAATTCTCAGTTCAGAGATGAGCGATAGTGAGGAAGATTCTGTTTTTGAGGATGGCCCAGAAAAAGAAGTGGTTGACCGAGTAAAACGATTGCTCACGGAAGACAACAAAGTCGGAATAGCAGTTGAAAATCTCGTAGAAAGTTTTATCTTTAGAATTTAACAAATATTTTACATATTTTTAAGCCTTTGATATAAAGCAAAGACGACAATTCTTTTCTGATGCAATAATAGAGACGAAAAAAATTGATCAAAAAATGAATGAGTTTAAGAAGACTCTCCAGGATGAATTGACATTATTCTACAATGCAAAAACTGATCTACATCTTGTGAAGGAGGAAAATAAGCGTTTAAAAGATATTGAAGATCGTCTTAACCGAACGAAGAAGGAGTTAGAAGATTCAAAAATCGCGAACTGCGAATTTCAACAAAAAATTGAAGATTTGGAGGAAGACAAGGCAATACTTGATTGTGCAAAAAAAGATGCCGAAGAGAGAGCTACGAATCTCTCAAGACAAGTGGTTCGAATGAAAATGGAAATAAGAGAGTTGACCTCAAATAACGAGAAACTTCAAATCGGTAATTAATAATGTTATGATATCTTCATTCTTAATTTCAAAAATTGTAATTTCTAGAAAAACAAACAATCAAAAGTCGATATGATGATCTTCAACGGGACTATCAACAAACGAGAAATGAAATTCGTCGGATTCAACAAGCGACTGGCTCACGAGTTTGTCAACGTTGCGGGGAAGATTTTGATACTAACGACCATAAGAAAACCTTTTTCCCAAGATGTTCCCATGCCATTGGTGCCTCATGCATTTTTGCCCGTCGAAGAGATGGAGAACCACGGTGCCCTCTTGAACATAATTACTGACTTTATTAACTGTCAATCTCAACAGGACTTTTTCTCTTCTTCCTTTCCTCTTGTTTTCTTTCTTCTTGCAGAAAAACCTCCGGATCAAGAATTTCAAAGTATTTTATGAAGTAGTCTCGAATTTCATCTGTTGCATCTTCTACATAAACTTTGAGATTATTCTCTCGTTTATCCTCCAGATACGGATTAACCATTTCTGCAGCGTCTCTTTTTTGACTCTCATCTGGTCGAGAGCAGCTTCGCTCAAGAAGTATTCGGACAATTTCCAGGTGACCGGAACTGATCGCGTCCATGATCGGCGTCATTCCAGTATTATCTGAAAGGAAAATCGAAAATCGTGAGGGCAAGTCGACCTTTACCTTGAGAGTTATAGTCGTATTGACGATCAGCTATGAGCCGGATGCAGAGCTCGGAATCTTCCGATAGACGATCGTTTCCAGCACTTCTTGGAACGTATCTTATATATAGTTTTCAAATTTTCAGTAACAAACTGCGCTTTTCTCGAAAAGGGGTGTTGAAATTTAAAGCTTTCCTTAGAATAGCATTTTGCAACGCAGTGCATCCTGAAGCATCTTTTTCATCAAGAAATTGCTCAAGAAACGTCTTTCCTGCTCTTTCGTACTCCTCCTTCTCCTCTTCATCCATACTGTCTTCATAATTTTGGATGAAGCGAAAGTCCGCTTTGTATTTCATCGTTCCCTGGTTCTCCTTACTTTTCTTCGAGTCTTTATAGTTCTTGTACTGTGTTGAAAAAGAGCTCATAAAGCTCAATGTTGTCCTCAAAGCGTTTTTAGATCTAAAAAAAGATTTTGTTCTGAAATCATGGAAGAGTACCTCCACCAGGCAAGCTTGTGGAAAATGGTTTCGTCGTTGGTATATTTTTTCAGAATCGCCAGCTTGATATTCGGATCCGCACCGAGCATCCGTTTGAGCTCTTGATTGTTAATTGTAATTCTTAGAAAAATCAAATTATTTTTTTTTACCTTCAGAATCGTCATTTTCGCAAAGCTTCAAAAACTTCGCCTCCTCTGCTGTCGGTGTCGATCTTTCTTTATACAACTCACTCTTAAAACCTCTCAAGAATCTGTTCGTTAAAAATCAGTACCTCTTCGGGTCGCATTTTCGGCTCGAAACAAACCTCACTTTTCCCTTTTTATTCTTGCGTCAAGATCGAGATATGCTTAGTGCAAATAGTCTTAGTGCTATAAATGTCGCTTTATCGCAGATTTTTTTTTGCTAGCATCGAAATTCCCAAAGCCGATTGAAAAATTTCATTTTCTTTGCAAAGAACTTCCGATATCCATCCTCAATACTCGTCAAAAAATTGGCAAATTTCAATTTCTAAATCAGAACTTCAGATAAATGATTTGAAGTTCAATTTTTGTTACGCGTCACTTCCTCCTTTTTCCGTTCAATTTCAATTTGACTATTAATTCCGTAGCATCCTTGAAACACCTTTGTCTTCTTAATCCTTAGGAGCAGTTCTTCCCTGCTTTTTTCTTCGCGAACGGGCCGCTGGGAACGGCTGACACGGGCCAAACATCTTTGTCTTCTGAATCCCTAGGAGAACTTTTTCCTCGTCAGTTTCTTTGCGTGCGGCTGAGGTAAGAGAAAGAAACGAGTCCGGAAAGTTTCGTCCCATTGTTTGCTCGCATTCAAGAGCGACTTTCGGAAAGGGGGGAGAGCTGCTTTTCTTGGGCACGCTCGTTTCATTTTTCGAGGGGCTGGTGCTTGGGCACACACACCCTCTTTTCCCGCTCATTACTGGTGCGCACCACACCGGAGGAGAAGTGGGGTGAAATAGCGAATTTACACAAAAAAAATCGAAGCGCTCCCTCTCTCGAATTTTTTCGCCGCCAAGTGGGTGAGCCCCTTTTCTACCTTGCGTCTTTGCCTAGACGACCGTGGCCAGGGCTGGCCTGTACCATTGTTTGTCCCAGCTCTTTATCCTAGGGTGGAACAGCTCTAGAATCTCCCAGTGTTGGTAAGTTTGAGTCAGAAGTTCCGACTTATTTTCTCTTGGAAAAATTGCTTCATGCGTCATAAATTGGAAGAAGTTCCAGTGCCAGACATAAATTGTCTGACAAATGATTCTCTGCTTCCCAATTTTCCAGAAGTCATGAATCACACCACTTCACAGTTTCTACCATTTCTATCTCTCCTGACACGATTCAACTCCATATATTTGCCCGGAAAAAGGAACCTTATTCTCAAAAAAAAATTATTTTTTCCAGAAAAAAATTAAGTTCGGAGAGCTAGAAAGACGGCTTTCTTTCGAAAAAGATGTCGAAAAAGATCAATTATTTGATCAACAAGTAAAGACGAAACATAGTATTATCGATTCGATTTCGTTATTCCGCGTCTTTCGTAAAAGGGATCGGGCACCGACCAGTGACCGTTGAGGCGTTGGCCACCCTACTGAGAGTTGGTCTGTTTGAGTGTTTTGTGAATTGAGCGCGTAAAGGAGGGCTTGCCCACGTTTCTCTCTCCCTTGTGTTTCCCTTCTCGCTTCGTAAAAGTAACGATGCTCTTACATGATGGCGCCCGCGAGCAGAGGATGAACAGTAGAAGACCTCCTTTTACAAAAGGGCCAACTCCAAGACCATCCGGCCATTTTTACGGCCTGGCGAATAAACGATCTATCCTTTTTTCTTTCTCAACACGGCGGCGTTAATTTAAACCCTTGATCCGTAAACTTGAGATTTCACAGAAAAAAATATTTTGGGAAAAAAAGAGGTTTATTTGTAAAAAAAGGAAGAAAACAAAAACGAGTGGAGACAACGAAGAGAGACAGCTAGTGAACTAAAGGTAGACAGAACTTTCATTTTATGATTTTGTGATAAAATGGTCAAAAAGGGAGAAATTTTTGAAAAAATAATAACGATTTTGGTATTTTTGAGGGTCGAAAATGGTTTAATTGTTTTCTTAAAATAATCATATTTCTGCCTTGAAAATGAGCTTTTATTTGATTGCCAATAAAATCAATTTTTATGAATTCATTTTCGATGAAATTTAAAAGAGGCCTACTCCATAAATTATATAGAAAAAGTGTTATGTAAACCCTCTTTTTGAAACAAAGAATGATGCTTGAATGATTTTCTTTGGCGCAGCTGAATTGGCAACTCCAAGATCATCCTTTTCAAAATCATTTTTACGGCCGAGCAATTATCTTCGCTTCCCCGAAACCCTTTTTATAGCTTTTAAAGAGCTGTATTTTCAAGTTCAACCCTTTATTTTCGCCTTTATCGGTATTTTTCCTTGATTTTTATGCGGAGAAAAATCACTGGAAAGAAGAAAAAAAGGATTGTAACCTCTCACCTTGGCCCTGTTTGAGCGTGTTATTTACTTTCTGTGTTTGATTCCGGATTCCGCAGCAAATAATTCGCGGACTACTACACCCGTCACAAGACGGGGATGGTAACTTTTTTCTTACCTTCTTCTGTTTTTGAAAATTTTCATCTACCGAAATTCCACTCGCAAAATTAATGAAAAAATCAAGGCTTTTTTATCGCCTAGGGTTAGGGTTAGCGTTTGGGCTAGAGTTATAAATCTGATAGAATTTGACTAATACGCAAGAATTTCTCGTAATAATAGGAGTTTTAATACGAGCCAATTTCTGCTCTTTTTGAAAAAATGGCGAGCTTCGCGAAAGGGATTTCGTCCAGGGACTGAAAATCAATTGCTCGGCAGCCAGTTTCCTGGTTTCGTGAATCAAGCGAATCATTCGAACAATGACTCTTTTCCACTCATCCTCCTTGACTTTCGCCACTTCCGAAGCTTTCCTCCACATGCTTTCAGGATTATCTATTCTTCATCTTTCGTTTCTATTCATCAGCTCCTCCTCCTCCTCCCTCAACATTTTTTTCTAGCTCGCTTTCATTTTCCAACGCCTGATTTGATTCTAATGAGAGCATCTCAGTCTGAGTCTCATAAAAATCTAAAAAGGGCCGGGGTAGGAGTTGATCTCATCTAGATCCCTTTCGGCTTCATTTTTTACCTGATTTAACGAGCGTCACTTTTTAGTGAGACACACTCGCGTAAATTATTTTTATAATCAGGGGTTGAGTGTCGCAAATTTATTAGTCACATTATCAAGGGTCGCCAAATTTCATGGCCGAAAATTTTTTTGAGTTTTCGATTTTTCGATTTCAAATTTCGAATTTCAAGAGTGCTCAAAACTGGCGGCCAAAGTCTCCAAAGCGGCCCTCGACAATGGACAACCTGCCCCTGTTTTTTCGACGAGTGGTTTTGTTCTTTCTTATCCGCCGGCTTTTCATTCTTTTTTTTTTGCGCGAGGCGAAGTAATGACAACTCGAGTTTATTTGGTGGTTATATTCAATGGTGGTTGACAAACGCGGAAGGGGATGTTGAGGGTCCGGGGTTGTCACGGTTACGCACGGTGTGGTTTTTTTCTGGATTCGTGTGAAAGAAAAGGAGCCAAATTCCAAATTTGCGATTTATGGTCGAACATTGGAGCTCAAAATTTCAATCATTTAAACATTTATTATCATCCCAAAATAGCAGTAGAAAAAAATCTCTAGAAAAAAGGGATGATTTTTTTTTCTAGAAGCGACTCTTGCGGGCGCTCCCTTTTTTGGAAATTTCATCATTTTTTTCAATTCAAACTTTGAATTTCAAAGTCAAGAAAAGAGATTCCTTCTATATCATTTTCCCAATCGAAAGAAGCATACCTATCTACATCAGTTGATCAAACGCGGTGAACCATTTTTGAGGATGAATTTTGATCAGGGCCCATCCTTTTCCATTCATTTCCAGTGTGATTCGCGTTTTGAATCATCAGCAGAGAATTTTCAGAGAAATGATCGTAGAAGGTAAAAAATATGACCTGCTTTTTCTGCCGATTTTGTTATGTTTCATATAAAAAAGCACCGAAGATCGGGCACTAAACACTTGAAAGAATGTCTAAAAAAGTCAGTTCAAATAGGAATACTAAAATCACTTTTTCTGAATTTATCATTTTATTATAATCAGATAATTTTTAGCCGAAGAACGGAGAGGGAACTGCCTTGGAATAATTGCATTCAGCATCTCAAAAACGGCAATTTACAAGAAGATCTAATTGAAGACATAGAAGAGTCACAGAAAAACAGGCGTCAAAAGCTTTCTTCGGCAACTTTCAATCGTCATTCGAGGAAAGGAACGCCATAAGAATTCGATAAAAGAAAATAAGTTTTTGTCCGAATTCGTAAAAAAAAATCCCTGCTAAAGTTTTTGTCTGAGCGGCGCTGGCCCTCGCTGCTGGCCCTTTTCGAGAAAAGAAGAAACCCTTTTCGACCCGACGGCTGCGCCTCCCGTCAACTTTTCCCAAAATTACTCGTCAACTCGTTCATTCGCAAATCGTGACAAAATCGAAATGGAGAGTCCGAGGAAAAGAGAGTTTTTCGAGAACGGGACTTTCGTCAATAAGGGGGAAGAAGAAAGGCTGATGGCAGGTCTGAAGGAGGAGATTCTAAAAGAAGAGCCGGTTGCTACCCCACCTCCGACAAAATCAAGGAGGAAATCCGCAAAGCCGACAAAGTAAGTTTTGTAAGAAAAATTTCTAGAATCCGAGTCAGGATTTCAAAAATCTTTTTTTATAATTGAATTCTAAAATAATTATTCGATAAGGATCTTCGTAAAGGAAGAAGAAATCCCCGAGGAAATCATCGAGGAAATTCACTCGGATCCGCTTCCTGAAGACGCCTTCTTTCCAAAACTTTCCGAGAACTTCAGCCCAACGCAAAATGACGATGCTTTTCTCCTAGACGAGCGACTGGATATTCACAAAATCAAGCATTACGATAACTGCCGCGAAAAAATTGATGGGGAAATTGTTCCCCTTGATTTTGATGAAGATATCGCCAGGCTTCAACGAGTAAGAATCGTTTTCCTATATGACAGTTTTTACTCTGAACTGAAGTCATAAAGACCTTTTTAGTCCAGCTCAAATCACGTTGTCCAGCGAAAGAAGGAAATTCACGTCAAGTTGTCGAAGAATCAAGAGTCGCCCAAAGCCAGCTCGGTGGCGCTTTTGCATGGGTAAGCATCATTGTCATCATGCTAAGAAAGACGCCATCGAGTGGTGTTTTTTCCTATTTTTTCTTCAAAAGGAGAAGCAAGCGCTCTGCTGCATCGCCTTTTCGAGACAGCTTTTTAAATGATTAAAAATTTAAGTTCAAATCTTCCCCAGACGATCGATGTCGTCGCGACTGTTAATGTCAAGACTGCTTCAAGCAACAACAATGGTCTCAATCAGAAGATTCCACCTACCACCCCGGCGAATCTCGGTAAGGTCTTCTAGGGTGAATTCCTTGCAAACGAAATTAAGATGCTCTGCGAGAAAAAGCCGTCGCGATCAAAAGCTGCATGGAATTGACACAAATGGAAGTGCAGCAATTAATTCTCGGCGGTTTAGTCGTCAAAGTCTCAAATCGAAAGAAACCAGATCAGAGCTTGAAGTATAACTGCAAATTCTGCATTTGGTACAACCACGACACCAATGGGCAGGTAAATTACCACCTTGAAATCAAGGAGGAAAATTGCTGAATGATTTTCTTCAGGTGAAACTTCGGAGCTTTGGAAGAAAAGAAGAGATCAAGAGACATCACATGCTGCATCTGAGATATGAGCGATTTCAGTGCCAGTACTGTCCTTACAAAGTATGTTGAATCAATGAACTCTGGGTTCATGAACTCATCTTTTCCTCCTTAGGTCGTCCGGTCCGATCATCTTCACCGTCACATGAAGAACAAGCATCCAGAAGTAAATCATCCAGGGCCTCAATCGACTCGAAGTAAGCGCCCACAGCTTGGTATGATGGAAATCTACAGAAAGACATTAATTCAACTTTCAGATTATGACCTTCCTCCGCTGGACTTTCCACCGACGATGGTCACAGACAATCTACCAGGCCGATCAAGGGGACCAGTGATGCAAAACGATTTCCTGAGCTTGATTCAAAATTCCGCCACCGGGGCAAATATTCCAGCGCAGCTTCTTCAGAGTTTTCTCAATTTCCAAAGGTGATCATTATTCCGCCCCCCTCACCCTGTTCCTTCTGTATTTCCACTAAACTAAACCATGATCAAGACTGGCCCAGACGATGCCAGGCGCGAACCCTCTACCGGAATCAGACGAAGCTGAAACTGCCGAAATAACAATCGAGTCCGACAACGAAGAAGAATCGACGATTTCTGGCTCTTCCTAAAAAATTTTTTTATTTATGAATTATATTTGAATTGTCCGAAATCGCAACTTTCGATTATTTTCATGGAGAAAATAATGAAAATCATCAGAAAACATACTATTTATGTCCACCACTGCAACATCTTCACCGACAATTCGATCTAAGATTTTATTTAAAAATTCTTCTTGATAAAAATTGCTGTGCAGTCAGACCAGTTCAGGTTTTTAAAAATTTTTTGCCAAAATCGTTCACCTTTTCTCATGTTCAAAGATGATTTTTATCATGAAAGAAAATTGAAAATAAACATTTTCAATAAAATCAAAATCAATCTTGTCGGTTTTTATTGTTGAAAAAAGATGGAAAATGTCCAAATTATTATTTAAATGAGTCAAATTAATGTTGAACCAATTTGATATGAGTATTTGCTCCAAGCGCGTTGTTTGATTTTGGTAGTGGAGCCTTTATTTGTTCAATAAGCATTTCTTCATCGCCTGAAAATAATAGAGAAATTATCACAAAGCTGCATTTGGCTGAATCTGGTATCAAAAAAGCTGCCAATTTGTAAACAAAAAATATCGTGCGTCAAAGAAAGAAGAGCGCAGACAAACAGATTTTGAAAACAGATGACAGCCGCAAGCACAATCGGATTTATTCTCGGTAAGATTGGGCGCCATTTTGAGCGTAGATTTTGACAGTTTATTTTGCGAATAGGAGTGATGTCCTTGACACTGTCGATTTTTTGCGTGATTAGTACGCATTGGGTCAAAGCAACACCAACAGGAAAGCGTTTTTATCATAGTTCTCTTCTATGTCTTCAAAGAAAAACAAGAAAAAACTCAGATAAGGAACTTCTCAAACAAGCGTTGTCCAAACCTTTGGTCTCTGGCAAAAGTGCGAAACGATAACAATGGGTGGATTCATGAGCTGCAATCTTTGGAATATGCCGATAAGTTCCATGCCTCCATTGCTGCTTTCTCTCCAAATAATGATGGTCTCTGGGGCGATCTTTGAAATTCTCGGAGTGTGTGCTTCGATTTATACGCTGAAAATTTGCCTGAATTGTTCGCAAAGAAGAGTTAGAAACGGAGGAATGATTGCTGGAACGGGCCATTTGCTTGGATCCTTGTTGATTCTCACTTCTGGAATTCTAGCACTGGTCATTGTCATTCAGGTAGAGTTGGTTTAATTGGATGATAAAGATTCGGTTCAGAATAATTATTATAAAAACGAGAGTGCTATGCAAGGAGGAGGGTGGAATATGGTCACGAATAATACTTATAATATGGTTCTCGGATATGCTGCATACTTTGCTTGGGCAGCTGGTTTCTTAGGTTGATAGTTTTTCTGTTTCTTATTCTCATTCTTCTTTAGCGATGGGAGCAATGGGATGCATGTATGCCTCTGCTTGTTCCTCGAGCCCTGAAGAAGATGACATCTATCAGCCAAAACAGAGCTATTACAATGATCAAGGCTACTATCAACCAGGAAAGCCGGATTTTTACGCTGCTTACGATCCTGCGTCCCTGCCTCGTCAAAATACATATCGATCATATTACTGAAAAATTATCTAAAATTGAACTTTAAAAAAGTCTGAAGAATAGATGTCAATAAAGTTTTGTTCGAAAAAGTAGAGCATATGTTAACCGCATAATGGGCTGAATACGATAATGAAGAAAGCGGGTTCTGTAATGCAGCGATTTTGGTGGATTACTGCGCAATCAGCTTAAGATTTTTGCCGTATAAAATCGACAGTGCGCATTTTTTTTTCTTAGATTTATTCAGATTCAAAGGAGAGAAGTGACTATGCTTTTGATTTATGGTTGTTAAATTATTATTTTCGATGATTTTATTTGAAATAAATCCACAACCATGTGAAGAGGAAATTTCTTCTCGTTTTGAGCGCTGTTTCAGCTGGATTTTACTACAATAAAGACAATGTAACGATCAAAACTGATTGAACAATTTTCAGACTAGGTCTTTTAAGGGTCTATCGAGGTTCAAACGAGGCTCCCTCATTTCATCCCTTCTGACTAAGGAGCACGATCGACAAGCATTTCGGAAAGTAAGTTTTAATAATGTCCAGAATCAGGACTAAATTAGAGTTTTTTGGATTTTGCCCCGACATTAAAATTCATCACTTTCAATTAAGTTTAAAATAATCATCTTTTTTTTAGCAAGATGAAGCCACAATTGACCATCTTCTCGGCCTCTTCAACATGGTCGAAGCTAAACGATCCCCCGAATACCTCCCTTCTTCCTACTATTTCTCAGAAGAACCCGCTCAAGAAATCAACGAAGAGGCAGAAAAAGCTTGAGTCCATTTTCTTAAGATTGACAACCAAATAATAAAAACAAAATAAACTTGCCGATACGATGAAAACAAGCTGACTTATTAGATTTATGATGCTTATTCGAATATGACGTTTTTGAAAGTGTTGAAGCGAAAATAAGACGTTTCGGGTTAAATTGATTGGATTAGTTACTTTCAAGTTCCGCCGAGCTTGCTTATTTGGTACGACAAAACCCGGTGTAAAAATTGTAAATATCCAGCTTTTGTGTTCAAATCATGTTCCTGGAGCGGGAATCATAACTGCTCTCTCGATATTAACAACTTGTATTTTTTATTAACGGGTATCATTGATCAATATAAAGCGATTTCATTAATGTCCCGAATACAATTAGTATAAATGAGCAAGTAATAAGACAAACGCGGCCTCTCTCCATTTAGCTGAGACCCTGACTCAGGACCTGGGCTCGGCAACCTGAGTAGAAAACCTGAGTCAGTGTCTGAAAGAGCAAAGATGAAAAGCCGCGTAGCGGCTTTTTTAGAAACGAAGCCGCAAAGCGGCTTCTCCAGAATTTAAATATAAGTAGGCATAACGCACAAAAAAATCAACTTTTTCCCTGTAATAGATACAAATTTGAAACTTTGGGAGCAACTAAAACACCAAAAATGACTTTTCAAAATTTTTTGGAAAAAATTTTTTGTTACAGTTTAGTACTTTTTTTCACCCCTTTTCTGACTACTTTTCGAGCAATCCAAGCTACGGTAGTCTAAGTATGCTCATTCGAAAGAGCGGAAAAAACTGAGTCAGAATTAACAATAAAAAGGGGTTCCTGGTGGGGTTCCCTGGATTCTAGGGATGAAAAACCCCTTAAAATTAGCCAAATTTGGGGTTTCATTCGACTTATCGTGTGATGACGTCATTTCCGGTCAAAAAACAACTTTTCTATTTCTTGCTAAAACAATGGGAATACAGTAAATTAGTACCCCAGAGTTCGAATCTGAAGTCAAAAGTTCATAAAAAGTTCATTTTCGGGGTCAAATCGGGTCATTTTTGAGTGATGACTCATCATTTTTGTGATTTTCAACCCCTAAAATCTGGGGAACCCCCCTAGGAACCCCTTTTTTTCGATGTATCTGACTCAGTTTTTTGTGCTCTTTCGAATGAGCATACTTACAACCCCGTAGCTTGGATGGCACGAAAAATCAATTTTTTGACAACTTTGGGGTACTAAAAAAGTACTAAATTTTAAATTTTTGAAATTTTTTTTGTTGAAATGTTGTCGGAGCACAAAAATCTATATGATAGGTGAAAATTAGCTTCCTACGACTTTCAGACAAAAAGTCGATTTTTTGTGCGTTATGCCTAAATATAAGATGGAATAATAATCTTGCGAAGCCGCTTCGCGGCTTCGTTTCTAAAAAAGCCGCTACGCGGCTTTTCATTTTTGCTCTTTCAGACCCTGACTCAGGTTTTCTACTCAGGTTGCCGAGCCCAGCTCAGGACCTTTCAGAAAAATAAGGGTATCTTATTGAAATTTTAATGTAAAATATCAGTTTTGCCACGTGGTGACCTGAGCTTTTCGCTACCAAAAATTGAAAAGCGGAAAGAGGCGTAATCCTGGGCTGGATTGAAATTTCTGGAATTCTGTGGAATGCGGCCGCCCCGTCGCCACAAACGTGACCAAGCTCGGCCGCTGAATATTCAAATCGGCCGAAATTTTCATTTTTATTTGACATTCGCCAGCCGATAATTTTGATAATGATTGCCAGTTAATTATGATATCCGCTTTTTCTAAAATGCCCATTTTTGATCTTGACCAAGGATTCTCATGAAACAGAAAAAGCAATTTCACGTGAGTCTTTGTTTTTCTCATTTGTTCAACACTGGAAAATACTTTGTATTCAAACTTTAGAAAATCAATTAACACAGTTTCTATTTGATATGAATATCGTTCGACGGAGGCTACTTAGAGCGCCGTTTTGCATAAAATCAAATGAAGGATTTTTTTGATGATGTTTTATTAATAAAAAAAATAAGGAAAACCAAGTCCAGTGGAAAATGTACAGAATGACAGGACATAAGTTGACAGCAAGAAAGTTTTTTTCTTCCGCATTTTTATCAATTCGTAAAACCAGTTTCTAATAAACTTTCTTTGTACAAGTTACTTTGTGATTTTGTTGTTCTTTTTCTGAGGTGAAAGAAAGGGAGGTTATTTTTCTTTTCTGAGCGAAAAGAAAAAAATTTGATTAAAAAAAAATGAAATTATTAAATTTGTAAGGGTCACCGTGATTTTTCACACTTTTAGGGGGGTTCTGATAGGGCCTTTCGAGAAGAGATAATAAAGGGGCTTTTAAATTTAGAGATCGTTGGAAGAAATCGCTGAAAAGCCGTCTTCTTGATCGCGGGCAAGAGCTAAATCGTAGACTTGACGGTACTCGGCGAGAATTTCTAGAGCGCTTGGTCGATCAGCTGGGATCGCGGCTTTGCATCGCTTGTGCAGCGGGTCGAGGAGGAGTAGGAGCTCCCGACCGTCTTCGCCAGCCCATTCGAGAATCCATTGAGCGAGGGACGGCACTAGAAAATGATTGAATGAGGGAGCGGAAGGGATTTGGGATGGTTGACATTTGACTCAAATCGTTGGATCGAGCGGGGGTGATTTTGGGCTCTTTTTTGCGCATACGCGTTCGCGGGTTAATTAGATCTTGGTTAAGTTTAGGATTTTCTAGAGCTATCTTACAATTGAAGGATGGTCCGACCATCATGGTCGTTTTGTAAAGATAAAAACTTCCAAAACAATATTTTTTTTAATTTTATCTTATCAATTTTTTCGTAACGATGTTTTGAAGACGCAATCATAAAACCTTAAATTATCGCAAAATATTATGTCAAAAATAAAACCAAGCGACTCATCCCTTTTGAGCGCGAAATTCGCTTGATGAGGCGATTAGAGGTTGAAGACGCGCTTTCTTTTCAAAAGTACTCGTATTAAAAAAGATCACGTTTGAAAGCTTCATCCATCAAAATCCGCACCTTGCGAGATCGGGTTAAATTTCAGAAAATTTTGCGGCGCGAATTGTAGATTTTTTGATAAATGACCTAATTTTTTTCAATATTGAGGTCGATTTTCTTTTCAATTATTTTTAATTGAAAATAATTATTAAAATTTAATTATTATTTAAAATTATTCAAAATTTTATTTTTTTTTTAATTTCATCTGTCGATTTTAATTGTTTAATAATATCAGAAATAATTAAATTTTACTAATTTAATATTTTTATTTTTTTTTTGCTTACCTTTGTAAATATCGACGCTCTGATCAAAGAAGCCCTGGCTAAACTCCTCCGGCGCTAGAAATTCGGAATCCAGAAGTTCGACGTTTTGGTAAAAACCAGCCGAGCATTTCGCCAATCGATTTTGACTAGGAAGAACAAGGCTCAGATCATCCACATCGTTCAAAAGAAGCCGGAAATCCTTCGTCAATAGAAATTGATGAGTGATCTTTTGCAAACTCCAGGTATCGCACAACACTCGCGCCCCTGAAAAAAAAATTGTAAGCAAAAGAAAAGCGCATTTTTTAAGAAAAAAGGAGTTGTCCCCGTGCACCTGTGCTCCTAAGCACCGGGTCGAGTCTTTATATTTTTTCCAAAAATAAAGAAATTGAAAAAATTCAGGAGCGCGTACTCGATGCGTCGTGTTTTCGAGAAATTGCGACATTTTTACAACAATATTTCAGCTTTCATCTTTGATAAACATTTCCACATCGTCATTCATTAAAAATGTCCAAAAGAGGATAAGATGAAACACTTTTAGGCTGGAGTCAGCAACCTGCGTAGATCAATTACGTCGGAATTAGATGGAAAATAAAATTCTTGATTCTACGTTTCCTAATTTGAAAAAATCATAAACTAAAATCATTTTTGATACTTATGGTTCGTGAATCTTATTTCCCGAAAGTTCTCGAGCCATGTGAGCGCAAAAATAACTGAGACAACGCACGAAAACGCACCTGAAAATTCGGCCAAAATAATTTCGGTTTTCCTAAGAATGTGACCTTTTCAGCCCAAGAACTGGCCAACTATCGTTTTTTATCGTTTTCAAAAACAAAACTTACCCTCAGGTTCCATGTGATGGAGGACAGAGAGGATAGAAGCATAGTCAAGCAGGAGACGCTAGAATTTAGAGTTTGAATATTCAAGTTTGCACTTTCAAATTTTACCATGAGCAAATGCGGTTGAGCCAGCTGAGGTGACATTTCCAAAACATCTGGCAGGTTTCCTAGCCGCCCGTGCGGGTGATACTCCAACAGGACTTGCAAAAAGGTTGAAGAAAAAAGGCGAAAGTTTTGAGTCAAAAGGTCATGAAACAAATTAATTTTCTTGAATTCGAATATTTTGACTGAACACGAATCATCACTGGAAACTCAGGGGAGCAAGAAAAAGTGGACTCTCATTGATTGTTTTCATATCATAACAGTGACATCAGTTGTTTGAATTTCAAACTGTTTTTCCACATTTCCTGACACTGTTATCAGCGCACTTTAATTTGAAAAGAAAGAGCTGAAAATCTATGTAGGACTCGATCAAACAATTTGGAACGATGGAAAAGTACCAAAAACGTTATTGAGTCCATCATCTTTAAAAATAGACAGGAAATACGAGTCCAAATCCCATTAACCGGAAGCAAATTACTGAATATAAGCGACCGCCAAAGATAGTATTTCAAGATACAACGAGAAAAAGTTGATTGATTTTTAAGATGGGCAACGTTGGAAATTACAAAGGATTACGACAATTATTCGACCTCGAGGCCGTCAAGGATAAAACCGACTTCTACGACTCCCTCGATGCCGAGCAGAAGGCTCGATTTGATGAGATCGACGAAATAATCAAGGATTTTTTCGACAATCTCTCGAAGGATCAACAGGGCCAGAGTTTGAACGAATGAGTTAACGATAGGCTTGTTGTCGTAAGATGAAACTTCGGAAACTCTGGATAGGATATTTTAAAAAGATAAAAGAGCACAAAATGATTTTCCCTTATCCTTCTTTGTCGTTTCAATTTTTTCTCTGAAAAATTTTGAAAATAAAGCCCAGTAGAAAATTTTTTCAGCGGAAAAAATGTTCAACCATTTTCCTTCTGGCCAAGCAGGATCTTCGCAGGAGCCAACAAGTTGAGTGACGAAAATTGAGGGTTGGAGAGACTTGAGGTTTGCGATAAACGAAGTGTACTTGAACCTTTTCAGACGGTTCAGCTCTCTTCTCAGACAAATAACTTAGCGTCTTGTTATTTGTTCTTATACACTGCAGGGACTTTTTGGAAATTTTAGTCGAAACTAATAATTGAGAAGCGTTAAGCGTTGAGAAACTTTAACGACTAGTTTTGGGGTTCAATTTTGGTCAGTTTTGCGGAATTTCAATGCTCCCTCTTTGTTAAAATATCAAAAAAAAATGATACTTGAATTAAAGAATTTTTCAAGAGATTTGAGATTTTAAATGATGATTTTAAATGAGTTTTTCTTTTTGAGATTCCTTTTAAATTGGTCTTTATTTCTCTGAAACGCCAGCATTTTAACGGATTTGGTTTAGTAGATTTAATATCAAAACTAGGCCGTTTTGAATTCTATAGGATTATTCTGCGCAAGATGCTTTGTTTTTCTATTTTTGCGTAAAATACTTCGACTTTCCGGCGAACAAGAAAGTTGTTCCTCTTATCAATTTCTTAATTTGTATGGATCAATAATTCCAATCTTGAAAATGTATATTTCAAGTGTGTCTCTTTGAAAATGAGCTAACCGGTCCTTTTGACCCTAGCGAGGATAAGTGGAGTTCCGTTCCAGTTTGTTTTGAAGACGCGCTTCATGGATCCCTGAGTGAGGTAGGTCCGGTTCTTGTCCAGGTCAGCCCAATCATCACAAGTTAGCCACTTCCTGCACTCGCCCATTCCGGATAACCTGAAAAATATTTTGGCCAAGCGCCCTGCAACGTGATAACAGTTTGATACTATTCACGAGCTCACTTCCGAAATACCACGGAGAAGCAATATATTTCAAAGAGGCCTTCAAAAAAGGAGTCTTTTTCTTTAACTCTGTGAAAAGAACCTGACTAAATACGGTAATTTTTGAATATCTTCAATGAGAAGCCGCATAGCGGCTTTTTAAAAATTAAGCCGCGAAGCGGCTTCGCCAAAAATTTTACAGATAAATAACTTTTGTTTTTTTTTAATAATTTTATTTATTGATTAATAATTAATATAATATATTACTAATTGTAAATTGAACAAAATTTCAATTTGAAATGGTACTCTGGTGAAGCCGCTTCGCGGCTTTATTTTCAAAAAGCCGCTACGCGGCTTTTCATTAAAACATTTCCAGAACCCTGACTCAGACTTCTACACAGGTTCTAGAGACGAAATTTAAGGAAGGCTATTTCTATTGCGTCACCTTTTTCATCCCATTTTCGCCCCGTTTTTCTTTATTTTTCCGTGTATTTTTACGCAGTCATGAAAAATTTCATCCCTTCGACCTTTTAACAATATTTTTCTTACCAAAAAGAGCGTTAAAAATACGGTTTGCGGTTGCGAAAAGGGATTTTGTTCGAAGCGTTTGCGTTTATGTTTGTATGTAGTTAGCGAATTTCGGAACTAATTGAGTTATGCAAATGAGCTTAGCTGTCTTCATAAACGTTCTATGACTGTAACCAGAACACAGAAAGGAAGGATGAGGTTATCAAAGTTACAAGAAAGAAACAAGATAGAATAACGTTACGTAATTCAAGGAGCGGCGCGATTTATCAACCGCCTTCTGTATTTTTGAATGACTCAATTTCTTCGTCGCGCTGCTTCTTACCTAAAATAACCGACAGGACAAGGTCGTTCACATTTCCAAGGAAGATCGCAGAGCGTATGATCGCGCGAGGGCCGCATCCCAACACGCACATCAGAGTGCATCGCCGGCGAGTCGAAGTACTGCGACTCTACCGAGAACTCCGACTCGCGGAAGTCATCGTAGTTTGGGAGGTCGTCAGTTTTGGCGGCTCCGGAGTCTTTTGGCTTCAACAATGGACGATCCCTTTTCGCGGTTCAATAAAAAAAGGTTTAAAAATTCGAATTTTTTAACTGTTTTCTTGAAAATTCGAGAAGCCGCTTGCGGCTTCGAGTCAACAGGTATTGAGCCGCGCTCCTTGCGGCTTTTTTACATTGATCTCGAAGCCGCAAGCGGCTTCTCGATTTTTTTCACATCTTCGATTTTTTAAGACAAAAATTTACAATTTTATCTTAGAAATTTTATCGTCGAAATTTCTCTTTAGAAATTCCCGAGAACTGACATCTTCGTCGCCTCGGAATTCCGATAAGAACAAAGCGCAGAGGCCTGAAGGTTCAAGTCATCAGAAATGACCTCGGAAACGCGATTATGGAAGAATTTCCGTCGGGACGCGTGTGGTATAATTATGCTTCGCAAAGCAAAAATTCCAAAAATTTACCCTCGTCGTAAATTGATTTATGTATTTTTTGTTTTTTTTTCTTTTTTTTGAACCGTTCCAATCATTGTCGTTGAGAGTAGCCGCATGCGCGACATTCGCAAATAAGATTAGCGCTATTCGATACTTTGAAATGCCCCTCTTCATGTTGGACTCATAGCAGTTGTTCTTCTTGGCTTTTTTCTGTTCATTAAAAGTTCTAAAAAGTTGAAAAATCGCTGCTGTTTTTGGTCAAAACAGAAATGTTACGCGGCGGTGAATAGAAGGAAGCGTCTTTTGCTATAAGAAAAAAAGGAGCGGAAGGGAAAAGAGATTTTTGACAAAGAAAAACATTTCCGAAAAACCAGTTTAATTTGTGCTAAATTTGTGGGTCAAATAATGATTGAAGGTTTTGTAAAAAAAAAAAATTTTGCAAGGATCGTGAGAAATCGAATTATACGGTAATATCTGCTTGACATCGTGTTCGCGAAAGTGGGAGTAGTCCAAAATCACGTTCAGCTGGAATCATGTACAAGGGTTATGATTTCGAATTGAATAAATTCAGCTTCAAGTCAAAATTTTCAATTTTTGAAACATAGAGGATCTATGATAGTCTATCATTGATAGAACAAACCGGGCAGAGATTCAAACCATTGAAAATCTCTAGAATTTTGGCAAAGGTCTAAAAAATGAATTTTTATCTTATTTTTTAATTATAATCTTAATAATTATTATTCATTTCTTTGTTCTTAATATTTTTTTTTGATTTTTTTCGATGATTATTTTCAAGACGGATTTGATTCGATTAGCTTATTTTTAGATGTACAATTCCAGCGAAGTTCAGACCCTTAGTTTCTTCTCCTCCAACAAAGTACAAGTATCAGAAAATAACGTGACCCCACGTTATACCAACAAATAAATAATCCTGAAAATTGCTCTGCCACCTTTCGAAATCAAAATATTTTTGAAGATTCTTGAACTGTGAGTTCTTTGAACACAAGCTGTCTTTCATCAGATAATCTTTTGATTATTGAAGTTTGAAATTTTTAAAACGACCAAAACACGTGTTTGTTTACGCCACCCCGACCGGGTGCACGTACGCTTGCTGCTAGAATATTGAGAACAAAAAAGAAGCGAGTTGGAGCTTCAAGCTGTCCCCGCGGTTTTTCGCTTTTTTAAACTTTTTTCGCGAAACCGCGGAGCGACAGGAAAAGTGCCCAAAATCCAATCAACCGGGGATCTCAAAAACCGTCGTTTTTATCGCACGTTTTTCTGAGCTGCGCGAATTTAAAGCGTGACACCCTTAATCTTTTGTCGACTTGACAAAGGAGCGCTTCCCCATTTTCTATTTTGATCAGATTTCTACTTCTTGATATGGATAAATTATACTAATTATTTGTGTTTAAAATGGCAGCTTGAGAATACTGCTGAAACAAAGCTGTTAATTACGGCGTATTTATTCATTTGGGTATTAATCAGTATTTTGATACTATATAAACATTTTTGTTCGAAAACCATTTATTCGAATGAAATTGATTGTTTATAGTCGAGCTCTTGTTAAAACTATGTTTTCGAAAGTTCAACTATTATAATTAAGGACCCTCCGTCAGCTTTTTTTCTTCAAAAAATGATAATTTTTAAAAATGCCATATTTTTTGTTCTGGAAGTTTGATTAAGTATAAAATCTTGACATAAGCAAGTTTTGACTAAGAAAACGCGATTTTGAGGGTGTTAGAGTCGAGATAGACCCCAAAAAAATGAAGCCTCAAAATCGTTTTTTGACACGTAGAATCCATTTCCGGGGTCAAAATTTTGAGATTCCGAAAATCGATTTTTCGAAAAAACCTGACGGGGGGGGTCCTTAATTATAATTTTTTAGTCACCAAAAAATAAATAAAAAAAATATAGAATCCGCGATTAAAAACTTTTATTTTAGAGCACTTTTTGTGTTGAAGGTTTAGTCCCATGATCTCTGCCCGGGTTCTCCGGTTCAGGTTGTAGTTCTCCCCGCGGGTAAAGGGACCTTACGCGCAGCGCGAAAAAAAAGGGGGCTAACGATGACCCCGCCAAGCCGCGCCAGCCTGGCGACCGTGAACAGAGGTCATGTAAACAGGCTGGAGATTTTAGAAGGCGATAAGTTCAAGCGGATGAACTCTTGGGTCGAGGGGGGAAGATAAGGATTCGAGGAGACATAGAAGAGCGAAAAATTTTAATTGCTACTTAGCTTCAATTCAAATTCAAATCATTGCATCTCTGCTTATAGTGTTATCATGTTGACAGCCGAGATATAATTTTGATAAAGCAAATTAAGGGTATCACTATCAAAATCGATCTTTTTTGATTAATTACCTGAAAATCAGTTTCTTTATCATTTTTAAAATATAAATTTACGATAGAAGTCTCATTTTCTTTGAAATACAGGAATATTTTTGAATAAAATAGTGATACCCTTAATTAAATTAATTAATTTTTACAATTTTTCTTTTACAATTCTATCAATATTTTTGGTAGAACAAAGGAAATTGCGATAAAGTTATGCTTGACCCCCATTGAGAGATATTTGAACGACTGTTTTCAGCAGATAACTGTCAGCTTGTTATCAAGCCGTTTTTCCATGTTTTAGAATTTGGCCTCAAAACAATGAGTTCCTTGTATTTTCGATCACGTTCAAATGAGTTTGATCTTGCGCCGAAACTCGAGCTCAGGAAAAGGCGATTAAAAAATTTGTGCCTTCCTCCATGACGTACAAGATAAGATTCCCTTTCTCGAAATAGAAGAGTTTTTCAGAAGCACAGAATTTAAATACGGTAAAAAAGAAGAATGCACGTTCTTTGTTGTGAGCATTTGCGTTTCTTAATAACTTGGGCCGCTTAATCTTATCAACTTCGCGGGGAGCGGCACTTTTTGAGCGTTTTCGACAGTTCGAATACTCAAGAAACAATGCTAAGTGGAGGTAAATAGAATTTAAGACCCGTTTCAGCGATAAAAAATAACGCTCAAAAATTGAAAAAATGATATCAGAAAAATGAAATGATAAAGCTCTCACAAAAGAAGATTCTCTAGTCTTTGCTCGGCATCCTGTCTGCGAAACCTGAGTCAGCTTCTCAACAAACGTAAATGTAAAGCCGCGAATAGGAAAAAAGCCGTTTAGAGGCTTTAAAAATTCCTCCACGGCTTTTCATTTTAGCCTTTTCAAAGCCTGACTCAGGTTTTGTACACAGGTTGCCGAGCTTAGCTTCTGGTAATAAACTCTTATCAAAATCTTTAATTGTCAATGAGTGTCAATTTGTTCCACCAGCTTATCATAATTGCCGGCTTTTCACTGTTTCTGAAATTGCTTTTCAGAAATAATTGATTTAACAAATAAAGTAATTGCTCTTATTTAGAGGAACCACAAAATAATTATTAAGAGCTACCTTGATGAACTCAAAATTAAACAACTTTAGTCCTTATAATCTGCTTTCTTGAAAGATCTTGTTGCCTCCTCGAAATGATCCTTCGCCAAAATGACACGATTAAGACTATCTTCCATCATGTGATCATGTCTTTGCGGCTAATGAAAAACCGAAATTTCATAAAAATGTCAAAAAAGATCAACCGTCGTGTTTTCGTGCCCTTCGCTCTCTTTGCCGAGTACAAACTGTCACTCTCACGTGTTCTTACCCTCCTTAACCCTTTGAAGCTTACTTCAGTTAAATAACAAGCTTTAGCTTGTTGAAAACAATTTTACGTTTTCAAGGTCCACAGTGTTCAGGGGAACTTGATTGTTTTTGTTTTGCGAGGATGAGCAGGCGTTAAGGGGTTCCCAACGATTTCACCAACTTTAACGATTCTTTTTCATTGGAGGAAAACTTTCACAAAAGCTTCTCTACAGGATTGAGAAAGAATAAGGGAGCTCTGAAACCATATTAAGGGCGTCAAAACGTTGCAAGACCAGCTCAGAGGATGCACCAACGCCCTTACTTAGAAACAACATTGCCTCTTATAAATGAGAAAATAAATTGAAACCCTTATTTTTTCTGCGGAATAGTAGAACTATGATCTTTGAAAAAAAGTAGATGATGGTTTGGAAAAAAAATTTTTGGTTAAAAATCTTAGCAAAACCAGATTTCAGTATTATCAAACCGTTGGTCAAAATAAGCTGCTTTCCATAAAAAATGACAGAAAATTCATCAGGGCCTTCAAAAACGCATTCTTCCATGATTTCACCAATGTAAAATTCCTTCAAGAATAAAATTTTCATGAACATTTTCCTGGTAATTTATTTTTTCTTCTCCTCGCAATTTTCTTCTGCCGGTTCTCTCTCAACCTTCTTTTATTTTTCTCGACTTCTATTGTTTAAAAATATACAGATTTAAATTTTTGTTTTTCAGAAAAATGTCTCTCGACTTTTTTGATTTTATTCAAATTTGACAAAAAGGGGGCCCTTTCTACAAGATGTTGACGTATGCTCAAAACGGGGTTGGTAGTACCAGCGGGTGTTCTTCGCTCGCGATTGCTCAGGCTCCGAGCTCGCGAGCGCCCTCGCACCCGTATCTGCGCTAGAAAAAAGCACGCGAATGGGCGCCGCGGGGGATCGCGAGCTGACACCGTATACAGCGCTCGCTCGTACCCTGCCGCCGCCACTCTTGTAATAACAAAGCGAGCAACGATATCGAGATATACAATACAATAACAAAAAAGGGGTAGCGGGATTATTTTATGGCCTTGGTTACTTTTGGAAAATGATCAAAATTTATCTAGAATAATTGATAAGAAAAACATAAATAGGGACCATAAATATGCCTTTTACTCTTTCTGAATACAATTTTATCTTTAAGAAAATATGATACAAAATAATTTGTTTTACCTATTCCGCATTCAATAGTTAATAAATTAGATAAACGGTATATCATATACCTTACATTAATTATAATGTTGTTTTCGTAATTATTTAATTTATTTGCAAGCTTTCGGCATTTCGCCATCATCAGGCCACATTCATTACGAAAACAACATTATGAAACGTCAACTTCAATTACAAATATAATTATATCATATTTTTTACAATTTGAACAAAAAATCTTCATTTTGCTATTGCTAGATGTCAGCAGAATCTGAACATCCTTGCCATATTTCAGGATCTCTTCAGCATCCTTGAGAATCTTCAACGAACAATGTAAAGAGTATAATTGAGTTAGCTTCTCTCAATAATGATAATGTAGTTCAAGAGCGGTTAAATCTCTTGTGATAATTTTCATCATCTAATTTCAAGTTCAATATTGCCACGTTTCTACCTTCATTCTGCTTTCAACGAAAAAGCTAGAATAAAAAAAAGAAAAAAATTCCAAAAGTTCAATTCTTCCAATAAGTCCGCGGTCACGCAACCCAAATAAAAAACATTCCACGAGGGTTGAAAATTTAAATTTCAAGTGGCTAGCTCACAAGCGCGCCCTTTTTTAGCATTTAGTTACTGTTCAAAACTGGCTGCAACAACGGATAGTCAAGATGTTCATTCGCTCTAGTTTTAGAAGGGCGTCCTTTTGAAGAAGATATTTTGTCAAAGATGAAAATTACAGAGGGGGAGAAGGGATGAGCCTTAAATTGGTGACGGCCAGCTAGGGGAGACTTGATAAGCTGATAAGGGCGCTGATAAGACTGTTTGATAGAAATTCAGGAAAATAAAAACAAAAGAAATTTTATTCACCAATTCCATATTTATGATTGAAAGTCAGTGGAGATAGAAAACAACGGGAGAAGTAGAATTAAATGCGCTTTTCCTGTATATGTTTCAAATAAAATTAACGAGAATGGGCGAAAAGCGGGTTGTTTTGAATACACTTGCTTAGAGCGTAGAGAAATGAAAGATGAATCAATATGTTTGATTGTTGATAAACGCGTTTGAATTTGATATAAGCATTTTTTGCAGAAAATAGGTGAATAAAGCCCCTCTTTTCTGGCAGGAAATTGATGTTGATTGCAGAAACACCCTTTTCCGGAAAAGGAAGTCCGTTCATTATTGAAATGAAGTGCGTTTAATTAAAGAAAACATGTGAGCTCCGTTTGAGGTACACAATACGGCTTATTTTCTTAATAATAAGGGCGAAAATTGAAAAAGAGAGGTTGATAGAGAAAAAAACTTATACAGAGCGAATTCTATCATTTTTGTATCGCGCAAGCTAGATCTCCTCTCAGGACCGCCTCTTAAGTGGAATTGACCCGTATAAAAAGCGCTTGTTCTGTTTCAAATCGGATAAAAAAAACATCTCAATAAGGAAATAAAAAGATGAAACTTTTGCCAGCAGTTCTCTCCCTCACCGCTGCCCAACGAGGCAGCCATAATGGTCGACCAAATGCGCGAAACCGAATTGATATCCAGGCTGCTGGAGCTATTGAATATGGAGTCAGGCTGTCCCCTCCACAGATCGCTCATTCTTGCGAGTGGGCCTACCAAGGTAAAAAATGATATATTTCCACTTTCTCTTTTTTTTCTCCATTTTAGGCGAGAACAACCGATTGATCCGATGCGAGCGAGGCGAAACCCTCAGGATCACCAACGCCTGGTACGGACGAGAAAACAACCAGATCTGCAACGTCCAGCGAGGAACTGGCCGACTTTACAACGCTGTTGGAACTTGCAAGTCAGATGCTACTCAGGTCATCAAGGACCGATGCAATGGACGACGACAGTGCAATCTCTCGTAAGTTCCTTTTTTCCACCACCTTCTTTTTGATATTTTTAGCTTCTCCAATGGCTTCGTTGGCGATCCATGCTACGGAACCACCAAGTATCTCGAGGTTACCTGGCAATGCGCAGCCCCAGTTGTTGCTCCAGCTATTGACGAAGATCGTCCAACAGGGTACGAACCAGAGCCAGAAAGGGCTCCAATGGATATGATGGACAAGAAGAACAAGAAGATGGGCAAGAAAATGATGTAAATTCCTTTCTTTCTTCACAATTTTCTTTCAATAAAATATCATGCAATATAATCTTTTTCTTGAAGTATAAATCTGTATATGAACTTTTCTAGCGCTTCTTTTTCAAACAATCGATTATCCAAGAAACGTTTAAAAAGTTAACCCAGAATAGAAGCGCTCCTCGTAGAGCCATAAAAAGGCCAATCCCTCGCCCTGCCAAAAGTTCAATAAGCACCATAAATAATCAAACCCGTTCTCTGTTCCCACGAGAACAAGGAAAATTGATTTTCTCTGGCCGGCTAAGAATACGCATTTCTCATTAGACCTGCCCACTGCGGTATTAATTCGCCTTTGATCTACGAGCAGTTTTTCTGCTTTCCAAATGAGGCAAGGAGAAACGGGTCTGGGAGGGAGTTAAAAAGGTCTCTGGGGATATCTGGAGTTATTTTTAAGTCGACGGGGCGGCCAGGGAAAGGGTCATTTTTGAAATCTCACTTATCGGGGAAACATTAAGAGATCATGGTAAGCAAACTTTCAAAAAACAGAACTTAAAAATTATGGCCCAAAATTTAGGGGCTAGCTAAAATTTAAAATGTGAAAGAGAAAATTCTTGAAATATGAGTCGAAAATGTCGATTGAGTCAAAAACTGTGATCAGAGCTCAACGTTTGATGAACATTCTCGGCTCATGTTTGCCCATGTAAGACATTTGAGACATTCGAATTATCCTTGCGACTGTCGAAAGTGCCGTTTCTCAGCAGAAATGTACGGAGTTGATAATTTCTTTTAGGAATGTTCTTCTAGTATGAAAATTTGAAAACCATAATAAAGTAGAAAATTTGTTGGTTATGATGTTAAAAATGAGGAGCGGGACGAAAATTAAATAAAATTACCCGTACCTTTTGTCGTTTTTCTAAAAGTGGAAATTCTAGCGCGAATGTATTTCAATCCACGTCGGCCAGGCCGGAGTCCAAATCGGCAACGCTTGCTGGGAGCTCTACTGTCTCGAGCACGGGATCTCGCCAGATGGAACGATGCCCGACGATAACTCTGTCGGTGTAACTGACGATGCTTTCAACACTTTCTTTTCCGAAACTGGCCAGGGGAAGCACGTCCCTCGGGCGATTTTCTGCGACTTGGAGCCGACCGTCGTCGATGAGGTGCGACGCGGCGAGTACAAAGATCTCTTCCATCCGGAGCAGATGATCAGTGGCAAGGAAGACGCGGCGAATAATTATGCCCGAGGGCATTATACGATCGGCAAGGAAATGATCGATTCCGTTTTGGATCGAACGCGACGTCTGGCAGACAACTGCTCCGGCCTTCAAGGATTTCTGATCTTTCACTCCTTCGGTGGCGGAACTGGTTCTGGCTTCTCATCGCTTTTGATGGAGCGTCTTTCCGTCGATTACGGGAAAAAATCGAAGCTAGAATTCGCCATTTACCCGGCTCCGCAGATCTCCTCCGCGGTGGTTGAGCCATACAACTCGATTCTGACAACTCACACGACTCTCGAACATTCCGACTGCGCTTTTATGGTCGACAACGAGGCAATTTACGATATTTGCAGGAGAAACTTGAATATCGAGCGACCAAGCTACATTAATTTAAATCGACTGATCTCGCAAATTGTGAGTTCGATTACTGCTTCGTTGCGATTTGACGGAGCTTTGAATGTCGATCTGACTGAATTTCAAACGAATCTTGTTCCATACCCAAGGTAAGCAAAAACGGGTTCTCTTCCTTGATATCAAACGCAGAATTTGAAATATTTTCATAATTCAAATCATCTTTAGAATCCACTTCCCTCTGGCAACTTATGCTCCAGTGGTAAGCCGCGCGAAGGCATCTCACGAGCAACATACAGTAATGGAAATCACCGGCGCGTGCTTCGACCCGGCGAATCAATTGGTCAAGTGCGACCCCCGTACCGGCAAGTACATGGCTTGCTGCCTGCTCTACCGCGGAGACTTGGTCCCCAAGGACGTCAACGCTGCCATTGCGCACATAAAAACAAAGGTAATTCGGCAAATTAAAGTTTAATCAACCCGAGCTAATGAAATATTGAAAGCGGACGATTCAATTCGTTGATTGGTGCCCGACCGGCTTCAAGGTCGGTATCAATTACCAGCCGCCGATGACGGTGCCCTCTGGCGACTTGGCGAAAGTTCGAAGGGCGGTTTGCATGTTGAGCAATACGACTGCGATCGCAGAAGCTTGGGCAAGATTGGATCATAAGTTTGATTTGATGTACTCCAAGCGAGCTTTTGTTCACTGGTAAGTCTTCTTTCAAAAAACGAAAAAATCAACTTTGAAAAAAAAAATTTTTGCAAATTTCAATCATTAATAAAGGTACGTCGGCGAGGGCATGGAAGAAGGCGAATTCGCCGAGGCTCGAGAAGACATGGCCGCTCTCGAAAAAGACTACGAAGAAGTTGGAATCGACTCCGTCGACGAAGCCAGTCGACACGAAGAAGATGACATTTACTAAACTTCCTCTGTTTTTTTTCATCAAAGCTGATCCCAAGTGCTTCTCATCAATTAAAAGATTCAAAAATTTTCTGCTTGGTGAAATAAATTGATTTCGTTTTTCCTATTTTGTTTATCTCAATTTTTTTTATTAAGTAGATCATGAAAAGCGACGTAATCAATTACACTTGCAGCTTTTTGATAGCGATGATAGACAGCATCCTGAGATTTGGCAGCGATATGCGTTTTTTCCGCAAGTTTAAATTTGTTCATGTCAACAAAAAGCCTTAAAAATGAACGTTCACTACCGAAAGGCCCACGGAATTTTCAAGAAATCGACATGTCAGAAGGTAATTTGAAAAAGTAAAATCCAGTGATTTGTTTTTTTTTAGAAAATTCTATTGCGTCCGCTTCGGCGACGAGCTTGGCCACCGTTACGAGCGAAAAATACGAGAACACAAGTGATCAGGAAGTCGCGAGTTTTCAGGAAGTGAAAGATCGGCGATGGCGACGATGGGTAAGTTTTTCGCGTCAGTCAAAATACTGTTAATTTCTTCATAAATAAGCTTAAAATTGCTGCGATTGTCTTCGGAGTCAGCGCGATCATCAGTGCAATTGTCGTGCCTTGCGTTTTGCTCCTCCCGAAAACAACTGCCGCCGTTTTATCAACAAATATATCCGCGACAACTGAGGCTTCGCCCATAGCAGAGACTTTTCCATCAACTGACATCTTTTCAACGGCGATCGGGACAGAACAAAATCCTTCACTTGGAGAAAAATCGACACTAGTTCATGAACCAGTTCAGTCAACGACGTTAGCTGCAACTACCGGAATACCAGTATCAGCTTCTGAGTCAGAAACAACGGCTCAAACCATAAGTGAATAAGGATTATTTTTTATTCCCATTGATATATTTTCTTTTAATAAATAATTGCTTGACATTTTACGATTTCATCAGCAGGAAAGTCACTATTTGAGCACTTTTTCCTTTCAATATTTCTCAAGACACGATTCAAGCGTTGTTGCGGTAGGTGCCCCGCGGGGCAAACTCCCGACCGTAAAGTTTTTCTTTTCTACCGCCTTTTTCAATCTATCGAAAAAAACCCTTGAATAAAAATCGTAGAGAAAAAAAGACCATGGCAAGATTGTCGACGAAGATTGCGAGACTCTTCCGGCAGAATCGAGCGCCGTTGACAATTTTGTCGACTTTGTTGCTTATGGTCTACGTTCACTTTGAACTTCAGATGTTGAATATTTTGCCAAAGCATAAGGGCGAGCATGTCAGAGAGGCGAAGAAGGAGAAGACTGTGAGAGAAGGTCTCAAGGCTGAAGGACCCCATTTTACTCTGAACGGCAAAGAGCTATCCATCTACTCCGGCGAGATGCACTACTTCCGTGTCCACCCGGACTACTGGGATCAGCGGATGTCCAATTTTCCAGCAGCGGGACTCAATACCCTGTCAACCTATGTTCCGTGGAATTTTCACGAAACTTTTGAAGGCGACTTCAAATTCGACGGGTTTCAAAACCTGCGAGAATACATCAAAACAGCGGAAAAATATGGACTGAATGTTTTATTACGAGTCGGGCCGTACATTTGCGCAGAGTGGGAGTGGGGAGGTCTGCCGGCTTGGTTGCTGACGAAAAAGGGGATGAAGATAAGGTCGACGCAGGATGATTTTATGAAGGCAGCGAAAAGGTGGCTGAAAAGATTGGTAAAGGAAATAGAAGATTTGCAGTATTCACAAGGAGGGCCGATTATTGCCATTCAGGTAGGATTTGAAAAATGGGAGTTCAGTAAAATTGAGAAATTGAGCGTTCCCGTACAATTACTGCTTTTCTATTTCCGAATTCAAGCGCTGAAATTGCCGACATTTCGTCTTCATTTTCCTCCTCATTTTCTTCCTCAGTTTTCATGAGTTTTCGAATTTTACCGGCTTGTTCTTTGACCATTGTTTTTAGTTGTTTGTTTTCTTGCTGCAGCTCTTGAATCATTTTTTCATGTTTTTCTAGTCGCGCCAGGATTGAATCCTGTTGTTTATCTGTTTCTTGAGCTACAGTAGGTTTCCAGTAGTCGTCGAAAAACTTGGAAAAAATAAAATTTGAACTCATGATCTTTATTCTAAAAAACAAGAGTGACGATTTTATCGAGCCCTAGTGTTCTTATATTGACAATGTAAATTTCACACTCGCGAGAGCTTTCAAATTTTAATTTTATTTCACTTTTATAGAGGTCACATCGATTAATCAGTAGGAAAACGGGGTTTCCAAGACCTTTCTCATATAAATCACGGCTTGATTTTCCGAACACGAGTTCCGGATTCAATCAATGTGGAGAATGGAAGTTCATTTTCAACGATTACATAACAGCTTGATAATCCATCTTCTTCAGGTTGAAAACGAGTATGGCGTCTACGAGCAGGATTCTTCCTACCTCCCCTCTCTCAAGAAAACCCTCCTCGAAGCCGGCGTAACCGAACTCCTCTACACATGCGACGACAGCAACGGCCTCGCCCTCGGAACTCCCCTCAAAGACTCCCTCCTTACAATCAATTTACAGGAAGACCCCGTCGACACCATCTCTTCACTTCGAATTCATCAACCCAATAGACCGGCGATGGTGGCGGAGTACTGGACTGGCTGGTTCGACTGGTGGGGCGAGAAACATCACACACTCGGTTTTCCGTGGAAGAATAAATTTGGGCTGGATAAATTTGTCGGAACGACGAAAGATTTGATCGAACAAGAAGCTAGTTTTAATCTGTTCATGTTTCATGGAGGCACGAATTATGGCTTCTGGAATGGTGGGATAATTCAAGGCGGAAAAGGTAAGATAACTCAATAATCACTAGAATTGGTGCCAAGTTGAGCCTCAGGACTGGATGGCCGAGCGGTCTAAGGCGTTGGATTAAGGCTCCAATCTCTTCGGGGGCGTGGGTTCGAATCCCACTTCAGTCAAACCTTTTTGAAAAATCAACTCTCATTCCTGTTTTTAGATAATAATTTTGTGCCGGACGTTACTTCTTATGATTACGATGCTCTCGTTGGAGAGAATGGAGAGCTGCGGCAGAAGTTCACGAGAATGCAGCAAGTGATGAGGAGTACTCTGAAGCTTTCCACTCTTCCAACTCCTTTACCTGTTCCCGAAAAGGCCAAATACGGAGATCTCTCACCCACTTCTTGTCTCTCTTTTGCTCAACTGATTTCCGCTTCTTCATCCTTTGCAACAACTGCAGATCAGCCCCTTTCAATGGAAGAACTAAGGGCGTACTACGGATACGTCGCGTACGAAACAAACACTTGGGGAGGAGGTCAGCAAGTGATTGACTTGAAAGATGGAATTGTTCGAGATCGAGCGATGATTCTGCTCGATGGAAAATATGTCGGAAAAATCGAGCAGAAGATGAAAGATGCATCCTTCGCGTCGCCGAGCAGTGATAAGCATACTTTCACGATTCTTGTAGAAAATCAGGTACCAGATTCAGCTTAATTAGAACGGTTAAATTTGTTTATTTATTTGGCTCAAGTACACTTTGATCGGCAAGTCCACTTCCAAAAATATAAGAATTTTTTATGATTTTCAAATTTGTAACTGCTTTTTTCAGGGTCGAATAAATTGGGTTCGTCCTGGCGATCACGGGATCCTCAACGACCAGCGGAAAGGAATTCTAGCGCCCATCGAAGTAAATGGTCGCCAGCTCAAGAATTGGAAGATGACGCATCTTCCTTTCAATCAAACTCATTTTGAGTAAGTTTGAAAGTTGCAACTACAGATAATTAGATTCTAGTGCTCTGGAGAAATCATCAGATTGGTCGAAAAGCTATAGATCTGCTTCATTGCCCGGAATATTCAAATTTGTCTTCAACATAAACGGCTCGCCAAAGGACACCTTTCTAGAGCCAGCTGGCTGGAAAAAGGGCACAATAATGGTCAATGGATTCAACATCGGAAGATACACGGATCTCGGGCCACAAAAGACTTACTTCATCCCTGCTCCCATTCTGAGGTAAAATAATCAAAAGTTTTAAAATGCCAAATTTAAATGTTATTTTTAGAACCGGTGAAAATACAATCATGATCTTTGAAGAGATGAAGAATGGAGTTGATATTACTCTTGGGGATGTTCATAAGCTAGGATAGAGTAATACCTAGTTATGCTCGATTCTTATCAAATAATATTATCAATATTGCTTAAAACTAAATATTTGCAAAAATCACTGCCTGAATAAATTAATTTGAATATACAATCAAGTCATTTGTACGAAAAACCATGCTTTTCTTGTTAGAAGAGCAATTTGACATTTCTGACAAAGTCAGTACCCACCTATTCTCCCAACTTCTAAAAACCCACAAGCCGCTCTCTCAGAACACAAATCCGACAAACAGTCATATTTTACGTCAGTCGGGTGTATGGGACGCTAGATATTCTTGTCAAAAGGTTGACCCCGCCTGAGAATTCTCCCGAAAAATTCATCTGGGGGACGTTCCCAAAGAAAAACGGTTTTCTTTCGAACTTTTTATTTTTCCAATTTGAACGTGAAAACAAAAATAAGAAGATTCCCCGTCCATAATTATATGTCTCGGAGCACGCAGTCTTGATACTAGGGATTCGAACGAGCATTTGCCGAAGATAAGGCATTCGAAGAACACGTTTGAAGATGGAACTTTGCTGAAAAACTTAAGAGAAATCATGTAACATGTTGTCATGAGTGATGTTGCACGCGCTTAATTTACGTTTTAGAAAGCGAAGTCGACATTCTAAGCCTTATCCTCTCGTAAATCCTCGTCTTATCGTACAAGTATGGTCCGCTTGACCTTAATAATCTGCCGAAAAGTGTACCGAAAAGGTAGCTAGGAGTTCAAACCTAAAAATACGCGAACCGCTTTCCTAAAACGTGTCAAAGTCTTCCTATATGTGCTTTTACCTACCAAGTTGGATGAACCAACGTTGAAAAAAGGGGTAAATTTTGTTCGACTATGAAAATTTTAAGAAAAAGTTTTATTCCAATGAAGAGTTAACCAAAGATGGTACTCTAAAGAAAAGAGGGGTTACCTATCAATTCGCCTCCTTTCTTCCCTCTAACAGTAATTAACGAAAGCACAGATTCTAGAGTTATCGAATGGCTCTTATCCTAGGCTTTTTCAGGGGAGAAAAATTTTTTTAAATTCTGATCATTCTTGAGTCATGTCTTTGTTCATTGGATTAAATTGGCACTACTCCTAAACAAGGGAACAACGGAGCAAAGGTAGTCATATATTTTTACGTTGAAGTTCGCTTGGCGGCGTTGCATGCGACGTGCGCTTGGTGGCGTAGAATGCGCACGGTTTTTCTTGGCTCCCTATAAAATGAGGAGAGTTGTCATGAAAAGTATCAGACTCCTGAAGAAAGGATGAAAAATATATTTTTCGCTTTTGCAGAGATTTCACTGTCCAACGCATTAGTGGAGCCATCATCATGGGTAAAAAAAAGCGCGAATGGCTTTCTATATTATTTCTTTTATTTGTAGACTCCTCCAGCTCGATATGCATATTGCGAAGAATCTTTGATCGGAGAGACTCCACTTCGTGCTACAGAAGTCGATGGTGGTAAGCAGCAATTTGAGACAACCTGTGAAGTCAACGACAACGAAGAATACGAAGTCAAAGTCAAAGTTGAGTGCATCGTTGATACAAGCACCGAAGAAACGACGTGGTTCTGGGGAAAGGGTAATGGGGTCGGGGTGATAATTCATTCAGAAATAAGATTTTTAATTGATCAATCATATCAAATATGTTTAAATCATCCCGCTAAAGAAAGTGGTCCCACATCGTCAAGAGTTTTCCTGGTTTCGAAATCAGAACCGTCACAGACGGCAATCCATTAGCACCGACATTTTATCAAATCTTTGTCGACCACTTGGACAAAAATACCGACACTCTTCAATTTTTCGGGGATGATGTCCGCGAAGCTATCGTTGATGACGAGCTTCGGTCAGCTCTCTTTTTTCATGACTATGATTGTACCGAAAGCGGATATATGAACATTGTGGTCAAACAGGTAGTACAATCTTCGTCATAAGTTCTCACATGGATTGTAGTGGTTTGGTGAAGATGGAAAAACGTACAGAAGGATGGAAATCGACGAGATTTTGAGAGCGATTCTCATTTCCGATGGTAAAGAACTCGGCTCACCTCTGCTCAACCAGGTCGGCGGCGACCTACCAATCGCTCCAGCTTTCTATAGAATCTCGGATCTTGGCGTCAAAGACTTCGAAATTCGTTCATTCAAGGAGCCTTCTTCATGGGTAAGACCGAATGATTCCCACTTATACCAATCATTGCTTAGACTCCGAAGGTTCAAGAAGCAACTTGCCAAAAATTTTGATCGGGGATTCCCACTCCGTGCAACAGAGATCGATGGAGGCAAGAAAGAATTTGAAAGCGCCTGTGATGTCAAGGACAACGAAGAGTACGAAATCAAAGTCAAAGTCGAGTGTATTGTTGATGTAAGCACTGAAGAAACTACATGGTTCTGGGGAAAGGGGAATGGGTTCGGGGTGAAAATATATTTACAAATAATATTTTTAACGGATAAATCATATCATAGATGTCAAAATTTCATCCAACATTAGAAAATGGTCTCACATCGTCAAGAGCTTTGCTGGTTTCGAAATCAGAACCGTTTCAGACGGGAATCCATCAACACCTACATTCTATCAAATCTTTGTCGATCATTTGAACAAAAGCACGGACACACTTCAATTTTTCGGGGATGACGTCCGGGAAGCTATCGTTGATGACGAGCTTCGGTCAGCTCTCTTTTTTCATGACTATGATTGCTCCGAAGAAGGATACATGAGTATTGTCGTCAATCAGGTAAAATAATCGTCATCTTGAATTAACTTTAAAACGGATTTTAGTGGTTCGGCGAAGACGGCGAGATCTTCAGAAGATTGGAAATCGACGGAGTTTTGAGAGCCATTCTCATTTCTGATAGAACAGAGGGTGGTTCACCGATTCTCAATCAAGTTGGCGGAAGTCTTTCATGGGCTCCGCACGCTTACGTGATTTCGGATCTTGGCGTGAAAGAGTTCGAAATCAGATCATTCCGACCCAAGTGCGCAAGATACGAAGTTCTCCCAAAGAACATCAAAGTTAATTGGAAAGTGGGAAAAAGAATTTGCCGATTTGTTGGTGGAGAACTAGCACATTTCGAAACTCATGTAAGTTTTGTTTTTTATCAACTATTTTAAAAATAATCTTGAAGGAGGAGTTTGAGCTTTTCCAATCTGCCCGTGAAGGACTTGAGCGATCAGACTGGATCGGAGTTAGACGAACAAAACGCGGCAATAGATTCATCGGCCTTGACCGACAAGAGCCCCCATTTTTCAACTGGGATGAGAGCCAGCCTGACAACGGAAGCGGTAACGAAAACTGTGTCGAAGCCACTGAAAATAATAAGTGGAACGACGTCCCTTGCTCTGAAACTCGTGGAATAATCTGCCGATTCGAAGACGACTGCTAAACACATTTCTTTCTGTCAAAAGTGCTGAGCAAAAGTGTATTTTCTGCTTCTTAGCCAATAAAATATGCAGTTTTATAAAAAATCAAGATACTTAAGTTTAAAAAATTCCGTCTCCATGATAATAAAAATCTTCTCAAAGCCCATTCAGCAGTGAAAAGTCGCGCTAGAAGTGACGTTTACACACGCAGCATTAATACAAAGCAGGTGGGAATCGTAAAAAGTCAGAACAAAAACGCGCGCGCTACCCATCGCCAGCTCCATTTCTCTGTTTTTACACCGCGATCCTACATAATCCTAGCTGCCCTTATTCACAATAAAGTGCTTCGCAATACTCAAGTTTTTATGGTCCCGCCAGCGGAAAATGAAGCCAGTCAGAATTGAAGAGATGTGGAAGCGACTACAAAAGCACCAGACGCAACTTTTGCTCTGTTTGCTGGGATTTTCTTTTGGAATCACAATCAGGAAAATGATAAAAAAAAATTCTTGATAAAAAGGCTTGATATAAAGATAGTCTTGATAAAAAGACTTCAAATTTTGAATTCTTTCAAAAGATTTCAGTCACCATAAAGAACATTTTTGAGGGAAAAAATATATAATTTTATTCTTTAGATTCTACGAAGAGCTTGTTAAATCACTTCAAGTTGTAACTGTCAGATTCTTTGAACTATTTTCAAATTATTTTTATCATTCCAAGACTCCATCGAAACTACCTCGTCGAAAAATGCATCCACGACGAAACCCTCCACCCTCATTCGGCCTCTTTCGTCGACATGATCCCCATCGAAGAATCAACACAGCACCGCCAACTCGTCAACATCGGAGTCATGTCTGCTCAGAAATTTCTGATGCGACGAACAAGAGATATTGCCGAATCATGGGCACTTGACGTGACGAAAAATGGCGGAAAAGTGACTGTGTTTTCTGACAATTCGGAGAATCTAAAATTTGATAGTTTGAATATTATCACGCTGCAGGGAGTTAATGATAATATGTACCCGCCGCAGAGGAAATCGTATTCTGTTATCAGGAGGGTTTTATAATAATATTTATTGGATTGAAATACTGAAAACAAAAGAATGAATATCGAATATATATCATTCGGCTCCAAATAGAAAAGAGCCCAACTTCACCAGGATTTATGCGAGTTATGGTTTCACATAAAATATATTTCGAGAAATCAAAACCGATCAAATTTCGAGAAAACTTTTATCAAAATGAAATATAATCCGTTTTTCCGCCGAACCCCATTTTCTGCGGTTCAAGTTAATTTATTTGAAAACCCACATAGACATTTTCACGATGTCGAGCTCAACAATTTCGACTGGTTCATGCGACTCGATGACGATGTTTACCTCAACTTTCCCCGCGTCGAAGCCTTTCTTAAAAACTTGACCCGTCGAAGCCTTTGATGATCGGCAATGCAGGAATGGGGCGGGACCCGGATGATTATGTGCCGAAGGAAATGACTTACTGTATGGGCGGAACGGGCATCATCTTTTCCAGAGAGGCGATCAAGCAGATTCGCCCGCATTTGCACAAATGCCTCAAGGAAGAAATCTACTCAGAACACGAAGACATCGAACTTGGCCGCTGTTTCTACAATCATCTAAATCTCACCTGTACCAACGCACGGGACACACCAGATTTTTTCTGGAACAATTACCGACCGCGTCCGCTCAAGCCCGGGCAAAGCTCAAGCTGGGACAATATTGACATGAAAAAAGTGAGCGACAAAGTCAAAAAAGCGATGACGCTGCACTCGAACAAGTTCTATCCTTATCAGCAGAATTCACGACTGGACATGCTCAAATACGAGGCGCAGATTATTCAAGACAGAATCAATGATCTTCAGAAAAAGATGCTGAAGGTGGTTCTTCATACAAAGCCAAGCCCTCTCGGTAGTCGAAGTGCTAGAAATTTTCACTCATTTTTGTTTTCAGAGGAAACTGATGACATCTTCGAAACCTACCGAAAAGAAGATGACGGAAAAGTGTATCACTACAAACTTGACCAAGACAATCCCGTCCAAATCAATCGAGGAGCCGCGGTTGATGGCTTTTTCTCACTCCTTGGCTATGAAAAATCATGGAAGAGCCTTTCATACGGCAGAAGCAAAAACAGCTACATCTATCAGTTCGAAGTGAAAAATGAAGAAGGAGTAAAAGACTCGGCGATCGTCAAAAAAACTCTTGGCGGAATGGAGACAAAAGCGATCGAAGTTTTCCACAAAAAATGCGAGAGCATTGATTTTATCATTCCTCTTGTCGGAAGAGAGGATCAAGTGGACCGATTCCTGAAAAATATCCGTGATGACTTTGATTCTTCATCGTATGGCATCAATCTCATTTTCGTCTATTTCAAGGAGAATGAGCACAAAGAAGAAATTAAGAGTCTCCGAGGAAAATTGGCGAATCTGAAAAAACTTGCAAAGGAGAAATTCACCTGCGAGCTTGACTTTGATGTGATCACTTCCAAGGCTGATTTTAGCAGAGGCATTGGGCTACAGATGGGCGCGGATTCAAGACCAATGGTACGCAAAATTGAAAAGTGATGGAAATAATTAACGATTTCTTTTAGCAATCAATTCTGTTTATGGTCGACATCGATATGGCATTCAAGCGGAAGCTCCTGCAAAACATCATTTCCAACACGAGAATCGGCCAAGCTTACATGCCAATAATCTTCTCCCAGTTTAAAAAACGGCCGGAACCAGACGGTGTGACGGACCGTCACGGTTTTTGGAGAAATTTTGGATACGGTATGGTCTCGATTTACAGATCCGATTTGGTTAAATCAGGAATTGGGGTGGAAAATGAAACCAAAAATTTCGATAAAAAGAAGAACATTCGGAATAGTACATTCCTTTTCGTTTTAAAAAATAACAAAATGATGCTTTTTGTCCAGTGAGGGTTTCTAGTACAACGTCAATTTTCTACCCAATATAAAGGCGGATACGACAAATCCATCATCGGCTGGGGCCTCGAAGATGTCAAGCTCGCCGAGAGACTAATAGAAAAAGACGTTAATATTTTCCGCGCTGTCGAGCCGAACTTGGTCCACATCTACCACGACAAAGACTGCTCCGGCCTCGAAGATCAACAAAAGAAAGCATGCGTCGACGTCATGAACAATCACTACACTTCTTCAGAAGCACTTTATGAAATATTTCTGAAAAAGACTTTGAATCGGAAGAGAAGAAGCTAACTTTTAATAACTGTAAAATGTCAATCATAACGAAACCTAACATACCGTAATAACTGCGTTATTTTTAATACTCTAAGAAAAGGAGACCAAAATTATGATTTATGAATTATTGCTATTAATAAATAAAAACTCTTGTAAGCAAATACGGATGTGACGTTTCAACAGGATTATTTCAAAAGTCAAAGATAAAGCAACTGCAAATTTCCCAAGCTTCCTCGAGAAAAATTTCCATAAGAAACGTCACGGAGGGCTTTTGGTAGCTCAGAAGTGATTTTTTTATTTCCATGATGACAAATAAAACATAACTTTTCTGATCATTATTATGAGAATTTTATATAGGTTTTATCAGCGACAGCTACCGAATGAGAATCTGAAGCTGGATACGCCCCTATTTTTTGATGCTCGAGCCTCGTGGGGAACTCATGATAATTTGCGTTAATGATATGATTCTGATCAGATGTTGCTTCTGTGTGAGCTTGTGACCAACAAGAATCTTCAATTATTATTGATTTTTTTGTTTCATATCCTGCTTTTGTTTATATTTTCTATATTTATCGAATGCCAAGCTATAAACGCGGAAATTTGAAAAGAACATTGTATTTGCAAATATATAAAGCAGCTTATAGAAACAAGCTTGGTCAAGAAAGTATAAAAATATTTACAGTAAATAATGACAGATTTACAAAGAGGTGAATTTTTGCGCCAAAGTTCCAGATTTCGGTCGCCAGGAGACACCTTCCATTTGGTTTGGAACCTCTCCGTTGTGCTGGTTTTCTGTTTTTAGGGTTGAAGCAACTCGGAGAACTGCAATTTTGAGCATTTGCATGGCAAAGTGGTTTCCAACGCACATTCTAGTGCCGCCGCCGAATGGCATGAAGCTGTATTTGCCTTCTTTTTTGTTGGCCATTTTCGGCTGCTCGAGGAATCGGGTCGGGTCAAATTTTGTTGGGTTTGAGCCGAATTGAGCTTCGGATCGGTGGATGTTGCCCAAGTCGACGATGTACTGGAGACCCTTAGGGAGGACTCGCCCATCGGGGAGGGACACGTCTTCAATAAGCTTTCGCGGAACCATCATGTCGACAACATGTCGAATTCGGAGAATTTCTTTGATAAATGCTTCAGTGTATTTAGCGTTGGAAATCGTTTGTCGGTTCATTTGCCCGCCGAGGTTATGAAACTCCTCCTGGATCTTCACGGCGCATTCTGGGTTTTCTCCGAGATGGAAGAGAGCCCAGCTGAGTGCGGCAAGGGTAGTTTCATGTCCGGCAAAGAGGAAGGTGAAAAGATGAGAGTGGATTTGAGCGTTGGAGAGAGCAGGTTTTCCGAGTTTTTCCTGGCTTCTGATGAGGATTGAAGTCAAGTCGGAGTTTTCGATTCCTTCGTTGTGGTCGGCTCGGGATTTTTCGACCATTTTTTCGAGGTAGATATCTCTAGAATGCTGATGCTCCTGTTCTTCTCGAAGCGGCTTCCAGAATTTCTTGGCGAGTTCGATTCCAAGGGGAATTTTCTTGAGGAGGAGGATGAGAGGAAGGCTTCTGATTTTCGAATTGATAGCGTCACCGAGTTTTTGGAATGTGTTGATGATTGGCTCGTAAGTTTTGTCGGTCTGCACCTCGGCAGTTGCGTCGCCGAAGATTGTCTTGAAGAGGATTTCGTAGACGAAAAGTCGGGATTTCTCGTACGCGCCGGATTTTGAGTAGGAAGATTGCTCGGCGAGTTTTTCGGTGAAAGTGATCGCGGCTTGGTCCATTGTTTCAATGTAGTTGTCGAGCTGGTTTCGTCGGAAAATCTGGCTGATGATCTTACGCTGTTTCTTCCAGTCGTCGTGTTCGAGCATGACGAGGCCGTTTTTGAATCCTCGGGAGTCGAGTTCTAGAAGATCGCCAGCAAAGCCGCCTTGTGTGACTGAGGAAGCGGGGATTTGAGCCATCATTTCGACTAATTTCGGGTCGGCAACGTACATTAATTGGCGCCAAGGAAGAGTTTTGAAAATCCAAGTTCCTGGGAAGGCACTGTTTTGCGACTCCTTGAATTTTCGTTGTCGCCAAAAAAGAAACTCTTCGGAAATTGATCCGTCTTCAATGGACATTCGCATTGTTTTGATAAACTCGGCAAAGGAGCCGAAAAAATTCTGACCAGATGGTTTGTAATGCTGGTCGGTGAACGAATTAAGTCGCTTGGCTTGTTTTGCGAGATTGAGGACTTTGTAGGCTGTGTAGAGAACGATTGGAGTAGCAGGGTTGATGAGAATGTTTTTCATAGTATCCATCATTTTATCTGTTTGTTTGTTTTTTTTTTCTGAGAAAAGAAAAGCTTTATTTGAGTTATATTTTGAGTTTGTTGAAAGTTTGAATGATCATGCTCCGGAGAGTGAGCGGTTATATATGCTGTAGAGGGAGAATTGAGAGCATTTTTCCGAAACGTCAACTATTTGCTTAGATAGGGAAACAGTCCGATTCTTCTCACACCTAAAATTCTTTCCAAGAAAGATAAACTTCCGAAGAGCAATTTTCTTGCACAGTAGCACTGATGTCTGAGTAAATACTGCCATTGACGCTAAGCCAAAAAGATGACATATTCATTTTGATATGGATTTTTTAAGCACACTTTTGTCTTTATCAATAGAAAAATTGAACACTGTCTTTGTTGAGATTTATTCTAGCGCGGCATGAAATCTCTTCGAATCAACTTTTTCATGCTCTAGCATTTTTTCAGTGAAATTCTTGATATTGACAACCTGGCCAGTTCTCCACGATTCTTCAGCAGCTTCTGCCAAAACTGACACTCTCAAACTAAAAAAAATTCTCTTTTCTATCATTGTGAGTTTCCTACCAATCCGCCGGGACAACAGACATATCAGCCTTCTCGCCAGTAATGATCGCATGAAACTCAACGAGCTCAGCAACATATGCATCATGATATCGTTGTTTGAAGGACTGCTTGATAGCATCAGTAGATTGGCCCTCAGCTTTCCAGACTTGCCATTGAGCAATTTGTTGATTCGCCGAAATCGCCTTCCCTTTTTCGCCAAAGATTTCAACGGTCTTCCCAAAAATGAATAAAAGAAAACGAGTTTATCCGACCTGATCATATCCATATCTAGCATCTCGGCCAAGTTCAATGTGGCCAAGAGCTCCGCTAGGGAATTTTAACTGCATAAAAACGGTGTCTGCATCGTTCAATGCTGCGATTTCAGGGTCATGAGCATGAGCAGAAGTGTAGACGGTTTCAGGCTCTTCTCCAAGCATAAATCTGAGAGAAGACATTTATTTTTCATGACCATGATGGGCGGAAAAAGCGGAAGTAGCTATCTTGGTGACCAAAGACAAAGATTCTTGGTCACTTAAATTCTTCTTGTCCTTAATATTCTTATCATCAAGTTTCCTTGATGCAACTTATTTGATCATTGTCCATCACCAGGCAAAAGAATCTACTGACTTTTAGGTAGGGCTGCTGCCAAAACACACGAAAGAAATTGGCTTCTGGAAAAACAATGATTTCAAGTGAATATTGACTCTTAAATATTCTTCTTCAACAAAAGTTGGTGGGACTTATCATCTGCTCACAAACTGACAAGTGTTTTGTCACTTCCGCTTGTAGAGAATTTCCGGTAAAGCTTCAGAATTTTTAAGATGGGAGCGCTATCACGTGTGTAAACCAGGGGTCACGGATTTTTAATTGCAATAGCTCGCGATTCTTATGTTATGTAACAATTTTACCTGAGTAAATCAAGATCATGGACGGCGCAGTCGTGGAAAATACCGCCGGATATTTTGAGATACGAGATCGGAGGACGAGGAGCGTCGCGAGCGGTTGTTTTCACTGTGAAAAGTTTGCCAAGAGCTTTTGACTCGCTCTTGACGCGGAGAATCTGAGGGTCGAAGCGACGGTTGAAGGCGACGAGAAGAGTCAGATTCTTTTCCTGAATGAATTTTACCGTTTTTCTTTTAAAGACCAAACCTTCGCAAGCTCAATAATTTTCAGCGAGCTTTCAAGTGTCATCGCCAGTGGTTTCTCGCAAAACACATGTTTTTCACTCTTCAGTGCTTGTTCGCAAAGACCCTCGTGCGTGTCAGTAGGAGTTCCGACAATGACACAGTCGACTTTTTCATCCCCAAAGACTTTTGTGAAGGAATCTTGGCCAACAGCTTCGGCAGCAAGGTTATATCGCTCTCTGATGAATTTTGCGTGGGACTCGTTGACGTCGCATAAATACCGGATTTCGTAATTAGGATTAACCAGCAAATTTTCTAGCAAAAATTAAAAAAGAGAAATCAAAGGGACTACCTAAATGGATCTGTCCGATTCTTCCGAGGCCGAAAATTGCGATCCCTAATCGTTTCATTTTGTTTTGACTTCTCTTTCTTTTGTTTTCTGAAAGGCTTTCAAGTCAGAGTTTTTACAATAGCTCAAGGGCAAAAACGCGGTTGAGATTCAAAAGGTGTTAGAAATGGCAGATTTGTCAATATTTGACGGAACCAAATAAATGATTGTCTATCAGAAGAAGGTTAACAAGTTCGTCAAAGACCTTTTTTCTCTATTTTTCAAATGGATTTGATGGAAACTAGATTTTACATGAAGTCGGAGAGCTCAAAATGGCACCATTTTGGTTTTCGATTTCGTCAATCACCGGCGTTTCGTCATGAGCGTCCCAAAGTCCACCTGACTGACAGATCTTATGTCAGATTCTTTCGAGCATAAATTTCATAATAATTCAAGGCCCAACAAATCTAAAAAGACCCCTTGCCAAGTTCAAATCGGTAAAATTGTAATTCTAATATTTTTTCATTTATTTCTCCTTACCAAAAACCTCTAGAATCATTTAATCTTTGCGGTTTCTTCAAAAAACATGCTCCCATAGTCCGCGCCGTAGACCGTTACATCGCCGCTAAAAACCAAAACTCACATTTCTCAACAGAATTTTCCGTATATATAGAGTTTCAATGCTTGCAAAAATCTCAGTTAATCTCAAATACGACTCAGCAACGTCGACATTTGATGAAGCTTTTTAACGTTTTTCTTTCAAGTGGTGTTTTTGGAGCTGTTGGTTAGAAGAGAGATTTTTGCCTAAACTTTCATTATTTTAGCTCCTCAAAATGGTGCTCTCCGAGAAGAGGCTGTCAAAATCCAACTTCTCGAATGGCAACTTGGAATCGCCAACTCAACCGGAATTGCTGGAAACATCCTGACCGAGCTTGGCGACTTGGAAGGACTGACCCAGAGAACCGTTGATATTTCACGAATTCGATTCAAGTTGCTAATGGGAATGCTCGTCTGGACGCATCAAGCAAATGGGATCGTCTATCATACCTACCTGCCGCATATTTCAGGCCGACACAGCGCGCTAGGATTTATGAGCGAGTCCCAAGTCTCGACGGGAATTGAGTTCAAACATACAATTACGTCAAATACTGAAAATGAAGCTTATGCGGAGTACACCATGGAACTTTATCACGGGTAAGATTTTTTAATTTCATTGGAAAAGGGAACTCAAATTTACCGGAATCATAAAAAACTTAGTCACAATGAGATTTAATGACAAATTTAATTTCGTAAAAAGCCGCTTTTTAGTAAAAAGTTTTTACTCAGTAAACACGGCTCAAATCGGAAATGTCAGCATTTTTGTTACATACAGGGCATCGTTTGACATTTGCCAAGGACTTTCGAATGCACGACTCGCCGAAAGTGTGGCCACATTTGAGTCCCGTTTGGAAATGATCGCCATCCGTAAACATTTCTTGGCAGATTTTGCATTGAAGTGATAAGCCTGAAATAATAACTGAATGTGATTATTGAAACTTTCTAACCTTTTTGTTCAATAAAGTCAAGAGATAATTTTCCAAGTGCCTTCAAAATTTGTTCGTTGTCCTTTTTGAATTTTTTTTTCTTTTACTAAGGCGATGTTTTTCTTTTCAAGCTGTGTAACTTTATTTTTCAGATCTTTAATTTCCTTGTTCCCATTTTTGATTTCTTCTTGTAGTTGAGCCTCATTCAGATTCACTTCTTTTGTGAGATCGGCAAGTTTTTCACCAATTGTTTTTTCAATTTTTTTTGAACGCAAAGGAAATCGGTGAAAATCGGCGACATAGTCAGTGTCAGCCTGCATTTTATCATTTCGTGACATTCTTTTGAAAAAATATCTCTATTTTGTTCGCAAAGTTTATTTAATCGTTAATATTACACTCTCACTCTTCGAACGTCTGACTAAGATTATGCAAATATTTAGTTATGGATGTCACTGTATGCCTGATCACTCACATTACATCTTCACCGGTGGAAAAGGTCGTCCAGCAGACCATGTTGACCTCAACTGCGCCCTCCTCCGAACCTGCTACTCTTGCATCGAAGAATCTGACATCAAGTGCGACACGCATTCTCAAACGTATTCTTACGCTCTCAACCGCCCCGCCGCCGGGAAGAACTGGTACGACCCAATTACCTGCACCGACCGCGAAAACACCTGCGCTCGAAAAGTGTGCGAATGCGACAAGCAATTCGCCATAAACGCTGCAGATTTGTACGTCAAGAACAGCTGGAATCACGAAAACTCCCATCATCATTTCAACCAACACAATCACTGTGAACCAAGAGGCGGTGGAAAAATCTTTACCAAATGTGAAAGAGCTCATCGGCAAAGCCATTTTATCGACGGTAATTGACAATCTCTAGAAACCAAAAATCGAAAAAAAAAATTCTAGAGGAGCTGAGCCGCTGCGATCATGACGACCCCAACTGCGGTTCTCACCATGGGAACGGTCATTTCATGAGCGGAAGCAATCATCACTCATCTGGGCAAAGTCATCATATGGGATCTGGACATCATCATCGAAGCGATCCAAACGCTTACAACCTCGGTAATCTTCCCAACAAAAGGAACAAACCATAATCATTTCAGACACAACAACCGATCTAGTAACAACAACATCTTCCACAACAACAACCACCACAACAACGACGACCACAACAACCACCACGACAACTACTCGCCGTCGAACTCAAGCAGGTCAGGGTTTTCCAGTTTTTTTCCTCAATCAAAAACTTCGATTCATAAAAAATGAAAAACCCTGAAAGGCCCAATTATCATCGGCTCAGATGGCAACGTTCAGTTCAATTCAGACTGGCAGATGAACTGGGCTTAAAATAAATAAAAGCTTTTCGGAGAAATAAATCTTTGATTTCTTATTAATTCGGCCTGTCGGAAATCTTAAAGACTTATTTAAAATTTTATCACTGTAACCATTGCATTTCTGAGAAAATATAGCTTGACATTTATTCATCTTTTATTCTGATGACAAAGCAGATCATAGTGGAATAACTGATGCCCTAGCCCTCGAGGAACTTTTGATAATTGAGGTTTTCATGTTTCCGATAGGGTTTCTCATTCACAAAGAAATCGTCTGTAGTTCCTTCCGGGGAGCTGTCGTACTCATACATACTGAATGATAAGCTCTTATATTGAGTTTCACTTATTCAAATTTGAGAAAAAAAGGACTTTCGAAGAAAAAACTTACTAGTTGAAAGGGTTGAAACCTCTTCGCATTACTTTCATCGCAGAAAGACTCGAGACAAAAAAGAGAAAGAAACTCAAAAGATTCATTTTTTTTAGAAAATGATGAAAGCCCCTCTTTATATTCATGCATAAATAGCGCCACGATATCAGCGTTGTCAACTGCTCTTTTTTCGTACTAATGACCCTTCTTCATGATGCAAATGGTAAGTGATGAGTGAACAAGATAGACTATGATGTTTTTCTTTCAGCCTTCGGATTCCAGCCGCAAACTGATTCTATTTTATTAAGAAGCACAGTGTTTAGAATTTCATATTTATCAATAAGACTCAGATCATCTTTAGTTGTATCCAGAAAAGGCACTCGGGAAGCGTTTAAATTTGAGGGTGATCAGATTTCCGCAATTTTGAAGCTCACTCTCGATGTTTGAAGAATTGATTTCGATCCCATCAATTGAAACTAAAAAGAGGTGAGACTGAGGCTAAAAGGATGTCGGAGATACCTAGGACATCGCCAATCTTAGGTGATTGGTTGAAACTGGCGCTGGAAGAGACAACAATGTCTTTGATAATGACGGTATCGGCTGCTAGCGGGACATCAACAGCTGGCTCTTCCTTTGATAAAAGATGTTAATGGGCTATTTAAAAATTGACTTCTTACCAGAGGTGAAGTGATGGATAGTCCAAGAGAGGCTCCTCGATCTCGTTTTGCGGTAATGACTATTTCTTGGGGTTCTTCATCAAAATGAGTTTGTTTCAGGATGTCCAAGATTGACAGTTCGATTTTGCTTTCTTTAAAAATCATTTTGAACTTTAATAATAGAGAGAACTGAGCTAACCTTCGACTTTTTCCTGGGCAGGTGATGGTGGCCTCAGATGTTCAGGTTCGATTTTGATGTCGCCAAAAGACATGTCGAGATTGTCAGCCTCGACTTTTGTGTTTTCCGATGAAGAATTGCTAATGACAGTCTCGTTTCTCGTCACTTCACGGTCGTCATAGTCGATTGTTTCTTGATGACTGTAAGTAATCTGGCGGGAAGAGCTGACGGTTGTCTTTGTTGTCGTCACTGAATTTTGATCTTTTAATCAAAAAAGGCTATTCCGAATAGGCTTGTTCTTACACAGCCTGGATGTCAAGGGCATTCAATACTGTATTGACAATACAGTATTGTAATTGACAATTAATATTGTATGGACATTACATGATCTGTATTGAAAAACTGTCTGAATATTATATTCAGAATATACCTTCTGTAGTTAAAATTCCATTTTCGACTTCGATAGTTTTCGTTTCCACATTCTGTGCAGTTTTAACCTCGACTTGATTGTCGAAATTTTTCTCAACAAAAATTTCATCTTCGTTTTCGATTGACGCATTTCTAGTGGCGGCTGAGGCGACAATCGCTCTTGCTTCCTCGGATGCAGCGATTTTTATTCTTGCTTTGTGATCTTCGGCTGGTTTTGGGGTTGAGGAAACAAGATCCATTGAGGGTTTATTTGGTAGGAATTTGAGGGTTGGTTCCGGCTCCGGAGCTAAGAAAATGCATAAAAATGGACTGAATGTAAAGAACTTACCATCGTCGTAGATTTGCTCGATTCGACCGGTTTTGATTGGCTTTCGCTCAATCTTTGGTTCCTAAAAATGAATAAATCATGGTTTTTTCGGTCTTCAATTCGACTTACAACAAAATTTTGTGGAATTGGAACTGCGACTCTAACAACACCAGTTCCAGTCAGACTCGGCTGATCGGTTTGATAGTCGACGAAAGCGGGCATTTTCTTGACACTCCTCGCAGCTGAGCTCTTCGAAGCCGCTGCCTTTTCTTGCTCTTCCATGAACATCATCATCGATCGGCGTACGCTTCCGACTCCTCGTGAGCGCAAGATTTCGCTTTTGAAACAATCCTCAGAACTATGAGCAGGTCTAGAGGGCTCGGGAGATTTTTCTTTAGCCAACGTTGATTCTTGCTTTTCAGCTTTCTCCAGAGAATTGTTGTCTTTTCAGGATCAAAATCATTTTCCGACATAGGATTACAGACTAGCTTCTAGCCACTTATCTTTCTTTACGTGAAAAAAGAAAAGCGCAGAAATTCTTGAGAAAAAAGTGCCGTAGGCGTTTTCCACTTGTGGCCGCTGTTTAGGAATAAGATGAAGGATTTGTTTTCTATTTCCTCATTTTTTCAGCAAAATTTTATGAAGAACACAAAATTTTTATTTCTATTTTTGGCAATTCAACGTATCGACGCTTGTTTTTGGGGAAGAAATGAAGAAATATCTGAGAAAAACACCAATTCTTCAAAAATTTTCCCTTCAAAAAGTCCCCCGAGAATAAATACTCGACCAAAACCACCATCAAAAAGTATGCTTCCTTCACCGCAATAAGTTTTAGAATTTTTAAGAGAAAAAGAAGCCGAAGAAAAAACAAGCTCCTCCCCTAATTGACTATGTTGGCGACAAACCGAAATGGGAAAGTGTTCCACAAAAGGGAAAAGTTTGCACTGCCACCAGTACCGCAGCTGTTCCTTGCAAAGACCCGATAAAAGTCGGGGCCAAGTGCGATGAAAGAATGAACTGGAGTAATAATGGATACATCCAAAGTATCGTTCATTGCATCAAGAACCCAAAAGGAGGTGTCATCAGGAAAGAATTGCGGCAAGAATGCAATTATGATTCTGGAGTTCTAAAGGTGAATAGAAAAGAGAGGGGTTTTCTCTCTTTAAAAAATCATATTTCTAGTGCTGGCAACACTGGTCGACCACTGGCTGAGCTTAACAGAGCTCTTTTCTTACCGTTTTCATCCAAATAAAACGCCTTTACAAAACGTATTGATCCTTTCCTGATTCTTGATTATCTTCTTCTGCATCACCATTAACAACTGTTGTCACAGTGGTAGTGACTGTAGTAATTTTGACTCCTTCCTCGTCTTCTTTACTTTCGGAAAGTTCAGTTTTCTCAACTACGTGGTCGACTTCTCCTGGGTACTCCGAGAGAGAAAACTTGACGCACTTTGGTTTCGGAGCGATTTCAGGCTTTGGTGATTCTGGAACTGCTTCATCTCCTTTTTCGTCTGTCAGGGTTATTGTTGCAGGTTCCTCGTCTTCTACAAAAATAGAGTCCGTCGTTTCCTCTTTTTGTTCTTCCGTGATAACGGAAGGAACAGCTGTTTCGTCGGCGGGAGCTGCTTCACGTTGAGGTTCGTCTTGAGTAGTCGCGTCTTCATCGATAATGTCCGCATCTGTGTTGCAGTCACAGCAAGATTTTGATGAACTGAAACAATTAATTCAATATCATCTTAAAAAAATTTGTGAGTATTCTTTCAGTAAGACGAAATATGAGCAAAGCGCGAGAATCTTCGTAGTGATTTGAGCGAAAAATGCCGAAAAACCCTGAGGCAACAAAACAAGGCTTCTACGGAAGAGCCTTGGGCTCATACTAAGTTCGCAACCAAGCCATATTTTTACAGAATTTATAAAAAAAATGGAGATTGCAGAAACACTAAAATTTACGTTTTTCTTCGTAATATTGTTTTTTGGGTCGTTTCTAATAGATATGGAAAATGACAATGAGTATGCATCGATAACAGAGGAGTTTATAAGCGAAGAAGAAGAAATTCTAGAGACTTTTCAAAGAAGAAGACTAACTTTTAAACGAGCATGTTCAGTTTTGGGCTTTTTTGATGAAAATAAATAATCAAAAGAAAAATTCGATTTTCAGTAATAACAGTCTTTAAAAGCCCCTTTCAGCTTTACCTCTTATTCAAAAAACTCTTCAATCAAAACCACTTCCAACTCTTCAACAACTTCTGAAGCTCCATCAGCAGATTCACGACATAGATGCCGATCTTCCCGATTTCGAAGAATCAGAAGATTCTTGCATCGCAAATAGAGTAGCAAGAACAAGCATCTTCAATCTGACAGAAACAATGGATTTGATGATCTGTTTGCCACCAAAAAGCGGAACATCAAATTGGCAAAAAGCTCTTGATGTTCATTTTTTGAACTTGACAAAAGGAGACGACGCAGCAAGGGGGTTTCAGAGAGACATTAAAAGTGGAGCAACTGTTGTGGATGCAACGACGAACACACTGTATGAAGTTCTCCCAAGAGTCGAACCAACGATTCTTCATCGGTATACGAAAGAAAAGAAAGATCTTCGAAAAATTCTTACAGCATCGAAGAGAGTTGCCAACACAAGAAACGGTTCATTAAAAATTAAAATTTGGGTTTCTTTCAGCCAATCAGAAGCTAATATTTTTTCCGTCCACCAATCACGATAAGGCTTACTTCGGGTTAGTAGACTCTAACTCACGTTTTCTATCTAAAAACCGATCAAAGAAATCCTTTTTCGCGGATCCACTCAGCCTGGCATGACAAAATGCGGAGCAACAGACCAGGGAGCAGCGTGTATGACAAGTTTTTACCCTCGATCAAGCCTTTTCATCAGTTTTACGGAGAAATTCCAGACGGGTTGCGAACAACTTTCGAAGCTTTTGTTGAGTTTATTGCGAATAATCCAGGAGACACTCGACATAATCCTCACTGGAAGTCGATCTTCTACCGCTGTTCTCCCTGTGCCATGGATTATAACCTCATCACTCATTTGGAAAATAGCGAGGAAGAAATCGAGCTGTTGCTCAAAGAAATCGGGCTTTTTAGAAAAATCAACATCAGTGGTAAATACAGGTGGGACGAAAAGGCAAACAGGAAGGTTAAAGAAAATGAGGTCGATGATGAAGTTCAAGAAAAAGAAGAAGCAATAAGACCGCCCGATGAAATGAACTGGAAAAATATCCCGAGAGAAACGGCCATCGAAATTTACAGACACTACTTTACGGATTTCGTCATTTTTGGCTACTCAACTGACGATGTTCTCAAGTAAGGGCAAAAGTTTGACAACGTTTTTATAATCAAATCAAAGGTACATAAATTCATCAGATAAAAACCTTAAAAGGCCGCCTCAAAATATCCAAGAAATGTCGAAGAATCTGTTAAGAACATCTGTTAGGAACTATAAATCTGAAACTGACTTCATCTGTAATTAAAAATGTCTTATCATTTGTAAACAAATGCAATACTTTAATATATATCTCAAACAATATTTGTTCTTTCTATTGAAAAAAAAGTTGCTGGATCCGCGCTCCGACAGAACCTATTTCTCACAGAGCCATAAAATCTGATCGGACTAAGATTTTTCCACGATTCAAAAAGATTTGGAATCCTTGAAGTCTTTTCCTGCGAAAATCAAATAAATTGGCAGCGAATAGTTATCTGAAAACCGCCAGTTTTCTTCTAGTGACATTTCCTCCTAAATTTTTCGTTCAAATTTTATAAAAACTAGAATGCTATTATAGAGAATTGTCTGCTCTACAATTCCCATGATTCAGATTTTCCTTTAAGGCTTTCCTGATTTTTGTATGCTTGCCTGAAAAGAGCGCAGCGGATCATATCTGCAATTAGAATATTTCAAAATAAAGATATCAAAAAAATCCTAAAAGATCGCCAACCTTGATGTAGATGAAGAGGAAGAGCTTGAGGAAGATTTTCTTGATCCTTTTCCTTCACTTTGATTATCAACAACAGCATCAGCATTAGCATCAATCTTTTGTTTTTCCTCTTGTTTCTTCTCTTCATTTCCATTTTGATCATTGTCTTCTTCGACAGTCTTGTCAGGACTGTCTTCTTCAGCGCTCTTTGTTGTCTCTTCGAATTCGTCGATGACAATTTTTGGCGGCTCCATTAGACGCGGCGCTGCTTTCACCTGATTATCAAATTAGCAAACAGAGGGTTTAATTCATGGTTACCTCTGTAGAAGCAGTCACAATCGTAACATTAAGCTCAGCCTCTTCATTTCTTTTCTGCAAACTTTCACTTCTCTTTGGAGCGACTGGAGCAGCGCCGGATTTAAAATAAGCGCAAGTCAAGCACTTTTTCTCTTTGAAAAGACCTTCTTGCAGAACAGCGGCCTTTTCTTTTTGGTCCTTGACAATTTTGAGGACTTCGAGTTTTTGGAGATTTTCAGCCAATGGAAGGTGAGTCAAGAGGTTTCCTTCGAGATGGAGTTCCTTAAAAGCATTTTTATGTTTTTTTGTCTTGAGATTTTGAGAAAAAAAAACCTTTAATTTCGAGCATTTTGAGATGTTCTCCGGAAGCGTTGCCAATTTGTTATCAGCTGCTTTGAGTACTTGTAAATTGCCAAAAGCGCTGATCGTTTCTGGCAGTTCTTTGAGCCCCAGACCCGAGATATCCAAACTGGCGATGTTGTTCCCCGCCAAGAGTCCAAGACTGGTGACTTTTGTCCCCGAGACGTTGAGGATTTTCAAACTCTGCATTGTCCAAACAAAATCGGGAATTTCCATGATTCCCGTTTGCGATAAATCAAGTCGCTCCAGTTTGCTCAATTTCGCCAATTCAGCTGGAATCGCTGTAAATGTTGAGTTTTTCGAAATGTTGATTTCGACGATGTTCTCGTTGAGCCAGAATTTCGAGTCGATAGTCGTGATGGAATTGTCGCTGAGATCGACATGTCGGACGGATTTTCTTGCGCCAGAGCTTATCAGCGCTTTCGGAATCTCCTGGTGAGCTTTTTGACTTTCATCAATAGTCTCTTTCGGGAGAGGCTTTCCGCCGCAATTTCCCATCTAAAATCAACAAGTCAAATAATTTTCTTTTCATCAGATTCAAGTCTCAATGACACAGTATAATCATATAAAACAGGGCAATTATTTGACTCTATTATCATTGTCTCTGCTGTCGATTGTCTTAGGTGAGTCAACTTAAGGGCACTCCTCTCAATATAAATTTTTTAAATAGTCAGAATCAAGGCAGTCTTTAAAAAATCCTAAAAATTTTGCCTGAAAGCTTAATTTGAAAACTTCATTATTTTGCAAGAAATCGCTCTAGAATTCGTTTTATAGGGTGATACCCTTAATTCAAGCTACAAAATAGCAAAAACTAGGAAGAAATGCGTCTTCGTAAATATTCTCTTTTGAAATGAAAAAAGTCAAATCATCGAATGATTCCAGCTTTTAAGATGTAAGAACACTGTATGATGAATTTGGAAAGGTGAATATCCTGCGCTGAGCGGTTTTCCGCCGAAAAGGTAAATTTGAACACGGATTGGGCAAACATATACAGAAGGTGACCCCTTCCCCCCGCTCCTGCTGCAATAAAACTAAATTTATTTCATCTCAAAATCGATAACAAGCTAACTTTCTTTGATAAGCTTCAAGCTGGTCATTGCAAAACTTAATTGATACGCAATCCAAGCCAAATAAGACCTAGAGATAATTTCAAAATTTTATTTATTTCTTTCCGACCTTTATTTTTAAAATTCTTGTTTTGGAAGAATAATTTTTATTCAAGTTTATTCAAAAAAAAAATAAATGAAAATGTTAAAAAAAAGAACTAATCAAGAAAATGAATGATATTTGAATTCCAATTCTTCTTTATTTGCAGTGTGGATTGAATTTGACATCACCTTTGTAAAAGACATTTGTCTTTTTATTGCTGCGGGAAATTGCTGCCGAGACGCGGGTCACGTTGAAGGTGAGTGAACTCAGTCTTGTCATTTTGAAAGTCTTTTTTTTTATTATTTATTTTCTGATGAGATTTGAAAGAGCAACGGTTGGACTATGCAAACCCTTTTGATAATCAGAGTATTGAATCATTTTAGAATGATGATTGAAATATGAGTTGCGCGGCTTTTTATTTCAAACAGGCGCCAAAAGAGGGCGCTCAGTGCTCGATATTCACAGCGAGAGACCATGAAAAGATAACTAATTTGATGAAGGATCAACTGATCAATATCAATTTTTGACCATGCGAAAAAAGAACGAGTCGGTCGGCGCACAAATCTAGCACTTCACATGTCATTGCTTGCGGCGCTTTCTGAAGTCTAAAATAAAGTTGAAAAGGCTCAAAATAAAAGCTGAAAACGAAAGAATTTAACATGACAAGAGGTTGACGAAAAATGGAAAATAGAGAGATAAATCTTATACTCTTATTTTTTCTTATTTTCTTCGCAACGATTGATGTTATTCTCTTTTTGGAGGCAACGGATGCAGAATCTTTACAGGGAATATTTCCGCCGACAAGATTGAGTCCTGAAGGAAAACAGATTGAAGAGAAACAGATTGAGGAACTGCCTCCAGCTGAGAATGTTCTTCTAGCGACAGCATACAGAACTGGGTCTTCGTTTTTGGCAGAGATTTTCAATCAAAATAATGAAATTCTCTACGTAAGTCTTTTGCTTCCACTACAATTCAATTTGATATTTTTTCTTAGCTATTCGAGCCTGATCACAACCTGTTTACAAAAAAGAATGGACATTATATTATTACAGAGCAACAATGGGTTTCATTCATCCTTGATCTTTTTCAATGCAAATTTACCAATCCTTACTTAATTCAACGCCCAGAAGGGGATAAAATCATATTTGAAGAGAGGGACCGACTCCTGGCAGAAAAATTTTGCGATCGAGGGAGAAACTGCAGGCCGATAAGAATAAACGAGGTGGAAGATCTTTGTCGGAAAAAGAAGAGAGTTATCAAGACTATCAAAGTAGCAAACATAGATGTTTTGTTAAAAGAAGCAGAGCGAAGAAAAATTGATTTGAGAGTTTTGCTCTTTTTCAGGCAAAATTTTTTTTTTTTTAGTTTTCTTTAAAATTTGTTTTTAGGGACTCAAGGCCAGTATTTTTGAGCAGAAAAAAGGCCGGAGCTCTAATTAACTATTATTCGAATATCAATCGCTTTTGCACTGAAAAATTGGAACAACACGCTTTTTATGAAGAGAACTTTCATTTGCGCTCAAGATTGATGTCCTTGAAATTCGAAGAATTCGCGCTTCATCCAATAAAGAACGCAAATGATGTTTATGATTTTCTGAAATGGAATTGTCCGCCGAATATTCATGACTGGATCCAGAAAAATACAGCAGGAAGTTTAGGTCTATTTTTATTTGTGACTTGAACCTTAATTTTATCATAGGGCCAGCAAAAGAGTACGGAACTTCAAGAAATTCTTCAGAAATTGTGTCTCAATGGAAAGATCAGATCAGCGAGGAAGAGAAATTCTTGGTTGATCTTGTGTGTAAAGATTATTTAAATGCTTTAAAATATAACTGACCTAATAAGCAAAATAAAAGGACTTAGTCGTGACAAAAAAATAATAATTATTTGTGGAAAATTCAAATTTTCTTGATTCGGGCGTTTTTGAACTTGTTTGTTTCTTTTCAAAAAGCTGATGTTGATGATTTTTCAATTCCGATATTGTTCGCCTGTTGAGTTGACAAACAAAAAACAAGGAAGCATTCCGTGTCAAACTGAATCACACCGAGTCGGTGTGAAAAAAAAAGAATGGAAAATTCACATAGCATTCCAGAGTTAGACTCGCCATCAGGTAATTCCTGAATCTATATCAGTCGTAAGTTTATTACCATCACGTTTTTTGATATCGTTATTCAAAACCAGACTCTATATCATTCAGTTATGTTCAGAATGGACTTTTAGTGAGTGATTTAAAATATTTGTCTTGACGGTAATGACAACTTGCATGTGTGTATATTGAACAATTATGCGCTTATATGATTCGATTGATATTTAACTTAGGTAACCCTAAGTAACCCTAGACTTGACCCCGGCATCTTAGGACCGAGGGGCAGAAATTGTACAATTGTACTACCGGCATGGGTGCCCACGCGCTTTCTCATCGTTCCTTGCCCGGGGATGAATCGAAATGGCGCCTCCAAGATGTGACGCAACTTTTTTCATCTGTAGTTTTACGAAAGCGAATAACTCTTCCCGATCGAGGGGAAGACAAATAAAGTAATTATCGGTTTTTATGAGAGGAAAAAACACACCATTCATCGGTGATCTGAAGTTCCCAGAGAAGTAGAGAAATTCACCACGGAAGAATACACAAACTCTTTAGACTTGGAGCGTCATGCAAAAAATCTCCCGGAAAGGGACATCCCTTTTAAATATGCTTGTAAAGGGTCACAAGTAAGAATTTTGAGCATTTTGTCAAAGCAGGCCTTGAATATTTAGATTGACACTGCTCTGTATATGTCTTATTTTGCTGAATATTCTCCAGTATTCAAGATACGACTCGGTCACTTGCCAAAATATACGATTGTCGAATAATTTGCACGGAGAATTATTTGAAAGGAAAGAGAATCCAAAGGATCAGAACGAGAAGGAAGACTTCTGGGATAATGGCAAAGAAGACGGAGGCCTCATTGCTCTTCAATCTATCTTCGACGCGATAGAAGACACGGAAGTTCCACTCCAGGATATTCCGATAAAACACAGGCACTCGGCTTTATCCGCCCTTAAGGGGGTAGTCATCGGTTTTGAGAAAACCGGAATTTAAATTTTCTTTCCAGATTCTGAGAGCTCGTCAGAAGAGCTACAGAATTCGTGTTGATCATTTTTCTCAAATTTCAGAGGAAAGCTTTCAAAATTGCGCTTGAAAAGTGAGATTTTGATGAAAAATTTGAGTTTTATTTTTTTTTAATTTTTGATTAATTTCAATCGGACTCGAAAAATTTCTATATTGACGACTCCCCCCTTAATTTGGGTTTCGATGGAATCAGACTGATTCCATCAGTCATCTTTATTATTGACACTTGCTTTGTTTATTCTCCATAAAAACCAAATTATTGGAAAAGCCGTTTAAAAGTGTATTATTGGTGGTGAGCACACCGAGCTCAAGTCATGAAACGCTTCAAGAGGTGTCATCGGATATCCGCATGATGCACCGTCACATGGCGCGTCTTGCAATGAAGCTCAATCCATCATTAAAAGTCGACGTTCAGTTCTATGGCAACTTTCCTGACCCAAACGAGAACGTTTTCGACGATTTTCGTGTTACTTCTTACATGCCATTAGCTTCTCTTCAAAATGCCTACGAGGGAAAGTGGTCGCAGTACAGTGCTATTTTCTGGATCGCAAACAGCCTCAACATCATTGACATAACAACGATTCAAGATGGAATAGAAACTGTTTCCACTAGCTCTCCAGGAAAGCGGTAGAACATTAAGGAACTAAGACTTAAGATACACCTCCTCATTCCAATAGTTACCAGTTACTACTCAGATCAGGATCTTAAAGATTTTCGTTACCGAACAAAGGAACGCTTTTGTGTGGTAATGCAGTAAATGGCAAATCTTGCGTCGCTGACGCAATGATGTTCACTCCTGAAACTGGAAAAATGATTTACATGCGAATAAGATCGTCGATGGGGATAATCGCATCAATATCTCAAAAATATACACAGCCATCTTCGATCATTAACCCATTAAGTGGTTTCTTGGGATCAGAGTCATTCGAAATTCGCTTCAACAAAAAGATGAACTTATCTCTGGATAAAATATCCAAAGCATATCAACGTAAACGCTTTTCTTTTGTTCAAATAGATGTCATTACTAATTCAGTTTTCACTGCGCATTCAACGAAACGAAATCTACCAAAATATCTTCGTGAAACGCAGATTGTCTCGCAACAAAAACGAGTCAAATTTATACAACCTCCGTCTTGCAGCGGAGATGGTTTCGTCAGTTTCATTAAATCGAGCCGGAAGGGCTCTTTTCGGCGAGATGAGATTCGCAAATATTACATGGAAATTTTAAAGAAGCAATACCAGGACTCCTTCCATCTGTTCTTTCTTCTTGGAAGTCCATCGTCAAAAGGAAAGGCTACGGATACTTACCTACATAGAATACCTAATATTTCGATCTATGACATTCAGGGTTCTGAATCTGAGCTGAAAATCAGAAGTCGAGTCGAGTCGAGTCGAAAGGCTACCTGAAAATCCCAAGTCGAGTCGTGTCGAGTCGAAAGCGTTTTTGAAATCGCTAGTCGAGTCGAGTCGAGTCGACTTAATCGATTTATTAGTCGAAAAGTCGAAAAACTGGAAAATATATATAAATTTAGTCGAAAAAGTCGAAAATTAGTCGAAAAGTCGAAATTTAGTCGAAAAGTCGTAAGCAAAATTGTGATTATTTTCGACTTTTTCGACAAGATTTTCGACTTATTCGACTAGATTTTCGACTTTTTCCTCAACATTGCTCTCGACTTTTTCGACTAGTCGACAATCTAGTTGACTCATAGGGTCAAGTCGAGTCGAGTCGAGTCGACTAATTTTTCCAGCCAGTCTAGTCGAGTTGAGCTAGTCTTTTCGACGAAGACTCGACTCGACTTCGACTTTAGTCGAAACTCGACTAGTCGATTTAGAACCCTGTCATTGACAATATCTGGTGAGCTATAACAAGAGGAAAAATGGCTAACTGACGAAATCAAAGCTGAGAGCGAAAAACACAATGACATAGTGCTATATGATTATGAAGACAATTATGAAAACTTGCCAATGAAAACATTTGCTGGTTATCAATTTTTCAATGATCGCTGTATGAAGAAAAAATATGCGATCTTCCACGACGACGATATTTTCATAAAGCTCAACGAGCTGGAGGGTCAATTAAAAAAGTTGGATCCGTCCGTACCTGAAATAAAGTGTTTAAAAGGTTGGCCTTCATTTGAATCACAATAACGCGACAAATATTTAAAGGAAAATGCATCCCTGAAGCGCCAGCAATGTACTTCGGAAAATACTATACCTGGATTGACCTCTATCCTCCAATGTACTTTATTCCCACCTATAGTAACGGGCAAGCAACCGCTCTCACAGCATCAGCAGCAAGAAAAATATATGAAGCGGCAAAGGAAACGGATTACAGAGAGTTCCGCATCGAGGATATGCTCTACACGGGGATCCTACGTGTTAAAGCAGGCATCTCTAAGATCTCTGGGATGGTGCTTCAAGATGGCGGATCGGTCAGTTGGCACAAACAAGGAATGTCTGATGAAAGTCTTTTCTTCCAAAACCTAACCCTACTTTACAAGAATAACGAGCTTTCGCTTAGAGCAATGCAATAAACACCACAGTTCAACCGCTTGTTTTCATCTGCAAGTCGCCAGCAATTCGAAGCATCTAAAGACCCATAATTGGAGAAGCTTTTAACGTAGCGCGTGATAAAGAAAACCAGTGGGTTGAATATGACCACAAAATTGGCAAGAAGAAGTAATCAAAAGTTTCTAGAGCCCTTTTCAGAGCATGCTTGGTTGTAAATCAGCTTTCTTCATAGAAATACTTCTCTTGTTCGTGTTTCTTGAATTCTAAACGAAAATATGGTCGTCAACGAATGCTTCAAATTGTCAAGAGCCATCTTGAAAATAAAGTTTTCTCGTTTTCTCTTTAAAAAATAAAATATGGATAAAATCATTTTATTGTCACCAGAAGTGTTTATTTTTCGATCAGAGAATACTTTGTCGAGAGATTTGAGACATCCACAGATCAGGGAACGAATCATCGTTCATGGTGCAGGAGAAACCCATCAAAGTCGAGACGAAGTAGTCATCGGACAGGAGCGTAAATTGGCTTTTAGTTCCACAGTCGATTTGGGTGTTGTTTGCGCCTCCTGAGGGATGGCATCCGCTGTAAGGGGCGATTCCAGAAACGGCTTTGAAATCGTAGCATGGCCATCGGTTCCCTTAAAAATTTTCTTAAAGAAAAGCTGGTTTGCCTTAAAACAAACCGTCAGAATCAAGGAAAGCAACGGTCACGAGTTCGTGAGCCTTGGGTCCGATGACTTGAAAGTCCAAAACTGATCCGGCCGTTTTTCTAAAGTCGTTTACAGTTTCCATGAAGTGTCCGTCCAAATCGTTCGAAAGCGGATCCGCAGCTAAAATAAGAAGAAATAAAGCGCCGCTCGCGAAATTCTAAAAATAGAACTCATTCCGAAACGGTCTTACTTTCGAAGCCAGTACACTGGAGGGCGAAGTCGTTGCCAGTTCCGCAAGTTTCGTTGCCGAACTTGTCCATCTTCGCCATTGCTTCGTCCCAGAAAATGACCATGTCGAAGCTGTCGCTCGTGATTCCGGGATAACCAAAGACGGAAAATTCGTTCAGGCCACGAGTTGAAGGGGACTCGATGAATGCTCCGCCACCGATGAAAGCGTGCTAGAAATTATTAGTGAAAGAAAATCATGAAAGAGAGTGCGCAAAGTCTCCAAAATCGTCTGAAAGGTCATTTATAGAAGGCGGATGGGTCCTCGCAGCCAATCAGGGGGCAGAAAACTCAATCTCCTAAAAACAGCTCAGAATTGGGATGAAGATACCTTGATATGCTCGATGGTACTCTCCATTTTGTAAGTGATTGAACAGGTCGCGTTACTAAGACTATAGAAAAGATCAAAATTTCAACCATTAAAAATTTTTAAACTGCTTTTTTTTTCTTTATGATTTTCGCTTGATTTTCTCTCTTTTTCCTGTATCCTCCAGCTCCAAAGTCCTCTGGCTTATCAAACTGGATAAAACTACCGCACGGGTTGCCAGTGTCAGCAACAGCATCGCCATCGTTCCAGTCAACGCTTTGGAAAGCATTGCTGACCGAAAAAGCGGAAAAACTAAAAGCAAGCTTCATTTTTCGCGTTTCAAAAAACGTTTTTTACCTTTTTTCAAGATCGACTTCGCGGTTTTATTTGAAGCAAGCATTATTTTTAGAGCACGAAATTGGTCTTTGTCAGAACTGGGTCAATCAAGACAAAATTAGAACTTTTTAAAAAAGAACGCAAAAATGGTCTAATTTTAAATGTCTACCATTGTTAATGGCAGCCTTTTTAGACGTTCCAATGAACTCTAAGCTTTTCGCAATAATCAGCATAAAAAATCTCAATTAATTCAGAGGAAATGTGATCTCATAAATCCAGGGTTGTCTTCATCCTCGTTCAGAAGAGAAATGATTTCCCAGCCTAAGGAACAGTTAATTAGTCTTGACGCCATAGCCACTCGGATCACCGAGCGAGTCTTATTAAAACGATTCCACGATTTTTTTTTTCATCTTATTTTCGTTATTTTTAGAGAGGGAGAAAAAAAAACAGGAAAGCGCGTTCAAAATCTTAGAGGATTTTATGACTAATATAGTAAGGATACGTGGCCTTAAGGATGGACAAGGGGCGCAAGGGTCTGGAAGTAAAGGACAAAGAAGGCTCCCCATTTTCGATTGAAAAAATTGATAGAGATTATGTTGAATAAACAGGAATAGAGTATGAAAGACTGTACCTGCTTATTCATCTGACAAATATTCAATTTTAATATTTCCATTAATAAGGCATTAGTTTATCCAGTCTTGTATTGAACCATTTCCCTTTTCCTAACCGCAAACTAATAGACTCAGGCTCTCAAAATTCAAATATTAATCGAACTTATAATTTTTAAGTGAAATAGTTATATTTAAACCTATATTAGAGAGGGTGACAAATGCTCCGAATCTGACGCCAGATGAAGCTTGAGCGCGTAATACGAGTCAAAGCCGCAGTTTCTAATTTTTCAAAAAAGAGATCCAACGGCCCTCGATTGACGAGTTATTTTCAATTCGAAGAAACGAAAGAGAGAGAAGCGAAAATTGAAAATGAGTTTGAACGAAACAGAATTTGGCGAATTTAAAGACAAAATGGCGGAGTACATTTCTTCCGACCCGTTCCACGAGTCCCTCTTACGATCAAAAATGGACGAAAAAGAAGAAATGGCCAGCTTACTTAGGGATTCTTTCGTGTTAATTAAAAATTCTTCGCTGAATCCGATCGAGAAAAATCAAATTGTGATGCTTCAGAACCAAGCCTTATCCTTCAAAAAAGCGTTCAATTGCCTGAAAAATGACATGGAAAAGCTTAAGACGAATGACAGTATAGGCTGCTTGCCTTTTTATGATCCTCTTATGTAAGTTTTTATTTATCAAGCGCTATCAGGAGGATGGGAAAATCAGGGATGCTTTTTTCATCGTTTACCATCGAGATCGACCACCGAAAATTTCAGGCAAAGTTATAGTTCCTTTTTCAACAAAGCCGTTCCCAAAGTAGTACGTTCTTGTGTTACATTCTGCGCCGGAAAGTTCGATTTTAATCCGATCAAATCTCCAGCCATCGCCGTCTGTTTCTGAGATGTCGATTGAGACAATTGGTTCTTAATTTGGTAATAAGTTATTTATAAGAATTTTGAATTCGATTTACCCAAAAAAAAAAGATAATGGTCGAGATACAGGACGTCCGTTTCACCTAATTCATGTTCATTCTTGTTTCGGTCTTCCAAGTTAATCCAACTCGAATAAGCTCCGTCTCTCCCTTTGAGCCTTAATAATATATTTTTATCATAAAAAACTTATTAAAAATTATGTTTTCATACCTTAAACCAATCGTTCCATCGCTATTATCGTCCTTCGTGGCCGATGAGGTCATAGAGGTTATGACCGTTTTAGCAGGGCAACCATAAATTGCAGCAAAAAGAGTTGTCCAAATCCTCATGCTAAAATGTTATAAAAAGAAAGTCACAAAGGCTAAAGGAAAAATATTTCATACTGTAGTGAGTACTCTCCACTAGTTTTAGGAGTCCTAAAAAGACTGAAATGCGATTCTTTATCCTTGATTATATAGATCCCGGCAACACCCAACAAATATTTTGGAATCTTTCAAAAATAAGCTCAGAATTCAAGGTCACAATTGCGAAATGTCAAATAAGCAAATCCTAGAAAAGGAGTAATTTCATCATTTTAACTTATCTATTGAATTAAGGAACATCTGCTGCCAATCTGACCAATCTTTCTGCGAAACTCGGTGCAACAGCTCAATTTGCGTTGAAAAAGAAGGTCAGCCACGGAACTGCGTGAATGGACACTGGATTGAAAGTCAGCCAGAAGCGAGCATTTCGTTTCAGAATTCTGATAAAATCGCATTTGCTCTTATGGCATTGTCGATAATTCTTCTTGCCCTGCTGTTATTCGTCTTTTGCAATAGAATGAGGCAGAATCGGCTTGGACAGACGACCAGATTAAAGGTACAATTGACGTCATTTTTAAGGGTGTCTCTTTTTTATTCTAAGATGAAAAATATTTAAGTGCAAAACCGACTTTTTCAATCAAATGATTCATGGAATAATTTTGGACTTGAATTGGATTAACGGTCGCTACCACCTTAATCAGAAAATCTAGGTCCACTGCCACCTCGTCGCATCCATGCTTGCCTGGTATCTTTCTTCCGTCCTAAAAACCCTGATCCATCACCACCTTGCCTCAGAATCCTCAATCGTCTTCGACCCAGCCGCACTCGAATCAATCCTCCCCCAAACCGGCCAATTTCTCCTCGACAAAGAACTCGATTCACAACGATTCAACCCAAGTTTTGTCGAAAAAATGGTCTCAATTCAAAAAAGCTGCATCATTGCCGATTTTTTATCGCATTTCTTTTGGCTCGCTGTTATTACCTGGAGCTTTATCGAAGCCTTGCAATTGCTGTATGTGTATCACTTTAGTATTTTCGAAGAATCGGAGGTCCGGAACATCTTGATTCTTCTGATTGGATGGTTGGTGCCGGCAGCACTGACTGTTGGGAAATATATTTGCTATATTCTGGGATGGGTTCTTTCTTTCTTTAGGCTTTCTGTTCTATTATTGCTAGTTTTTCCAAGCCCCCATAAAAACCCATAAAAAGGCACCAACAGAGGATACTCTTGTTTTATCAAAATGCTCCCTGGATGGAAATGTCAAATGCGATTTATTCCTTAATTTCCTTCCGATCAGTAAGCTTATCTTTCCCCAAGCCTTCGGCAAATAATTCTAGATCTCATGCTTTGCACTGGTTTCCTGGCGCTCATTACTCTTCTCATCAATATAACAAGACTATCGTTACGCGTGAATCGCTGCCGGTCTGAAATCTTTCTCAAGAACGCAAAGAGCGTTTTGAGCTTGATCGTTTTATTTGGAATCGTTCATTTGGTTGTTTTCTTTCATTTTGACGCTCGGTGGTGGAGTGCGTTTATCAATATTCTCGAAAGCACTCAAGGTACTCTTACTCTTAGGTAGGCGAAGATAAAATATTTTTCTTTCAGGGATTTTCATGACGCTTTTTTGGGGAATACTGACTTCGGAGTTCAGAAGTTTTTTCAAAGACAAGATTCGGAGAAGATCAGTAAGGAACTCAATTGTAAGTTACTTATAATGAGATACTTTATTCACTATTGATCTCATAATGATTTTCAACGGTTAAATATGTGTAAGTGCGACAAAACTATTAAGTTTGCGATTGTAGATAGTCATAGTAAGTCAAATAGCTTATGAATTGGAAAAAAATTTGTTTACATCTTTTGAACTTTTTATTATGGTTCCTGTTTTAGTAGCAAAAACAACGTAACTTTCTCAGAAAACCAACGTTGATTCTTCTTTATTGAGAATTTTTTTTAGAATACGAATAATCCAAAAACAGCTTCAGTCATATTACAGGTAGAGAGAGCATGTCAACTTCACTAATCTACCATGGAGTTGAGCTCTAAAGGGAGATTGGAGAATCTGAGCGACGCTGGCCCTGAGCGTCGCTCAATCTGGAGCGCGCGCAATTTCGCGGCAAGAGCACCTAGTCATTGCAAAAATCCTTGTCGGCTCTCTGATTGGCCGAATCATCAGAAAATCTCGAGATTCACATCTTCAGAATCTCGAGATTCTCCTCAAGCGCAAACCAGGCGCTAAGGAAAATTTCAAGACTTCCCCGAGAGTGATCTGCGCGGGAAACGGGGAAGCGGATCGGAGGCCTTCTCCCTAAAGCGTTCAACTCTATGGTAACTAACTTTCACTAACCCTGTCTATACCTAGATGTCACCTTACTAACAACATAAAACTGCTACATGACCTTGAGAAAATGCATGAACATCAGTTTTCAGGGCTCGAGAAGTGAAGGTCCAAGAAGATGCTCGAATGAACTGTATAATCAGATCCTGTAATTACAAAACACACTTTTATCGAGCGAATAGAACTTGAGCTCTAACATGGAAAACGCTTGTATCTCAAAACAAGATAAGAGAAGAAAGACGATATGACTTGTGTTTGACGTAAGCAGGACTTTGCCAACGCCCCACATTTTTCGACGAGAATTCTTGAGTAATTATTTGTCAAAAATTAAAGTCGATAATATTTTCGCGAGCGCATTTTTGAGGGCAACAAGTATTTCAGAATCTTTTAATTGCTATTTATTGAATAATTCTTGAGAATCAAGTATAGGCTATACTGTATAGCGGGTCGAATTTTGAGACAATTTTTAACAAAATTTGATTGGCCGTCAGGGCGAACGCGGCAATCTGATTGGTCTGAGGTTTGACAAGAATTTTATAAAAATAATTGCATCGACTTTTTCTTCCTTTTTTCAACTAATTGCTTATAAAAATTTTAATTTTCTTACATTTCATTTCAAACAACGAGGCTGACTTGATTTTGAAGAAAGAAGCGACCTCCTTATTCAAATGATTCGAAGGTCCTCCTCCTCCTGCTGGAGCTCAGAATAATGCGATTTGGAGCACTCTGAATTTTGAAATCGCCGCCCAGGCGGTGCGGTAGAATTTCGTTTCGAAATCTTCCAAAGAAGCTCCACCGCGAAAAAACACCGTTGAGCGGTCCGAATCCGCCCGCGGCAGAAATTTTCATTTTCCGCTGCCCAGCACCACCACGATCGCGGATCGCGTGTGCGTTTTTGAAATTACCAGGGGCACTTTTCAGTGTTGAAAAATAGAAAAGTCAGCTTTCCGGCCGCTTAAGGACCCTCCTGACGATAATTAACTTCGTTTACTATTTTCCAGAGAGAGAATTTTGCTGAAGACGCCTTTTTAACTCGGAAGCGATTTCTTATCAGTAAGTGAATAATGCAAGGGCGGACCCTTGAAGACAGCGGGAATTATGTAGTCTTATACTTGAGCCTCGTTGATAAGGAGAGCGACACATGTTCATAGCAGCGATGGATAAATAAAATATGAAGTAAAAAGCGCGTGTGATCTGAAGTGGAGAATTTGCAATAAAAACAATTTCCTATTTTTGGAGTATTTTTTACATGCTTTCTGATTAGAAACTTTTGAGCTTGTATTTATGCTGAAATGCAAATACTTAGATTTTTTCTTTGAAAAGCCCATTCCTTTGATTTCATAAAAAAAGAAGGGCTGCTCCCGCATTTCCCAAAATCCTGGATTTCCCAGATCCTGGATTTCTCAAAATCCTGAATTTCTCAAATCGCCAAATCAGGATTCTGCCGATTCAGGATTTTGGGAAATGCGGGATTTGGGAAATCCAGGATTTTGGGAAATGCGGGAGTAGCCAAAAAGAAGGAAAAAGCCTCGACTCGACCAAAAATCGCGGTATTTTTGACAGAAAATTTGTTCAAATTTTAAACCAATCAAACTAACGGATTTTGTTAATAAGCCAATAAGATTTCTGAAAAATTATTAGCGATGAATCATCGCCGATGATCGAATTTTCGCGAGAATTTTTTGTCGGGACGAGCCTTTTCCTCCTCAATAAATGCATTTTTCCGTTTGAAAAACTCATTCTACACTCTTAACGAGCACTTAGCAGCCTTGTTAACAGCCCTCTGTCCCTTAATTTCTCTCCTCAACATGTTTTTCGAGAGCTAGAATCTTGGTTCTCTCTTCAACCTCTCCTAACCCGGCTTTCTTAAAATTGAAATGATCTCAAACAGAAAACAAGCAAAAAAAAGTGTTAGTTTCCGGCATCTTCTAATCTACTCGATTCTTTATTTTGAATTTTTGAAGACATGAAACTGGACTACGTGGAACGTTGCAAAAAGCGAGCGGAGATTACGCGCATTTTTGAGTAATTCTCGGATTCAGCGAGGATCAGACTTTGATGGACGACGAGACTTTTTTAGAGTGAAGAAATTACGCTTGATTTTGAATTTGATTTTTAAGGCTACGTGGCCAAAGATGAACAAGGGGGCTTTTGCAAGAATAGGAAGCATAAACAAGGGCGCTCTTTTTTAACAAAAAAATTTTCGACTCGAAAAGTAACTCAAAAAGTAATAAACCTTCTTTGTACTTCTCCGTACGTTTTCCTTTAATTGGATTAGCGCAGAGTCCCACTGACTCGTTGCTCCGAGAGCGATAAGACGCTGGTCCGATAAGAAAGGAGAGAAAAAAACTTTCGTGAATGTGGTTGAGCGATTACGTGCCGCGCATTCTAAACGGTTGTCACCCAAAACTCAGCGTTCTACTTAGCACCAACAAAAAAAGCTTCCATTAAAGAAAAAGTGTTTTTCGAGTTCTTGAAGCAAAAGAAGCGGAAAGTCACGTTCACCAGGGACTGAAGAAAATCGAATCAGCTGCCGTCAAGTTTATTGCGGGAGGACATTGAATCAAGTCATTATCCGCTGCGATCTTGTTTGGACAACGGCGAGTTGAAGCGCTGTTTTGACAAGCTAAGGGATAAGCTTAAAAACCCATCCTCCGACTCTTCATTTTCATCAATTTTTTCGCTTTGCGAATCGACTTTTTTAGAATTTTCGTCTTTTTTAATCGGCTTTGTCGGATTTACAGTTTATCTTAGCCTGTCGTTAGCCTCAAGAATCTGTGTAAAATCATGAGTCAGGATCTTAAAATTAAAAATGAAGCCGCAAAGCGGCTTCGCCAAATCATAATTTGAACTCATTTTGAAATTCACACGAAGCCTGAGTCAGGCTTCCTGACTCAGGTTTTAACACAGGTTTGAACCCTGGCCCTGATCTACAGTTTGCCTTGGAACAAGTAAAAGTCATTTTTTCTACTGTATTTGGGCTCTTTTTTATTCAAAATTTTGACAAGCTTGGTCGTTTTGGAGAGGTTGAAAAAATTTCGGCTGCCAAACAAATTCACTTTTTGACAGGCCATTTTCTTTTGGAAAGCAATTACCATTCTGACAGTAATTAAGCGTGTAAAAATTTAGGTGCTGAATGGCGCACCACCGAGGACATGTCGATTTTCCGCCGAAGAAAATTTCCGAGCAATAAGAACGAAAAGAGAAGAAAAAAGAAGAAAGAGAATTAATCCTCACATCTTCCTCGCTGCTGGGGTGGTCATTCTTGCCAAAATTACGGGCATCGGCAATTTGTTGAAGACGGGGGCGATCTTGCCCAGAAGGATTAAGGAAACCCGCTGAAAATTATTGAAAAATAGATTGATTAAGGGTGAGAAGGACGATTAAAATACTTTTTGGGCTTCTGATTAGCCTTATTTGACCATAAAATTCTCAATTAAAACGTGAGTTAGACCCTTAATTTGCCTATTTGGAGGATTGATCCTTGAATTTAAGGGTTAAACTCAGGATTATATTTAATTTCTAAGTCCAATTTCGATATTTCCTTTTAATAAAAATAACAGTTCCAATCAATGTTCGGTGAAAATGATGTTGAATTTGACCATTTTCGAAGCTTTTAGAAAATTCCATAATTGACCGCACGAAAATTGCAGGTGCTCTTTCCAAATTTGAAAATTTTGCGATGTTCGCTAGATCGCGAAAACGCTAATTCTAAAATTCTGCGCCGCTAGGTACACGTCGCCGCGCATGTTTTTTGATAATGTAACGATCGGTGGCCTTTTTTGGCCGATTTGGGTTGATAATTATTTTGGCTGAATCTGGAAGGTTGATAATTCGCGAAATTGCCCCGGGCAGAAGCTCATCCCATACGGCTCAACACACCAGGGCCCGGGCAGATTGACTCAGAAAAAAAGAGAAAATAGAAATTCTAGCGCGAGAAAATACGGTTCTTATTTTATCAAAAGAGACTCTTTTTCGATAAAAAAAATCTTTCTCATGAAGATTTCTCCATAAAAACACGCTAGAAAATGTTGCTATTTGACTTATTTCGCAATCGCAATTTTTTGTGTCGAAAAATTATTTTTTGAGTCGAAATTGAAATATTTCTTTTTTTGTGAAAAAATCAATTGAGATCATCGAAGAGAATTCAAATTGAAAATACCACAAAACTGATTTTAAAAGAGAAAAGAGAAAAAAGAAAAAAGATTGAAAGAATGGGAATGCTTGATGGTCTGAAAGTTTTCAGCGGGTTACAGTCACTGGTCGGAATGGGCGTCGCAACGATCAGAATGGTCGCTGCAGTGCTCACCGTTCTTGGTGTTTGGGTAAGTCAAGTGTTCAAACGCGCTTCAACGTGCCGGAATTAAGGGTTTCAAGTGATAATACACGCGTTTTATACCTTTATTTAATGAAACTTTTATAAGAGATAGTCGCCCTTTTTCGCGTCTTTTCTAAAAAAATCATCTGGGCATCTTCAGATTCATCTGGACACGCTCAACTACCTCTCGCAGCAGAGCCGGACCGACCCACGTGACTACGCAAAAGACGGGTATAAAAATAAATAACCTTAATAGCATTATTCCTAACCTGTGTCTTCAAGCTATGTTCCTCGGGAAAATCGTCGTCCAGCGCTGCTTCAAACTCAAAACATCGCGAACTTTGTTCCAACCACGGTTCCGGAGGCGATCGTTCCTGACGTTGTCGAGTCTTATCAAGATGATCTTCCAGTAGAACAAGGCCAAAGCGATGGACCGATTCACAGGACAGACCCGAATCGATTCTTCATCCCTTTTCTCTCAATGGGCCCGAATAATCAGCTCGAAGGCTTCCTCGAGTCGGTTTTTCTCGCCATAAAACTCAACAGGTTAAAATTCCTTAATCCCATCTTCATCTAACCCCTCTTTTAGAACAATGTGCATTCCTCCCTTTTTCCGCCACAAAACCGACGAAGCCCTTTCCAGCTCAATTTCGGCAGATCTCCGAATCAATCGAAAGAAGTTGTCTGAGTTCGTCACTTTTTGCGACACAGAACAAATTCAAGAAAAATGCCCAAAACTGGACACAGTTTGGTGGGGTTCGAATCCCAAAACCCTTACCTGTGGCATTTCGCTTCAGAAGAGATACAAGACGTTCCAGATGCTGACGGGACTGGAGAACTGGTATTCGGTAAGCTTCATGTTTCCGTGCCCCTGTAAATTGATTTTTTTCAGACGACTGTCTGCAAAGTCTTCGAGGACATCCCCACTTATCCTGCCGACTTGACTGGAAAGTTTCAAGTCCGGTCTACAGCTGCCGTCGATCTAGTCGAAACCTTCAACGATCAGAATTCCGGCGCCTGTGTTTTGTGGTTTATGCCATTTCATACAATCTCAAATTTCCGAAGCGCGGTCATGAGCCACTTGTTGCATAAAAACGACGGTGGGGACAGACAATTGGCGATGGATATTGTCAAATACGTTCAGGTAAGAAAATTCAAAAGCCGCCACTTTCTACTATTTCGATTCTAGCGCCCGGAAGCATTCCAAAATGTCGTGAAGAAATTCATCGCAGAAAAAGCCGCAGGAAAGCCGCTGATTTCAGTCCACTGGAGATACGACCAGCGTGATTGGTTGCTCCACTGCGATCGAGTACGTAAACCGCATAAACACCTTGTGCTTCGAATGAACCCAGCAAGGGGGCATTTTCTTTCCATGAGATTAACGTTGTATAATAATTCAATGCCTCAATTCCATATTGAATGACGACGTTTTTAAGACAGATTATCTCATCCTACGTCTCATCCTTTGCTTATCTTTTTTTTTTTGAAAAAGTATATTATGATTCTATATTTTAAAAAATCTTTTTTCAGCTTCCAGATGGTCAAGCAGATAAGAGCTGCCGAAACGTGGCGCAAATGCTGGAGAACCCCGAGCTGGCTGCAGATAATTTCCGAATCTTCCTCCGCGGAGTTCGGAACGCTCTCAAACAGGTACATGCTTGTTTACAAATTGGGTTTTCTTAAATTGAGTCCTCCTCAAGGACATGATTGTATATATTGCGGCGCCGATGGACGAACAGATCATGAGGAGCAAGCTGATTGATGCGATTAAGGAAGTTGGGCTTACTTCTTTGTCCAGCGTTGGTAAGATCGGACAAGTAATGGGTGCTAGAATGAGCTTTTTCTTCAGATCTTTTGCCGTATTTGGAAGAAACGGGAATCCGAAAAAGTGATATCCACGATGTCCTCTCGACTTCAGAGCAAGAGCTTTGCTTCCAATCGGACGTCTTTTTATACTCACAAATCTCCACTTGGAGCTTCAATTTAGTCTATCAACGAAGAGTTAACAACAAAAACTCAATAGGTACCTAACAAAAGGCGTTTCTTTGATTATCTGGTAGTCAAAAGAGACCTTTTTCTTACGGAATATATTTCAAAAATGACGTCTGAAAAAATATGTTAATTTATTCTTAGATAATTTTTACGTCTTTGGAGGACAAGCTGTCGCGGCGGCCACGCATCAAGCCGTGGAAAACTTCAAACGAACCGATCACGTAATTGCCAATTGATGTACAGTTTGAGTTGAAATTTTGAAAATAGAAGAAGAAAATTATGACATTCATCACATGTACAAAATTTGATATTTATGAAGAATCAGCTACGAAAAGCACTTTTGTCCAAAGATTTTACTGAAAATAAACTGTAAAGACTTCAAAATCGCCCATCGAGAATGGATTCTGCCTCCAGTTTCTAGACATCCCCGCTAATTCCCCCCGTTGCGCGAATCCTCCAATTCATAGTTTTATCGAAAGCGCGCTCTCGATTCCGTCCCCCTCCTGGAAAATCGCTGCCCGCAGAACTCCTGTCCAGTGCTTCTCCGACCATGATAAAACCACCCTCGTCTCGAGTCTCCCCATCTCAGTAACAAATAATTGCTAAACTTAAAATTTCAAAATGAAAATCTTCCAAATAATCTTTCTCCTTTTCCCTTTGGTCGCATCTTGGAAATTTAATCTTAGACCGGAAATGGCCGGAACTCCAACAGATGGAAAACGAACGATAAAGCACCTAGCCATGAGGAGAAGAAAACGACACATGAATTATTTAATGAGTCTTTAAACTCTTAAATGTCCCAAAATTTTGAAAAAACGCTTTATTTTGCTGCTAAAACTGTCATTTTGCATTTGTTTGTTTTATTTAAAAATTGTAAAAAAAAATAAATTTTGTGAAAAAAAATTGAAACATATCAGAAGCGACCTATTTATTTTCAGTTTTCAATTTGAATCAACCACAAAAATTGACCCCAGCGGCAAGAGACTTTCCCACACTCAAAATATTCAATGTAAAACAACGCTTCACTAGCATTTACAATTCACGTTTTGAAAGAACAGTGAGTATGTTTTTCTATTTTTTGATTTTTCTACAAGAGACGCTTGCTTTTCGAAGCTTTATGGGCAGCCATGGAAGCCAGAAAATTTGGAATCACCCGTGTCAAAATGGCAGAAACACTTGCGACAGGAAAAATGGCTTTTGTGTTCCGAGGGGGCCTGTTTTCTTTTGTGGATGTAAAAGTGGGTTTATTGGGAATAAGAAAATTATTGGCCATCAATGCCAGAAACAGGTGAATCTGAGAGAAGAGGAAGATAAAGAAGACGTTTGTGCTGGTGCATCGAAGAGTTGTTGGGTAGAGTTAGAGAAACCATAATTTTCAGAGCTGCTAGGATGACAAAGGTTATCTGAGATAACTTATCTCTAAGCTCTAAATATTGAAAAAGTTAAATTTTGAATTTTGTATTAAGGCTAGGGCCGTCCAGAGTTTATGAGCCCTGCTTTGGGCCAAATCGACAACCCTAGCCTTAATGACGCTTAGACTAAGCGGCTAAGCTTCTTAATCCATGAACATCTGTGCTCTAACTATATGTCTGGCTAAAAATCCGATGACCAAGCAATGCGAATTGGCTGAACCAAGCTGCGTCCAGCTTAAATGTGCTCCTACTGAAATGATCATATTCCTACGGAAAGAGCTCTTCGACGTGGACTTCGATTTTGTATGCCAGGCACGATTTACATGAGCTCTAACTAGATCTAGTCATGACGCTTGAAATAAAGCTGAAGAAATCATCAAAAAGGATTCTAAAACCACTGAAACTGACAGTGGCTGGCTCTTGACTGTTCCTCTCGGAGCCTGTGGAATGCAAGCGGAACATGTTGGGGACCATATTCGATTTCAACTTGTTATCAAAGCAACTGATGATGAGAAAGAGGTCTTTTTCCAGTCAGATTTCAAACCTCAAGTGACTACAACTTGCAATTTTAAATCACAGGAAGGTGCCATCATCTTGGTTGGGGGAATCTCCAAGCCAATCAGAAACCAGTATCTCTTTCATGAGCCAGTCATAGACGCGCAACTCCTCCCTTCAAGGCAATTGCCAAAAAGTCATTTTTAGGCAACGATAAAATCTTCACGAATGTTCTCCAATTCTCTCTCTGACCTTTCTGCTTCATCAGACCAAACCATCTACTCTTGGGAAAAATCAGTCAGTCTCAAGTTCAAAAACGGCGAGTCTGGAGAAGAACCGCTCCACTTCGGCGATGAGATTCTAGTGGAAACGGAGTGGGCCCAAAGCGTCAGGAAGAATTTTCCTGTAGATTTTAGTCTGAAAAATTGCTACGTCGAGTCTGAAAATGGAGGAAAGGGGGCTTTCATAATCTCAAAAGCATCATATTTTTCCATTTCTACAGATTTAGATTTAAAACCGGCTGCTGTATATATAATGAATCAAGGAAATAATGATCCTATGAGAGAATTATTTACGTCATTTCGAATTTTTGCGTCCAGTCATTAATGTACAGTAAACAGCCTCCCATCGCAGAATTCGAAATTATTCGTGATGGCTGCCCCGCTAGAATCGTCAATGGCAAACTGGAAAACTCACTGCGACAAAAAACATTACGATGGAAATCGTTTTCGTTTCAAGAAAAAAATCACGAGCCACAAAAATTACGCTGTACTGTTTCTTTCTGTCTTCGGGACAATTCTTGTCTGGTCAAAACTTGCTGAAAAGAAATAAACAGTACCATAGTTTTTATTGAAGACGGAATTGACGACAGTAGATTCGGTTTCTGAAGGCGGGATTTGAGCACATTCGGGCTCGGTCTCCGTCACCGAGGGAAGTAGGGCCGGCAGCCATTGCTGCGTATCGCAGTCGGCGGAGATTTGAAGGGCTCTTGCTGAATGGGAGAGTTTGAGAGCGATATTCTATTATTGTATTATTGGCTCTATAAAGAATAAATAATATTGAATGAGGAAAGTCAGGAAAATTCTTGTTGCTTACTGGATTGATTTCAAAAGTACCTGAAAAGTGAATTCTGAGCTTCAACCAGTGCAAAAACAAAAACAGCAAAAAAATTCATTTTCGACCCTTTTTCTTTCTGTCGTTGAACGCCGTTTCTTGCCCTCTTTATAAATCGCTTCGATTTAAATATTTGATCACAATTAATTGAGAGCCTGTCATTACGGTTGCCTCTCAGTATTTTTTGCGTGGTAGCTTTTACATAAATAACTGCTATCTTAGAAGATGCAAGAGCATTTTGTTCATTGTTTCATATGTCGATACGTCAGTTCCACGTATTTTCATTTCTTTCATTTTTTATTCGGACTTAAGGCATAGTCAAACGGTAAGGGTAGTAGGGGGTCATCGGTCAGGCCGCCAGTCCCGTCTTTGGATCCAAAGAAGGCACTCAGAATTGAGATAAAAAACTGAGCTTATAGATCATAGCTGAGGTTTATTGTAATCGAAGGAAGAGGATATAAAGGAGGCATCTGGAAATATTTAACACAGAGACTGCTTTTTGTAATCATTTAGAAGGCGTAAACCAGGATGATATCGTTGAAAGAAAACCACCTTGTTTCTGGGGAAGATTCATCGTGTCAGAAGATGTACCGGGAAGATCAAGCCCTTAATTAATTCTCTTAAAACCTGCTAGCATATATATTCTTCTGAAATGGCGTCATTTTAAGGTGTTTATATATGATTTGACTGCAAGCCAAAAATGATCGATTATCAAGCATTAACCTTTAAAAGCCTGAAGCTGTTGCTGTAAATCTCCGTGACTCCTAGACATTCTTCGATTCAAATTGGTCGGGACAGTATTGATCCTTGTAAATTCAATCTTTGAACTTTGCTCGACCTAAATAACACCTTTCCACGACCCCAAAAAATGACGAAAACAAACCTCATTGAGGACAGCTTCGGAAAAATTTCTCGTCAATCCACATTTCTTTTCATGGTCTTTGCGTATCTGCTTGAGCGTTTCGACTGCGTTTCTCGATGCAAGTGACATAACAACTCTTCTATCAGAAGAATTGTCAATGAGGCGAAAAAAAGCAGGCGGGTGGACAAGGCGGGGCGGCAGTTTTGATTTTCTGAAAAAAAGAAACGCGCGGGTCTTAGCGGGATACTTAGAGCGCAGTCCCTCTTTTACGACGAGCACGATATTTTGACAGAAGCGACGTGTTGTGTTTTCACGCTGTCGGGGGATGACCACATGGGTTCAGGGGTCACTGGGCCGCAGGGGAAAGGCGTAAGGAGCTTTTCGGATTGAAAGTTATTGGCATAAATGGCAATAATCTGTAGTTTTCTGCTTTAAGGGTAATGGTATACATCGGCGCGGCGCTGCTCTCTCGATCCGCGCTCCGCCAGAACCTATTTCTCACGGAGCTGTAAAATCCGAACGGATAAAGATTTTTTTCAAAATTCAAAAAGATTCTGAATAATCAAAGTCTTTTCTACTAACACAGCGAAATTGGTAATGATTGTCAGAGTGGAACTATCTGAAAATTGCTAGTTTCTTTCAAATGACATTTTCTTCGATATTTCTCATCCAAAATTTTTAAAAATTACACTGTCTTGTAGAGAATCGTCAGCTCTACAAGTCCTGTTTTTCAGATTTTTGTTTTAAGATCTTCGGATTTTAATATGCACCCTTGAAGTCAGCGCTGTGAGGTCATTGCGTGAGAAATAGAGAGCGGAGAGGCGCGAGAAGAAGTAGCCCTCTTTACAAATTGCGATGTGAAATTAATAAAAGCTTTAAACAAAAATCTGAAAAACAGGATTTGTAGAGCTGACGATTCTCTACAAGACAGTGTAATTTTCAAAAATATTGGATGAGAAATATCGAAGAAAATGTCATTTGAAGGAAACTGGCAATTTTCAGATAGTTCCTCTCTGACAATCATTACCAATTTCGCTGTGTTAGTAGAAAAGACTTTGATTATTCAGAATCTTTTTGAATTTTGAAAAAATCTTTATCCGTTCGGATTTTACAGCTCCGTGAGAAATAGGTTCTGGCGGAGCGCGGATCGAGAGAGCAGCGCCGCGCCGATGTATACCATTACCCTTAAAGAAATTCAATAAAGTTAACCTAAGAATAAAGTATGATTTTTTTTCGATTTCTTATGTTAATTTTGAAAATTATAATTTTTATTAGAATAACTTCGCAAAACGTCAACAGAAAGAAATTTAAAGGCCGGCGTTGGTTCGGATCCACTGGTTGGCGGTGGGGTCGGCGTTTCGGGAGTAAGCGGCTGGGTAGCCGTTGGTGGAGCACTTGGAGTGTCCCCAGGAGACGTTTCCGAGGAGGACTTCCTGGCCGTCCTGGACGTAGGTGAGTGGTCCACCGGAGTCACCCATGCAGGAGGTGACGCCAGCGTAGTCAGCGCACTGCTGTCGGCTGGTGAGGGTCTAGAATTATGCTGGTTTTGGATTTTTTAGGGGAAAACGAACCTGGAAGAGCCAGGTCTGTCGGCAGACGGCGTTGGTGATGCACTCGGTATCGGTCCACTGGAGAGTGGAGGCGATGATACCTGGGTTGCCGTTGATGTACTGGGAGTAGCCGTAGCCAGAGGTTCGGCAAGGAGTCTTGTTGGGGAGCTCAGCAGTCAAGGGAGCGACGAGAGCAATTGGCTTGACGTAGTCATCGAAGCTGAAGTTAGTGGCGGTCTTGATAACCATGTAATCCCAATCGATTCGCTGGGAGTCGTAGCTTGGGTGGGGAATCTGCTGTCGGATGTTGAGCACCTGTCGCTGGCCGTTGAGCGAGGCGGAACCGGCACCGGCGGTGAAGGTGTTGGAAGACTGCTTGCAGTGAGCGGCGCACATGACGACGTCATTCTTGAGAATGGAACCGCCGCAGAAGTGGGAGCCGGTCGCTCGCTTGAGGGTCACTTGCCATGGGAACTGACCGTCGACGGCGTTCTTGCCTCCGATGATGAGCTGGGCTGGGGCAGCTAGAAAAGGAGGAGGATAAGATTCTGTGGCTTCACACTTGATTTGGGCATTGCCAAAACTAAGTAAGAATCACGCAAGGTTGGAACCAGCGTAAGTTAATTACCCTTCCGGGGTGAAACAGTGCGATTTTAGAATCCTGTTCAAAGGTGATTTAGTTATGAAAATTATATAATTCTTGCAAAATAGAATAGATTTTTTCATGCTCTTTTAAAATTTATATTTACCGGTAGCAGCGGCGAAAAGGGCGGCGGTGAACTTCATGACTAAAGATCTGAATTCCTTTTCTGAAGAAAAACCATTTTATGCACCTCCCAGATGCGTTTTTCTCAGCGATTTGCGTCGTAACTTGGCGGCACTCCGAACTCGCCAGAATTTAGCAGACGGATTTTGTCTCAGCATTTTAAGCCGGTTTATGTAAAATATTGTAAGTTGTGTGATAAAGAGGCATGTGCTTTGAATCACATTCTCGACATGAAACTTTCGTGAATGATGCTTGTTTGTGGATATTTACCCAGGGGATGGTCTAGCCGACAGGCAGACAATTTCGAGCCTGAACTAACGATGACCAAGGGGGAACATGTGAACGAAGGAAAATTGACGTCTTGTGATGGCTGGACTTTTGATGATTTCAAACTTATGAAAAATGATCATAACATTTTCAACTTATGAATTTTTGCCTCAAAAATATTTTTCAAGTCGTTTTTTTATCTTATTGAATAAGTACTGTAGTTCAGACAGAGGCTATTTTAAGCGATTCTAGCAGTAGTAACTAGTCCAACCTAGGAGTGAGGATGGTGAAAGGGATGACTCTTACGCAATATAAAAGCCAAGGGATCACGCCTTGGGAACTAAATCGCAGAGCTGATCAAAGCTGATTGGGCCTATATAAACTGAAATTTATTTTAACATTCCGGCACAGCACAAATTAGTCGAAAAGACTAAAGATAGGCAAATTTAAAGAGAGACAAAAACACAAAAACAGGTAAGCTACCGCTTCCGCTCTTTCATAAGGGCCTTAAATATGCTGATTGTAATGAATTCAAATGTCGAAAATATTGACAAAAATTACTCGTGAAAGCTTCTTATCCGATTATTATATAACGCTTCATCACCATAAATTCCACCGTTCAGAAATGCCCACTTCATGCTCGATGTGTAGCTTTTTCTCCATGAAGCAAATCGCACGAAACTCTTCCTCCAGCAGCCTGGTCTCTGCTGACTCCTCCGAGAAGCAAATTTCGCAGCAACTGGCGCCCATCGAAGCCGGAAAGAAGATTGCCTCGAATAGCCGGTTTCTTTTCTTCACGAGAAACTCGTAGAAGCCTCCTTCTTTATATCGATATTTTCCATTGTCGAGCTTTTCATTTACGGTTTGCTATAAATCATCTTGCTTAATGCTTGATATCATCCCTTAAAAATGACTGTATCAGCTAATTTTCATCATACTTTATGATATAAAACTGCAGAATAGGCTTAATTTAGACTTTTCAAATTAAACTGATTTGAATAAAAGATTTGTCACAAAAATCTCGTGATGCAACATAAAGACCAAAAGAAAGATTTCCCCGAACTGAAATCAACGACATTCTGGATAGTGCGCACCTGCATGTTTTGTCCTAATTCATCCGTCAGATACCATCGCTCGTCGTCCATCGCGCTAGAAGGATTTTATGCAAAAGCCTCGTATCGGTTAATTGAGAACAAGGACTTTTCGAGAAAATGAAGGTTTTGGCCTCGCTTTTGCCGTTTTTGGCTAGCACAGAGAATGAAGGAGAGAATGATGGTCAGGAAGATTGTGTGATGATGATTGATGTCGTCAATGGGGAGAAATTGTGCGTAAAGAACCCGGAGATGGGGGTTATGGATGATTTCTTCAGGTATAAAATAGCGAGCTTCCATTATGATTCCTACTTGCGAGATTAATTGTGGATGAAATTTTAGGGGAAAGCGAAAACAGGCGAAAGGGAAGGGAAATGCACAGAAAGCGGAAAGTCCCCAGATTCAAAATTTTCAGGAGACCGCTGCTTCTGATTCTAGCTACTATCAGCCTTGGTTTTTGAATTATATCCTTCATAATTCGTCCTCGAATAATTATTACTATTCAACCAAATGAAAGTCAATCGACCAAGATTCCGATCGAACCCTCGATCCAACTCGCCAGTGGTGCCAGTATCTCGAAGTGACCGAAACGCCTAAAATAACAAGCAGATCGAACCTGCTCCTCGCTCCCTTTTGCTGGGTCTTCTGGGTCGGTCCTCAGACCAATTTCGAGTTCACCGTTGCTCTCAATATAACAACACCGAAATACACTGGAGCGAATCATGGACAAGCGGTGGATGATATTTACGAAAACTTGCCTTGTGCGAATGATTTGGCAACCGTTGTCGTTACGACAGAGCATAAACAGAGCATGTTTCCTGGAGATGTTCTCCACTACCAGAAGAAATATGTCGGAGTTGGCAGTAAAGGCGCAGAACTTCCGGAGGAGGGAGCAAAGAAAACTCTCGCATCAGGTTTCGTATCTTGAAAAGATGTTTTTTTCAAAAGTTCATTAGGTTGCCACAATAGCATGCCAATAAACGTCGTCGCTCCGTCCCAATCTTACATCACTGTTATGTACGACGGCGCCAGTCAGGATGCCATTTTCTCCAGCGGAAACTGGTCGATTTCCTACGAGCTGGATCGAAACGAGTGTACGGGTAAGTCAATCCTATTAAATGCTAAGCTTCCGGATGTGGTTGTGGTCACGCACGATGCTCATTCTTTTTTTCCCTAGAGTACGGCTTCGACGGATGCACTGGCAATGCGAGATGTGTTAATTTCATCGGAAGCTATACTTGTGAATGTATCCCGCCATATATCGGAATCCCGGAGGCGGAAGCGTGTATCAATCCCCAGGAAAGGCTCACTTATTCGGCTAAGCTAAATCTTGTAGACTTGATGGCCAAAATGGAACCTTAAAAGGCCTACCAAACCCTCGCTTTGTTCGAATCGCTCATTGAAGAAGCAGAAGCGAGAATTGACGCGCTCGATGTCGGCTGGGCAGAAGCTCTAGATTTCTTCAACAAAACAAATATCGAAACAAACGCTCTTCTCCAGCAATCGCTTGATGACCTGACTGCTCAAGAGGAATACCTGTATTATTACAGACAGAATGTGACAGCCGTTATCGCTGAGGGAGATGCAGAGGTTGCAAATAGAACTGATATTTTGAACGATTTGGAAGAAAGAATCGAAATTCTAACTGAAAATTTCGGCACTTCTGTTGACTACTTTATCGGTAAACTTATCTTGAATGGATGTAAATAAAAATTTATTTAAGAATCTTTCCAGTCAAAATTCCAAGAGAATCAAGCGAAAACCGACCTTGCTAATGAAGTCAACATGGAAACATACAATGCTTATTTGGGCATCGTCGTTGCCAAATCTAATGAGTTCCAGGTACATCAATTTTATACAAATCGAATAATTTTTGATAAAAAAGATGGTTTACAATTCAAAAATGGCACAAATCGACTCGCTTACGGCGCAAATCCAGCTCGACAGTGCAAACTCCCGATTTTATGCGCGAAATGATCTGGATGCCATTGTTGCTGGATTTGAAGAGGTAGGTGCATTTCATAGTTTTTCAGCTTGTTTATTTTTTTAGGAAATCACGCTGCAAAAATCATCAGCAGTTAACGAGCTCGCCGACGCTGTCAACCTCATTTCTCCTGTCCAGGCTGATCTGGACCTTGCCGAAGCTCATAGTCTTGCTCGACTCGGCTACTTCGAAGGGCTCAGAGAATCTTTCTTTGCCTGGAGAAATGCGCCCGAAATTCCGAATTCGCAGGGAAAAGTGATTCAGTTCAACAACATTGTTTCAAACAACGGCGGTTTTGCTGCAAGTGGTCGTGAATTTTCAGCTCCATACAAGTAAAAAATTCAAAGTATACAATGTATTGATCCTTACACATTATTCTAGAGGCGAGTATTTCTTCACCCTCACGGCCCAGCACGACCAAGCCGCTCCCTTCCAAGTCACTGTCTACGTCAATGGAATCCCCTCATCAATGCACAGTGGCAGCCCCCTCCAAATCAACATTAACAGCTTTTCCCGACCTTCGAATGATCTCCTTCAGACGTCGGGTGTCTTGAGCCTAAATGCTCACGACAAAGTCGCCGTTAGACTCCACGCAAACAACATTCCCGAAACTGGACTGGGAACCGTTGCTTTTAGCGGCTATTTAATTGATACCGCTTATTCTTTCCAGGTAAGATCTTTCGTCAAAAATTGAAAAAACTAATTTTTCAAGACTGATTTGGATGAACCTGCTTTTGGTCGACTTTATGGCGCAGGCCGAAGTTTTGGATTCAACAAGCCACTTTCGAAGAAAATTAAAACAAGTGGATTCCGACTTGACTTTTCTTTTGGAAAATAAAAAAATTCTATATCGCTTTTTTATTCACGCAGTTTCAAAAGCAGCGATTTGATTTCTTCGTTTGTATACTTTTTGACGACTTTTGAGACGTTCTTCACGAAGGTTCCTTGTTTGTGCTAGAATTTTGTTAGTTAAAGATCTGTCGATTTTAACCTACATTGACGAGAGCATCCAAAGCGCCCCGCACGAAAGGGACCTTTTTTCGCCATTCTTGTCGGGAGTAGAATTTCATTCGGGACTTTGTCTCGCCGGTTTTGATGAATTCATACCTAGGAGATGATATTTGAGCTGACTTTTTTATAAGAAGATCTACCTGTGAACGATATCAAAAATATCCGCATACGGATAGTCGGTCTTGTGGGAATTTTCGCAGATGATACTTCCCCCTTCTCGATTTTCTTCAAGCATTGTTTGAGTAATCTAAAAATTTCTGTAAAAAATATCTTTCGATTCTGCAAGGTTCAACCTCGACAGGTGCATGAGACGGGCAAAAAGGGACACCCATTTTGACCTTGAAATTGAACTTGCGAGAGTTTCCCTCAAAAGCCGTCGTGGAGAATTCGGATAGATCGTTCATCGTTTTGCATTCTTCCCAAATCGGATGGTCGTTTGTCCAGAACGCGTCGAATAGAGCATCAAACTCTACATCGAATTCTTTTTCAGGGTCATAAAATAACTTCTCTTTTAATATTAATAAAATCTGACGTCCCTGGTCGTCTCTACAGAAATAAATCGATTAAAAAAACTGATCCTCCTTTCTATCGAAATATTGTAAATTCTTTTTATTGAAACACTGCTTTGTAAAACGAAATCAACAACTAAAAAAATGTTCTGGAAAAAATTTCACAACACAAACTGTCTTTTTCACTTTTACCACTCATCTCCCCTTGTCGTAAATGTTGATTTCTGACCAATGCTTGCCTCCACCATTTTTTTTCTCTAACCTTTCTCTTTTTAACGTTTTTTAGTTAGCGCACAGCCACTCTCCCTGTAACTCATTACATAATAATGAGTAATAATTGAAAATAAAATTTTTTCAACGTTGAACGCAGATCGTACCAATTAATTGGTATGCCCCTTTTAACCCTTTTAAGCAATGAAACTGATTAGTCTACTGTATAAATGATATGGATAAATAATTCTCAGACGCTGAGCTTCAATTTTATCCCCATATTAAACCCCTATCATTACAAAAATGTGAGTAAATATGCAAATTTCCAAATGTGTCGGAATGACATTAGAGGGCATTGTACCAATTAATTGGTCGCTGTGCGTTTCGGCGTTAACTAATTTATTACTTTTTATGTACCGTTTGGTAAAAATAAATGACCCTTTCCTTCATCAAGCATAAGTTTATAATCCTTATGCATTTTTAATTCGTTTCTTTTTTGATTGAATTTTAAATTTTCTTCTCTTTTTTCACGCTCTTCTGTGAAACTTTTCTCTTTTTTTCCAATAATAAATTTGTTTTAAAATAGATCAATTATCAACGGCAGCTTGTATTATTTTTGTCGACAAAATCTGGCAGCGGCTGGAACGGAAATAACTTGATCTTTGCGTAATTATTGGCGCCACATTATTTACAAAAAGTTATTGTTTCTGAGTCCCCCTGCCAAATTTGAACAAGGAGAGGATAGATGACTAAGAGCTTAGCTAAGGGCGTGCATGTGTGGTATTAACTATTTATGACGAATGCACTAAGAGATCGATAGCTTTTCAAAAGATATTCTTTTGTTTTAATGGTTTTTATTAACAGCAAGAAAACAATTCTGAAAGTCTAGATAGAAAGAAAAGTGAAGAAGAAAGAAAAAGATAGAGATAGATTGAAAAGAAGATAGTGTTTTCAAATATTCTTCAAAAAACGCGCCTCAAAAAGCTCCAGTTCCAAAAATACAAAACTCCCTCCCCAGGTCGTTTTGTCGCTCGAAAAGCATGAAAAATTTTGAGGCTCGTTGTTTGAAAAAGGAAGATTCGATCTTATCAGATGTCGCGTCCTCTGACTTTGTTGACAGCAGGGGTGCATGGAGAAGTGGCGCAAGCATGGTTCGCGGCGGCGGTGAAAAGACTGACGGGAGCAGTGCTTGAGTAGCTGATCATTTCGAGGGATGGGACGATCTCCTTGTTGCAGATAAGGCAGTCGTCGACGGCGGTGTTGGTAACGCAGGCAGTTGTTTGATTTGCGTTCACGAAGCAATCGAAGTTGCCATATGTTGGGATGGCTGGCTCACCAGAGCTAGCATATGGAAGGAAGTTACAGGGATTCTTGTTGTTTGCGCTGTAGTCCGTTTCGACATCAGCTCCGGCAATGCAGCAGGCTCGGCAGACAGAGACGCCAAAAGGAAGGAGATCTTTCTGTTTGGAATTATCTGCATTCGTTTCAAGCCGCAAGCATTGGGCCTGATACCAGTCGAATTGCTTGTGGTAGTTGTTGTTGTTGAAGGTATCAACGCTGCTGTCAAGATGATCTTGCTGATTTTGCGCTGACATGGCCATACAGCCACCGACGCCGTAGAAGACGTTGAGTGTGTCGCTGTCACCGCTGTTTTTGAACCCGCGGCCTCGGCCAGCTTCCCGATTGTTCCACTGTTGCAGGGCAGGCGTTGTGGGTCGCTTGACTTGAGGATGGTTCATCATTTGCGCGCAGCCGGCTTTGATTCCGTAGACTTGGCCGAAGTGGGCGCGCTCTTCGATGAAGCAGTAGAACTCTTCGCCGACGCACTCAACTCGGTTGTAGTAGCTGAAGTAGCCGTACTTTGAGCGATCCCATCGGTAGATCAGCTTGTCCGCGGTTGAGTGGCAGAATTTACCGTTGCCTTGTGCTTGCTTGGTGTTCTCTGCGGAGGTGTAGGTTGAACCGAACTTGGCACCATTATTTGAGCTGAAAAAAAAGATAAGAAAAACATCTCTTTTCGATTCTCTTGCTACTTACGAGCCGAAAAGACCATAGTCCGAGTAAAAGTAATTTTGGCCCAGAGCTGGTGCCGCGAAGATCGCTGCCAGCCGCATCGTTCAGGCCTTATCTTTACGGATGGATCTTCGAACACAACGTTTTCAACCCTTCGTTTTATGCGCTTGAAAGGCTGCACTGGACTCAAATATTTGTAGAAACAATGATTCGATAATGGCTCGAGATTGAAAGTCTTCCAAAAGTTTCATAACCTGCGGTTTGCTTTTTCTGAAAGATCGGAATTTTAATTCTGAGTCAGGAAAGAAGAAAGTATTCAACAAGTATTTTATTTATTCATTTTTTAAAAAGAAAAAGCGAAAATGGATCGATTTAAGAACTTTTGGAGATTTTGCAGCATTTTATTATTTGACAGTAGTAAAGCAGTCCGAAAATTATCGACTCAGGAATCATTTATGATTTTGCTCTTCATTTTATCTTCATTTTCATCGTAATTTCTTCAAAAGTTTTGTGACTTCGGGCTTGTTTAAGAAAATTTTGCTTTTCATTTTATCATTTTTCTCATTATACAAAAATAAGATGCCGGACCCGGCGTTTTCAGGATTCGTAAAGGGAAAGTTGCAACGTAAGCCAGTGGCTGAGTGACAAACATAAAAAGAGGGAAAATGAGCGTTACGCTTGGCAAAGCGGCTGATTCAAAGTGAGCAAAATGCCATTTTATGAGTGTTAAATGGCTCGCTCTTCCGTTTCAGGGACCTTAAATATCTCCGTAACCATGATGAAATGAAAAAGCACAAGAGAAAACCTCAATGTTACAGTAGGTTCATAAAAAAAGAAGAAGAATTCGCAAGTTTTACGAATTATTTTAGGAAATTCGATGATAATTATTAATAGAAAGCTCAAGCGCGTCCAAAAATAAACATAACATTTTAAAATGAAACAAACTGTTGAACCTTCTCCCTTTAAAACTTCACCTCGCTAAACATCATCTTTACTATTTTGTCTCACAGACACTCACCCTTGCCCTTGCCCTTTATGATGTCTTCTGCCAGCGCCACTTTCCCTTTTCTCTTCCAACGTTGAGTTGATCTTTCTGTTCACAAGAAGAGAAAAATGAATAAATAAAATGACTTTACAAAATGGAATAAATCGATGTTCACGAAATTTCTAATGCTTTCAAAGTTTTAGAGAAAATCTCTGTATTGACAAATAATATGAACCTACAAACGACTAGACATCAAAAAAATGAAGCGAATCTGTTCACAACTCCTGTGACCGTCAAACCTTATTCATGAACTTCAAATACTTAAAATAAAAAAATATATATATAAAATGAAGCAAAAAATTGGCTATTTGCGAGTAGCTCTTCATTTTTACCCCGCCTTGTCTCAGAGACTCTCGCCCTTGCCCTCTTATTATGCGTCGTTTATTTTACCTGCGACACTTTCCCTTTTCTCTTGAAGACCTGAGCCGATAATTTTGTTCTCAAAAAAAAATAAATAAATGAATAAAATGATTTGACAAAGTGGAATATTTCAATGTTTACGAAATTTCAAATGAGCTCTTTAATATTTGAATAAATGAGTTTTTACTGTAGTCTGTCTTTTATTAACAAGCAGGAGCAAAATTAACAGTAAGAGCAAATTGCAGCCTATTCATTTTCTTCGTCCGTTTCTACTCTTTTTGAGGCTTTTACAGGTTTTGATTTACGTTTTGATTTTTCTCTCACAGGATGATTTAAATCTGGCAGTGTTTTCGACGTGCTTGTCCGATTTGATGAGCGTCGATTAAAGTCGGATTTGAAATCGATGAATTCTGAAAAAATCGTTTTCAGCACATTTTTACCGTAAAAATTGGCTCAAATCAGCTACAGGAAGCGCTTCTAAGTTACGTTTGAAAAATCAAGCTTTTTCTTACCGCTGTGGTCGATTTGGCCTAAATTATAGAAGAAGTGATCATTTGATTGAGAATATTTTTGTGCGATTAATAATTTTCATTTACAAAAAATTATCGAAAATAATTTTTGTATTTTATACTTTTTAGTTTTGCTGCGACTTGGTGGACTCAAATCTTGGTCGAGAATGTCTCGGCAATAATTCTAGCAAAAATATACAATAATCGAATTTTCATCATTTTTTACCTAAATGGCGAGCTTCATCATCAGAAGCGCCAAGCTCGAGCTCTGCCGGTTCAATTGACTCTGGTCGGGGAAGGGCTCTTCCTTGATATCCTCCTCCTCGACCAGTTGAAAAGCCCGAAACGCGAGAGTTTGTCATTCCTGCCTGACGACTTGCAGCGAGATTTCTTATTTTTTTTTATTTCTTGAGATTTTTTGGGAAAACACTACCTTTTGTCATTGGTCGTCTTATCATTGACCAGTAGGAGCGCTGAAGATCCTTCCGAACTGCGTTTTCGGCTGCTAGAAAAGAATTCAACAACAATAAATTATAGAAAACAATCTATCTAGACGCGTTTAAATAGTTTCTTTGACCTGATTATTTCAAATCATAAGTTCATCTGGCGACTTTTTTCTCCTGACAAGTCATTTCCGACTTCACTTACGCGTACGATTCTTTTTCTTCGTCGTAAAAGTCAGAGTCCTCACTCCCTCGGCGGCCAAGTCCTCTTTTTTGTTTCATCGCTAGAAGTCCTCTTTGTCGCATTTCTTCCCTTGTCAACTTAAAAATTGGCATAGATTTATTTGTCGAAAGAATCGCGATTACATGTTTTTCGCTATTGACAGATTCTTCTGAAACCATTCCATCGGAATATTCTTCATTCTCGTCACTTCCTCGTCTTTCCGGATCATCAAGATCATAGCTTGCATTGGAACCCTCTTCGTCGTCTACGAGAGGACCTCCCTTCACGGCTAAATAAGTTTTGAAAAGATAATTAAGTATATATTCTTGATAATTTCCTACATTACAAGTGCTCTTTTATGGTTCACCACCATCAGTCTACCTACCCTGGTGAACATACAAAAACTCCCGTTCATGCTTAGTCCTCTTGTGGTGATGGCGCTGATGCCGGTGATGATGGTTGTGGTGGTGCTTTTTGTCACCGTCCCTTTCATGCAGATAACCCCCGTGTCTCATGCGTGACAGTGCGGCCGTGCTTAGATTTGACCCGTTTGGGGAGCAAGCGCCGCTACCTGCTGTCAGAAATCGCTCGGAATTCCCTGTTTGAGTGTTCTCTACGTAGTTGTACTTGGCTTCTCGCTCAAAGTAATGGCGCGTTTGCTTTGCTTCGTGAATTGAGCAGACGATGAAGCAGCTTAGGATTCCATGGAAGATCAGAAGGCCTGCAAAGAGATCAAAATAAAAAGGGCAAGCGCTAGAAAAACCGTTCTATAATTTCGATCCCAAGTTCCTAATTCAACATAAACAGCAAGTGATCGATCATTTGCCACCTTTCCTCCGACGGTTATTTCTTCCATATGCGACATGAAATTGAAAAGTCTCCAGCAACACACGGGCACGAGAATAAATCCGATTCCAATAAATGCCAAAATGAGTCGTCTAAGAAACGTATCGCGGCGTAACACCTCTGACATTCGCACCACTGCCATTAGCGTCAGAAAACCCATAATTAACGAAAAGCTTAATTTAAATTGAGGGGTTAAGAAACATAAACTTCAAAAAAACTTTTGTTTATATAATAAAAATCGAGGAGCGCGAAAGAAGGAAAACGGCCTTTTTATTTGAATAAGAGGCTAAAATGACAAAACTCGGGAATCACTGATTCCGAATCAGCAAAGATGGCGACTTTTTGTTGTTTTATCGCGGCGGATGTCTGTCCACTGACGGAGCGCGGATTATTGCCCATAATGAGCAGCTGATTATCCCGAGTTATTGCTCGAATGAACTGTTTTACGGCGAGCAGCATTCCCGAGTTATTTCTTCCTAAGTTTTAGTGCATTCTTTGATAAATCTTGTTAGTTTCCCAAAAAATATGGGGCTTGTCCTTCAATACTAATTCAATTTTTCATCGATCAATTAGAAACATAAGGGTGTTCCCGGCCAGAACACTTGAGGCTATTGATTTTGTATGGCACGCTTTTGAATTTTGATATCTCACTTTGACATGAGCCCAATTTTTGACTTCATGCTTCTTCTCAAATTATTAAAAAGGAAGAAAATCTTGAAATGAAAATTCCAAAATAAAAGTTAAAAAAGAAAAAATATAAAAATTCTAAAAAATAATTTTTTAAATTATTAAAAAAGGGATAAAGCATCTTACCTCGAAAACACAAAAAGCAAATATTTGCACAAGTTGTCCGTTATCATCAAGAACGTCAGTATCAGATAAAAACTCGCCAGCGCGTTTCCAACAACAAAAAGTCCCGCCAAAGCCCCATTTTTTCTGTAATTATCATCCAAGCAGCACATTCACTATTTTCTTCGTTTTCAGTCTTCTTCTTAAGATATCTCTTTTTTGCTTCTATTTTTATGACCTTGGCTCGGAACAAAGTGTCAAAACTAGGTACTAAGCGCGCTTTTGTCTATTCTGATTGGCCTCTGTTTTTTCACCTTTTCAGACTTTTCAAAATTGATTCACCTTTTCAAAGTATTCAGAAGCAACTTTTTTTTTCAGGGAAAAAAAGTGATTTTGCCCGCGCGCGCCATCCTTTTTCGAAATGTATTGGAGACAAGAAAGAGAGGCAATTTGAGAGTGATTAGGTGAAAATTTTTGAATTATGGGCAGATTATGTTGTTCGGGCGAAAGTGTTTTATCTTGACAGGCTAATTGGAAGATTTTGGCGCAGATGCGGATATCGTGACCTTATGAACATGATAAATTGTTATTTTCTTATGAATTTAAGCGCTTCTTTTCGAAAAGAAAAAAGCAAGCAAGTACACTTGCATATCGGTTTCTTCCTGAAAGTAGTATCTGAGCAATGATTGCTTTGTCTCCTTCTAGCAATTCGAATCGAATCTACCTGTCATTTATCACGAAAAAATAAAACAATTCCTTTTTGACCATTTTTGAAGAAAGTCAGCAAGATTGACAATATCATCACGGCAACTCATCAATATCGAACGTATCTTGAATAAACAGTCTCTTTGAAGAAAACTTTGCCTGCATTTTTTTATAATATTAAATGAGAGATAAAAACACAAGGATTCGCAAGCTTCTTATATCAATTGGTATATTCCTTCTCTTCAAAGATATCTATCAATTCTTTGATTATTTTTAGTTGTCCTTCTATCGGTGACAATTGTCATCACAAATCCATTGTATTTGAAGAAGGCTGACAATTGTCAGAATGCCTGTAGATCAGAGAAAAATTCCTGCAATCTTCTATGTGAAAGTCAGTATTGTCAGTCAATTTGCCTTGATATGTTTGAATGTAAGATCTTACCGATAGAAAAACATTATTTAAATAATTCAAAGCTTGCAAAATCGAGTGTTCTATCGAAAATACATCAACAATCACAACAACAAGTCAAAGTTATGGTAAAAAATTGTTTTCTCATAAAAATTTTAAAATCTTACTAGACTTAAGAACAACAAAGACATTTTTTGCATCATCAACATCATCGACGACAACAGTAACTTCAAAAACTAAAACATTGTCGTCAACGACGAATTCCTTACCAACAACGGGAACAACTGCACCAACGCTAGCATCAACCGGGACATCAACGACGACAATATCGACAACAAAACCGACGACATCGACACAAACACCGACAACGACACCGACAACAACACCGAAAACATCGACACCAACACCCACATTAACACCCACATCAACACCGACAACATCAACAACAACGCCTACAACAACACCGACAACAACATCGACAACATCGACAACAACATCAACAACAACACCGACAATAATACCGACAACAACAACACCAAGGCAATTTATATGCGATATTCCTAGTGGGTAAGAATACAAAAAATGGCCATGTTATTATAAAAAAGATTCAACTGCAAAGCCGGCGAGAAAATAACCTTTGGCGAATGTGTTGATCTTTGCGTAACGAATAATGATAAACCTCTTCAGTTAGGTAAAAAAGAAGATATTTGCAACGAGAATCAGCCGATATAACTTACCAATTCGGACATTTAAATTTATAATTAGGAAATATGGAGCAGGCTAACTGCGTGAAGGAACTTCAACAAACCCCCAATTGTGTAGGAACGAGATATTGGTTAGGATACAGAATTGAAAATGTAAAAACCTATTGGTTGAATGACAATCTTCAATTAAAGACACCTGTTCCAGAAGATCATACTCATCTTATGAGTTTATTCAATTGCAACATTTTTAAAATTACCAACAGATCAGAAGCGACATTCAAGGCTAGGGAAAGCAACTCTATTCAATGTCAAGATCATAGTATGTACTTTCCAGTTATTTAATTTAATTATAATATATAATTTTAGAAATAAGAGAACAAAATTAACTGAGATTTATCTTTTCCAAAATTATCATTATTAACAATTTTGATTTTGTTTAGAACAATTATATTCAGCACAATTTGATACGCATCCTTGCATTTGTTTGTCTCAAATCAATGGCAATGGACGACTTTCTTCACTTCCCCATACCTTGTGCATATTTTCTTTGACACAAGACTTTCACAAATTGATGTTTGTCTTCAATAAATTAAAAATTTAAGAAATATTATAAAATGTCGACGAAAAGAAACACTATAACTTTTTGCAAATAAATCTGATTATACTTCGTATCCTTGTCATTTGGTTTTTTTATTATTTTTTAAAAAATCATGAATCAAGCTAATTACATCATTTTTTCCCCGCTCAGACAAGTGATTATACCAAAAAAGAATGCGCTGGGCCTCGCTAATGAGGCTCTTAATTGTCTTGTTCACGTTATCGGCATTGCGCCTCACGCATTGGTGGTCAAGGCCGCGAAATTTCAAATTTCACAATCAAAAATCTTCTAATCCGATAACCAACCTCTTCATTTGATAGAGTTGAGCTCCATATCAGAAGACGTACAAACCAAGACTTGTAAATATTTTTTATATTTTCTCAAGAAATGAAAAGCAAAAGCTCAGAATGGATATTTTTGCTCGTCTACTTTTTTGTCATCGAGATTGTTTTCGGAAATAATGCAGTTACTCTGAGCAGAACAAAGAGAAAATCAGGAGTGAAGAGAATTTGTGGAAGAAGTTATAAGAATGAAACTGTCTTTCAAGTCATCAATCTTCGGTAAGATACATCGGGTGAGAGAAAATTACAACTGGCTGTATTTCAGCCCCAACGATGCCTGTATATACCGTCTTCTCGGAAGCAGATTCGACGAGGTTGAGTTTTTCACTGCCGATTTCCCTATTTCCTGCGATAAAGGACATCTTTGGATTTATTCGAAAACGCGTCAAGAAGGCCCCTTCTGCCGAAACTCCACTCATTCTCGACTGAAACGCTCAGTCGAGGAGCAAAATCAGCTGGTCGGTCAGCGATATGAAGGGGATGAGATCGATGTTGTCATTCAAAATACTGGAAACGAGGCGATTCCGATCAGTTTTGGATTTAATTTAGGAACATGGTGAAGAAATTTTCATTTTAAATAACCAAAGAGCTCTTCGATAAATGCATCTTCGTTTGCTGGAAGATCTTTGTTCCCAGGTTGGCCGTATTGGGAATTCGCTGCCATGCATTTTCGATAACAGACATCAACTTTAAGCTTTAACGTAGCAATAATTAAAAAGAAAACCTCACCTGGTTCTCTACTGGCGGCTTGAACGAATAGCAAAACAAAAGCGATTTTAAGAAAATTCATCTTCTACGAAAATGCCATAGCTATTGCTTTTTATAAGACAAAGTTTTCAAATTAATTATCCAAAATGACAGTTACAAGGTATAAGCGTTGATTGTCATCTTGCTTATCAATCATTAAAGAATCGATTCTTATTTCTTCATCGTGAAAAAAGGCTTCGGAAAAAGGCTAGGGACATGTTCCTTCAAGACGATACAATCTTCGGATAATCAATTTTACGGGCCGGAAGAGGCAGTCTCTCTTTGGAAACAATTGACTCAGTCAATGGCAACGGTTAATGAGGATTTTAGACAGTTTAGAAATCAATGCCACACTTTCAGGAAACGGTTCATTTTTTTATAACCGGACACCAGAAAGATAGTTTTCGTGTGAGTAATAAATATTTTCAGGTTCCTTTTAACTTGACTCAATTTTCCGATCATCTTCAGACTCACTGGTCTCCACTTATGAGCCGTCTAAAAGTCCCCCACGTATATCATGCAAGCTTCTCGATTTCTATGACCTGACAAACGAAGACTCCATTATCCGACTTGGCGAAATCATCGACGAAATTTGCTGCAAATGCAAAGACTCCGATTTCTGTTCCTCTTGGTACAGCATCCTATTGGAAATTGAATCCATCATTCTTGGGCCATCAAAGTATCAAAACAAGGATGACTTCTGGTTGGGAACTAATGGAGATTCTTTGGCGTCTGCTGAATTTCAATCCAGTCCATATTCAACTAGTCTTGAAGAGGCTTATCCTTTGGCGCTAGGAACATCCCCTGCAAAAACTCCGTATGAGGTTATTATCGATCCCTGTAGCTCAATAACATGCCCTGAGGGGCGAGTCTGTCAAAAATCAGAAAAAGGCTTCTCTTGCATTTGCCAAGACTTCTTCAAAATGGTGGAAGAAGAGTGTGTACCGACTTGTGCAGCAAAAACCTTCAAATGTGTTGGTGAAGAAATCTGTTCAGACACACCCCTCGGGGCAAAATGCAACTGCCCGAAAGGGCAAGAAAAGGATAAGTACGGCTTTTGCGTTGAAAAATGCGATGAAGATCAATGCAAATCTAGCAATCCATGTCCTGGAAATTCAAAATGCACAAACTTATGCAACGAGTACAAATGCGAATGTTACCCGGGATACTACTGGTTCAATGGCCAGTGTGTTCCCGAATGCGATGGTGATCAGTGCGAGGACGAAGACATCTGTGGTGATACCGGCAAATGCTTCAACAAGTGTAAAGGATACGTCTGCAAGTGTCCAAAAGGATTTTTGCTTCATCAAGGAAAATGTGTTCCAGAATGCGATCTGATGCACGACCCATGCAAAATGAGCCAATCAGTTTGCGGAGAATACAGTATCTGTAAAAAGACTTGCCCTGGATTCAAATGCATCTGCGAGGAAGGTTTCCGGAAGAATTATCTTAACCAATGCGTGCCCGTCTGCAACGCAGTATGCAAGAGCGATAGCTGTCCGGAGAACTCGACTTGCAAAAAAGGATGCACGAAGATTTCTTGTGAATGTAACGAAGGATTTGAAATGAAAGATGGAAAATGTGAAAGAATATGCGATGCTGAATGCAATGAATATTCGTGTCCAGAAAACTCGACCTGCACGCAAAACTGCACAAAAGTCGAATGCACTTGTGATGATGGATTCGAAATGAAAAATGGCAAATGCGTGCCAATTTGCAGTGCATCTTGTAGCGAAACGTCCTGCCCTTTGAACTCCGACTGCGAAGAAAAATGCAACGAAATAACCTGCAAATGCAGACCCGGATACAAAATGGCATACGGTGAGTGTGTCGAAATTTGCACGGCAAGTTGCACTCCTCAATCTTGTCCTGCGAACTCAACTTGCAAAGCTAATTGCAATGATGTATCATGTGAGTGCGAAGAAGGATATAAGATGAAGGACGGAAAATGCGAAGAAATCTGCACGGCTTCGTGCGACGCCTACTCTTGCCCTCCAAATTCTTCTTGCAGCGCCGACTGCGCTGAAATTTCTTGCTCCTGTAACGACGGGTTTATCAAAGACCCTCTAACAAAGGAGTGCGTTCAAGAGTGTGACGAAAAGCAGTGTGCAAAAAATCCATGCAAAGGAGGACAAGTATGCACACAACTATGCGTCGGCTTCGAGTGCTCATGTCCGAAAGGGACAAGTTTGCTCAAAGGGAAATGTTGTGATGCAAATCAGTCCTGGTTGAAATATTAATTTTACTGATTTTCAAATGATAGTTCTCTGTTCTAAAGGGCTCATTATTCAAAAATTTTTAACCAATAAAAGTGTCGCAAGAAAAATGCCTGTCCAAAAAACTCCATCTGCATCAATAAATGCTCTGGCTTTGAGTGCAAATGTAAAAAAGGCTTCAAAAAAGAAGCTGGAAAATGCGTCCCAGAATGCGATGAAAATCAGTGCGATAAAAATCCCTATGCTTGCGGAAAGAATACGGAGTGCGAAAACTTGTGCGAAGGATATCGATGCAAATGCTTGGACGGATTCATACCCGATGAAAATACATTGAGGGGATGTAAACAAATAGGAATGGTCAATATTTTGTTTTTATTTAGTAAAATGTTGTAAATTTTAATGAAAATTGACAATATTAAATTGTCAAAGTTGAAAATAATCATTTTTTTATTTCGTTCGAAATAAACTACGAAGTGTCTTCCTTTCTCTTCATTTTAACCAGTGACTTCATTTTGCCAAAGAAATGAGGATTTTACGTCTCTTATTTTATCATCTTCAGCAATGTTGGTCTAAAAGGAGGAAAATTCCTATCCCGGCCCAAAACATGCGCAGTCAACCATAAAGTTGTATAAACTTTGAGTTTTCTCTAAGCTAGAATTTTGCCCTTATTTTTGACTTTTTAAAGATCCTTGCGATACAATCAAATGCACCGAGCCAAACACATCATGCGACTCGTCCCTTGCTCTTTGCACTTGCAATTCAGGCTACTTTCCTAGCCAAAATGGCACCTGCTTGGCAAAAGTCAACGAATGTGCCCTCTCACAGCACAATTGCTCCGGGAATGCAAATTGTATCGATCTTTTGGACGGGTTCAAGTGCGTCTGCAAGGAACAGTACAGAGATGTTTATGGGGACGGAACGAAATGCCAACATTCGTATAGATCTGATAAAGGAACTTGCAACTTGGCTCACTATGGCGAGTTCACAAACGGTGATTTTGAAAAAGTCGCGTTTGAATCCGCTCATGCGCCGCAAGAAGCAGTTTTTACCTGGAAAGCGATCACCGCGGAACTAACACGGCTTGGGGAGATCAGTTTGTTTAGGACATCTTCTTGTTCTGTGGAAGCGGGAAATGTGGGGTGCAAGCTGGTGGACCACTCGTTGGATGAAGATGCTTGCGAATGGAGTCAACGACTAGGAACACTTTTGCAGAGTGTCGGAGATAAATGCAATAAGTTTTGGAACGCGAAGTTTTCAAGATTGAAGAAAAAATTATTGAAGTCAGCTTGTAAGCCAGGTAACTCTTCGTCACCGCAACTGCGCACTTTTTGCTAGAGCAATGGATGATTATATTTAAGAGGAATCTCGAATGAACTTAATTCTCTTTAGCCCAAACTCTCGAACAAAAATAACTTTTTATGGTTTTCATTTATCTTTATCATGCAATTCTAGAACCCAAGCCCTGTGATGCAAACCCTTGCTCCGAAAATGCTCTTTGCAAGGACATCGGCGACAATTTCGCATGCACATGCAAGAAAGGATATTTCGGCAATGGCGTCAAATGCGAGAAGGAAATCGACGAGTGTAAGGACGGTTCTCATCGATGCCACGAGAACGCGACATGCGAAGACCGCCAAGGAGGATACGATTGCTCTTGCAAAAGCGGATTTTTCGGAAATGGCTATCACTGCGCGGCGCCGGTGAACGAATGCATTTTGGGCACTCATGAATGTGATGCAAATGCGAAATGCATTGATTTGATAAATGGATACAAATGTGACTGCAAGACTGAAGAAGGGTTTCATGGAAACGGGCGAGTTTGCAGACAGAGCATTAATGAATGCGCTCAAGGATTGCATACTTGCTCCGAAAACGCAAAATGCATCGATTTGGCTGACGGTTTTGACTGCGAATGTGAAAGTGGTTTTGACGGAGATGGTTTTTCTTGCCGCATGAAAAAGAATTGCGACTTGGGAAACGATGGAGAAAAGTGCGCAATCGAAGCATTCGAGCTTTGCTCTCTTTCTGACGTGACATCGAAGATTCAAGATCTTTGCTCCCCACAAGACGCAAGAGAACACCTCGAAATCCTCTCCTCAGAACTTCAGCTATTATCGAATATTTCAACTGAGCGCTCCTGGGTCACATGCAGCCCAAGCGCAGTCGAGATTTCTTGCGAGTTTCTGAATGTCTTCAGAGCCAAGAGAATGACGCCAGAGGATCTTTTCTCTCACGTGACAAAGCTGACGAGGCAGGTTTTTGAAACCTGCGATATGAATTACAGGTAACTCAAGATACAGTGCTACGATTTCTTCACTTTCTTCTCTTTAAGATTTATGATTTTTTTCTAGAATAAAATGGGACGACTGGATCACCCGTTTCCACGACTCAGTCATCTGCCCAGTTAACGAGTGCCTCACCGGCGAACACAAGTGTGTTGACAACTCCAACTGCGTCGATCTCAAGTATGGCTACGATTGCGAGTGCATTCCAGGCTTCACTGGCAATGGGCACATAGAATGTGTACAAATTGATTCATGCGCGACTGTCGAATGTCCTACTTTTTCTGATTGCGTAACTGGAAACCAAAATCGCGCAAAATGCATTTGCAGAGATGGCTTCATCGACGACCGAAATTTAGTCGGAAAATTAGAAAGATGCGTTCCGAAAGACCCCTGTCTTGTTAGAAACGGAGGCTGCTCGAAAAACGCGAAATGTACCTCTTCCATCTTCGGCCACGATGTCAACTACAGTTGCTCCTGTAACCTAGGCTTCTTTGGAGATGGCTTTTCTTGCGAAAAACTGGATCCTTGCAAAAATCACAATTGCGATGAAGAAGCCAAATGTGTCGAGAAAGAAAACGTTTTAGCGCAAGATGATTATGATTGCGTCTGCAATGACGGATTCGTTGGAAATGGTTTTGTTTGTCAGAAGCCCAGATCTTTGGATCCCTGTGCAGGGTTAAAATGTGCGGAGAATGCTCACCAGGAAATGTTTGGATAAGGGAGCTGGTTTAAAATTATTTTTTAAATAGTTTGTTAATTCGTTAGGGAATTTATGATAAATATCAATTGCTATTATCGAAAATCAATTTCAAAAACGACACAATCGATAAATATTCTTATATTTTTGGTAATTGGTTGTTTTATGGTCTTTTCTTTTGCTTGATAGCACTCGTTTTTATCACTTGGTCTTAAATATGAAAAAGACAATCTCATTCATCTCTGGCTCTCGAGAATGCACCTGCGAATGCAATCAAGACTACTTCGGCGACGGATTTACCATCTGTCTCCAAAACGAGCCTTGCGCTCGCCACAATTGCTCCGAAAACGCGCAGTGCAAAATATCCCTCGGTGGAGATCCAACCTGCGAGTGCGTCGATGGATACCATGGCGACGGATATCACTGCGTCAAATTCGACCCCTGCGCTAGCTGCCATAAATTTGCGACTTGCAAAAATAGGTTATTATTAGATTCTATTTGCGCCCCAGTTGATCCTCCTATCATTATTTTAGTGCTCAAAGGTGTAAGTGCCAAGATGATTATGTAGGCGATGGATTCTTCTGTAGAAAACCGAAAGAGAAGTTATCCTTTTTTTTAATTTAGTCACGTGACAAATCAAAGCAAACTCAAGGGCGTCACGCTAAGGCTCACCATCAAAAGCTAAATTCGGAAGTTTAATCCTAAAAAAACGGAAATTATTCATAAATATACAATAGTTATGGTTTCTTAGGCTTAGAATCTAAGCTCTCAAGTTAGAAAGAATGATAACCGAAAAAGCCTGCCATAAGTGCCCTTCCAGCTCAACTTGCGACGATGGGACTTGCATTTGCAATCAACATAGACATGCTCTTAGCTCATCGGGGTAAATAATAATTGTCATGAAAATTCAAGTCTTCAAAAATTTCAGCGAATGTGAAGACATAGATGAGTGCTCTATTGGAACTGACAACTGCTGCGAAAATGCAAAATGCATCAATACTCCCGGCAGCTTCAAATGCGTCTGTGAACCTGGATTTCAAGGCGATGGTGTTTCATGTCATCCAGAAGGGAATTTTGCCGCTAGAAGTTTTCAAAACTCCCACTTTTCAAAATACGAAGAATCTGGATTGTGCAAATTTTCGACTTGGAATTTGTCAATTTTGACCGATATTTCGAAAAAAATTTAAGTTTCCAAAATACTCGATCAAAATTCAAAGCTATTTCGCTGCGATTATCGAGGAAATGGAGAAAATAAGGGATCTAACTGTGCCGCACTGGAACTGCCACCAGGCCAAAATCGACGCTATCCCTTGTCATCTGCTCCATTTCCCGGAAAACGAGCCGCAGTGCCAGAAAATCCAGCGAATCGAACAGCTTTTCGACCATCTTAAAAACCACTGTGACGCGGCTTGGAATCACAAATTCTTCAATTTGATGAATTTCATCATGCAAAACAATCGAAACTTTGGACGCGGAGCCTGTAAAAAGATCCATTCTGTATAAAAAAAACTTCCAATTTCAACTTTTTTAATCATGTAAATAACTAAACAAAGAATCGAATCTATTTATTCTCATTTTATTCGCTAGAACTCAGTCGATTTTTCCAGTAAATTCGCTCTTCTAAGTCTGCAAAATAGAACTTATGATTTCTGACATAACAAACAGCATCGACTTGACCATTGTGTCGTTCAAGGAGGTTGTAAAATCTTTGGCGAGTCTCAGAATTTTCGTAGACTTTTTTATCATGAAAGTCTTGAGGCATTTCCTTTTCAAGTATGTGATACTATGATCGCATTTTCCATTGACTGCTTTGTCCAATGAGCTTGAGGTTATGACATTCTTTTCTGGACCACGAAGTTTGGCGAATTCTTGAAGTCGGACATGAACATCTTCGATCTTTAAAGGTTATTAGATCATTTATCTATTGATTGGGTCTGACCTTGTAGTCTAAGCATTTCATCAATTTGCCCAAATTCACGTCCATCGAGTCAAATGGCAGTCCAAGCTTCTCTAGCTCCGCATGAATACGGACGTTTTCATAAGAAAGATTTGATAATGAAAGGCCCGTGTGCTCACTAAAGATTAATCGAACTCGCCGGGAGAAGGAAATTGGATCCTCACTTTCTAGCGGCGGGACCACCGGAAGGTAGTCATAGGTCAACTGAAAGAATAAGCAATTGCAAAAAATCATATACTTTTGAAGTACCTTGATTCGAAAATTCCCAAGAGTATAAAAAACATACCAGCCAAGACCTTCATGCCCCCAGGCAGCCGTGTTCCATCCCTCAAAGGTGATCGATACTGGCTGGACAGGAACTTGGAAAGGTAAAAGATACTTTCGGGAGTAATAAGGATTTTTACCTTTTGGAATAAACGCGCCAACTTTAAATTGAACGAGACTTTCGCCGTTTGTAACAGTTCCTTCCGGGAATAAACTAATCTGTGGAACAGGCTGTTCCGATTGCACTCGTTCGATGATTTCGTGAACAGTTTTTGAGCGTGATTTGCGATTTTCGCGGTCGACAAAAATGGCCCCACAGCTTTTCATAACTGAGCCAAGAATAGGAATTGCTCTAACTCCACTCTGGGCGACCGAATTTGGCGCTACTCCTGTGATAAAACCATGGTAAATTGCAAACCATGAATCGAGAATTAAACTGTGGGGAGCAAGAACAATTATTGGCGCTTCGTCGCGAGAAGCAGGACTGCCTTTGTGACTTATTGCAGCGCCGAGAATAAAGAGAATAAATTTACCTATCTTGTGTTTGGCTGATCAAAATTTGAGCTTCAAATGGTTTTGAAAGCTTATATTTCATCGAATATCTAGCCATGCCTTTAGCAAAAAGCTGTAGAAAAATATCTGATATGGTTTCGTGTAATAACCTTTCTGATCAGATAAATTGAGTATTTTTGAAGAAACCAATAGAAAAGGAAGCGTCAGGATAATAACTATGCAAGGTCTTGATAGAAATAAATGCAAGTTAATTTCAATATAAGACCGTTCCAATAACACGAAAGGGTATCAAAGTGAAACAAGCAATAAAAAACTATAAATTTTTCTTCAGCCATTCTTCAACTGTTCCTTACCTGTAGGCGCCTGTACCAAGGCCATTCGATTTTGAAATGAAAAGGATATGGAGCCTTTTCTGCGCCATCTTCTTCGTCTACTAAGAAAATTCTTTCTATTCTTTGTATTCTTCTTTCATTTTTGGTCATTTTTTACATAAAACTCTTTTTTTGCTAAATTAATTGAATAATTTCCGGCCAGAAAATATCATTCGATACAGAAGAACCGCATCATTTCCTGTAGTCAATTTAAAGTTGATCCCCAAATACGCCCTGTGATCTACAGTCCAAAAATAGGAACCCAAAGTCGATTAGTAATTTTGTCAGTGGCGTGATAAAGCGCCTGATAATCCACTCTCCCTTTCCAAATTTGGGCAGTTGACTGTCTCTCTCATCTCTCTCCTCAAAGGCGTTTTTGCTTTTTAGTTCAGTAGTCCGTTGAGCGCAAACAAAGGCACAGCAGTACTCAGCACAGAAAATGGTAAGTAAAAGAGATAATTTCGAGGGACTAAACAATTACTAGGTTGACTTCACCGAGGATCAGATTGAAGATATCAAGGACGGTTTCGAGCTTTACGATCGAACCGGCGAGGGCAAGCTCTACTTCAACCAGGTCGGAGATCTCATCCGAGGCCTCGGCTTCAAGCCCACCAATGCCAACGTTGCCGAAGCTCTTGGCAACCCTAAGAAGGAAGAAATGAACACCAAGGTAAACCTTACCATCGTTTTTCATCCCTAACGAGAATTCATAGACCTGCAACTTCGACGAGTTCGTCAACCACGTCAAATTCTGCGCTGAGAAGCAGCAGGACGGTACCTTCGAGGATTTCGTCGAGGGTCTCCGAGTCTTCGACAAGGAGGGCAACGGCACCGTTATGGTTTGTACTATTCCTTGATTTCTTTAGATTTATTGCTTCCCTAGGGCGCTGAGGTCCGACATATTCTCGCCACTCTTGGTGAGAAGCTCACTGTCGAAGAAGTCGAAATCATCTTCGAGGGTGCTGAGGACGCCGACGGCCAGATCCACTACGAGAACTTCATCAAGGAGCTCATGAAGGAGAAGGAATAAATCACTTCCCCGAACTGTTCCCAACTCTGTATGTGTATCTATTCGTAAAAGTGCATTCTTACCCTGCTACTCTTGCCACCTTGAATGCTTCATTTTTGGAAGGAACAAAAACTCGGCTAAAAAGTTGTTTTCGGTGCTCATTTTTGAACTTTGTCAGCATCCGAAAACTCAAGCCAAGCTATTGTTGCTTCAGAAAATGTCCTTTTTTACAGCAAAAACAGCTCGAGATGGCCAAAAAACATGCAAATCGGGGCTTGAGGCGCACAACGTCCATCGGTCCTGGCGCCGGGTCTCCCGCTGGGCCAAAACTCACAATGCGGGCGCTATTCGATCACAGCCCGGTTCTCAACAACATAAACAAACATAAGGACCGGGTCAGACCCAGGTCCCCTGGTGATCTGTGAGGACCCGGACGGGCTCGGGCGATGTGCCAATCGAATGTCCACATAGAAGCCTTGGTCCGGTGGGGTTCTGTCTCAGCCGGTGGCAACGGCCTCGCCGCGATTTTATGTCAAAAGGGGTCGGGCTGTTTTTGATCATTTGTATCTCAATAAAATCATAAAAAGCTTTCGATTTTTTATTCTCTGTATTTCAGTAGTAGAAATTCTTGTAATAGTAGTATCCTCCACCAACTGCGGCGAGAACAGCGAGAGTTGCTCCAACTGCCGCTCCTGCGGTGATTCCAGGATGAAGCGATTCTTTTTGTTTTACTGGCTTTTTGAAGTTTGAACGAGAATTCTTTCATAAAATTTTTTTTTTTCTCAAACCGTTCCTTGAAACATTTTACCGGATTGAAGGGATCCCAACAGGCATTGTACTCAAAGACGCACTCGACTTCGTTGATTCCAGCCGGTCCCACTTGTTCAGGAAACCCATTCGTCGAGGCTTTTGCATAAACGCAGTTTTCATAAGTAGCTATTTTTTGGCAAATGTAAGGATGCTGGTAATCGCAATTCTCATCGTTCCATGATCCTGTTTGGTACATTTGGCCACACGCTTCTCCCCCATTGATGTTATTTGGCTCTCCATATGCCCAGTTTACGTAAGACAGGCCGGTGTTGTCGACCCAGGTGTAGCTTGGGTAAGTGATAAGACCAATCCAGGGGCCAGACTCGTTTTCGTCAAGAATTGTCAAGTTTCTAAAATAAGAATCTCATACTCCATCAATGTGTTTTACCTGTAAATTTGCTGAATTCTGTTGTTAGAATATCTCGAATGAATAGAAGGCAAATCTGCACCTTGAGCAACGCATGATTTTCTAGCGTCTTGCCACGTCATCTGCTCCTATAAAATTTGTGAAATAGAAAACCTTCTCCGAGCTTACTGTAAATCCTTTGAAACAATGATCGCCAAAATTCGACCATCCATCATCACATCCTAGTTTTTCTCCAAGAGCCTCCGAAACGCCACCCCAGTGATATGAATTGTTGCCAAATGCGGCTTTGCAAATGAACGGCATCTTTTCATTACAATCTTCGTCGTAAACAGTGTTGTCTTTTGTCAAATACGCACATTCCTTTCTGCTCGTTGAATTGCCTTTTTCAGGTCTGCCGATGGCCCACTGAGTTCCCTCGATAGGCCAAAAATCCACCCAGCGCCAGTCGCGAAAGTAGCCCTGTCGTTGTTTCGTCATCCCAACCCAGATTCCTTTTGAGAAAGTAGTTTCTAATTTTATTTCATCTCGAGCGGGTACAGTATCGTCCCGAAAGAATGAGAAAGCGAGGTTCTGCTCGTAGTCATCCCAGAATGTAACGAGACTTCCGTTTGCATTTGGCATTCGCTGCTTCACCTCATCACTACAGTATTTATTCGCATCATTGAAGCTCTTCTCTTCCAAGAAGATTTTGTAGCAGCCATATTCTTTTGGCAACCAGCTCTCTGCACATTCCACTCCTGCTTCCGGGTATACATAATCATCAGGATACTCGTATGTTTGAAATTCTCCACTTTCTTCATGTGAGCAGACGTAAGGTTTTTCCTCTGTACAGGGGCGATTTTCCCATTGCCCGAGGCGAGAGACACCGAAATATGAAAATTCAGTCGACCATTTTAATTCGACACAGTCTTCGAGTCCATTTTGAAGGTGATTTGGGTGGTGAGGCATCCAATTGGAGTAGATCAACCTGTCTCCGTTGATTTGGGCGAAATTGTACTCTGCATAAGTAAAAGTAGAAATGCCGATCCATGGCGAATACCCACTTTTTAATGGACCAAGAAGGGAAGCCACGACCGAGTTGTGCTGACTTGTTGGAACTCGAGCCAAAGTTGCGCCTTCCCACTCCGCATTGCAGCTAGCATTTGCATCTGCGAAATTTTTGAAGCTACTTGGATCCCAAAAATTTGAAGAAATGCCGAACTCTTTGTAGCAAAAGCCACCGAATCGCCACCACCCAGGCTTGCACCCTCCGAATGGGATGGAATCGGGGAAATTTGGTACTTTCAGCGGCTCAGGGCGACCTTTTGGGAAATATTCGCAATAGCCAGGGTAATTTCCAGAACAAATAGTGTTTCGCCATCTTCCATTAAAATTACCACTCACTATCGAAGATTAAAAAATTATTGAAAATTGAAAATTTTTTTAACATTTCTCTTAAAAAAAATTTTCGGAAAATATTATTTTGAATCTCTGTCCTTGAATTTGCCCACAATTGTAGTACTCAACCATTCTGGGCTCATTGTCGTACCAGTTCGTAAAGCTGAAAACAGAGCCATCTTGCCAGAAATGAGGACAGTCCTCGCAGTTTTTTCTCAAGCCAATATACGGGTAGCCATATGGAAAGACGGTATAATCAGGGGCTATTCCAGTTACGTTTCGAACATGATAATACACTCGTTCGTTTTCTTGCAGGTTTTTGAAGGAGACGATGTTTCCAGTTCCAGCCCCAGGCGAATCATCCATCGGGTTGATTGTTTCTTCCGAAATCGTCTGGCAAAAATCGCGAATTTCATTGAAACGCGCTCTGAAGCCTGTCGTAAAATAGCCGCATTTCGGCTTTAGTTCTCCATCAACCTCGACCTCACTTAGAACCACGCCACAAGAAAGTAAAGAACCTAGATTGGGGCATTTCTCTGGATCGCAATAATCCGCGAAGGATAAAAGGAATAAATTAAAATGAAGTAGTAGCCATCTCATTTTAATTTTCACTTTGACATAGAAGGTGTAATTTTTGCAGTAAATTAAATGTGTGAAGTCAATATTTTTTTTCTCGGCAATAAAATGTTAGGTCAAGATTCGGCAAGAGATGAACTTTTAACGCTTTCAAGGCGAATAATTTAAACAGAAGTGTGATGCGTTTAAACTTTATCTGAAGACTTTTGTGTCTACACGGACCTAAAAATGCGTCAATTCAAACATAAAATTTTAAGTTAGCGTGATTTTTATTATGTCTGTGTAAATATTTCAGGTCAAACAAATTTAAACTGGTTAACATTCGGATTTCTCATTTAACTTTGAAGAATCGTAGAGAGCTCGTTTTGTGAACCAAATCATTAAAATGAAATCAACAAAGAAAAACGAGACCTTTACGCCTGAATTAGCGAAACATAAAATAGAACAATGGCTCGGTGGATTTTTGCCAAAACTCAAAAGAACAACAACGAGGACGCAGAAATGTAGGTTGATCTCAGCTATCGAACGAATGGATTTTGACGATGACGACAATGCTTTTCACTGGAATTATTTTTGCTTTGATGGTGATCGTGGATATATTCTTCATCTTGGGCGACAAGAGCTGGAAAATTTTCAAATAAACATTACTCAAAAGATGATATTGGAAGCTGATAAAACTTTGTTGGGCAAAGATATCAGTCGATGGGAAATACAAGAAGAAGGGGGCCAGTGGGAGCTATCGGAAGACTTTGAGATTTTATCTTCTGGAGGAGAAGCGATCATTTTTGGTGTCGATTTCGGCCATTTAAGAACAGCTGTGAGGGTTCAGCCTTTTGACCCTTTTCTTTTTACAGAGTTCTTTGATTCTAAAATGATTGCATACAATATTCATCTTTCGAAAGGTCTGAAATTCAAGGCTCATTAAATTTTTCAATATTCTAAGATTTTGCTCGCGCTGAAAAAGAAAAGAGAAAAGAAAATGTTATTTCGATTCCGATCCATAGAAACGTGATACATAACTATTCAAATATAGAACTCTACCACAAAAAGGATGAACAAAAATCGGACTGTCTCGGGTGGATCACAATTATGGAAAGAGCCGAAGTTGACTTGAGAGTCCTGTTGAGATACGAAACGATCACACTTGAGACGCGTAAAAATATTGGCTGGGGGATTTTAATGGGTCTTAATTATTTGCGCAGTATTGGAATGTATCATTTCGATTTAAAATTGGAAAATATTCTCATGCTTGATGAAACTCCAAAAATAATTGATTTCGGCCTCGTTAGCGAACAAACCGGTAACATTGGCTACAGAAAAATGGGCTACACGCGCAGTGGTTCAAAATATCGATGGAATAACTCACTATGTAAGTTAACCTTACGACGACAAGTGTGCCATATATGGCACAAAGGCTTTCAGATGCCCGTAACTCATATTTATCGTGGTGAAGGAATTTCACCGACCCCCCTTTAAGGCCCTACTTTTCGCTAAACTTTCACTTGGTAGACCTTTGGTTGGGTTAGGTTCGCTACAAATATGTCAAAAAGGCGAATTTAGCTTCGCTAGTCGTGTGCCATATATGGCACAAGAATGTATTGCGATGTGCCATATTTGGCATATTTGTCGTCGGTGGGACTTTTTCCTGCCGCAAAAGCATTGTGCGTAATTCTCTCTCACAAAAGGGCCATAATCATTGCTGACACCGACCACATGTTATTTGATGTCAAATGATGCCATAAAGCCTGAAATGTCTTAAATTCAGAAAGATAACATAAAATGTCAATTTTTGAACATCAAAACAGATTATTTCGCACATGTGCCATATATGGCACATTTGTCGTCGGCGGGTGAAATTTCATTTTGTCGTCGTAAGGTTAAGAAGTTATTATAAATTGTTTGACGTTCATAGCTGCTGGGTCGCCTGGGTTTTCTTATCAAGGTCAATTTACAACTGGAGCTGGGTACAATGTAGAAAATTTCTGGTATTTTCTTTTCTGTAGCTGGAGAACAACATGGACTCTGCTATATAAGCCAATAAGTGATGAAGAGAGAAGTCGAATTGACTTAATCGTGAAAGTAAGTTTAAAATACTTGTACTTAGAGCAGGTCTGTTTTTTGATTCAGATATCTTGAATTCAGGGCTGCAACGGTTTTTCAATAAATGAAATCAAGAATTGGCATTTCGACATTTTTGCCGAAATTAAAAAAATCATTTCACTTGAAGATGCCGATTCGTCATTCTGTCTTGACGATCCAAATTTGACAAAATCCTTACAAATGTCGAATTTGAAGCAAAACTTCACAAAACACATTCATGGAGATATGAAAAATCTAACCAAAAATATCATAGACCAGAAAAATAGTCAACTTTGTGTTCCGATTTCTGTTTGTTCGCTTCTTCGTCACGCGATGAAAAATGATCTTTGTTTTATTGATAAATATGAAACTCATTCGTTTGAAGATATTCTGTCAACTATTTTAATGGTTGTTTATCCTCGAAGTATGGTTGGGCTAAATTTAAACCCGAATGAAGAAGAACAGGATATTCAGTCCGTTGCTCTTTGTCAAATTGAAATTCTACTCCAGCGTCTTTGTCAAAAAACTTATCTGATGGAAAGTGGCTGGGATATAATAAGACTTCTTGGCGGCCCTGCAAATCCGAAACCGATTGAGTCAACATGCATTTATGAGAAAGGTAGCCTAAAAAATAAAAAGTGACTCAATAGAACTAAGTTATATTGAATAAAAACTTCACATTTGCTCGACCAGTAACTGCAACGGCTGCTTATGTATTCGACCCAGAAAAAGAATCTCCACATAGAAATGTTTTTTATCATCAGATGACAATGGATCGAGTCGAAAACAATGAATACGTTCTCCAAAACAATCAGTTTTTAATTGACTCTCCAGGTTATATCTTTTAATTCAGGTCACGTTAACGATAAATTAGTAATTCGGATCTCAAAATTCAAACCATTCTTTGATCCTTCTGACCTTGTATCGGGTGAAATTCAATATGAAGAATGGTATCTCTTGGAAGAAGCATACACCCTTACTCTTATTCCAAAAGTTACTTCCTCTGCAAATTAAATCAACAATGACTGAATAGTTTTCCAAGCTGATCTTTATTTCTGTGATTCTAAAGTCTGAGTTCACTGACCTCGACCATTCATTTTCCCATTACTATCCTTCCATCCATTACTACGTTTGATCTTTCCTATTCATCGTTTGTAAGACAAATAGAAAAAATTTGGAATTTCGTGGCATTTGCAATGATCACCATATTTGCATTACTATATTTGGTCGATAATTTACGCGCCGAGTCACCAACTGCATTGTATAAAATCTTGACCTCAAGCAGCTTTAAATTAAATTTTTCAATTTCGCCTTTGTTCGCACAACTCGAATTTTTCCAAAAAGAAAGAGATCTTCATTTGCTAGTTTTGAGAGATGGGAGCCATACGAACGATTGGAATTGCTTTGAGTTTCGTTGCTCTTTGCATGACAGTCTATTGCCTTGCGACTCCGCACTGGGCGATAAGTGTCCAGAATAATAACGGAATACAGACAGGCGTGCAGAAATCGCTTGGGCTCTGGAAATATTGCGAGAAAGCTGTTAACGCTGATAATGTAAGTTTGCTCAGCAGAACTGGGTTCTCAAACAAATATCTTTAGGGCCATTGCCAAAAGCTGTCACAATTTGGAATCGCTGCGTTGGCCCAGTATGGAATCATTGGTTTCAGAGTTCTTGTCATCATTGGTCTTATTTGCGCTATTATCGGTTTTGTCGCTGGCACTGCCTCTTCCGATGCTATCAATATTGCACCAACAAAGGTTTTCCACGTCTATTTCGCTGAAATTCATCTTTTCTAGATAGCAAAGGTTCAAGCCGCCGGGGGCGCTGCTGGCCTTTTATCAATCGCCGGAATCATGATTCTCGCTGCAACTTCTTGGGCCGCTCACATGATCATTAAAAGATGGAAGGACTTCCAAATGCACCAGGGATCCATCTCCATCAACGCGGTAAGATACTGGCAATTTTAAAAATACTGATGAGTTGGCTAGGGAACTCAGTGGACCCTTGGAGCAGCAATTTACGTCGGCTGGTGCGCGAGTGCCATTTTTATTGGAGTAGCGATCATTATGTTCATGGGATGCTGCTCAGGCTCTGGCGATGAAGAGGACGAAGAACGAGAACAATTCCGTAAGAGAAAGATCAAAAATAAACCCTCATTTATAAATAAAATCTAGATCCTGGCTATGCGACCTCAAATTACTCCGCTCCATCTCAGAAAAGTCCCGATTATGTTTAATTTTTTTCGCCTGACCTTTCAATTTTTTGTTGTAATAAAAGAAGTAAATATTCAAATATTTTGTAGATTGTATTTTTTATTTTGAACGGTTGGAATAAAATTGAACGTTGAAGAATCACGATTTTGTTTACAGAATGATTTTCAGAATGATTTTTACCGGTGTAAACTTTACAGTGTTGAAAATCGAGTTTAAACGAGTCCTGGTAGTTCCTTCGGCTTTTCTTGAAACAAATCGTAGTGTCGCAAAACGTCTCCTTCGAAAAGTGGGCTACTAAAAGACAGTTGTTATTCGCAGCTTTTGAGAAGTATTCATTTGTCTTGACTTTCAATGGTGGCTTTTCTGAGTCTTTTACGGGCGATCGAAATGTAGGTCGAAAAAGAGACCATGTAAGCATTTATTTGCGGATGAAAAATCGTAAAAAGAAAAGTCATTGGGAGATAAATTGGTCAAGACGATAAAAATGCTCGCTTGGCAGCTTTATATCTCCGTGCGGAGTCAATGAGGTCCTTTGGTTCTAACCTGCAGACTGGACATCGGGCATAGTCTCGCAGACATCTGTCAACGCATGGGTCGCAAATTTGATGGCCACATACAGTGAGAATTGAAGGCAGATGATCCGTCATGTTGAACTGAAAATTTGATTAAGGCAACCCCCGTTGATTCTTCTTTACCTCATATGTACAGACGGCGCATTCTTTTATGCTTTCATCGAAAACAAAAAAAGACTGGCTCGAGTCGCTCGGAAACCTCTGGCCTCGTCTCCATCAGCTCGGCTACCATCGAGCTTCTGTGCGATATATTGAACTCCATCCTAGCTCTTGCTCTTGCGAGCTCTAGAAGCTGGTTTCTGCTCATATTTTCAGGCCTGTTTCCTAAAATGCTGAGTTAGAGAAAAGTTCACCGCTAATTTTGACGGGTTCAAATGCTGGTTCGTCAACAAACTGGACAACAATGATAAGTTATTTCATTTTTTGTGGTTTTCTCAGGCCATAACTCTATCAGAGTCGTTTGATCCGCCCGTCGTCAGTTGATTTTAATTTGCGAGTTTAGCTGTTGGTCGTTATTTTTATTTCGATTTTCTTCTCTGTGGATATATAAAAAAGGTGGTTTGCGGTGGTTTTATTGGGAAAATCTGATGATTTTATCGTTTTTAAAGTATCTTTTTGGAATATTTGTCGAGCGGACTCTTCAAAAATTTGCGAAAAATATTAATCAAGAATTTTACATTATCGTTTTTACCAAACAGATTTTGGAAAAAGGATTCATTATCAATATGATTTTATTTTTAATTTATCATTCAAGATGCCTTCTACTTACTGTTGACCATGAATGTTTTCTGCCTCGGATTTGTATTTTGATAACTCATTTTTCTGTTCGTTGTTAGCGAAAATTTCTCCGGAAACTTGTATCTTACAAAAACGATCAAAAGCACAAGAACTGCAAGTGCTCCAGCTGAAATCAATCCGATAACTGTTGGCTCCATCCTTCCATAAAGTCAAATCTCTTTTGCGTTCAGAAAATAGCTGTGCTCTGATTTGGTTCGATGAAGTCTGAGTTAATGGAGCACGTCATAAAAAAGCAAGGTACTTGTGACCCCGTTATTTTTTTTTATTTCCTTACCTTTCGTTAATTTATTCTGAGAGGATGCTTTGTCACTTTAAAAATCCCTTATTTTGCTACTAGAAATAATATTTCGCTAAGAATTCATATCATTTTATGATAATGATAACGCTATTTATTTTCATCAAGCAAATAACTATATTTAGAAAACCCATTTTCATAGAAATTAATAAAAAAATGATCGATCTGTTGACTCCGGCCCCGCCTAAATGAGTATTATTTCCGAGCAATTTCCGTCTGCCACAATTCTTCATCAAATAGTCATCAGTACGCAAACATCTAATCAAAGGTAACTTCAATTAAGAGCTTTCTGTTTGAATACAATCATATTTTTCTCTTAGATAATTTATTTTAAACTAATGCAGGAAAGATAATATTTGAAACTGAATCTCATTCCATCAAACGAAAAAAATCATAAAAGACGTCCTTCTGAGCATTTCTTTGAAGAAGATGACCTGTAAAACTCCTCAGCTTCTTCGAGTGTCTCAGTTAGATTCACATTGTTGGTTTCTGGCAGTTTTAAAAGAAGAGTCGCTGAAGAAAAGCCGGAAACAGCAAAAAGCGTGTAAGGGAACCAGCCGAATCCGGGCTTATTTTGAAGAGCTTTGTCAAGGTTTTATAATGCTTTGAGTGCTTATTTGACCCCGAAGCATAAAACCGATTCCTAGTAAGAACGGACTCAGCGCCCCGGAAACGCGACCAACCATCGAGCAAAATCCAACGCCGACGGTTCTGATTTCAGTCGGATAAAGCTCAGACGCGAAGATGAAGATATTGTTAAAAGCACCGGAGACGCAGAATTTTCCAATAAACGCTAGCCATTTTCCGCATTCTTGAATTGTTACAGAGTCAAATCCGAGTTGATCTGTAAGCATGAATAGAAACAAAGAGGTGGAACCAATGTACATCATTGTTGCTTTTTATGGTCAAATAAAATCAAAGAAAATAGAGTAAAGACTGTTTAACATGACCATTCCTGTTGTAGATCTTCGGCCAAATCGGTCGATAAGAGGGATGCTTACAAAATAGCCGAAACACTCGACAAGTCCATTAATAACATTATTCACATAAATATCGCCTCTGAAATCAAGTCAAAAATGATAAAAAGAGTCCGTCTTACGAAAGGGATGAAACATTGTAAGCGAGCCCGTAGTAAACAATTGTGACGACAATAAATGAAAAACCAATATTCAGCGTCACTGAAAAATAATTAAAAAATTGTATTTTCAAAAAGTTAAACCAAGTCTGATGGGAGTTGTCTTGAAGAGATCCGACGTCGTTTTTTCAGATTTTTCTTTCTCTTTTTCAAATTTTGTTAATCCACTTAGTTCATCAACGATGTTCTCATCAAGTTTTGTGTTCGTCTTAGAAGCGATGGTTTTGAGAACATCTCCGGCTTTTTCAATTTCATTTTTGATTGCGAGAAATCGAGGCGACTCGGGAATGAAAAAACCTAAAATAATTAAATAGTGTGCAGAGGTGGAAAAATTACATAAGAAAACTTGGATTGCAGCAAAAATGCCGATTGCGACTGACAATCCTTGCCAGTCGGGAATGAACCAAGCGATCAGAGAAATTCCAGAGTAGCCGACGGAGAAATAGACATTGATCAGGCTTCCGGGAATCGACCTCTTTGACGGTCCTGTCAGCTCGACCCCGTATGTCAAGGCTGCGATGTAAGCTATTTGCTGAATTGAGATGTTTACAAGTGTGATTACTGTATTGACTTACGCTGCAGGCCATCACTAAGACTCGACAAATAATGAAACCGTATTCGTTGTTGAGAACTCCTTGAAAAATGGACAGCGCGGCCATCAAGGAAGAAAAGACAAAAACGGCATTTCTTCGCCCAAATCTGTCAGCATAAATTCCTGCGAAAATCGCTCCGAGCCATTGGCCAATTATTCCGGCAGAAGTCATCAGAGAGCCCAGCCACTGTCGCGAACAGACGGTGTTGAATTCTGAGACAGTCGTTTGCCACGATTCCCCTATCAAAATTGTTCGTCCTTATTAAATAGAAAGAACTTACAGATCTAAATAGCATGTTATCTTTATCAATTGGTTGACCGATCGCTTCCATGTTGTAAAGAAAATCGTCTGGCTGACAATCATATGATTCGATCGTCGAGTTACTGATCTCCTTTTTCAAGCAGCCCTCAATATCGGAAAAATTGGTCGAATGTGTGCAATTCTGTGTGACTGAAAATTTTGCGGTTTCGCATGAATCCAGTCCAAGAACATCTAATGAAATGATGGGAGAATGGATTGAGACTATAATTACTTTGATGGAGAGTTGAAATTTCGGCGAAAGTCAAGGAAGAGAACTGATCGTCAAGAGGACTTTTGCAATGATATGGTGGAGTCCATTGTCCGAATACGGGAAACAGAGCGCATAGGCCTCCAACCATGCTGATATATCCGGCAACAGCAGTGATCCACAGCTGATATCCGCTTTTAAAGAGGTTGAAAAGATTGTAAGTCTTCACGAGAATATTTTTTTGTAACCACTTTCCTGAAATGAGGCAGAACATTCCAAATATCATCGAACTCTGAAATTTTCATTTTATCTTTCAATCTATTTTCCTCTTCCATAATCGTTTATAAGCAAATTTCGAATTGAATAAAATTGAAAGCTGAAAATTCTACTATGTGTTGAATGGCGTGTTATTTAGCACTGTCTTGAATTTGTTTCTGAAATGACAAACTTTGTTTTGACCAATTCAAAGAAATCTCGATCAACTGAGACAATATTTGAGCCAGAAGGCGTGATAAGTGAATTTGAATTTGACCTACATTTTTACACAAATGAAACCCAAAAAATATATAACCTGGATCAGAAGACAGCTTTTTTGATTTTTTATCTTTGAAGAATAATTTCAGTATAAAGCGCATTTCCTCTTGTTTTATGATGCATCAATTCATTAATTTTTCTGATAAAACTCAGAAATATTCGTCTATTTATTTTACCCTTTCTTCAGTTCTTTCATTGTCTTAACTATTGACCCTAAAGGTCAAGTCGAATTCGGCATTAAAACAAAAGAGCGACACTTTTATTTCTTACCTTCTATCAAGCGAAATTTCATTGTCTCAGAACTTCTCTTAAAACTGATATTCTACCGCGCCGCAGACTCTTTTTTATGCTGAGCGGTTGAGCTTGAACCGGTTGAACCCTTGAGAAAAATGAGAAGCGAGAGATCGAAAGTGGAAAATCCCCGCGAAGTTGCTCGAAGCAAGTCCGGTTTTTGAAAGATAATTTTTGATTTTTGTTTATTTTTTCGTGGTCTTTATATTTCAAGCAATAGTTTAATAATAGGTCTTATACAGGAGGAAAAAGGCATTTGAAACGATGAGGTAAAGTCGATTTTTCAATTTTTTTGATTGTTTTTCCTAAAAACTTTTTCATGGAAAATTTAATAAAGAATAATTTACCATTTGAGATGTTCTTCGCAATTTCACGAACACACTCGACTCGCTTTTGAAAGTCCTGTGCATGGGAGCCCTCTGTTTTTGGCGTGTCGGAGATGATGTAGATTCTGATATTGGTCATTAAGAGGCTGAGGGATGTAAGTTGAGAAAGCTCGTATGGGTAGTTCTTCCAGATTTTTCTTGAGGGCAGCTCAATCGCAACTTAAAAAAATTATAAGGAGGAGGTAAATCAGGACTCATTTCTTACCAATTCGATCTTTGAAATTCTCCGCTGACCATAATTTTTCAACTTTTTCAACAGGCTCTTTCGGCGTTTCCGAGAACCAGCTTGGCCCACCACTTCCCATTTGAACTCTTCTCCCTCCTTCTTTTCGGTAGAAGAAGTTCATTCCGTGTCTCACTGATTCCTTGTCGCAAGTGACCTCCATAGTCAAGGAATCACAGTTCGTGTATAATTTGTCGCCAGAGTTTGCTGATTTCTCAATCGTTAGTCTTCCACTCCAAGCTTTCAAAAACGCCTTCGGTTCCATCCCCGGCTTGAGATTGTGAGTCACTCCGAGTCCCAAATCCTGCGCAAGAAGAGCAGCTTCTCCAAGCAGGAGTTCCGATGCTTCAGTTCCGCCCCAGAGGAACAGTACTTCCTTTTGGCTTCCCTTTGGCAGATCTTGCTGATTTCTCACGCTCTTCATTTGTTTTCCAAACCATTTGCCCGTCCCAGCGATTGAAAACTTCCATATTACGAGAACAACATCTTCAGAAGTCAAAGTACTCTTGCTGATCGTCTTTAATTTTCCATTCATCGGGGTGAGTTTTTCATAACTGATCGTTGAAATTTTCATGATTCGTCCATCATCGCCGACGATTTCGCCATCTCCGCCGGAGACGTTGAATTTCCCTTCGGTCAGGGGATAGTCGGGAGTTTCTGTGTCGAGATCTGGGGTCACGGGTTTGTAGTCGATGATTTGAATGTTGAGTTTGTTTCGTTCTGCGATAGGTAAAAGGACATTTTCTTGGTTCGGTCGAATCCAGTCGACGAATTTTTCGGAGAACAACGAGGTCTCCCTATGTTCGGTAACTCGGCCAATGATCATCGATTCTAGATCAGATTCACCGTAATAATTAGCGATCAGATAATTGACAAGCTCTTTCGCCTTTGTTCTAAGTCGATACTGAGCTTTTGCCCCGATCCAGGTGTAAATTTCGGCACCAAATTCGAAGACGAAGATCTTTTCGCTCTCCAGGTCCTTTTGGCTCGGACTTCTTCCCCATTGGTTTTCAACCGGTTTAAGCATCGCTGAATCTTCATTTTCAGCTTTTATCACTTCCCAAACTCTTGAATTCGAAAAGCACTCTGCCTCAAAATCATCATCTGCCATATCTGGGTCGTATTTGACCTCTTCTATGTCTTCCATTTTTCCACCGAGGATTTTCCAGAACTCGTTGGTTTTTGCACTGACAAGCTTGTAAACTGGATTTTTCGTGCCCAAATCTGATGTCTGGCAAACAAACCGGGCAAAATCTTTCGCTTTTGCTTTTTCTACGATGTTGGAGAACTCGGAAAGGAAAACGAAGACGGTACTTTGAGTGATGAGGATGAATGAGTCATCATTGGTGAGGGATGAGATCGAGCAAGGAACGACAAACGGAAAAGCTCGCTTTCTCCCCTTGAGTTTTATCAGCATCGGGTGTTTGTATGGCGAATCATCAGCGAGTAACCGATCATTTTTGGATTTCAATTTGACGGCGTTGATGTCTTCTTTCGCCGCTAAACCAGCAAGGGCGGAATTCGTAAAGACCTTCCCGGACATTTTCTCCGACAAATTAGTCTTTTCTTCCGTGTAGTTATCCTCTCCAATCGGCGCGGATCTCAGAGGATTGCGGTTTTGCTCCCGAGCGGGGCGCTTTCTTCTTGGCTTTGAAAGCCGGGTGATTTTCGGAGGAGGTGATTGAGGAATGAAAGAAAAGTCCTCCGCATCCTTCGCCGGTTGAACATTTTCTTTGAACGAAGGCGAGAGAATTTCATCAAGAATGCTTTCGTCGAACTTCGGAATTTTCTGATTTCTTGTTACTTTCAGCGAGACGGAATCTTCTCCCTTTCGTGTTGCCAGCTTTTCAAGGTCGGAAATGTCCTCTGACAATGATTTTGAACGCGCCTCGGAGTTTTTGGATAACTTGATGGTTTGCGGCTTGATGACGGATTTGACTGGTAGAGAGGTTGTTCGAGACGGGGTTTTGGAGAATTTGTTTCCGGATTTTTGTGCCTGAATAATGAATTTTATAAATTGAGGATGTAGCCGACTAATTTCTTTCACTTAAAAATTTGAATTCACTCTTGTTACTGATGAAATTTTCGACCAATTTATAATTTATACGAAAGAGTTATTGTTTTTATTTTTTGATTGTCAAATCAAAGATCTCACCTTTGCGGAAGTCGACAAGCTTTGATGATCTTTATGTTCGACCTTTTTCTTCCAATTGCTTTCCGCCGCATTTAGCAAGTCAAGCTTTTTATTCAAATTGCCCGCACTCTGTACCTCCATCTTCTTTTCTTTGTATTTCGCATTCTCCTGGCATTGGGCGAGTCGATCTGAGAGTTTTCCAGATGACACGGGAAGGGGATCAGATGAAGATTTTTTCTGCCAAGTTGCATTTTTCTGAAGACCAGCGAGTCTGTCAGACAATTTGTTTTGTGGAACGATATTTGCCTTAAAATTCTAGTGAATTTTTCGATAATTTTGTCTTTTGATAAATTTGCCGGCATTTTCGATATTTGCAAAGCTGAACTTTTCCCAGAAGTTTAATATTCCCCATGTTCCGAATAACAGTGGAGTATTACTGTCTTCTGAACATGTCATTTTGATTGTGCGATTTCCGGCGCTCGTCAAATCTGAGCAAATGTTGACCCAGCTCATAATCTCTAACGCGGGGCAAAAAAGTTTTGAAGTGCTTTGCGGAAATCTTTTGAATAATGCATCGAATGTTCTTTTTCTCAGATCATTCTATTAAATGGACAGCTGAAGGGCGTTTCTAAGAAGGGCCTTTACCTTTTGTTGGCTGTTTTTCCAGCTTTGTTGCGATTTTTCAAGCGCTTTTTGTCGTTCCATCAGTGTTCCTAGAAGATTTTTTAGGGTTTTGCTTAGAGTCATGGTCAGGGTTAGGGTTAGGGTTAGGGTTAGGGTTTGATTTCTAAACAAACAAATAACTCATTAGTTGACCAGATTTTAAATGATGATTGCTATTTTTTTCATCCTCTTTCTGCAAAAAATATCGAAAATTGTCCTTTTTCCGAATAAGTTTTGTACCTGATATTTTAACTTGATCGCTCATCTTAAGCTGTTTCCCTTCTCTTCGTTTTTTTCTTCCAAAAAATGTATTCAACGCTGTTTCGATAATAATGACTTCTTTTCTTAGGGCACGCGCGCCGGGGCGATTCTCCTCGGCTCCCTCTGGTTCAAGTTAATCTTCCTGTCGAAATCTACAAAGAAGTTTGTCAATTGGAAAAATATTAGCCAGTTGTGGCCTCGTTTGATCTCTGCAAACATTCATTACGACTTGTCAAAATCAAACAACTGATTTTTGATTTACGCGTATTTACGGCTTACTTTTTCGGGAAAATATGACACAAAATCAGCAGTTTTAAGGGCATCAACAGCGATTTTTACCGTTTTCTTTGAGTTCTCTCCGGTCTTTTTTGGGAAAAAAGGATGGAAAAGCCCGTGAGGATCCCCTTGATTCAAGGTCAATTATGTACTGGGCCCTTAACCTGGGCAAACGCGCAAAGTTCCCCTAGGCGAAAACAAATATCATTTGGAAAATTTTCAAATTCATCGTCGCCGTTCTCTCTCTTTTACAAGGGTTATGACAATCGCGGTAATGGCAACATTACAACCGCTTCCTGCTTATTTACAATTAGTTTTACACCCTTGTGCCTTGGCTTTTATCCAACTTTATATTTTTATTTGAAAAATTTTTGACCTCATCAATCTTTACAAAAAATTCTCGACCGCCACCTCAATTTGTTATTTTCTCGTCTTGAGTCAAGACTCTTGACACGCGCAAAACAAAAGAAACTGGATTAAAAAGATTGAGAGAAAATGCTCTAAAGACGGACCTTGTGAATTATTGAGGGTGAAAATGAGACGGCTAAAATGAAGAAAGCTGCTTTTAATATATTCATAAGTTCATCACTGAATGCGGTGACTCTTGTTTTTGTGACGGGGAGGAAGCAGTCAGACTAGTAAAACACGTTGGTAGTGATTAGGAGATGATTGACAATGCTAATGCAATTAAAATAAGCTGATTGCATGACAGCGATTCTTGTTTTTTCCTTCTCTAAGAGACTTTTTATGTCAATTTTTTTTTTTATTTCGAATCTATTTTTTTTTAAGAAATGCCTGGAAACCGACATACTTTATTGGATACAATTTCTTTATAAAAACCATAAGATGCATTTTTGAAGGAAAGCTTGAATACTTTTTACTATTTTTCTTCAATGAGTTTGTTATTATATATTTACTTACATGAGTATCTGGACTACTACGATTGAAATTCACTTTTTCTCTCCGGTAAAATGATTTGTTTTTTACAACTTTGGTTGTTTTTCCTTCTCTGGCGGCGGGCAAGGTCTGAGACTCTCTCGTAAATCAGCGTTCGGAGCTGCTCAGAGAGCCAGCAACAGATTCATCAGCTCATGAATCACGAGGTTCTTTCATTCCTTAGCCTGAAGCGCTCTTGAATGAAAAAAAATGCTCAATAAGAGCGTTGAAGATTGAATGCACTGAAATTAACCAAGCAAATCGAAACACCTCTGCAAGAATTTGAATCAATTAATTCAAACGATCAAATTGTTTTTGACTCAAAATTTTTAGTAAGCGAAAAGACAGATTTACTGCAGTATTGTTTATTATATAATCGGGCACAAAAAATGGCGAAGGAAAAAGTATCGTATAAAAATTTACAGGTCGTTATTATTTAACTTGAAGAAGCTTCAAAAGGTTCCGTGGGGGCAAGAGAAGCCAGATGGTTTGACGTTTCCGGAATTGCCATCTCGAGTAGCGCAGCAAGTGTTTTTGTTCTTGTTCATCCAGAAGAAGGGCTGGTCGTGGCCTCCGCAGCATTGGTGCTCGACTAAACGATGTAAGAGATGGTAGAAGCGGGGATTCTTTACCTGGAACTCCTCCAGCGGAATAGCAGTTGGCTGGGTCTCGATTATCGAAGAAGCTCTCGCCATCTCCGCCGGACCAGAAAGCGTGGTATTGGTTGTCGAAGACGTCCTTTTCCGCAAGAATATCTTCGACGAATTTCTTGTCGCACTCAAAGAGCTCTCGAGGGCAAGATCCAGCGTCATCTCGTCCAACCAACTCGTTCTAAAATGAGTATTGAAAATCTACGATCAATTTGTCGAGTAGCTCACCTGTCTTCCGGACCATTTCCAGGTGTACTGGACAAACTCGCCGATGCACTCGTCTCCGTGGTTCTTTCGGACGCATCGCTGGCACTCCTTGTACGCCTTGCACTTGGCGTCAAGGGCGTCCTTAGGTCGGCCCATACCCATCTCGGTCATTGGTCTGTCTCCTAGGAAGTAAAATTGAAGAAAAATAACGAGGAAGTTCTTTCTTACCGAGGAGATAGCAGTGGCAGCCGTAAGCCCAGTATTTTCGCTCGTCAAAAGCATCGTCTCCCTTGAGCCCGTTCTTAGCCCAGAGCTTTTCAGCCATGGCTTTGAGGTCGGAGTAGCGACGCTCTTGGTCAATACTTCGATCGACTTCTTGTCGGCCGGATCGGACCTAGAGAATTTTGAGTGAATGAGACCTTTTGTTTTTACTTCAAAATTTATATTCCAATTTTATTTCATATAATTAACTAGTATTAGTTCTTCTATTGACCATGTTTTTGTCAGTGTCAGTTGAGTGTCAATTTGTTAGTCATACGAAAAATCCGGAAAAACTATTTCTGCACTAAATTATGGTCTCTGAAACTTACAATAGGAGCAACTTGGGGAGCATCACAGGGAACTTCCTGTCCATTCGAGATGCAAACGTCATCGTCGACAACATCAGCAAAAGCGACGGCGACGGTAGCGAAGAAAGTCGAAAGTTTCATTTTTGAAATAAAAGAGGACAAAGAGGTTTTTTCACTTGGAAGTTCCTTGAGGAGCTTGTTTGAGTGTTTCTATCTTATCGATAGTTTGATGATTGAGGAGAGCATTGAATACGTTTTTATACGCGCGCGGGGCTCGATGATGGAGCGCGCGGCGGGAGGGCGCTAGAACTCTGAGCGCGCGAGTTTTCATGAAAATTTGATAAGCGCTACTCAAGCGAATTTCTGTCTTCTGATAAGAAATTTCGGTGTTTATAAGGGACTAATCAGTGATGCCAATGATAGTATCAGATTCAATCTTGCATCAAAAAAGGCTTTTTGCAATCTTTCTTTTCAGTTTAAATTGTCTCATATCTTTGTCAGAAGTCACCTCTACTGATTGCGGAAAGCTGTGAGCAATTCAACAATATTAATAAAATGTTTAAATTTTATATTAAAAATTTATATATTTTTCTATTTGATCAATTCCATTTTAATAGAAAACCACAGAACCAGCAGTTCAATCCCAAAACAAGATGATATCAATTTGGAGAAGGAAGCATCAATATCTAAGCCCTTAACCCTTTCCAACATGCAATACCAGATCCCGAATTCGGAGATTCGACTCGCAAAGATTCTCAAAAATGGCGTCAGAGTTGAACTTCTGGATTTCCCAGTAGTAAGTAAAACACGAATAAAATTAAGATAAGTAGACATCAGTAAGTCCGCGTTTTAGGTCGCCGTCAGTCTGCTCGGCAACCTGTCTAGAAAACCTGAGTCAGGGTCACCAAAGAACAAATTTGAAAAAGTGATTTTTGCAAAGCCGCCCTGCGGCTTTGATTGTAAAAAAGCCGCGACTCGGCTTTCTAGTCAGTTTTCAGCAACTAATGAATAAAAAATCTTTACGCAGGTTTTCTACACAGGTTGCTAAATGCAGGCGTCATTAAATTTTTTGAAGTAAAAAACACAACATATTTTCTCAACGCAAGAAATCTCCCCACAAGAGCATTAAATTCTAAAAATATTGTTTCGGAAATGAAACTCGGCTTCATTTAACTGACCATTGCAAAATTTTTACAAGTACGAGTACTGTGTTTTCTCAATGACTTGTACGTATCCTGATTTGAAGCAACCGTTCGGTAATTCGCGCAATTAATCAAAATTCAAGATTTCAAGATTTTTTCTGTCGATTACGAACATCATTTTTTTAAAACTTCTAAACGCATGTTTCGAAATTTTGATCAAAGTAACTTCGCGCTTAGAAAAAATGTTTCACGAAAAAATGAAACAAGTTTTGAAATGAACTTTTAAAAAGTTTTAAGCCTTCAAAAATTGCGTCACGCTCTTGAAAATGTTTAAAAATAGCAAAAAAAACTAGAAATAGCATTTTTGGAAAATTTCTTTGGTCAAACTAAAATTTGTGAGAATTGGCGCCAGGGCACTTTGAAAAATGACGACAAATGTGATGTTATGTAGACAAAAATTAAGCTGTATTTTTAGCTACAATTTTAAGGTCGTAAAAATTATTCCTGAAATTATGAAAAATGCTGTCATCAATATCTAGTGTTCAAAAAACTCTACGTCGGATAAAAATAAATTGCTACGTTCTTTTCAAAAAAAAGTTGCGCGTTTAAGTGCAGCTTTGCGCATCTTTATTCCTCTTGCCAACCACAGGGTGTGCGCCCATAATTCCATTTTTATCGAAAATACGATTTCCGAATTTGGCTGAATTGACTGATCCCGCCGCCCGGCACTACCTAAAGTTATCTAAGGCATCTCTGTTTCTTTATATTATCGTGAATATCAAAAAGAGTTTTCTGACTATTTTATTTGAGAACACAACATTAAAAGAGTTTGATAATGTGCTTTTCAGAGAAATCTGAGCGACAAGTTGGACAGTCTGCATTATTTTTTCCGAGAACATCTTTCAAACATTTGATGCAAAACTGATGACCACATTTTGCCAGACAGCATTTGCGATGATCCTTTGTATCATAATTTGAGCAACAAATTGAGCATTCATCAGGTTTCTCGCGTCTTAGATATTCAACTTCCCCTTCAAGAGATTTAATTCGCTCATTCTGTTCTTTTTCGAGGTAATCAGTTTTCTTCTGTACTGTTTTTGATTTCAATCTTTCTTCATCCAAACTTTTACGTGTCCGTTTGAGTTCATTTTTGTCGGATTGATACTTTTCTGCAGCCCTCCTAAAATTTTCAATTTCCGCTTTTTGTACTTTTATAGTATTGTTTCTTTTTTCAACCGCAATATTGAGAAAGTTGATTTCATTTTTGAGATTTATCAATTTCTTTTTGTTTTCCTCAACTGTTGCTTGAAATTTTTCTTGATTTTTTTGCTGAAATTCTTGCCATTTTTCTTCATTTTCTTGCTGAAGTTCTCGCAATTTTTCTTGATTTTTTTGCTGAAGTTCTTTCTCTTTCGTTAGTTTTTGAAGTTGCTGTTGATAATAGTTCTCATTTTTTCTTGAAGAGATAAGAGAATTTTTAAATTCAAGCCAAAGTCGGACGTATCGGTATCTAAGAAGATTAAGCATCTCAGTCGGATGGTTTTTTTCAAGGAAGGCGATATTGGTGACGTATTTATCGAAGTCATCTCTTTGATCTTTAGACTCAGCAAATTCTTGTGCAGAATTAATCATTGAATTAGAAATATAAGGATGATTGCCATTGATGTTTTTAGCTGCATTGACTTGTTCCGAAATAACTCGCTCGATTGATGACCTCTTCAACTGGAACTCTTCCTGATTACAGTAGACAAAATGAAAATCCTCGTATTTTTCAAGTTGTAGAGCGAGATTTTTATCGATCCTCGGAGATTTGCTAGGGAAATCTTTGCACTTTTCCTTCAGAACTAAAATATATTGAGATCAAGAGACGAATTCGCCGAAAATTGATTTTTCAATGTTTAACGGTTAAACTTTTACCTCTATCTGATTGGAAACACAGCCAAGAAATTTGATATTCAGTCATTTTACAGTCAATTTCTTCTGACCGATCTTCAATTAAAGCCAAATTTGAATTGACCATCTCAAGAAGCGCCATTGGATCAGTATTAGTACCGAGTTCGTCTATTTTCTCTTGCCAAAAACTCATTTAGAGGGTCTCGTTCGCAAATTTAGAGTAGCGTGTTATGTTAGTCTTTGAATAAAATTTGTAGACCTGTAAATTTAAAGAGATGTGACTCATGAATAATGTGCAAAATAAAATTCAAAAAGATTGTTTGAATGATCTTATCGAAAATGAAGATTTTTCTAAATATACTATTTATTTTTTTCGAAAAGTTCAATTCATCAATTCCGTGAAAACGATGCTGGTTATTCTGTTTCCAGTTCAGCTTTCGCGAAAAAATTCTGGGCAGCATCATAATCGCTCATAATCATGAACTCAGGTGCTAGTACGGCATTCAAGAAGATCAGACCGAGGCACCATTTCAAACAGCTAAATTCGTCGAAAGAAAAACATCGCTCTTTTTCAAATGAATAGCCGCGGAAGTGAAGAAAACAACAGCTTTCGAGGAAAAAGTTGCTATTAAACTCGTAGACTGGGGAATCGTTGACGATTAAACCCGTTATTTGGTCATGTAAAAATTCCTTGCTCAGAGAAATTGACCTTAAACGTGAGCGGTCAAAGAAAAACATGACAAAAACATGACCCTGCAGTTCAAAGGCAAGCAAATAAAAACAGACCTGAAGCGAAAAGAGTTAAGGGTAGAGTACGTGTTCAAATCCATCTTTATCAAATCAATAGAACTCAAGTCTGGGAAGAATAATCCACCCAGCGGCGCTTGATATTGAAATATTTGAAGCTTTGGCAGATTTATTTGGCATAAATCCGCCGACAAATGGATTTCTAAACGCTTGATGATTCCGATTTTTATAAAGTCAGGAATAATTTAAAGCACTCAGGTAATCTTTACAAATTGTATCAATCAAAAATTTTTGTTCTTTTCCAATTTCGCTTTTCCATTTGAACACAACATCTGCCGAGTTTCTCGAAGTTCCAAAGGTTCCAGAATGCTCTAGAAAAAAGCGCTAGAATTGTTTTCAGACAATCATAAAATCTGATTTTGTCGACGTGTTCTTTTTGATCCACTTATGCAAGTTCTCAGGAAATCGCCATTTTAAGAACTTATAAATATTTCTCGCGTTTTTTTCTGGTTCTATTGCCAGATCTTCGAATTTCAGAGACATCAATTTTGGAGAATGAAGACGAAAATTTTCTTCGTAGAATTTCTGCTGCTTCAGTTTTTCGGTGCAATATTGATTGATGTTCAAAAAGTAGTCTGAAACCTTGCCAACTTTTTCACGGCTAAGGAACACTGATCGAGGGTCTCTAAAAGAAAATTCTAGAGGTTGAATGCTGAAAGACTTGCCGAAAATAGAGGAGGACCCTTAAATCAACATTTCTCCGTTCTGCTTCTTTCAATAAAATTTCTATATTTGCTGGCTTAATTGTTTTGATTACCCTCTTCTTTTTCTTGCAAAGATATTCGGCTTCATTTATTTCAATATGCCGACAGTTTTTGTTCGAGTCGCAGATTGGTCGTTTGAGAACTCGGTCCTTCTTCTCAAAGACGATATTGGTCCTGTTTGGATTGATATTCAACAAGTCAGGATTTGAAAAATTGCACTGGAAAAGATCGAGAATAAAAGAAGCCCAGTCTTCTTGAACATCAGGACTCATCCTAGGGTCCGGCATGATTAGGACCAAAAATTTAATTTCAATGAAACTTCACGATTCCACTAATTCGACCCTAAGGAATTCAATTCCGTTCACTGATTCTCCCAAAAGCCCCCCATTCAGCCCTTTTCAGGGCTTTAATGAAAATTTAAACGGAGAGCCAAGTGCGCTCTGATTGGTCAGCTCCGCCGAGCGATTTTAAATACTGCCCGAATGATTCCCTTGGTGGCTCAAATGTTAGCGCTCTCGCTTGACAAGCAAGAGGTGGTGAGGTCGAGTCACCAAAAATCAAGTTTTTTAATAAATGTTATTGTTATTGAATAAATCTCGTTATTAAAAAAAATTAATTGTAGGATAATAACCATAACAAACCTAGAAATAGGGACAATTTTAATTTTTATGTAAATGGGTGTGGGTGGGGTTGGGGACAAAACTGAGATTGATCACCTCAGAGTTAAACGCCTTTGTCAAGCCCCTTAAGGGGGAGTATCACGGATTTTGGGCTAAAGGGGGGTCGGAGACTTGCTCTGATTTCCAGCACACCTCAGATATCGGTAAAATTCTGCCTAAGGTCGATAGATCTGACCAATATCTAGTGCTGTTTTTCTCAGATTTTAATTTACTCAACCGGTTTTGGCAGTAGAGAGCTGAGAGTCAACCCCGTTTTTCAAAAATCGCGATTTTGGGCTGTCGTAGGATTAAAATTTTTCTAAGAAAATCAAGTCGGATCCTGGAATTCTCAGTGGTTTTAGAAAGTTCATCCCCTTATCTAAGGCTGTTTTGAAGGAAATTTTGTGTACTCAAAAAATTCTTAACAAAAATTTTTTTGAAAAAATACTTCCAAAAATAAAGTTTTTCATGAATTCAATCGGTATTGAAAAATGCTTCAATGAAGATTTTCTGATGTTTTTATGTGAGAATATTCATTTAAAATGCATAAAAATGTAAAAATAAAGTACTCTGAACACAATTTTTTCACCCACAGTGTCGCAGACAAATGTCAATAGGCGCGAGTAGGCAACTTTCAATGTCGTTTTTCGGGTATTTTTTCTGAAAAATAAGAAAAATATTGAATACCTTTTTTGTTAATTAAGGCCTAAGCTATAAAAATCTGGAAAGATATTATTAGACATCCGACTTTCGTAAAAGCGTGATACTCCCCCTTAAAGTTAAAAATCAAGGAACGGGCCTGGAATTGTGAACGACCTAGAAACCCAAAAAACCGAGAGAAATCGGCGATTTAGAAGATTTGCCGGGCTTTAAGTGCCGGCATATTTTTCGCCGTATTCGATAACCTAGGTTATCCTATGATTTTCTTTGGGGGTGTTGTTTATTTTGCCCTTTGAAAAATCGAGTCCTCCGATCGTGTCGGACCCTAACTCATCCATCCCTTTTTTGATACCACGTTGTGATCTGGCTCAAAAAGCTGAAAATGAATTTAGATTCCAGTAAATGTTGTACGAAAAAAACTTACGTAAAAAACGTCATCATTTTGATTAAAAAGCTCTGCGAAAAAAGAAGAGCCGGTTCTGTATCCTGTCGCTAGGAGAACATTTTCTGCTGGCAGCGATTTTATAATTTGTTTCTCTTTTTCGCCCGATCTAATGATTAAAACGTTTGTTTGAATATAGTGTCTATCTGTTCTCTCAGACTGAGAGTCTCAGTTAAAAAGAAGAATACGATAGTTATGAAAAAAAGAAATCCAGTTAAAATTTTCAGCTCTTTCATTTGATCCCCATCGTATCTTTTGAGGCAAAAACAAACTAAGCTTGGAAATAAAAAAGCCGTCAATTTCTTTATCACGCCCCGATAAAGATTGAGCGACAGAAATAATTTCTAGTCGTCAATGATAAGTCTTAATCCTTATTTCAAAAATATAACAGAAAAAAGTCTGAACTTTTAGGCATTTTCACCGAAAAATAAGCAATAAAAAAATTTTGACGAGAAGCGAAATTTTTTCGCTCAAAAATCCTCAAAAGTTCAACCTTTAAAAACTGAGCTTCTGAAAACGTGAAGCACCTGGTATAAATTTTTAATCCAACACATGTTTCTTCAATTTAGCGTGAAAACGCGCGGATCTGAAGTTTTCAAACTAATTGGTAACATTTTCGGACATTTGCTTTGATTCGCGTTACTTATCGGAAGATACCCTACTTCACAGGCTTTCCAACTTCAAAACGAGGGGTAACTGTGTTTGATTTTTATCCATAAAAATCAGTGAGTCATCAAAACGGAATTAATCCTCATCTTGTTAATTCGAATTTCCCCGGCGCTCGCGCTTTCCAAACAAATTCAATCTTCCTGTGCACGTTTTGGAACGGGCGCTTTTTCGATTGTCGGAAATCAAGGCTTCCGTTTCGTTTTTTCTTCAATAAATTTATTTATTTTCTTGATACCTAGGCTCGGCAAGCTGATTCAGGGCCTTCAGACAGCTTTAAAGAAAAGCCGCGCAGCGGCTTTTTCAAAATCAAAGCCGCAAAAGATTAAGAAAAAAAATTCCTTGCGGCTTCAATTTTGAAACAGCCGCTAAATGCGGCTTTTCTTCAAAGTTATTTTAAGGGCCGAGCCTTGTTTTATGTAGCCCTTATTTTCTTTGTTATATAATTGAAAAAGCGATAGAAACTCCATTTCGGCGAGAACAACCTAATTTTCACGGATCCAAAAGTCAACGAATTTAATCAAATCATCAAATAGACAAAATCAGAATTCGGCTGTTTCTTGACCATGAGTCTGAAATTCTTCTTTTTGTTGCTTCTTGCTGCTCTTGGCAGAGGGGATGAGCAGCTCTTTCAGAAGAATGAGAACGTTGGTGCTGTTGAGAGACTTTCCGGAAGCTCGAAGAATTTGAAGATTTTGAGAAAATTCGGATTTAGTTTGGGAGCGCTGGAATCTTATAAAAGCTCAGGAAAGAGTTTGCATGATTTATCATTTATAATATTCTAAAAATAAGATTAAACCTTCGGGCAAATACAGTCCGATAACTTTTCTGTGTCTGTCACTTTTGCCAGATGATAATTTTTGCAAAACCGGAAAATTTTAAGAAAACTTATGGTTTTTAATTTTTCTTAAGCGAAAAATTTTCTTCAATCAATACCCGATTTCGAATTTGATAAAAATAACTTGCTTCGCAAAAATGAACTGATCTCCAAAAGACCATAATGAGTAGCCTCGTTCCGGAAACATTCGGTAAGCGGCTGGTTTTTTGAAGCCTCGTCACCTTGAGCAAAAGCCTTTTATTACATAATCATCATTTCCCGGGATTTTTTTCGACAGTGTAACTCTTGCAAGATCCGCTTCTTTCTACAATCGTCGGCGAGTACAAAGCGCCGGATGGGAGTATTTGCTATATTTTTGACGATGGCGAGGGCGGATTGAACATTTTCATCACCGATGTTCAAGGAGAGCTGATTTCGATTGTTTCTGGAACGACGGTGACTGAGAACGAAGATGGCTCAGGAATTTGATTAAACATTTCTTTCTCTATCAATTCTGGAGTAATTGAGATTTTTGAGAATTTAATCTGTGGAATCAGGTTTCATAATCATTTGATAAGTGGTCGTAGAAGGTGCAGATTCTTACACCGCAACGGACTTCCTTTTGTGGGTTTCTGCCGACCGGGTAAGTTGATCACTTATCGCTGATGCCGCTTATTAAAACAGGTTAATTACTGGATTATCTCAGGAAACGCTCACTACCTCGCTTGGTTATCAGTTCTATCCAACGACGACTTCAACAACGACGACGACGATTTCCACGACAACAACGTTTGTTCCTTTCACAACGACAACTACGAGTAGGGCTCCGAACAATAAACACTCTCTTCCCAAAAATGCAGCAAAACCAATTCTCTGAGCCACTAAAAAGACAACAACAACCACCCCAAACTGCTACGACTCCGATTGCCAAGCTGAATGCGACGGAATATTCGGCCCAGAAGTCCGAAGCTGCTTCTGCAACTACGAAGGAGACTGTAGATTCTGCGCTTTTGGCGATTTCTTCATCAAGGATCTCGATTCTTGCTCAAGCACAACGACAACTACAACAACGACGACAACGACAACAACGACGGCGAAGTTCTGCCTGGACATTCAGTGCCAACAAGAGTGTGACATGACGTTCGGGGTGAATATCGCGAGTTGTTACTGTGACTCAAAAGGGGATTGTGCTCTTTGTCCCGGAGGGGAGAGCTGGAATCATGCTCAGGATGTTTGCTCTGGCGAAGGTTTTTTCTCATTGTCGATCGTTCTTACCTTTTGCTCTAGCAACAACAACAACTACGCCTGTTCCAACAACAACTACATCCACAACAACGACAACGACAACAACAGGCGATATGGGAAGTAAGTAACTCTGTACATATCGAAGCTTTTGAACATTTAGTTTTTGTAACAACTACAACTTCAACGACAACAACGACAACAACTCCGAATTGCTATGACTCAGATTGTCAAAATGAGTGTGATGGAATTTTCGGACAAGGAGTTCGAAGCTGTTTTTGCAATAATGAAGGGACTTGTCGATTTTGCTCGTTTGGACAGATTTTCGACAAAGATCAGGATACCTGTCTCTTTACAACAACAACGACCACAACGACTACCACAACGACTACAACAACGACAACGACCACAACTACAACGACGACAACAACAACAAGTAACATGAATTTACCAAAATGCCTTTTATTCATCAATAGTTCTCAATTTGTAAGAACTATCCCTAAATTCTCGAGTTTTATAGCTTGCAAATCATTCATCTTCACCAAGCCAAGTCCAAAATCTAATTCTGACGGTTTTGTTTTCACAAAATCAGTGAAGCAGTGGCGGCCGCTCTGTATCCTTAATTGCTTTATTGAATCAGAGTTTTGTCTCCCCAAATATTTTTATGAAAGCAATTTTGCGTCCCAGATCTCCCCTTTTGTCCTGCGTCGTCGTAAAAATGCCTGAATAATAAATCGACGTCCGGGGCGCACTACACCGAGCCAAATGAGCGTGATATTTTACAAACGCAAGAATTACAAAGAAAAAACGCTTTGAGAGACATTTTTTCGTTTTCGATAGTTTTCTGACGAATCGGTCTTACGAAAAGCTATTCGTATATTTGCGCTTTGATAACGAGACGCGGAAAGGGAGTATTTGACGGAAGCAAATATTTGGAGAATTTCGTCAAGCAGTGAAAAAGCCAGAAAATCGAGGTGGTTTCATTTACCGATTGAGAGATTCACCCTGTTGGAGAAAATCAGAATAGAATGATGAAGAAAAAACACTAAGAAAATTACGATGTCAGAAGAAAAACGGTACGATTCATTTTTAAATGATCAGAGACAATAAAAAATGATCGAAAGATAATTCATAAATTAAATACTCGTAAAAATCGTTTCTAGCGAAACTCTGTTTTTCCTTTTAAAAATCTTAAAAATTTAATTCATAGTTCAAAAACGTAACTCTATTTTTGCGTAAATTATGTACGATTCTCGACGTAAAAATATGAAAAGGATTTGAAAGTATTAAATTTTTCGTTCTGACGCTCATAAAATCAATTTTTCTCTATTCATCAGAATAAACTTCTCAGTCATTTTCCTACAAAAAAGCAAAAGCAAATTTTTACGTTTACGCTGCTATGGGAACAAAATTCATCATTCGATGAACGACTTTCCATAAAAACGAAAACAAAAAACTGTAGTTTCCTTTTTAGCAAAGAAGATATGCAGACGAAAGTGAGCTCAAAAACGAGAAGGGTTGTGATTGATTCAGAGAGATGGAGTGGACCTTCGCAGATTCCGAAATTTTGGCAAGGGAGCAAAAAGAAGCTGTGGAGTAATTACGCGAACAAAGATCATGAAATCAATGAAATTAAGGGAGGTGATTAATAGGGTCGGCCAAGAAAAAAGTGAAGTCTCATTTCAGCGAATTTTATTGCAGTTTCTGATAGATCTCGACGAGGCGATTGACTTAAAATTAGCATCAAATTACTCAGAATTTGATTCTCCACAATTTTGAACAGAGATTTACTGTACTTTCAGTAATTCTAGAAATTTCGGATTACGTAACATATGAAATATACAGTTTTCAATTACAGATTTCGGATCTTTCCGCTTATCCCTTTAACATGATTCGGGTATCAAAATGACCGCCTTGTCAAGATCTACAAGAATCTGCAATAAAAAGGAGTGAAAAATATATCTCAGAAAAAAATTTTACGAAAAAACTGATTTTTCAATTTTTTTGGGCGGAAAAAAAATTCCCAAAAATTTTTTTCGAGATTTTTTTTGAAATTCTCTTTTAATAGCGCCCCTTCAATGACCTCTGAAAGTTTGAATGAGATTTGAAGACTTCACCCTTTTTTGGCCTACCCTAGTGATTAATAATTGTCTTTTCCAGGATTTTTGAGGAAAAAGGGATTTTTTTAATTTATTTAATTTAATAAGATTTAATTGAATCAGTAGCGAGCCAATCAGATTTCAATTTATCCTCTAAATCATCAGAATCTGATTGGCTCTGAAGATTTTCGGATCATTTTGATTTGCCGAATCTAAAAAGAAACTACTTTTGATCACAAAAAAAAGACCTCAAAATACAACATCCTCACCTTCATCCCCCTCAACCTCTTCATCCAATTCCACCGCTTCGCCAATATTTATTTTCTCGTCATGGTTGTTCTTCAATGCATTCCAATCATTTCTTCCGTCAATCCAGCCGGCACTGCCATCCCCCTCATTCTCGTACTTCTAGGTCTTGGCTTAATCTTCTAACAACAATTTGACTAATTAGTAATTACGAGATAATGCTAGCACTAAATCATGTCTTTCAAAACCGAGTGGTGAGAAAGGTTAAGCCCTTCAAAGTGACCATGATTAAAGACGGATACGATGATTTGCAGCGCCATCGCCAAGATAGATTTTTAAACAATAAGAAAGTCCTGAAAATTCTCAAAAATGGCCAGCTAGAAATCATTCCTTGGAAAGACGTCATGACTGGCAATCTTCTCTTGCTCAAAAAGGATGAAGGAGTGCCTGCAGATGTGGTTCTGCTGGCCTCGGAAAATGAGGATGCAGTGGCGTTTCTAGAAACAGCTGAATTGGATGGAGAAACCAATCTGAAAATAAAAACGGCGCTGAAGGAAACGACCGAGACGATCGATTTCGACGACTGGGAGAATCAAGATTTTGCGAAACTAGTCAAAAACACGGACGGAACAAGTATGGATGTTGAGCTGCCAAATGACCGCCTCCCCAAATTCGACGGAACTTTTAATTCAAAAAGTGGCAAGGTCCAAGTTTCAAACGACAACGTCCTCCTTCGCGGAACGATTCTGCGAAATACTCCTTCAGCAATTGGCGTCGTAGTTTACGCGGGACCAGACTCGAAATTGATGAAGAATGGCGGAAATGCCCGGTTCAAGCGGACTAACATGGATCTCCTCATGAATCGCCTCGTTATTATTATTTTTGCCATTCTTGTTTTGTTCGCCTTTGGCGCTACTATCGGCCATATCGTGAGCGAATTCAACATTGGGATTTATTTCCGACAATTCAACCCCTGGGATAATGAAATCAACGATGATTGGATGGAGGTAGAAGACTGGAGTAGCCTAGCTTGGACGCCTTGGAAATCTGGAGCGCTTATTTTTTGGTCCTATACAATTTTGCTCAACACTTTGGTCCCGATCTCCCTGTATGTCTCTGTAGAAATGATCCGGCTCGGACAAAGTATGTTCATCAACTGGGACCGAGGAATGTACTACGAGAAGAACGACACTCCCGCAAGTGCTCGATCAACAACACTTAACGAAGAGCTTGGTCAAGTGAGCTACATCTTTTCAGACAAAACCGGAACACTGACGCAGAATATCATGGAGTTTAAAAAAGCTTATATCGGCGGGCGAATCTACGGTAATGGTTCACGGCCAGTTGATTTTTCATGGAACAGGCATCATAATGGCGAGTTTACTTTCACGGATCAGAGCTTGATCGATGATTTTAAAAAAGGAAACGAGCACGTCGACCGCTTTTTGAAAATACTGGCCTTGAATCATACTGTTATGCCGGAGTATACAGAAGTGGATCTTGACGGAGTGGGTAGTCCAAAAAGCATGGTTTATCAAGCACAATCACCAGATGAGGGAGCCTTAGTTTCAGCAGCACGCGCTTTTGGCTTTGTCTTCACGAACAGAACTACTGATACAATTCAGGTTTCTCGGCTGGATGAAACAATGACGTACGAGGTGCTCCATATCGCGGATTTCGACAATGTAAGGAAGCGAATGTCCGTTGTTATCCGAGAAGGAAATGGTGGCGGTCAAATTATTGTTTACACAAAAGGAGCTGACAGTACTGTTCTCTCAAATCTGACGAAATCGACGAATGAAAATGTCCGAAAAGGGACTGATGAAGCCCTGACTCGATTTGCTGAAGATGGGTTGAGAACTCTTTGCCTCGGGTACAAAAATTTGAGCGAAAACGAGTGGCAAAACTGGCACGAAAAGTATCACGAAGCTGCAACATCTATGGAAAATCGTGATGAAAAAATCTCTGTTGTTCATGAAGAGCTCGAGTCTGATCTGATCCTTGCTGGTGTTACTGCCATTGAGGATAAGCTACAAGATGGCGTTCCTGAGACTATCAAGCAAATTCTTCTGGCGGGAATTAAACTTTGGGTCCTGACGGGGGATAAATTGGAAACTGCAATAAACATTGGTTATTCATGCAATTTGCTTGCGAATGAAATGACAAACGTCTTCGAAGTCTCGGAGGAGACCACAGAAGAAGTGAAAACAACCCTCGATCAAATGAAGAAAGAACTGGACTCTGGACACGGCGATTATGGCCTGGTCATAACCGGCCAAGCCCTCGGATTCGCGATTTCGGACCATCATGATTTATTCCTCGATGTTTCCAGAAAATGCAAAAGTGTCATTTGCTGCCGAGTCACTCCGCTTCAAAAGGCTCAAGTTGTAGCGATGGTGAAAGAGGCAGAAAAATGCATCACTTTGGCGATTGGAGATGGAGCGAATGATGTGTCGATGATTAAAGAAGCGCATTTGGGAATAGGATTGTGGGTTGAAATCATGGAAAAATGTTTGTTGAAAATAGCAAAATTATTTTTAGAGGTTGTTTTGAAATCTCCCATTAATCGTTTTTTAACCCGATGACAGGAATAACCGGTCTTGAAGGAACCCAAGCTGTCCTCGCATCCGATTTCTCCTTTGGTCAATTTCGCTATTTGGAGCGACTCCTTCTCATCCACGGCCGCTACTCGTACTATCGAATGGCCATCTTTCTTGACTACTTTTTGGTCAAAAACTTTGCTTTCACTTTCTGTCAATTTTGGTTTGGAATCTTTTGCTTGTGGTCTGCTCAAAGTGTGTATGAAGATATGATGATTGCTTCGTATAATGTCGTGTATACGTCCATTCCGGTGCTGATCTTGGCGATTATGGACAAAGATGTTAATGAACGAAGCTCGCTCAAGAATCCGAAGCTTTATACTCTTGGTAAGAAATAGGTTTATTTTTGACTTTTGCGAGAATAAAGATTCATAAGAGAAATAAATGGAATGATTTCGATAAACCTGGTTCAAGTTAAACATAAAGACTCAGATTTTCGTTTTTTAAAAAAGACTGAGTATAAAAAAAATTTTTCATAAATATGGTTTTCTGTTAACTTTCTTCTTTCAAGGCCAAAATGATTCTCTTTTCAACATGTCACGATTCTGGTTCATCCTTGGCCGGGGACTTGCCATCTCTGTCTTTTTCTTCTTTGTCTCGTATTTCTGCCTCGAAGAAATGGAAGAACCAGCCGGTGACCCAATGGACATCAACGTTTTTCAAGTCACGATGCAAACGGGAATTGTTCTCGTGATGACGCTTCAAATGTGCTTTGATACGAAGAATTGGACAATCTTGAATGTTGCTGGTAAGGAATTGATTTTTTGACTTTGTTTTGATTTTTCAGCGATTTTGGGCTCTGCGGTCGCATACTTTGTTTTCTCTGGAATGTACTACTCCAAAGGTATGGAAGAATAATTTTCGAAATAAAGATCGTCAACTTCAGGTGCTTACGCTCTCTCAATCGACACATTCAAACTCATTGGCGTCTCTCCTCATGTCTGGGGAGTCATTTCTCCATGGCTCGTGATTTTCCTCGTTCTGGCGATCTATTTGATCTTCGTCTTGGCTTGGAGATTCGTCCAGCTTTCGTACTACAAATCTGTGCAAGATAAGGTAATGCAACCCAAAGAAAGAGTGTGTAACGAGTTCTAAAGGCTTTGGACGCTCAGATAAAAGAAAAGGCGACGATTAAAAAGCAGAAGCTGGAGGTTGAAGAATCGAATTTTTCAAGAGGATCGACGAGAAGACATTCCAGAAGATCGATGCACAAGACTCAAAGTTCCTTCGCTTTCGCCACGGGTTTCAATTTTTTCTCATTTTTGACTTGATTTATGACAGATTTTCGGCAGAAAAATTTGTTCTGCGAGAGAAAGCTTCATTTTGATAGGGAATGGCTTCTTTTCTCGACAAGTTTGAAACCCTTTTACCAGCTGCATCTGACAACAAGCCCGGTCAAATGATCCGAGAAGGAAGTTTGCGTGTTTCCTCAATACGTTCACCAAAAATGAGAAAACTGCCCGAAGATGCAAGCAGTCCAGAATTAGAGGCATCTCATGTTAAATCGTACGCATTCTAATTTAAAAGGATAATTGTAAAATTAATAACTGTAAAGATCTAGAATCTAATCAACTTCTACTGTGCCTTAGCTTCAAAAATATTCATCAAGTTCAACATAATAATAAATAAAAAGAATGTATATTTAAAGCTAATAAATAAATAAAACTGATATTTCTTCAAAAACGAAATTCTACTGTTCATACTCAACTGTATCTTTTGACTACTGGCTTATTCGCTTCAAGCTTATAAAAATGACAATAAACAATCGACACACTAACTTGTCTCTTTCATCATCGTGATTTTTTATAAGGGCAGAAAAAACCGGAAATCTTGATGAAAAATCAGTTAACCTTTTTCGGAAGCGAAAATGAAGTGCTATAATTTCAATCAGCGCGGCTTTATAACCCTCATCACGAGGTGTCAACCTTCCGGCCGATTTCTTCGCCGATCCTTTTTTTTATTATCGGCGCTCATGCATCAAAAAGTTCAGGCAAAAAATCATTCAAGAAAATTTCTTGACCGAAAAAACTCTCTTCGATTTTTCGGAAAAAAGGATGAAAAAAGTTGTATTTTTTGAATGAATTCATCCGTCAGAACTGGGCGAAAATTTAAGTTTCATAAGAAAGAGTCCCTGCCAGAGCCGATGATGAGGGAAACAGAAATCGACAAACAGAGAAAATGTTTGAAAAAGCCGATTATAGAGAGTTTTTGCTTTTGCTGCTCACTTTCAGGAAAAGGGCTGATTTTTAAGGCTATGGTCCTAAGTTAGGGTTCGATCTGTTTCTGCGGTAAAAAATCATCCCTTTTAAAAGTTGGGATAATGCTGATTGCCCTTATTCTCCTCAGCTTCGATTTGGCCGGAATCATCAAAACTGCAAAAAACATGAGTTCAGATGAAGAAAACGATATTCCAGAAGTCGATCATTTGATAATGGTGATTGGAATCGTTGTTGGAGTCCTGGCGCTTTTGGGACACTTTGGATTATTTATTGCCTCTTGCTTGATGGCTGTTCCTGATAAGCACAGGGGATTTTTGAGAATAGGTAGGGTTGATATTGAATGATTGAAGGAATACTAACTTCTTAGGATTATTGTGGATTTTTCTCGCGCTACTCGGCCTTGTATATAAAGTTTTTGCCGCCGCGTATGTTTCACTGCCTTCTGAAAACTACGAATTCGTCTTTACGATTGTCGATAAAGAAATTGTGGGAACAGCTGGTCTAGCGATTCAATGGGCTTTGACCGGGATCTACATTTTGTGCTTTGCTCTTGGTTGTGTCTTAGTGATTTCACAAGCGACAGCGTTGAAGAATGCGGTAATTTTCTACTCGAAAATGCCTAAATAAAGACTCAAAATGAAAAAAAAATTAAACTAATTTTTTTCTAGAAATCATCCGAAATCGTCGAAGAGTCCATTTACGACCGCCTAGCGAATCTGATCAAAGTCCAGCCAAAAGCATCAGGCGTCAAATTAGCCCCAATCGCGCGACCTTCCATTTCTCAGCCGCCAATCGTCCGCCAAATGACCCATGAACGCGTGGTCATAAACAGTCACGAGCAGCAAAATGAGCATGAGATTAATGAAGATGATGAGTCCACTTTTTCGGAGACTGTGGATGGTTTGGATAGTTGCTCAGAAGTGAGCTCAGTACCTGTGCCGAATTTTAAGCCACCGTCTGTTCCTTGCTCAATTGTTAGCTTGAGACAATTAGGTAAAGCTTTAAACAATTATAAGTCTTTTTTAATGGCTATTTAGAGCAACCAACACCCGCACCTCCGCGCTCACACCAACCGTCTCGCCCGGTCTCCACATTCGAAAGCCTCAAAGGATCCGTCAGAGAAGAATCAATCCACGTCCCGACTCGCCCTCCTCTCAGCACCGAACATGAAATTCTACTCACAGAAGAGGCAGAACGAATTTATGGCGAGCTGAGATACCCTCGATCGAATGCGAGATCAAGTCATACCAGTAGTAACACACCGAGTTTGAAATCATGGACGAGTACAAGCTCTGGAGCGAGAAGCGAGAATAGATCAAAGTTGAATTTGAAAAGCAGGTTCAAACCGGTGGTTGAAGAAATTCAGAAGGTATATTTAGCAAGGCGAAAATCGAGGTTATTCTTTTTATTAAGGAGCATCCTCAAGAACTCGCTCATTCTCAAAACATCCGCCCTCTGAGCCGTCCAGCTAGCCGTCAACAAAACCACGAGCAACGAATTACAAACGACTTCCGTCAAAGTTCTGATCCTCTTCCTCCTATTCGCGTGGTCAACTGTGAACACCACGATTCCAGGCCAACCTCGAGAAATGGCAATAAATTGGCAATCATTGCGACCCCGATTTTGGACTCGGAACAGACCTATTACGAAGGAATTCCGCCGATGGTTTGTCTTGGCGAAGTTCATCTACCGGTGACGACGAGGAATTCTTATCCAGAGTTTCACAACTTAGAAGCAATTCGAAATATTCAATAAATTTCTATCAAGAATCACCTTTTCTTCTATTTCTATTCGTTTGTCGGGTCCCTCTTTGCCACTAGAATTGAAAAGCCTTCCGGCGATGTCACAATTTCTTTAAAAAATAAAAACTTCTTTTCTGATAAAATGTTTGATTCGAGAAAGATTTTTGCATTTTGCTCATTTTTAGTTGGATTCTTATTCCTTGCGCTTCTATATTTTGATTCAAAAGCGAGCAGATTCATTGAAGAGGAAATCAACAAAGAGAAATTCGTTGCATTATTGAAGGAGGAAATCGATGAAGTTTCAGAAGATAGCTCACTAGAAAGGTTAAACGATGAAGATGATGAAAATTTGTGCAAAGAACTTGATGGCGGGATTCATTTTGAAAGTGCTTTTGACAGAAAAGATTATATGAAAGGGTTTGAAATTTCTATAAGTATGCTAATTCAAATTATTCTATTCATTTTTGTCAACATAATTGAAGCCCAGAAAGGTTAAAAATCTGCTCAAAATGTTACAACGAGGAACCAGTCAAGCAAATTTTCGGCGAGAGGAACTACTGCAAAAGTTTACCGGAGAAGGCACCTTCTTAATGACAAATGAGCTTCTTTTGACCGTGCCAAACAAATGTGCTTCCCAGCTGATGTACCAGTGGGCTCACAAAACGCTCGACCTGCCCCCTATAAAACCAGACATCCAATTCAATAGAACGGCCTTCTTACTTGGTTTACCACAGGAACCTTATTCAAGCCGAGATGCAGTGACAAAATACACAAAAAGCCAATTCCAAGATGAAGCCTTTTTGGGGAAGTTTTGTGACGATTCGAGCGAAGAAAATTCGATTCCAAAAAGAGTGCTGTTTGTCCGTCATCCTTTGCTGAGACTCATTTCCGCATGGAACGACAAATTCAGCATGAAAAACGTAGACAATGCATCAGGAGCTTCTTTCGGCTACAAAAATTTCATCGCGAGAAGCCCGTTTTTGAGGCCAGAACGTCAGAAAATTCAGCAAATTTTTCTCGAAGCAGGAGAAGAAAAATGCGCAACTTCGGTCAGCCCGAACAATAAATTTTACCAAGGCTGCCTTGAAAAAATTGCAAATCATTCTGCTTTTCTGGATGATCCTTATTTAGTCAGCTTCGAACGGCTGGTTGAATACATGCTTGATATGGAAGAAATGGGCCGGAAATCAACCACAAATAATCATTTGATACCGATTGTTCAGACGCCAGACTCAAATTTTGAATTTGACAATCGGTAAATTGACAAACTAAAACTCAAACTTACCCTTTTTTTCAGGAATCCCTGCTTATACAACAAGTACGATGCGGTCGTCTCAGTCGAAAATTACAAAGCTGAGTTCGCAGAAATACTCGATTTTTATCCGAACATCACGAGGCCTGACGATTTTGGCGAACTGAACCACTCCGTCAACGGCGGAGTTTCAGGTTCGATGAAAAAACTGCAAGAAAAAGTCCACGAAGTGATGGACTCAATGCCCTTGGAAACGAGAGAAAGGTTAAAAGCGTATTTTGGTAGAGACATGACGCTTTTTGGGTACCATTGGAATACGACGACGAATGATATTGGCTTCAAATACAAAGGATGAATCAAAATTACATGTACAGTGTATACTTACTGTCTTTTCGTTACGAATATGAAATAAACAAACTCATAGAAGAAAGATCCTTTGATGGCATGATTTATTGGGGAAATAATGATATTAAAAACAACTCACTGGGAATAAAGAAACGAAATAGTTGCAAAGAGACATAGTTAATAAAGCAAAACATAAATAAAAAGGTCTTTTGAACTCCAGATAAAGATTGGCTTCGAAAATAGGTGGCAAATTTAAGCATCGTCTTCTTTTGCTCCTGAGACTCGTTCTTTTTGCTTCTCTTTGCTAAAAAGGGTTGAGAATAAAAAGATTTGTCATTTTCTTGATAAAAATTTCTTAATATTGAAGCGAAAAAACACTTACTAAATATAGTATCCGCCACCACCAGCACCGCAGAGAAACAAGAATCCAATCACCACGCCAGCTGGATTTGTGTCGACGCCAAATTTGTGCAGAAATCTTCTGAAGGGGGAAATTTCTTCGAATTCTTTTCCTTCATCTTCTTTGGTCGGAGTTCCAGGCTGGAGGAAGTTTGTTTGTTGTTGAGCATGAGCCAGGAGAAATTGTGTTCCTATAATTGATAGTTTTGATAATAATAAAAGAAGCAAAAATTTTAATAAAAAAAATAAAATTTTTTTGAAAATTTTTCTGAAAAGAATAATTACCCAATAAAATTGCACTTTGAATCGACAACTTCAAGCTCATCTTCTTTTCTTCCTTCGTCTTTCTCACTGAAATTCAAGAGACTGGCTGTACTTTCCCGTTTTTTCACGTTTCTCTCTTTTTTACTCGTGAGGTGAGTTTCCTTTAGGCTCAACGTGAAGTTTGAGACCGAGTGAAAAGAAGTTTGAAAGGTGGATCCACTCAGTGCGTCCGATCGCAATCGCCCTAAGGCCAATTTCAATAAGGAATCCAAATTAAAAATCCTAACCCCCCATGTATTCATGCTCGTTGGAAAGAGCGTAAAAAGTTACGTCAGAAAAAAATATTTCTAGAGGCTGAGTCATCAGAAATGACGTCATGGCGGGTGATTGAAGTTCCAAAAGTCCCAAACCTTGGTTCCCCTCTCATTTTTTTTCCACAAATGGAAAATTTGAGTTTAATACACGAAAATGATCGCCTTGACCTACCCGAGGTGAAGAGTTTAATACGAAATATCCAACTCTAGAAAAAAAATTTTTCTTCCGATTTTTTCAAAATTTTTTCCGAAAAATATAGCTCTTCACCTCGGGTAGGTCAAGGCGATCATTTTCGTGTATTAAACTCAAATTTTCCATTTGTGGAAAAAAAATGAGAGGGGAACCAAGGTTTGGGACTTTTGGAACTTCAATCACCCGCCATGACGTCATTTCTGATGACTCAGCCTCTAGAAATATTTTTTTCTGACGTAACTTTTTACGCTCTTTCCAACGAGCATGAATACATGGGGGGTTAGGATTTTGAATTTGGATTCCTTATTGAAATTGGCCTAAGGCCAACCTTCTAAGTACTAAACTGTTTGGACTTATCTCTGCTCAAGGCCGTCAGTAAGTCCTCTGCGCAGACTGATAATGATAGAGACCTCTTTTGGTTTTGAATAATTATTTTATTATCTGATTAGCAATCTTCTTTTTTAAAATATTTTTTAGATTCTTTTTTTAAAGACTTGAAGCAAAATAAGGCAATAAAATAGCTCTGAAATAATGCAAGAGACTCTGCAGATACAGGAGTAACGGTTTATTTTCAATAAAAAAATAATGAAAGCTCAAAATTTATCAAATTTCGTTTCTTCGTCTCTAAAGCTAGCATTTTTGTTTCCAGATTTGACATTTAAATCTGTGTTCTCTTCAATGTCTTCCGTTGGGCTCCAAGGCAGCCAAGGAACCATTGTTTTCGCGGGCGGCCTTTCTTCATAATCTTTTCTCGTCATTTTGACAATTCCGGACAAAACAAGCGCAAGAACTGTTTTGAATTTTCAAAATCCCGTTTGACAATTTTTGACGGGAAAGATCGTTTTTGAAAATCCGTTCCGAAAGTGGTCACAAAACCAACTGTTCCAACATAGCAATATGAGATTTGGTACAGACTTGCGATTCCGGGCAATTCAGTTTCTTCTTCTTGAGTAAGAACGGTCTCTGTAACGTTTAGTCCACAAGCTTCGGTGGAGAAGTCGAGTTTACCGATGAACTCGTTACCAGCTGGATACTGTTTTGACCCAAAATAAACCTAAAAGCCTTTATCACATTTAATCACCAAAAAAAACCTACCCATCCAGCAATGATAACACCAACAATATCGGCAATAAAAACTCCGATCGGCTCAGCAAACGGCACGAGTGCGCCCAAAAAGAAAACAGCCATATTTGGTCCTCCAAGAATCCCAAAAAGCGACAACGCCGCTTGAAGAAGTCCTTCTCCAGCAGCAGCGGCGATGTAGCTCATTCCGAGGCAAGCAAGGCCAAAGCAAGCTGAGGAAACTTTGGTGACGATGGTATAAAATCGGTCAGAGGGATTGAAGATTTTAAAGAGTTTTTCGTTTGGCACGAGAATGTCGGTCACGAGACATGTTGCCATAGAATTTATTCCAGAGCTAAAATATATCATTTTCTAGAGGAAAGAAGAGGTCCTTTCATACCTGACTGTAGAAAGAGTGCCTCCGTAAGCGCCAACAACGATAAGACTCGCCAATCCAGGCATATTCTTGAATCTCTGAATCGCCAAGTACGGCGCCAATTGGGTTTTTGCGTCGACCCAGCCGGCTGAAAGAGGATCGCAGCAGGTGAAAAACTTGAGCATGACAAGTCCAGTGAAGGCCGCGAGAAGGAGAATTATCAAGATTCCGATGAAGCCACCGTAAATTGCTCTTTTCATGTCTTTTGTATCTTTTGCGGAAAGCATTCGCTGCGTAAAGCTTTGGCTTCCGACGAATAAGTTTCCCCAGGTTCCGAAAACGCCGCCGAAAACGATCGCCCAAATACTGTGTCGGTATCGAGGATCGGCTCTCCAATCAAATTCAAGTCTTCCCTCTTCAACTCCGTTCGACCAGATTTCAGCGAAGCCAAATTCAGCAAGACCATCGATGCAGATCGTGACAAAGCCACCGATCATGCAGATTATTTGAAGAGTATCAGTCCATACAACAGCTTTGAGTCCGCCGATTGAAGTGTAGAAAATGCAGACCGCACCATTCAGCCAAACAGCTGCCCAACGGTTCAGGCCTGAAAATTGGAGGTAGATAAAAAAGAGCTGTTTTTAGATGCAGGAATATAAAAAAGGGTTCCATGAGAAAAATATTCACCTTCATAAAATGAAAACAGTAATGTTCTGTGAATTTATCTCAAATCGTGTATTACTCTCTAAATATGAGTAATATAACAAGGCATAAAGAGATTGCTTCATTTGAGCCGTAACATTTATAACGAACTTTTACTTTAATAATTGTTTCTTCTCTTTACCTGTAACAGTTTCCAGCGCCAAAGAAGGTGTGTAAATGACAATACCAATATAGGCAATATTCTGCAAATAAAAAACTCCTAGTCCAAGATATCTCACAGCATTATTGAACCTCTTTCCGAGATACTCATAAGTAGACGTGACTCCAGTTGCGCGGTAAAGGGGACCGAAGATTTCAGCGGCGAGAATGGAGGATAGAAGGAGGGAGATCGCGAAGAAGAAATACATGATGCCGAAAATGTAGACTTCTGCCGGAACACCGAGGACAGTCACGGCCGAGAAAAAGTTGTAGCGAGAGAAGCGGCGATTGGAAAGGGGGACACACTTCCTCCTCCCATCATGTATACTTCGGAGCTTTCCTGGAAAATTTGTTGTGAAGAGAAACAAGAGAAAACAAACCTTCCGATCCTTCCAGGCGAAAAAAATGCCGATAACTCCTGAAAGCGCTAGCATTACTCCCAAAATAGCATAATCAGCCGCTTGAAAGCTCGCTTCGGGATCATTCAGCAAATCTGCATCTTCACAACTCCGATTTTCCATGTTTCAACTTTCTCTTTTCTGTCTGGGCGTTGTCAACAAAAAAAAGTGTAATGTACAGATTTAGGTTAAACACTGCCGCTGGGCAATAGAACGGGCCTAAATCTCCTTTGAAAGAATAGGTACTCAAACTGAGCGTCAAGTGTTTACGGAGAAAGAAGGACAAAGGCAACTGGTTTTGATGAGATTTGCGATTTTATCTTCTTGGGCCTTCCTTTTTTCTCATTTTTCCGGGGTTTTGATTTTTGAAAGATTATTAAAAAGGGCTTATTTTTTATTGATTTTGTGGAGCTATAATTCACAAGTAACTGAATTTTGAATAAAGAACAAGAAATAAAATTATTGATTTACAGAAAGTAGATAGCAGCGAGGGCCAGAAAGGCCGAATTGAATAATTCTTGAGCTCCGGAAGCTCCGAACACTTTTGGGGCTTCATTTGAAAGGCGGATGATTGTTTCGCCGTCGACAATTTCTTCTTTTGTATTTGCTCCATCCGGAAAGTTAACTTCAACGCTTAGGTCCTATAAATAATTATTGTTAGAGATAAGGAAAGAGATATTTACCGAGTATTCAACTATTTTTCGAGTGTTTTCTAGAGTGTTATTTTCATCGTCAGTTGATCGTCGTCGTCTTGCGCCACTGGTAGTCGTTGTGGTGGTAGTGGTGGTCGTCGTCGCTGTTGATGCCCCTTGTTGATTAATCCAATTTTCAAAAAGCTGCTGATTTCCGATTCCATTCAGACAATCAGACGTTCCAAGACAATAATTTTCTTCGTTCGGGTTGCACAAAACAAGGTCAAACTAAACGAATACTCTTCAGATATTAATATCAAAATTTTTACCGTAAAATAAAGAGAATTTGAGCTTTTGAATTTGAAAACACTCCAATCAAGTATTCTCGCCTGAGAATACACAATATCAGTAAGAAAAAAATTTGATTTAACGCAGCCATTTTCTACAAGATGAATTGTTTTCTCCCCCGAATTCGGTCTAAAATTTTTTTATCTTTTTCTGACTCTATTTAGATCGCACCCAATCCAAATATTTTCGATTCGAAAGCTTAAATCGCCACCGTACACGTTATTCCATTGAATTTCGTAAACATCGCCAACTTTCACATTGTCACAATTAACGCAATTTACAGACCATGTAGAACGATCAGATGATTCCAATGTTAAGGTATTCGGTGCCGGGATCATAGAACTATCCAAAGTCAATGACTCGTTCACCTTCAGCTTATCGGCATCGTATAATTGCTGAAAACAAGATAATACTCATCACGTAATCTTTTATTACCGCCATTTGTTCGAGATCTGTCACGCCCTGGAACTCGCATTTGAAGTTGAAATCAAAATAACTCTCAATGTCATCATTTCCCTTATTACCGTTAAAGTTCTTACCGTATTTCCGTAAAAATAATCTTTCAAATAGACTTACAATTAGGTGCTCTAAGATTTGACCAGCAAGGTTGAAGTCAATAACCGTCTTGTCATTTGAATCAGGGTAATTTGGCGCTACCGTGCATTCATCAAATTTGACTGATTTTTCAATAGCATTTTTGTTTAAATTCTAGCCTTACTTTCCATAGGAGTCGACCCTTGATCAGCGACATTAAATTCACAGCTTGCCTCTCCTGAGCTTCCAAAAACCATCGTCTCATTCCAATCGCTGCCTCTATTCCAGTGGTAATCAAAACAAGTCTGATTAATGGTCACCAGAAAACTGTAATTGGAGCAATCGATACTTGCGAAATCAGCTTTTTGACATTGTGCCCAGCAACCGGCGAAAAGGATGGAAGGGAAAACCTGCATAAACTATTCAATACTGTTCATGTTCTGTGAAAAACTTACCTTCATGGCCACTTCCTTTCTCTAGGCGCGCGTTAAGGCTTGAATCGAAGCTAGAAAACGCAATTAACGCTGCTAGATTGTTAAAAAGTCCCGTAAAATCAGCATAAAAATTATTAGATCGACTTGACGATGCTCTTGCCCAACCTTGATTTTACGATCATCTACTTTGAGGCAGAAGTCTTATTAGTATTAGAAGTCAGATTGAGACCGATGACTAGGTTCGTGAGGACTAGGTTCGTGTGACTAGGTTCGTGGGTGCCATGTTGGAAAAAATGGTTCGTGTGACTAGGTTCGTGAAATTTGGATTTTTATATGTATTTTTTGTATCTTCTCCATTTTGGGGCAGTAAGGCAAATGGGTTGATGACTAGGTTCGTGTGACTAGGTTCGTGAAATTTTATATAGAAAAAATTTTGGGGCAGTAAAGGAAACGGGTTGATGACTAGGTTCGTGTGACTAGGTTCGTGAAATTTTAAATAGAAAAATTTTGGGGCAGCAAGGGAAACGAATTGATGACTAGGTTCGTGTGACCAGGTTCGTGAAGACTAGGTTCGTGGAGACTAGGTTCGTGTGACTAGGTTCGTGAAGACTAGGTTCGTGATGACTAGGTTCGTGTGACTAGGTTCGTGGAATTTGGATTTTTATATGTATTTTTTGTATTTTTAGCATTTTCGGGCAGTAAGGGAAATGGGTTGATGACTAGGTTCGTGTGACTAGGTTCGTGAAATTTTAAATTGAAAAAATTTTGGGGTAGTAAGGGAAACGGGTTGATGACTAGGTTCGTGATGACTAGGTTCGTGGCACTAGGTTCGTGAAGACTAGGTTCGTGATGACTAGGTTCGTGTGACTAGGTTCGTGAAATTTGGATTTTAAAATATTACAAATTTTAATTACTACAGAAACTCATTTGTTTGAGGAACAACGAGAGAGACTTATGATTCTTACTTGATTCGAATTAATTGAATGAAGATTGTTTCATATTTAGCAGCCATGCGTGCAAATGAATGATGTTTAGAAAGAAATAGAACTTAATTTTATTTACTTTTAGAATGTTATGCTGCGTGTTAAGCCTAGCGGCTCATACGGGGGGGGGTGGGGGTGGGATACTCATTTGGCAAATATAGTCCCACATTTTCTCCTTTTTTTAATTTCACGAACCTAGTCACACGAACCTAGTCATCAACCCATTCCCCTTACTGCCCCAAAATTTTTTCTACATAGAATCTCACGAACCTAGTCATCAAGCCATTTCCTTTACTGCCCCAAAATTTTTTCTATATAAAATTTCACGAACCTAGTCACACGAACCTAGTCATCAAGCCATTTCCCTTACTGCCCCAAAAATTTTTCTATTTAAAATTTCACGAACCTAGTCACACGAACCTAGTCATCAACCCATTTCCCTTACTGCCCCAAAATATAGGGCCATTTCAATACTCTGGCAGAACCCACCACGAACCTAGTCACACGAACCTAGTCCTCACGAACCTAGTCGTCATTCCCGTGAGATTAGAAATTTATCTAATCTGATCTTATACAGTTAATTATGGAATTTCTGGACATTTTTTGTCCCCCATTTTTCCCGAAAATGTCCAGATATTTGATACAGAGCCTTGAGAAAAATGTCCCAACAAAATTGCTTAAAAATTTTTCGAGAAAAAAAAATTTACGATTTTTTCAAAAGAATTACTGAAAAACAATAAAAGAAATGAGCTTTAGCCGCCTATCTTATTATATCATAAGATTTTCGAAGAAACACAGCTCTTTATAGATTATATTGGCATCAATAACTCAAGTTTGACCATAAATTTAGATGTCGAAGATATCTGTTGAGAAAAAATGTCCAGAAATTTGATACACACTCTCTTGAAATTTGTCCCACAAAAATCCCTTAAAATCCGAAAGATGTCCAGAAATTTGATGTCCAGAAATTCCATAAAAAACTGTATGTGGTTTATTTTTTACGAGTATCAATTTCATTTTCAAATTTAAATTGAAAATATCAGAAAAAACAGAATGCAGCTTGAAGAAATTAAATGACAAGCAGCGCTGCTTTGGTCATTTTTTCGTTGGAGGAGTATAATCGTTTCTCCAAAGGAATTGTTTTCGACAACCATTGCGTTTTTTGGAACATTAATTTGGACGTTAACATCCTAAGACCACTTTATTATTTCTATTTTTACAAATCATATCTTACTTTAGCTTTTTGGTAATTATGGCGCGAAGCAGTATCGTTTTCTGCCTCATCTGATCGTCGTTTTCTTCCATTAGTGCTAGCAAGCATCTGTTCAAAAAGAGCCAGGTTACCGATTCCGCTAAGGCAATTTGTAATGCCTTTGCAGTATATTTCGTCTTCGGGATTGCAAAGATCAATTTGTATCTAAAATAACGTATGCTAATGTCATGTAATTATCAACGTTGAATTGACCGTAAAATGGGCAGATTCTGACGACTGGAATTTGAAGGCTTCCCATATAAGAAAGAGGCCAAAAACGTCCATCGTACTAGTTGATGCAAATGAAGCTGTTGTGCAGCCGTCTTCGACTAATTGGATCGTTTTTGCGCCCTCAGCCGGACTAAAAAACAATTCATTTTTTTTTATAGGAAACAAATATTGTCTTCTCATTATAATGATGTATTCTTACCCAACCCAAATACTTTCAATTCGAAAATGGAGACCAGTGTTGACAGCATCGTAAAAATCAATTATAAAATTGTTTCCAAGTTGCAAATTATTATTCGGATGACATCTATTATTTTGAACTGCGCAAGTGCTCGGAGACGGGAGAACCGAGGAGTCAAGTACGCCAGTTACATTATTTGTGATGATATCTGCCCCGTAAATATTCTAAAAAAACGATTTTAAAATCCAGGTTTCAGGGTATCAGACCGTGAGTTCTTCCAATTCAGTAGCGCCAGTAAATTCGCACTTGAAATTGAACCCAAAGAAGCTTTCAATCGGTGAGTCTCCCTAAATTTTTGAAGATTTTTGCTTGTTGATTATTTATTACGTTTAAAGTTTCAAGGACATTTCCGTCAAGATTGAAGTCGATGATGGACTTGTTGTTCGCGTCGGGATAGCCGGGAAGGACCTCACAGCTATCGAATTTTACTGAATGACGAAAAAGATAGTAGCGTTCCTTTCTTCCTTACTTTCGATAACATCTGATCCTTGGTCAAAAACATTGAACTCGCAGGTTTCCTCGTTTGAGTTACCAAAGATGATCGTTTCCGTCCATGCTTCTCCTCTATTCCAATGCTTTTTTGTGGATTCGAATCTCGATTTCTACTTTTTTTGGCTTTATTTGTTTGAAATCCTTCCTGGTCGAAGCAACTCTGATTAATCGTCACTTGAAAACTGTAATGTGAACAATCAACACTAGCGAAATCGTCCCTATTGCAATTCTGAGCCACTGAAATCGCCACAAGCAATTGAAGACACTTGAACTTCACATTAATTACAAGCAAAAAGCATATGTAAAAGTCAGATCTGAGCTGACAAATCCACGACCTGCCAAACCTCTTAACTTCTCAGAGAGAGCATTAACGATTCAAGAGGTCATGTCGCTATATTATCTTTATCGACGAGAAAGCAATAATATTTGCACACAAAATTATTGAAAATAAAAATAACACTTGTCCATATCTATTTTCGAAATATTCGCAAGAAAAAAGGACTGTCTACAAATATCACACTGACCTTGAACATTTCTCTTGGTTTCTAAAAAATAATGCTCGCAATTAAAAACCAGCGAGTTTTGAGTCAGGGCGATTCTTTTATAAAATGCTGAGCATGAGATAGGAACATAAAAAGGTCCATCATAAAAAACGCTACGTTTTTCATAGTCAGATCAAGAACTTGAATATATAGCTTAGAGTTTTAGGGCGAATAGGTCTGAAATTTCAGCCTTTTTGATTTGGCAAGCCTTGAATTTGACCCAAATTTTAACATGAAAGTTGTCGAAGAAATGTCCTAAAATTCTCTTTTTCAGTAAAAATTTTGCAGTGATTATCCCTTTGATCATTTTTTGATGTTCAAACTAATATTAGATATTCTTTTTTTCGTGTGATTTCCAATAATAAGAATAGAAAAGGAATAATTAAAGCCCGGAACGTCTGAACAGACAAGCCGCTTTCCAAATCTTAGGCGCTCGGAGATCCTTATTTCACACATATCGAAATGAAGCATATTGAATTCATCTTCTTATTACGTTCTTGGCAGCAGACCATATATTGAGACGGCCATATAAGGCGTTTTTTCAGATCAATCAAAGAAAGAGAAAAAGGCTTTTTTCGTCCTTCAGGTAATAAGAGAATTTTTCTTAGTTACAGTTCTGCTCTTTTCAATCAAAAAAGGTCGAAATAAATTAATTTGACAAGTGAATGATTAAATTATTCCCGCTTCATTTTCTTGCAAACTTTTTCGATGTGAAATGAACTGATTCAAAAAGTCAGTATTTTTTTGTCATTTATGAGATGACAAAAGCCGCGGTTTTCAACTTCATTCAACTCCACTTTTTTGATAAATAAATAAGTACGTTGCTGCATTTATTCAAAAATTTATAAATCAAAAGAGCATATAAAATGCACTCGAATGCATCACCTTGTCATCAGAACAAATTGAGATTCAAGAGAAGAATTAAGATTTGAAATCTCTTTTTTTTCTACCTTCGTAAGTCGATTTATCCTCAATCAAATAAATAATTTTTCGTTTTTCATCATAATTTCAGAAACCGCCGGATCGAAAAAAAGGAATAAAAATGAACTTCAGCTCATTTTTATTGATCTTCAATTTATCAGGTTTGTTGTTTGCCTAATTTTGACTTCAATCATGATCATTTTTAGAGGGAAAACGGCTTCTTGATGAGAACGGACACTTACGAAGTGGACCAAATGCAGACGCTGGGATTCTTGAGCTCTTGCATAATTTAGGAAAATGGTCAAAATATTTACATCAAGAAATCCTTCGAGGAAATCAGTTTTGAACCATTTGAAAGGGTCAGATGTCAATGGAGACTATGCTTACTCATTTTAACCATTACTTTTACAATAAACTCTTCAAGAACATAACAAGATTTTCCGATCTTTCAAGAGTAGAAGTCTTAAACTAGACGCGTCCAGAATTATTCTGGTCACCCGCTGAGTCACTCCCCTCAGGCGTGATAAGCTCTCTGTCTTTTTATGCGCGCGCTTCTTCTCGATTGAATTATTGAACTTGTTTTTGAGAATCTCAACAAAATTTGAAGAAAATTTTGAAATCAAGGAAGAAAACTGATCGAGAATTTTATGGCTGAGTACGAAGCTCCTGAACAAAAACGAGATTTTCGAGGTAAAAAATCAATCCCGGGAAAGAAACATTCAAATTTTTTACAAGAAACAAGCTTAAAATTATCAACACTCCTTTGTAGTCGGAGGAAATGGCGGTGGAGTAAAGGACCTCTTGAAAGGTTTCAAAAAATGGGGCGATGAGCAAGAAGCAATTTCCAAGCGCAACCCGTTCAACCGCGACTACGACCCCTCCCTCGTCCACATCAAAAAAGGAGAAGCAGGTTATGGCGAGCCAGTAGGCTTGACAAAGCAGCGCGGCGAAAAAGCAAAAAATCATGTCTACAAAGAAATTATCTGCTTGCTCGGACACGTCAAATCCCTTTGCTCTGACAGCCCAGACGGTCTTTACTGTACATTTAAGCAAATATTCGATAGATATGTGAAAATATCAGACAAAGTCGTGGGCATTCTTCTCAGAGCTAGAAAATATGGCTTTTTGGACTTTGAAGGGGAAATGCTCTGGCAAAGACAGGATGATGATGTGAGAATATATTTACTGACTGATATTGATTCTGCGAGGAATAAACTTGGACTCAAAGATTACTAACGCGTCTTGACGTTTCTATATTTGATGTCGATGAAGAAATACGGCAATTTGCAAATACCGCAAGTTGCAAATAAGAAATCCTCTTACAGTCGTCACTTTCATGTTCTTCAAAAATATCAGCTTGAACATGTAACCAACTTGATTGGATAAAATTTAGGCTTTGGCTTATCCTGAGACTGGATGTCGCGATCTTCCAAATGTCAAGAGTTAAAGATACAACCTTCTCACAGCTTACGCGGCCGAAGCATTGACATTCACAGAATGAAAATAGAAACGAGTGCCACCTAGTATATGTGATAGTATAAAACTCGAACATACTGATCATTTCTTTATCAAATATCAAGAATAAACTTTTCGGATTTAAAAGAAATCAAAATGATTAAATTTTTCGCATTCTCTTTCTTCGCCACCGTTCTTGGTCAGAACGACTACTCCGAAGGAACTGACTTCGACCCATCTGATGATGAGTCTCAACGGCCATTTCAAACCCTCGCAATTGCTGCCGTTAACCTGACAAAAGGCCTGATTGAAGGGGGATATAACTACAACAAATGTAGATTCTGTAATGGCGTGGATTACGTAACTTGCAGAAATTCGGCCATTGGAAATTGCGACAATTATTCTGACGCTGGCATTGATGACCAAATGGTTTGTGAAATGAGATGGGAAAAAGGTAATTTTTTATTAATACTAAACATTAAAGTAATGAAGAATCATGAGAAAACGAAATGAGAATCATGATAGTTCATTAAAATAAACAAAATTAATCGAAAAAAGCTATAATTTAGAAATCGGTGGTAGCTTGAAATTTTATTCCGGCTGCGCTTTGAAATCCTCTTGTCAAGCTCAAGAAAAGCAAAACTTCGTCGGATCCGTAAAGCTTCGTCATCAGTGTGCTTCGACAACAACTCTCGAAAGCCCATTCCGAAAAAGATTCAGTAGATCTATCAAATGCACCTTCTGCCACAAGATGGGAGATTCATCCTCGAATACCATCTATGGCGAGGAAATTGCAGTAAAAGCCGAAACTCTCTTCACCGCCCAGGAATCTTACGCCGACAACATGGAAACTCGTCTTGCCGCTTGGGCGCTCGAGCAAGATAATGCTCCCTGGTATACATCTGAAGTTGCAAGCATTTTCTGAGTTGATGAAACCCTTTTTGGCGATTCAAGCAATAAATCTGTTCTATAATTCACTACAATAAGACTGTACTCTTTATTTAATAAAATACTTAACAAAATAACTGAAAAGTTTAAGCGCTTAATAATAATTCATAAATTAAGAATCATGAACCATAAGCAGCTTATGATTCGTAAGCAAAAAATTCTTAAGTCTTCCAGTATTTTCTACTCTTCCAGCCGCCGGAGGACTTTTTTCAGTCATTCCCACGCTTGGTTCCCACGCGCTGGACGGAATTACTCATCCAATTTTATTTCTTTTTGAATTCCTGCTGACACTATTCAAAATGAGTGAAATCAAATTAGAGACATTGGGTCAGCTACAGACATATTTGGTATTGAAAAGAGCAGATTTGCTGTGTTACTATCAAGGATTGGTGGAACTAGGCGGTGATAATGTCGAGTATTTGGCCATGTTGAATGTAAGTACTTATCTAGCACTTTTATGATAAAATATGTGGAAGAAAATTTATTTTTCTTCATTTTTCTCGGTGAAACTACATAAAGGTCCCTAGAAACCTTCATTTTTTGTCAATTCAGGACGAGGATTTGAGCCAAGTCGTGGAAATGCTTGGAATGACCGGCAAACCTCTGCATATTCAACGCATGATCAAGGCCCTTAACGACTGGAAAATGACGCCTCACAGCTTCCAAAACGAGCTAGAATACTACAACCAAGTCCCCTCCAATTCCATTCCCATTCGGTAAGGCTCTTCTGCAAAGAACAGGGGGCTAGAATCTTTCAGAAATCCGTATAAAGAAATCGAGCATCAAATTCAACAACTTTGCGAGGACTTCTGCGATGAAGAAAACGAGAAAGTCATGGAAGAACTTCGAGAATCACGAGAAGCAGAGCGCGAAAAAGTCAAAGCTCAGTTCGGGGAGAGCTACGCGAAAGTTCAAGAATTCGCGATTCGGAAGATAATCAACGCAAAGGATGATGTCGCTGTTCTTGATCAAGGTAAAAGTCTCCTTTTCAAACCTCTTTTCGATATTTTTTCTAGAGCTGTTAGTTCAAATCGGCAAATCCTTGGTCCGAATCGACCCTTCCTACCTCTCAGAAACCAACCAAACCCGAATTCTTGAAGATACACAGAAACTGCTCCTTCAATTCCGAGAATCATTTCGCTCAAACGATGACCGAACCAGTGCTTCTGAAGAAGAAGAGTAGATTCGTTTTGTCGAAGATGAAGAATCTCCGTTTTTTGCGCGTTAAATTTTTCCTGCCTAGAAGTTTTCTGAAGAAAATGAATGATTCCTGACTTTTGAAATTTTAGAATGACCGACTGGGCCGATGACTCGATTGATCTTGGATCACCTTCTGCAGTCGCCGACGGTAAGAAAGGACTGAAATCCTCTTAAAACCATGTATTTTAAGACGCGTTGCCGCCACCAAAAGTGATTGAAAAGGGCGACCAAATCATCAAGATCTTCTACAAGTGGCGGGAGAACGAGTCGACTGACAAAAAAGAGCTTGTCAAAGTGACAAGAACTTTTGTTCAAGAAAAAGTGAAGACTTCCAAGCGAGTGGCGGCGAGAAAGAAGTGGGCCAAGTTTGGCCTTGCTGCTAATGATGGACCAGGTAAAGAGTTAGAGGCCGTGTATAGCGATATCCCTTCTTTAGGACCACAGGAAGCGACGACAATGTACGGAGAAGAAGTCATGATGCGATTTATTGCCGCGGACCAGACCGAAGAAGAAGCTGAAGAGGAGGACGAGCAGATGAACAAGTTCAAGCGACAGTTTGAGTATTTCAACTTCTTCCAGGGCTTCTCACAGCGCTCTAGCGATCGACCAGCTGCCGCTCAAATGGTAAATTCAGCACTAGACTCGATAAATGTAGTCCTTTTTTCATTTTAGCTCTCATTCGAAGAGGTATATTTTGAAAGTTGCAGTTTTCTTATTCGCATTGGAACAAACTAACTAGCTTTTTCTTCACTCACTGTTTTCTCTAAAAAGAAGCCAGCGCTAAAAATTTTCTAGGACATCCCGAGCGTCAGTATCAAAGATGCCACCGGCGGAAAATACGTTCCTCCGCGCAAAATGGGCGGTGGTTTCTCCGACGAAGTCCCCGCTATCCGAGTTTCGAACCTCTCCCCCGCCGCTACTCAGGACGACGTTCAGTCCCTCTTCTCCAAATTTGGCAAAATTGCTAGAATTCATTTGGGTAAGCTTTCGCTCAAGCTCTTCTCGATTCATGATCTTTTCAAGGCCGTGATCGACGAACGAACGAGTCCCGTGGCTTCGCATTCATCAACTTCCACCATCGCGACGATGCTCAACGCGCTATTGACACGATGAACCGCTACGGTTACGACAACCTCATCCTCTCCGTCGAATGGTCCGAGAACCGAAAGAAGGAGAGCGCCACCGAAGCCTCCAAGCCCGAGTTCCTTAGACGACAGCGATAGAAATAGAAAAACAATCAATTGCTACTGTTTGTACCAAGTTCATCTCTTGCTCTAGAATATAAAACCTGTCTGTTGCTCCTGTGTACTCAGCAATTTAGGATACAATTTTCTGTTCAATACATCTCCGTCTAACTCATCAATCAGTCTTTTCATGATCATTTTCGGTACAAAATGATCATATAAGCAGTCAAATTTCATTTTGCATCGCTTTTCTATCAATTCCAACGCATTTTATCAAGAATGACGGAAGCAGAAAGCCTGTCGTGGAAACAGTCCGATCTGATCGATGCAGAAATGCCAGCCTGTTCCGTCGAATGGATCCCAGATCAAGAGCTTCTAGCGGTCGGATGTTACGAACTCGTTGACGGCGAAACCTCAGAGCGAAGAGGAAAGATTGAGTTTTACTCGATAGATGTACAGGGAAAGTACAAAAAGGAGCACGATCTGAACTGTGCGGCGATTTTGGACATGAAGTATGATCAAGTTTGTGGGAAGCTTTACGCTGTAGATTCTAATGGCTTCATTTCCGTGGTAGATCCGAAAGAAAAGAAGATTGAAAAGAGATTCCAGACGTCGCAGGGTTTGTGCTTGTCCCTGGCGATTAAAGACACTTCTGTGGCTGTTTCTTCTTCAGTTGGGTAGGACGGAGTGTAGAGACAATACATGAAGTTTGTTTAGATCCGTTTCTATTGTCGACAAGCAAACGCTAGAAGAAACCGCTTGGTTGGGAGTCCACGATGATGCAGAAGCTTGGATAGTTGCTCTTGGACCTAACGAGACAATGTTCACGGGCGGTGATGACTCTTGTTTCTGTCTTTGGGATCTCAGAAGTCATGAAACAATAGTGAGAAAGAAGTTTATGTGCGGACAGACTTCTTGCGAATGGAGCCCGATCGACGAAAACATCATCGCTCAAGGTAAAAAAATGTCGAACCCGTTTTACATAATCATGAAATTCAGGCGGTTATGACGATACAATTCGTCTGTGGGACACTCGGAATTGGAAATCACCCCTTGACGAGCAACATCTCGGCGGTGGAGTGTGGCGAACGCGTTGGAAAAGTGATGGAAGTCATTTGGTCGTCCCGTGTATGTACGAAAACTCTCGACTCATCCAAGTCAGCGGCTCGCACAAAATGAAAGAACTCGAGAAGTCCGACTGCCATAGTTCTATCTCGTATGGAGGCTGCTGGATTGAAGAGAAGAAATTTATTTCGACCTGTTCTTTTTATGATAAAAAAGTTGCTCTGTGGTCGTATTCTTGAATTTACTCGGAATAAAATTGTAAATCCTCAAATTCTGTTCGTTTTAATCAAGTCAACTGCCGGGTCACAAAAGCGCGGCTCTTGCAGAGAAGCTAGAAAGTTCGATTATGTTAAACACGGAAGGGAAGGTTCAATTTCTTCTTGATACTTGGGAAGGGCAACAGAAAAGGTTTAAATTTCAGAATGGCGGACAACGATGGAGCGGAAACAATGACGATCGAGGAGACTAACAAGCTCCGTGCAAAGCTTGGTCTCGCTCCTCTGGAGGTCCATTCTGATGCGCCAAAAGATGACGGCCGCATTCTTGGCAGCGATGGAACTCGGTTCCATCACAAACCCGCGAAAAACATCACAGAAGACAAAAAGTCGGAAAAGATTCGCGAGAAACTCGAGAAACGAAAAAAGCGTCGAGATATTGATTCGAAATTGAGCAAGGTGAAGGGTCTTGGAGAATCAGACGGAGAAGACGATATAAAATCTTGGGTCAAGAGATCGAGGAAAATTCACAAAGAAAAAGCCAAGGCTGAGCGGAAAGAAGCAGCGATCAGGGCACGAGAAGCAGAAATGGAAGAAGAGCGTAAAATCATTGAAGAAGAAATGAAGGCGAAGGCGTATTCTGGAAACGCTCTCGCTGGGTTGACAGTTGAGCACGATCTTGATCGATTTGGGGAGGGTAGAGATGTCATTCTCACGCTCAAGGATTCCAAGATTCTTGAGGAGGAAAAGGCCGGGCTCAGCATCCTTATCCAAAATATATTACAGGCCCTGTAATACAGAGTCTAAATTTTAGACTCTAAAATGAGCTAGCTCTTTGAAAGTCGCTACGCGACTTTTCTTGAGTTTTGCTCGTTGCTAAGCCAAGAAAAAGGGCTTATCTGAAGATGTTCTCGTCAACGTGAACATGCAAGATGACGAGCGAGCAGCGCGATACGTCAAAGACGTCAAAGACTCGAAAAAAATCGACAAAACTGGTTACAACCCGATGGAGAAGTACGACGAAGAAGCGATGGAAATGGAAGCTCTGGGCATGGGCAAAGACTTGTTGCTTTCGAAATACAACGAGACCATCGATGGGGAGAAGAAGAAGAAGTTTATGATCGGCAAGGATGGTGCGATCTCGACCGTAGCGATGGAAATGCGGAAACAAATGCGAGAAGAACTGGCGAAAAGATGCATTAATTTGAATGATATCAAGTCGAAAATCGCCAATGATTATCAGGTAATATCTTTATTTATTTTTAGTGCCCAATAAAGCAAACGTTAAGACTCCTGAAGAAGCGAACGCCTTCAAAAAGCGCAAGAAAAAGGTCAAGAAGGTGCGTCAAAGAAAAACAGGAATCGAGCTCATGGATGATACTTTGGAAAGACGTGATTTTGAGACTGATGTTTTCGCTAAAGGTACCCGTTTTTGCCCATAAATTAGGAATTGTAAGCTTCTTTTAGATCATGGCAGCAGAAAAAGAAAAGCAGTCATCGTTGAAAACGAGAACAATAAGATGGAAGTCGAGCCAGCTGTAAAAGAAGAGGTTGAAATTACGGAAGAAGAGCTTCAAGCGACCCTGAATGCAGCAGGTAATGAAACTCAGACGAACCTGAATAATCGTTTTTTTCAGCGAAAAATGTAAAAGAATCACTCAAAGACGAAGCTGACGTCAAAACAGAGCCACAAGAAAACGTCATCGAAGACACAGTGAAAAAAGACGTTGTCGTGAATTCCGCTCTCGCCCGAACCCGTCGTCTTCTCAAAACCAAAGCCAAGATGGAAATGGCCGATCCAGCAGCGGTGCTCAAGGCGAGAATTTCAAAGCTCTCGGAAAAGTATAAGGAGCCAGAGAAGATGGATGGAGTCGATGAAAAAGATGTCAAAACGGAAATTGTTTTGAATGACGTCGATGAATTCTGCAGGTAAGAAAAGAGAATTTGTGTTTTCTTCAAATTTTATTTTTCTCCTAGAGCTGTTGGCCAAGCAAATGCAGAAAAGATCCACGAGCGAGAAAAAGAGCTGAAATACGAGCAACGAGAGCGGGAAAGAGAAGCTCAAGGGAAAAAAGGCGACGACTCGGATGAAGATGGAATTGATATTGACGCAATTCTCGCAGATCCTTATGCCAAACCAGAGAAGAAGAAGATCGTAAGCTGTCCCTTATCAACTCTTCAAGTAGTCACTATTCTTTTCAGAACGATCAAGAACTCGATGGAGTCGAAAAAGAACCACTCGCTGGCCGTGGTCTTGCCTCAGCGCTACGGGTTGCTTTTCAAAAAGGATATGTTGACGGGAAGCTTCCAGCGAAGGTAAGTGAAACCTATAATTTGTCTCGTGCTGACGTTTATTCACGAGTTTGTTATTATTTTTCATTTAATTTCTTTCTTATTTCTCAATCGGGTCACTGTATAAAAATAGCCGTTCCCGTATAAAAACTCGGGTTTGAATTCAATAGTTCAATAAAACATGTTCCTTTCAATGAAATACCTCCTTCTGCCTTATGTCGCAGTCTTCGCCGACCTGGCAAGCTTCAACCGGGGGATGAACAATGCGCGGATGCATTTGTTGTACTCGAGGATCATGAATCAAGACAGGTTCTCGCAGTTCAAAAATCTCGGTCCAAAGAAAACCAAACGACTTTCGAACTTTGAGGAACTTCGCAAACAACTCTATGCCCGAAATCTAAGATATTAAATATTTCCCTGTTTGATAGCGCTGAAGCCAACCAAATGGTGTAGTGGTAGAACTCATGCCCTGTCAGCCGTTTCACTTGTCCAATCTTTCTTTACCTTCTTTTATTTCAAATAAATTGCAGATTTTGCATTAATTTATTACGGTTAACCGTTACTGTGGCTTTTTGTCATATTTTTATCGATAACTTTCAGGCTGGTGGAATCACCGTCGATGGAAAACACAAAGAGCGAATTTCCGCCTCCGTTTATTCAATCGAAGACAAGAACCGAGTCGATCATCTCGACAAATACGCATCAGACAAGTACCGCAGGGACTCTAGCAGAGGTGGCGAACGCTCAAAAGGCTCACTCATGCCATTCAACGAGAAACGAGACTATGTTCCTTCTATTACTGTGAGTGTCGAAATTCGTTTGGATAGTAAAATGATGATTTCAGGTCGAGCATATAGACGAAATGGGTAGACCGAAGACTCAAAAGGAGGCTTTTAGGGACCTATCTCATAAGTTCCATGGAAAAACTTCTGGCAAGATGAAGCAAGAAAAGCGGGCAAAGCGAATAGATGAGGTATTTCAATCTCTTGCAGTTTATTTCTTTGACAGGATATTTTACTTGGTATTCTCGGTTTCACGGCTAAAAACTTTTCTCCTAATATTCAGCCTCATTTTCTCAGATTTCATGATATTTTTCTAAGTTGAAAAAATGAGAAAATCAAGGTTTTCACTTTCTTTTTTCAGGATCAAGCGATGCTGAGAATGTCTTCAACCGATACTCCGCTCAACACCGTCGAAATGCTTCGCCGAAAACAGAAGCAAACTTCATCAGCCTTTATCTCCCTCACTGGCGGCTCGATGCTTTCATCGACGAAGAAATAAGTAGAATTCTAGTGCTACTTTCATTGCCTTTCGAACTTCGAAATTCGAAGAATAATAAATATGGAAATAAACTAGCGTAATTCACGTCCATTTTGAAAAGGGGGAAGTTCAAGTGCTGACCTTGTCCTTCTCACCCATGTGCGATTTTCTCAATAATAATTCATCCAAATAGCTGTGAGTAAACAAAAGATAGGGCAGGTAGCCTTATCCTAGGCGCCTTGTTTATATTCGAGAATCGGATAAACAGAGTCGATGAAGATTTTCATTTTTCTTGCTGGAGCGATTTCCGCTTTTTCTATCAGCGAACAGCAGGCAAATGAATTTTTAAGGTGAGTTCAAATAAAGTGGTTTAGTCAACAATTTTTGGGTTCACAGGGGAAAAGGATTGAATGAACCCATTATCAATGGACGGCCGTCTTAGCTTTTCGTATGCCCTCTCTGAGGAAAATTCATGAAATCTTTAATTTCACCAATTTATTAATCCCAACTTCAAGTCGGGACAAAAGAAGCCCCCTGGGTTCACCCTGCCGCACTGACTGCGTAGACGAGTGTCTTCAAGAATGCACGGAAAATCGTCTCGAGGATCTCTACAAATACAACCAATACAGAGCGGTCCAAGGTAACTTCCGAATACTGCATCATTTATTAACCTTTCATCTTAGTTCGCGAATACTGGTTCAATAAAGGACACAATCAGTAAGAAAAGAAAAGCGCGGAAATTCTACAGTAGGTGTAAAAATTTATTTACTGTGGTAATAAATTGATTCTATACATTCGTTTCTGTACTCGCTCGCCCAGATTGTATAAAGTCGTCGATTGGTGGTAGCTTTTTTCATGGGTCAAGATGTAGATACAAGAGATAAAGATAAGGGAATTACTTGACCCAAGTTTCAAAAGAGAAGGAGAAGGAGGTGGCGGGAAGCCAGTAAACGTCGTCGACATAAGTGCGTTCGATCTATAATCTAGCGTCGGGTAAATTTCCGTCACCACGTGACAGTTCCATTCTTCGTGCGATGAGTATCTGACAGGCGAGTGAATCATTTCGCCGTTGACGATCGAGACCGGCTCGATCGAACTGCTCTTTTTTGCTTCGCGAGCTAGTTTCTTTCGCAAGTACGAATCTGAAGTTCAATTCAGAAGCCTAAATTTCCTTCTTTGCTTACCTGGGCAGCAAACATGGCTAAATCCTCCTTCAAGTTCCGGATTATACTCCGGCATCTCCCCATATCCATTCCTTGCCAGCACCTTTTGCTCCCAATATCGCCGTCGGTCGTGCGACTTTTAACGGTTTTAAGATCTGATCCGGTTAACCTGTTAGTCAGTTACTGTCAAAGCAGTTCACTGTCTCTTGTGACCTTGGAGCATGCTTAACAAAAACTGACAATTCAGATGATAGACGCATCTACGCATTAAAGATAAATCCCTTTTTGCTTATTGTCGCTCATCATCTGTGCTCTCGAAAATGTTAATTACAATCAAGTCGAATCAGTTGGGAAGCATGTTAAACTTGAAACCGTGGCATAAGCCTTGGATGCAATTTCCAATAAAACCACATGATCAGCAAAAGGAAGAACATCGGCGTTATCGGAAACATGACGAACCACCAAGTTGACCCTCCCTGAAACGGTTCCTTTCTTTAGTTTCAATTTGATTTTTATATTTTTCTGGCTGACCTGCGAAAACTTCTCTTCGTCCATTTTTGCCAACTTTAGAAATTTTCTCTGTTGTTGATTTCAAAAAACATTTTCGGAGAAAAAATATCTATTTTTTTTATTTGTGGCTTGCAAGTTTTGAAATTAAACACGAATGGCGTTCGGAATGGCAATTAAAGTATTAATAAGACCATAATGTTTTGCCTTGAGGCTTGTGGCGCCGTGGAACATACGACTTTATGCAACATACACAACCGCGCAGCTCTGAACGCTCAAATGCGCCGATTCAAATGCATTAATCATTCAAATTTATTCCATCCAGTGATTTTCGGCGCTCAGAGTCTTGCACTTTTATAAGTTTGAGTTCGTTGGCATTGAAACAAGAACAATTATTATTGAATTAATCCCTGGTATATGAAGTCATTTTTGGACTTATTTGTAAGGTTCTTATTGTCAATGACTTCATAACGGTAGAAACTGTCGTTTTTTGCGGATTTATTCATGAAAAAAAAAGATCGAAAAGAGAGCTTGAAAAGTTAAAGGCAAAAGAAGATGGAAAAGACGATTAACAAGTCAAGGATTATATTGACCTCGATAAGATTAATAATGGCTAATAGCCCGCGGTAAATCTTCTCTGACAGGATTTTCTGTCTGAATACGTATCTATGGATGAGGTTTGTTCTGTAGCTTCGACGTTAAAAATTATTGTATAGAAAGTCTGATAATCAAGGAAATCGTCGTGACATTGCCAATTGTGAGTGAACCAGGTCCTTAAATTTCTGATGGTTGAAAAAATTCTCAGTGAATGGACGAATTCTTACCCCGAGCTCTTGACGAATATTTCCAGCAGTCAGCTTGTGTCTCATCATATCTATTGTAACTTTTCTATCAGGAGTTCGTGCTAGAATTTGAAAGCGCTCATGTCGTCCAAAATGCCATGGAACGATTGCAGCGACTTGATCTAAGAAAGGAAGAAATATGAAGATAAAAAAGTTCATTTTTGTGGAAGAATGAAAGCGTACTCGCCTTAAATGTCCTTTTATGTTCTCAATACATGTCCACTAGAACATATAGAATGTTAAATCTATCTAATCGGTGCTTTTTATGTAAATAAGATTCTAAAATAATTTAATTGCTTCTTTAACATAAGATTTGATCTATAAACAGCAAGATAATCAATGATTATTATTGAAGAGGTAGAGGATTAATCATAATTAAGCAATTTGTTTCATATTTATTGCTAGTATAATTCAAGGTTGAAACAACTTGTCTTCAGAAAGTAATCGGTCAGTTAGTCGTGGAAGGGAAATCGCATGGTCATCCGTAGTTGAGCAGAAACTTCGTCCTAAACGATTGTTATGAGAAGAATCGAGAACTGGGGGTTTAACCTTGAGTTGCTGGCCAATATTTCCAGCCGTCAGCTTTCCCTTCATCATTGAAAGTGTAACAACTGCATCAGGAGTCCTGGCGATCGACTGATATCGATGATGTCGAGCGAAATGCCAAGGAGGAGTTCCAAAAGTTCCAGAAATTTCCAAAAGAGCCAATATAGGGACTTTCATTTTTCAGAAATTTTAAAAAATTATGATCGTGGATTCGATGAGTGGCACTTTTATATGGATCATAATTGAACCTAATTGATGATTGACAATTGTTATCTTTGAAGACGTTCTGAGCTTAGATCTTTTAATTGTGTTAAACAATATGATTATATATAAGATTTTAAATGTTATACAAGCTTTTTATATAAAGGAGGTTTTAGAACGATGTTCAAAGGTTCTTTTATAACGAGCCTGTTTTTGCGGCTCTTGAGGCGTATAAACGGGTTTTAAGATGAATGCCACTTTTTAAGCTAACTAGCCGAAAAAATGACTGAATCTTCTAATAAGAATCTATTAAAAGACCCGAAGATCATTCATAAAGGGAGAAAATTTATCAAGTTCAGCGAAAAAAATCGTCTCCGCGGCTGGATGACTCGCTTATCAGTCTCTCTGGCGATCTGGATGCCGCGGTCGATTTCGTGCCAGAAGTTTTCTCTTTCTTCTTCTCTGTGACTTTCATTGTACATTTTGGTTGTATTTTGGAGTAAAGTTTGAGAGAAAGGAGAAAAGGGAGCAAAGGAGGATGAGGCTGATGTTTTCAGCGATTTTGCCGAGTCTGATGCCCGGCTCGGCAAGAAGTTTGGAGTGCGTGAGATGCAATAGGAAAGGATTGAGATGCCTGACGAGGGGTTTTCGCTCTAGACCTCCTTAACCCTTAAAAGTTACATTGATGTTGAAAACTCGCATTGTTGGTCTCCAAATCATGACCTTCTCGTTTCTTGTCCGGATCGACTTGGTAAGAAAATCTATTTTTTTTCAACAAATATTGATTACAGATGGGACAAAACCGATGTGCTTGACGGAAATCAGAGTAATGAGAACACGAAAGAATCTTGAGCTCGTCGATTTGAGAAGAGAGTGTTACTATGGATTTGAGCCGGAAGTTTCGATTGTCAGGCAGGATATTTGCAGGTTGCCTTCTTCTCATTTTTCCTCTCCGAAATTCTTTTTAGGGAAAATTTCTGCAATACATTTTCTTTGCCAAAAAAATCTGAAGATATGTTCTCAGTGGAAATGTCTTATGAATCGCAAAAGCGGCAAAAAGAACCGCTTTCTTGCATCTCGTGTTCGGGAAAAGATACTTGCTTGAATCCAACTTTGAGAATGAGAACAAGCTCAACTGAAAATTGCGAAGCCTACTACGACTGGCCAGGTTGAATGAATTAAAAAGTCCAAGAAATACAAAATGGTTTAGGTTGTTTTCTGGAATCATGGATGAACGATGACGGAGAACTTTCTTCAATAAGACGGGGCTGCTACGATTTCTCCCAAAAACCCGGCGAATCTTTCACAGAATTTATTCAGACAAAGACTTGCGATGAAAACAAGTGTAACAACGATCAACCGGATTTCAAGAAAAAGGTTGTTTTGCTCGTCTTTTTAATTTCAACGAATTTTTAGTTTTCGACTGATTTTGAAGGAAGTGGAGATGACGATCAAAATGACGATGAAGAAATCGACGACACATTTTTTGACGGGATCTTTTCGACGATTCATTCGACAGAAAAGGACTTGGATGATTCAATCACAACTGTAGTCACTATTGGAACGGAAAAGTATGAGACAGCATCTGGCGATGGCGAGGAAGACTATTTCTCAGGAAGTGGGGATGGAGAAGAAAAAGACTCGGTTTTTATCCCAGAGATCATCAGGAAGGATTTTCTAAGGGCTTGTTCTTCTTTGAGATGAGAAATGACGAAATTCTTATAAAAGTGTAGCTCAACAGTGGACAGAGAAAACACAGAAAACAACAACAGTAACTGTTGCTTCAACAGAAGTCTTCGAACCCGAGATTGTTGATCCAAAGAAGAACATAAAAGATGAAAAGGGACCAAAACCAAGCCCAGCTGAAGAGATAACCGTTTACATTGGTGAATATAAAGTTTGATGGTCTTGTTAACCAAGCAATTAAGGATATGGAGAGCCGGTTTCTGAAGAAATTACAAGCAAGAAAACATCGGCTGCGAGTCGACTTGGCATACCTTCTGTACTTTTTGTTGCTAGCATGTTTCTTTTGTAGATAAACCAACATTCTTTTACCATCTTTAAAAATGGCTTTTTCGAAAAAATCATTTTGGGAAACGACAAATGATGATGGAAGGGCATATAAAATTGTTAAAACAATGGCGAAGACTTTTATTGATAAGAAACAATGTTTGATATTAAATATTTTTGATACTGAAAAAAGTTTTGGCTGCAAATATCTCAACCCTTGTTCCGATAGCGCCCGCGGCACTGCCATCCGAATATCCAAGCACTCAACTTAATCAAGCATTTTCTCCTGAAAAATTATTTTGATAAGTTGCCTTTCAAATGTAAATCGTAGTGCAAGATTAGAGAGAACTTGAAAATGGGAAGATATGGACGAGCGTATACGATATCAAATGTGCTTTTGGCCATTTATGTCACTGCGTTTTGCTACTTTAATAGAGAAAAATTGAAGTTGTTTTTCAATGGGGACTTGGATTTCAGCGCTGCGAAGCTGATGGATATCAGCAACACGGAATATCCACCGGGTCCGACGGCAGAGCCGACAAGTTTGCCCAGTCACGTAAGTTTTAACAAAGCCTCCCTCTTTATTCAACAACAAAATCAGATAAATGAAGTTGGCTTCCAAGAGTTGGTTGATAACTTTCCCCTTTGGTCGCCAAAATTCATCATTGTTGGGGTGATGAAATGCGGAACAGGTAAAGTCCTCCTTCACAATTTACAAAACGTAAATTTCCGCGAACAGGTGCGGCGCATACTTTTCTCGGCAACCACCCAAATGCCGTTCCAGCCACTGCCGAAGCATATTTCTTCAACAAGGACAAAAATTACGAGCAAGGATTTACGTATTACCGAAAGTTCTTTCTCCGAGTTGGTCACAAGCAGCAGCCATATGTTCACTATGAAAAATCGCCGACTTATTATCGGAGTTTGACCGCGCCGCCGAGGATGAAAGAGATGAATGAAACGCTGAAAGTAGTAAATGTCGTTTGTGATAATGTCAAGCGAACTTTGTCGAGATATCTTCACATAAAGGTTTATTCCCTCCGCAATGCATTTTTCAACCCTTTTTTTCTAGACGCACACGGACGACGGTCATTTCAGCCATAATCACCTGTCCCTAATTGGCCAAACTTTGGAAGAGTTCCAAGTCAATCTTCGAAATACAATCAGGACTTTTGGCGCCTTCTTGGAGGATGTGAAAAACAATGAGGGCGACGGAACTATAGAAGGACTCATCAAGGCCTTATCGTACAGATTCAAGCACAAAATGAGACCATTTGGTATTCGAGCGACGCAGGACAAGATCGAGCTTATTTTATGTAAGATAGATTTCCCAACATTTTTTTTAAATTTTGCTTAGCTGATGGATTCTACGCTGTTTTTCATAAGTACTGGCAACAGTTCTTCCCAGACGATCAGCTTCTTGTGGTTGATGGTGGTCAATTCCGTAAGCCGAAGAGTTTTTCTTCATCTTTTTAGCCTTCTTTTTAGTCAAAACACCCTGGGAACCGATGGTTGAGATCCAACGGCACGTCGGACTAAGTGAAAGGATCAATTCTTCGAGTTTCACTTTCCGGGATGGAATGGATGTTCCTTGCTTTATTGATGCACAAGAAAATGTCAACTGCCTGGTAAGCAATTTCAGCCAATCAGGAGCTTAAAAATAGCTTACAAGCCAATCAAAATTCCTCCCTTGTTGACGAGGGACCGACAATAACGTCAATTTTTAGCCGGAGCAAAAAGGGCGCTCGCTACATAAAAGTCTCGACATGGATGTGGTACGGGCACTTCACGAGCTCTATCGACCTTTCGACGCTTACTTCGCCCAGAAAGTGCTGCACCGTTCGCCGTTTCAGTGGAATTATGGCTTGGAAGCGCCATAATCCTGTTACTACGGGAATTTCTAGAATAACCACTCAAGACAATTAGTACACAGAAAAAACTTGAAGCTGTATTTTTATTTAATAAATTTGTAATCCAGAATGATTCGTTCCTTTTTGGCTTGCTATTCGTATTCTTCATAATTGTAGCCTTGCTGCTCGAGGTGCTCTTCTGGCTTGATTTCGCCGAGGAGCACTTCTCTGTAATGCTGAACAACGGCGCACGGGAAGCAACAGCAAAGGATCCAACTTTGTCTAAAAACATAATAAAGTGATTATTTTCTTTCTTTGAAAGCTTGTTGTATAACTCATAAACAATCACTTACGTACAACATGTTCCATTGATCCCCAGTTTTTCTTTTATCTTTTCTCGCTGAAATCTTGATCGGCCCATGATACACTTATGAATTAATTTTTAAGATATTTAAGACTTCACATATCATTTCTCATGTGATTGATATAAAAGTTTTGCTTACATAAAGACAGAAGAAGCCGCCGAGATCCGAGTTATTAGTCTTATAAAGGGTTTAATTTTTGTGTCAAACGGGACTATCCATTGAGTTCTTTATTGCTTTAGGTGCTAAGAAAGGCGTTATGTAAGTCTTTAGGGTCCCTGGGTTAGGGAAGTCCTGCTCGATCACTAATTGATTGGCAATTATAGGGGCAATATTGAAAAAATATCACTAAACCCTTGGCCAGTTGAGTCGATCTTCAATCTCTTAAAAATTCCATGATAAAATTTTTAAAAACCTCGACTTCATATATTACCTCGCTCGATGAGAAAAAAACAAAATGCTGCCTTAATCAATAAGCATGGATCCGAACATGTAATCAGCGGATAAGTCCAATTTCTGGAAAAAAAAATTCGTTGAGCTTCGAGAAGAAATTCTTACCGTTCGCATTTAGGTTCTGTTGTAACAACATTGTTTCTCATTTCTGGAAAAATATAGCGAACCGACGCTTTCGTTATTCGAAAGAGGATAAGTTTTTACGATCGCGAAAAGGTCTTTCCATGATCTTCGTATGGCATAGGAACACGTCAAAACACAAAGGTGAGAGGTATCTTTGTACCACCGATTGTATTCGTTTTATGGGGCATGATTATTGACATCAGAATACTATACCAAGTTGTGGATAAAGATGACTTTCTATATATAACTCAACTCTATGTAAACATTTGAATTTGGCACATTATAAAAGTATGCAAGAGTAGAAAAAATGCATAAAATCTTTCGCTTAAAAGTCGAGCATGAATTATCATTTTTCAACCGGCATTCCAAGAGAATTTTTAGCGGATGGATTTGTACTAGATTCAAGCAGCTCTTGTTACTATTGCAAGTTAGTTCTATTCAAAATTTCAATAGAGCCAAGTTCAGGCGTATCACCAGCACTTTACTTGCCCATGAAGATCCTTCCGAGAGCTCGATGAATTGCAGAATTTTCTGTTCTCGGCGAATATGCGATGCTTGTTTCGAAGATATAATTCAAGAAAACAAAGTTTGTCATTCGTGTTCGTCAGTTCTCGATTTCGATCTGAAAATGAGGTCTACAGAACATACTGACTACTTAGACAGAATCATCTTCAAATGTCCCATGAAAATGCCCTGTGACAAAACTCTTTCTTTCATGGATTTTCTGAGCCATAATCATGGATCTTATAGAGAAGCAAGTGAACTGATCATGAACGTTGAAGAAAACTCAGTCCGCAAACTGAACACTGAGGTCGAAGATGACAAAGATGAACGAACCAAAACACCCATTAAAGAGCTACCTTTCCCTTCGATATCAGAAATAAGTTTCTCTGAGGTCAGTTCTGAAGCAACGGTGGTTCCTGAGACAAATAAAAAAGGTACGCTCCTTCATACACTTACTTATAAATCTACAAGTCGATGACCACGAGTCTGATAAGCTGAAAATTATGGCGGAAAATATCGAAAAACTTTGGATAACTATCACTGACAATCAAAAAGATCGCATTGATATGAAACATGAAATGGAAAAGCTCAAGAAAAAGGTCGAAAGCTTCGAAAAAACGAACGATGATCTAAAGAATCAAGTCGAAAACCAAAAGTTGACAATAAACAGTCTTGATGAACAGATCGAGGTAAAATTCTTGGTTATTTTTTTTAAATAATCTTTTACCTAGCAAATGCGCATTGATTTTGCGGAAAAATTGAAGAAATAAAAATTCACAAGATTTCCAATTTAATAACCCTGACAATAAAAAATAAAAACTCGAAAACAGACTCATTATCAATTCTCAAGTTCACCGCGCCTTTTATTGTCGGCAATCTTCAAAACAACTTTATTTTAGCTATAAAACTCAAACAGTGCGATTTAAAAGAAAGGTCTTCAAGTCACAAGGGTCTGAAGAAATTTTCCTACCCTGAGGCTAGTCTCGGCTGTTATATAAATAAGTGTCAGGACCTAAATTCCTAAAGAACCTTAGAAAAAGGGCGAGAGAGAAAGAGCGATGAATAAGGATATGGAACAGAAAAAGGAGACCTCCGACAAGGTAAGATAAGAAACTTTGAGATGTTTATTTGAAATTTGGAGAAGTCTTCGTTAAATTTTTTATAATTATAATTACTTAAAATGTCCCTTACAAATAAGTAAATCTATGAAAAGTTAATTAATGTATCATTTTATAGGGAAAGACGACATCAAGTCCAATCAAAATGATCAAGAAGCGAATCAAACGAATGTCTGAAAGCTCAACGACGAGCATGAGCAGCGAGCAAAATGTGGGTGGAGTCATTTGCGCCAAGTCCCCCGAGAAGAACTCAGCGCCAAAGGTGCCGGCACTTTTCGGAGCCTTTGCGAGCTAAAGTCGACAAGAACAAGAATGATGCCTGAACTGTTACTGCTTGAAAGCAGCATTGAAAAATCTTGCAACAATAAATTAAAGAAAGAGATAAAATATTTAGTGTTCAAACTTTTTATTTTGATTTTCAAACAGATCAACTTGAGTCTCAGGCAACAATGATATTTTCCAAAATCCAGTCGAGATTATCAGGAACAGAAGCCCAGACACCTGGATAGTCAGGCCGAGCGCAACCGATTCCCCAGGAGGTAGCACCGATAAGGACAGGAACTCCGTTCTCAAGAACCACCAGTGGCCCACCGGAATCACCTAAAACCAATTAGCAATACATTCATTTTTGATCGAAAAACCTTGACAAGCGTCTTCTCCACCGTCTGTAATTCCGTTTTCATCGAGATCGGGAACGCCAGCGCAGATCATTGCTTGACTGATTCCATACATGCCATTTGATGTTGCTTCGCAGTACTCATTGTTCATGTACCAGATGCCTACATCTTTAAGGGTGTTGGAAGTGTAGCCTCCCTCGGAGGTAGCACCCCAGCCAGCGGCGTAGACTTTTCGACCATGCTCTGGTCGACTTTCTTTACAAGAGTGATTATTTTTCTACTAAGACGAGATATAATTTTTGCGCAAAATTCTTGACTCGTAAAGAATCAAACCTCTTTCCTGCAAGACAAACAGCTTCAAAAGAATCTGCCCCAACATTTCTTGATGCAGCTGCAGCAAGAAGATTGGGGACCTCCAAGATGCACAAATCGTTGTCAAGAGTAACAGTGTTGTAATTTGGATGAGAGAGTTTCTTTCCAAGGACAGTAAACTCACCGCTGCTTGTTTGGTGATCTCCTCGCCGCCAATCACCAATACTGACTTCATAGGTATTGTCTGTAAATGCCTCGCAGCAATGAGCCGCGGAAAGGATGTAATCCGGTCCAGCCGAGTTTTTGGTGATAACAGATCCGCCGCAGAAGAAACCGTAGCCAGATTTGTACAAACCGGCCATGAACGGCCATTCACCTTCGAGAACTTCCTGGCCGCCGACGATTCTGTTTTTGTCCCATGGAGTCATCTTCGGGCTGCTTCGGGAGGCAGGGGAGTAAGGAGTTCCAGGAGCTGGGCAGACATCGACTGGTCCCATGGTGCCTGGAGCTTCTTCCCATACGCTTGGAGGAAGTGGGGGTCCTTCGGTAGTTGTGGTTGTTGTAGAAGTCGTGGTTGTTGTTGTGTAGGATCCGTCCATCGTTCCGTAGATCCAGTCAAGATTGTCAGCGACGGAAGCCCAGACGCCGGGATAGTTTTCTTGCGCACAGCCGTAACCCCACGACGTGATTCCAACAACATATGGCATGTTGTTCTCAAGACAGACCAGAGGCCCACCGGAATCACCATAGCAAGCGTCCATGCCACCATCTGGAATTCCATTTCCGTCAATATCAGGAACACCGGCGCAGATCATCGTTTGATCGACTTCGTAACCGTTGCCTGTTTCGTGACAGTAGTCGTTGCCCATCATCCAGATTCCAACATCATGAAGGGTATCTGGACTGTCCCAGTCGTCTTGATGGAGCGTTCCCCAGCCAGCGGTGTAGCATTTTCGACCTTGCTCTGGTCGAGATGTTGGAAGACATGTCTTTTCAAAAGCATCAGGATTTACAGCAGAGAGATTTGGGACTCGAAGGAGGCACAAATCATTTGCCAAACTCCAGTCATCATATCCAGGATGGATGTACTGAATTCCAGAAGTAGAGAACTCGTGAGGAGACACAGTTGACTGCTTCCAGTCACCGACTCGGATATTGTTAAGCTCTGCTCCATTCTGCCAGCAGCAATGAGCCGCGGTTAAAATCCAATCATCGCCTTCAGCATTCTTTGAGATGATAGTGCCGCCACACCAGTGCTCCCAGCCGTCACTGTTGCCGCCGAGCCCGACAATAAATGGCCACTGTCCTTCTTCAACTGGTTGACCGCCGACAACTTTCATGTCATCCCATGGAAGGAAAACGTGATCGCTGATTGGTCCTGAGTAATCATGACTGGCATCAGTGCAGACGGCAACGTCACCCATTGTAGCTGGTCCATCTTCCCATCCATCTGGTGGTGGACCCATTGTGTTCGTTGTGGTTGTTGTCGTCGGAGGTACAGTGACGACTCCGTTAATGACGTCATCGATCCACTGCAAATTGTCAGCGGTAGACGCCCAGATGCCCGGGTATCCTTCATAAGCACAACCATAGCCCCAGGAGGTAACACCAACAAGAGTTGGGATTCCGTTCTCAAGGCAGACAAGGGGCCCACCAGAGTCTCCTTGGCAGGCATCTTGACCGCCATCGATGAGTCCATCTTCGTCCCAATCAGGTGTACCAGCGCAGATCATTGTCTGATCAATCGAGCTAGCATCATATTGTTGGCCTTGACAATATTCATTGTCCATCATCCAGACGCCAACATCTTGTAGCTGATCTGGCTGATAGCCTCCAGATTGAAGTGTTCCCCAACCACCAGCATAGCATTTTCGTCCATGATCGGGTCTCTCTGATGGGAGACAGACGGGTTCAAATGCATCAGCATTGATTGCTGACAGATTCGGGAGTCGCAAAATGCAAAGATCGTTGCTCAAAGTGTAGTAATCGTAATTCGGGTGCATGAAGATAGCATCTGAGTAGACTTGGAACTCATTTGGGGAATCAGTGCTCATTTTCCAGTCCCCAACAGTAACTTTGATGTCTTGGTCGTAATCATGACTTGATTGGCAGCAGTGAGCAGCCGTGAGAACATAATCGTAACCTTCGGCGTTTTTCGAGATGATGGAACCGCCGCACCAATGACTTCCAAGAGCAACGATCCATGGCCACTGACCTTCTTCAACTCCTTGTCCCCCAACAATTCGATTTTTGTCCCACGGCATGAATTCGCCGTAGAATCGACCAGCTGGAACTGGGACGCCTGGATTGGTACAGGTGTTAGTGTCACCAAGTGTAATAGGACCTTCTTCCCACTCGCTGTCGGAAGTTGTGGTTGTCGTCGTCGTTGAGGTCGTCGTCGTTGTAGTTGTCGTTGTTGTGGTTGTGGTCGTTGTTGTTGTTTGGGGTTCTTCGCTCCAGTTAGGTGTCTGGCCGAATCGCTGGAAAGCGGCACATCTGGAATAGTCAGAGTTCAAGAATCCGTTGCCGTCATCTTCCATCGTCATGATTCCAACATTCTGGAAGCACTGATAGTAGTCATCTTGGACAACGTTGGGATTGGCGGGATCAAGTGGTTCGAATTCATCCTGAATTCCGCTCATTTCCAAGAAGAATCGATCTTTGCCCTTGTTAAGGAACTCGCCGGCAACGTAGCCAGTTCGACGAAATTGGACAAAGGCGGCTTCGGTGTTTTTATCGCCATTAGCGGGCATCTCGTAGTACTGGGCCTCAGTCATGTAGTTGTCATCAGATCGGTCGAAAACATTGACGTTGATTCTTCCCTCTCCGATGGCCTTGAGAATTGGGCGCTTACAATAGCTTCGATCAAATCGGAGAATTCCGATGTATCCACCCTCCTTCGTCAAGTAAGGAAGGCCCCACTTGATGGTACTCAGCTGAGCAAGGAATCCGTTTTCATGCTTGCCGAACTCCTTGTAGTAGGCCTTATCACCTCGGCCGATCCAGTCGAAAGAGCAAGTATTTCTCATTTTGAGTTTTGAAGTTTTGCTTGATCTGTTATCTTAGCATAAAGTTTAAACTCTCCCTGCAGTAGAAAATATCAGCTCCGTCAGGTTGCCAGACTGTACCGCCTTCATCACAGGCACCTTGATTCCAGGCGGTTGCCGAGGAGGCGATTACACTTGCCAAGAGTTTCATACTAAGATAAAGCTTATCATATGAACTTTCTTTTCAGAAAAGATCGATTTTAGGAAGTTCATATATATTATGAACAAAATATGAAATATTATCTCTCACTTACTCGAAATCTCTTTGAATAGATCATTCCAATCGAGTTGCGTGTTATAAATATCATCGACGGAGATAAGTCGACAGATAAATTAGCGAAAATGATGATAATTCAGCTGCGAAAATTAGAGAGAGTCCCGTCAAAATATTTTCCGATGATGTTGAAGTCTCGCATCCATTTTTTGACGAGAATCGAAGCCTGTTTTAGGTCCAAGGTAATTTCTGAAACCGAAACATATTTGGTAAATAATTTGGATATTCCCTCTATTCATCAAAAAATTCCTTTGAGGTAGGTCTAGCATCACGCAGGTCTGACATCTATCAACGCATACTTTCACTAGGCAACAGATTTTGATTTAAACTGCCCATTCTATGCACTTTCTTCGCCCTACTCTTCCCTCGTGCAATCATGGTTTTTTCTCTCTTCCGTATTTCCACCTGATATTTTGCCAAAAACACGATGAAAATACTTTTAATTCTTGCTTCTTTTTGCTTCGGATTGACTTGCAGAGAATACAAATGCATCAAGAACGGAAACTGCACATTTGGCTATGGAACTGGGCCGACGAAAGGCTTTTTCAGAAATCTCGATGCTGGTTACATTCAAAAGAAAAAATTCACTCAGGAACAGATAAAAACAGACCTTTTTCTCTTGATTGAAACTTCTGTTTTAATCTTTTGTCAGTAGATAAAATACGAATTTCCAATGAGAACACTTTCAAATCCCACAAAAATGGAAAAAGGAAAAATTTCAAAGCGAATTATTGATCAATGCTACGAAACGTACTTTGAAAATGAGCTGATCACGTGCAAGATGATTTCGACTTCGACGAGGTTTTTGAGGGATGACGGAATTTATTTGACCCAGTTTCATGTTCAAGGAAAGAATTTTAAAGAAAACCATAATCTTTTAAAATAATGTTTGTACTTAAATTAATCGCCTTCGCTATTTCACGATTTACTTTTACCATCTTCGATATGATCTGTTGTGTCCGGTAAGCTATCTTTTGTTAACGATAAAAGCATTTATAGAAGTTTTTTTTTCTTCAGAAAAAGGTCAAACTTATGCCTACAAAATTCGCAATAGTAACATCAGAGCCTCTGCCAGACTCAATCGACCTGGAAGAAAAAGGAAATGAAATGCTCAAAGAAGTCACCTATGCCATCAAAAGTTTTATGGGTCCTGGCACTATGCTTGACCACTTCAAAGTTATTCCACCGAAGCAGTCGAACATCTTGCAATTTTTAGCGCAAGTGTTGATCTGTTCTTTCTCTCTTGGTGTCGTGATCTTTACTGGCTTCAAATGCTTCCAAGGAACGAGGACGTTTCGCGTCGGAGAGAAAAGAGCAGTGGTGATTGGTTATCTGATGACGTTGATTATTCCGATGGTTGATGTGTACCCGGGTTTGTATCTCTGGTACAGCTACACTGCCTACAACAGGTAGAATATTTCGAATTTTCACATGTCAGATATTTTCAGCATGTATTCATATGACTGGAACTTCGCAATCTCCTTCGTTCTTCTTTACTTTCCAATCGCTGAGGCCCTAAACCTCTGCGTCAAATCGTATTTCTTGGTCATCACAGTTCACCAAAAATACCCGCCTCAGTGGATCTTCCTATGTTCTGGGATCGCCGAGAGAATCGAAATTTTGGTCATTATTTTGCCAAAATTGTTCGTGAGCTATTTCTATTTGGCAAGATTCGTCAATCCGATGAGTTCTATTCCACTTGCCGCTTTGGTTTTACCCCTTGTTGACGTTGTTCTGATTTTGAGAAGGGCTCTAGAATCGATCAAAATGACATTTTAATGTTAAAACGTCCAAATTCTAGAGCTTTTTATCAGATGGAAGCGTTCTTAGCGGCGCTGCACTGCGAATTTATCGGCTGGTTTTCCTTTCTCATTCTGATTGTCAATGTTCTTGGGTTGCTGATGAGCTCGAGTTTATCCATATGTTCGAGTCCGAGCATTCTTTATGATCCGAAACTGACATCGATAGACGACATCGCACGCAACAAGAATAAATTTATCGAAGAAGAGTGGTGCGGGACAACACTTTCTGAATGGTTTCAGCCGAGAATGGGACAATGTGTAAAAGTTGATAGGTCTCAAAGGGTTTCGCCGCTGCCATTTGGTCCTCAGGTATTCGTAAGAATCGAAAGCCAAAAGAACGTATCTAAAAGTCATCGCTCAAAATTCCAAAAAATAAATTCTGAAAAAAAATATGTATCATTATTATGGTCTCTGAAATCAAATCTATCATAGCAAAACTCGATCTACGGAGCTCTTCCTGCTTGTGCCAACCCTTTGGAAATTATATTCGCCTGTGTTTTGCTGATAACTCTGGTCATAACACTTTTCTACCTTGGCATCATGATCTACGACATCCGACGAGTCAAGAGAATAGCTTTTTCTCGCGGGAGAAGATCTACACTCGGGACCATTTTCAACGTCACCAATTCTTCCTACTCTCTGAAAAACAACTCAATTTCTACTGTCACTATTCAAGATATATCTGTATAAAAAAATTATAAACAAGGAGGGCCGATGTTTTATTTAGAGATCGTTAACTTTGAAGGGAGCACTTCGCAAATAATTGGTCATTTTGTCGAAGTTTCCGCCGGCAAAAGCGTCGAAGTTCGTGACAAGATCTGCGATCGCGGTTGGTCGATGTTCAGGAAGAATACCTGAAAAATCCTTTAGAATGGATGTTAAAACCCAAGGAAAGCTCACCGATTTCACAAGTATAGTCAGCAATATCGACCGGTCCTCTGTTATTTGCGTTTGGACTCCAACCAATGTATCCTTTGAAGTAGTGATTGCCACTGTCGCAAACACCACCGTTACAGGCAATCTTGTCCAAAACAGTTGGCTCTCTAGATAGGAACGACCAAAGCTTTCCATCAGCCGAGTGCTCTGAATAGTAGAAATCGGGGAAGTTGATGATGCCGTCTGAGTTAAGACCGCCTTGAGTCACGTCGAATGGACTAAGAAAAAATAAAAAGAGTATGACAGAGAAAAATTTTTACCAGAAAACGAAAAGCGTGAATTTCGCGGTCGTCCAATACTGCGGATTAACGGCAAATGTGTTGGTGACATGATTGTACTGGTCCCAATCCCATTTCTCTACCGACATCAAGTTCATGATTCGAGCCTTCATCAGGAAGTAGTTATCGTAGACACCCTTGACGTAGTTGAAGTTTCCTCCTTGCCAGACTGGAATTGCCGCGGTTGTGTCTGGAACACAACGGTAGGCAGCATTGTTCAGGGCGAAAGAACAGCTGCCCATGGAGCAAAGGCATTTTGCGCCGGTAAATTCCTTGGCGATAGCTAAAAAGCGAGAATATTTGCCGACCGTTTTCCTAATTTCTGACATACCGTTGCTATAGCCAAGCTTGCATCCAACTCTGACCGTGTCGCCGACTTTGTGGTAGGTCATCTGTCCATAGTATGGATCGTAGTAGTCGACACCCTCTCCCGCTGGATCATACTCTGGCAGCAGCCCTCTTCCGGAAACAACTCTTACTATCTCGAGTCCCTCTCCAAGCTCAGCAAGGAAGCCATTGTCCGACAAGTCCTCATTGTAGGTATGCGTGCCCAAGCAGTTGAGCTTTGGATCAGCTGAAATTCAGTTAGTAGAGCGAAAAAAGCTCCTTGAAAATTTTCTGAGAATGCGGATCGAAAAAATAGAAACACGAAAAAACGAGTTCCGGCAAAAAAGCGAGGATCTGAGAAACGAAGAAGATTTTATTGAGCAGAATCGTCTCGGAGATTTTAGCGGAGATCTCGTTTCGTTGATCCGAAGAGCCGATATCGTCAGAAAAATCGTAAGATGAGAATTTTTAGAAAATGACTTGCTTTTATTTACAGAATAGAAATAGCTTTAGTTGAACGAAATGAGATTCTTCGCTGGATTTGACGGGATTCCTGAATTAAAATCGACGACTTTCAAGGTTCAAAACAGTTTTAGTGTCTTTTTTGAATGAAAATAATCTTTGTTTTGAAGTCTTATCTTGAGTTGAGTAGGGAACCATAATCGGTAGAGTGATTGCCAAAGACATTTTGTGCGTCCAGAGCTCGTAGTCGGAGAAATAATCGCGCTTCCATTTGGTTCGACGGTTTTGGAACCAAATCTTAATCTGGTTCTCTGAAAGGTTCAGTTCGTCGCTTAGGTCCATTCGGCGTGTTATCGAAAGGTACTTATCAAGGATCACTATTTTAGTCTCAATAACTGTCGATTTCTTTTATCAATAAAAATTTTAGCTCGATCCTTATTTTGCTGAAATTCATCCTCAAGAACGGCGACTTGGTCAGATTTTAAAAGTTCAAAATTTGATTTTTTTGCATTTATTTTCATCAGAGTTTCCTCTTTAGCGATAATTTTTTGTATTTTTTATGAACTCTTGCTGAAAATGATGTGCGCGGTCTCTTTTTCGTCTTCCCTGACATCCCCAGGGGGTAATCGTCGTCAACTTTCTCCGTCTTTTCATCATCTTCTGACGACGACAAGTTCTCCGAGCTGGATGAGTTTTGCTCTAGAATCGTCTCTATCGTAAACACCGTGTATTTCTTCGCTTCTTGTTTGGATTTTTCTATTTCTTTTGAGCTGATGATATCATTTTCATTTATCATCTCTTCGCGAAAAAAATTGAATAACCGGAAGTCAGAAAATGACTGTTGAAACTGATTGTGAACAGCGCCACCTATACGAAAAAGAGCTTCAACCCCCGCCATGACCAATGAAATTAACACTCACTCTTTTTTGTTGTCATTCTTATTCTTCAACAGTCAGAATTTTTTAAGCCTTATCAATTTTTAAGGATTACAAATAAGCATATTTTGGTAGGAAAATTCTGAAAAAAAACTTTCGTTTAAAAAAGTTTTTGACAACAATAATTATCGTCTCTTTGATAAGCTGAAGAAAACCTAGAAAAAATTGCATTGCTGCTCATAAATAAATTTATATCAGAAAAATAACAACCGAAACTTGATCTATGATCTTCACCCGACATTCTTGGGGCACAGTAAAAGGCTCCATCTTAGAAGACGGCTCGAAATTTCACACATTTTAGAGCAACCCCAACCGCAAGGAGGGGACAAGCGTGAAAACGGACACGCAACTTTCCTTTTTAGACCACTCGATGATCACCATAATTAAAAAGTCTTAATTGCTCAAGAAGCTCCAGCGCTAATTGAAAATGTCAAAATCAGTAGCCACTCGCTTGTGAAAAAAAGGATAAGTTAATTTGGAACGGAAATGAAAATGTGGTATTTTGGCTTTTTTCAGATCAAGGTGAAGCGCCGATTGCCAAAGAAAATCACTGTTAAAATCTTTCCTAGCGCAGTTTATTGAAAACAACTCATAACGAAAATAAAGTATAATAGCCGCCCAAATGAAGAACCGAAATAAAGTGTTTGTCAAGACCAATCAAGGGTGTTTATGGGTTCTACTCGCAGGCAGAGATTCATGGCAAAGGTCTTCACGCCTGAGGGCAGGTCCCACATGGTCTAGGGGTTAGGATTTCGGATTTTCACTCCGACGGCCCGGGTTCGATTCCCGGTGTGGGAGGACTTTTTCTTTTTTCATATTTGTTCGAAGTCACAAAGGAAAAATGATAGCAATAACAAAAATGTAACAAACATAACTTGCAACTTATAAGTTTTAAGGGAAAATATTTCGCGACTCGATAGAAAATCTTTATATCCTCGTAAATTAAATTAAACCCATTTCCTCTTCAAATGACTAAATAAAAAGAGATGCCTTGTTCAAACTTCACAAGCGAAATTTACGTTTCATGCCCTCAGTTCATCCATTGCTTCTGTAGCAATTCATCGACGCCTTCAGGTTTGTTTTCCGCATCTTTCTTACACAGAATTTTCGCAGATAGCCTTGACTGCTCGAAAAAATGCAAGGCAGAAGCTTACATCGTCCTTGGAACTTTAATCGGCCTTCTATTTCTCATCTCATTTCCGACGATCAAGAGCAACATTTGGAAATCCTGCTGTCGACCGAGATCGCTTCACACGGGAATTCTAGAGGACACGAGACCATGCGACTGTCCTGCCTGTAGGAATAGGAATCAGAGAAGCGAGCTGAAGATCATCCGACCAAAGGGCGTTAAAAGCACCTCAAGGAAAGATCAAAATTATATAAAGCGATTTTATAAAAAAAAAACTTGATCTCAAAAAAGCTTCGTTCCTCCTCTTTCACCATTCGCTCATTTGCCCGATTTGCGAGTTGCTACAGATTCTAAAGGAATGACTCTTTAGTAATTATTTTGTACTGTTACTGTAAAATCAAGAAGGATCCTAACATGATCACTTTTCCGGAAAACTGGGCATCTGATAAGCAGGAAGCGAGAAAAACGCAGAAGGCAGGAAATCCAGCAATTTCTCAGTAAATGCAAATTGATCAAAATCTATCTTCCTACTTTTGCCAGAGAAAAAAAATGAAAGTTGATTTGTAAATAGATAGTATTTTATTAAAATTTTGAACTCAATAAACAATGAAAAATTGAAAGAAAGAACAGTGAAAAGACCGCTTAGTGAAAATCACCAGCGAGATATCGAAGAGGAATATGAGCTCGTTTTGCCAAAAACAAGACTTTGGCCGAATTTCGCTTCGTTTTTTCGCTGCAGCTAACTCGATAGCGAAGTCGAGAAGCCATGAGTCGGCAGTTTTCCTTTCCAGCGATTTTGAAGGTCGAAAAGTTGTTTTCTCGGATTTTTTCTTGTTCGAAAAAGGCGGCGGTGGAGAAGGAGGTTGTTGTTCGGACTCGGCCGGCGTTGGTGATGCTGAGGAAGCGACCTGAGACGGGGGATTTAATGACGAGTCCGGAGTCGGTTCTGACGAGCTCGAGGACGGAGTCGATCGAGTTGAAGCGAGATTGGCCGACGGAGCGATTGTTGATGGACATGAATCGGCCAGTACGACTGTAGAGGCGGATGTGTTTGCTAGAAGAAGAAGTTGCTCCTTGAGCAATTTCAGGAGCGACGACTGCTCGGGCATCGACGAGAGCGAGAATGAAGAAGTTGAGAAGGAACATTTTTCGGTTGAGTATTTGCTTTGTTGCTTTTTGAAATTGTGATGGTGAGGTAGAACCGGTTAGTGTTTTATAGCAGGAGCAGCCGGAAAAGGCAGAGTGCGCCAATGCAAGATCGTGGCGCAAATGCGCATAGATCTGATGAACAGATGGGGTGAAAGTTGGAAACCAGCTGGGCGCGGCGGCGGAGGGTTGAAAAAAGAAATCGTTAATTAACAGCTGATCAGACAGGAATGGACTCAAAGGATTAGACAAGAGAGTCATTAAGGGAAGTTCTTTTAAGTCCTTTTTGATGATCGGCTCTCGTAATCACTCCTCTTCTAAAATTAATCCAAGAGTATAATGTATACTGTATAAATATACAATTGATAGATATAAGTTGAATTTTGTAACTTTTTTATTCGAAGCAGCTCACGGAGAAACAGTTCATTAAAATTTTAATCCGAATTTGTAGTCATAGAAAAAGTCCAGTTGACAAATATAAAACAGTATTTTATGGTCCCCTCAAGGTTTTCGCAATCTAACACATCTTCTTACACTTGTACCATAATCCAAATCTTGAGAGCAATGAGTATGCATAAAAAATACTTTCGATGATCCTGAGAAATATTATTCAGTTTCCGCTCAGCAAGATATCTCTCATCAGTGATGCCCTATCTTCAACCCTTTTCGTTCAAAATTTCAAGCCATGTTCAGTGAAACCATGCTCCGGAAATGTCATCTCACGACCATCTCCAAATTTCACACAGTTATTGTTATCAGATAAATAGAATTATTCGAGGATTATTTCGAGGATTACAAAATGTTCGAGAGTTTTTTATTTGAGGATTTATAGTTACATGTCGTCGGGGCAGAAGCAGTTCGGAAGAAGCTCTTTTGTTTTGATAATTTTCACTTTTTCGTTGAAGTTGTTTGAAAGAATCACTAAAACGAGGATCATTAAATGTATTTTTATGATGAAAAGTACCCGGAAAATCGCCGAATTCGACGAGAAATTGTCTGCAAGCGCCACAGGGAGAAGGCCAGTCGTCTTTTGGACTCGTTGTTGCAATGGCAATAGCTCTAGAATTTGAATATAAGGTTGAAGGTTGGTTTTGTTGAGGGAAAACCTGAATTCGTGCTTTCCAAACTGGGAAATGGCAGAACACATGGCCGAGCGCTCAGCACAGATCGTTAATCTAAAATTTTATTGATGCAATAATCATCATGAAACGAAAGTTATTTGTGATGATTTCCTAGTGAACATAATGGTAAATTACCATTGGTTATTTACCCGTAAGAAGCATTTTCTACATTGACGCCATCGAATTGACCGTGGACTGTGAGAAGGCTGGCGCCAACATGGAACTTGGAGTAGCTACAGTAAGATTTTTCTAGGTTGAGCTTGGCTTTTGCCACCAAATCTTTAAGGACTTTCAGTTGTTTTGGAAATGAAGAAAGCGACAAAAATACAAAAAATCTTTTCGAATTCGGAAAATTCGAGTGTTGAAGAAAAAAAACAACTCCTTCAGTTGAAATGACATTTCCCTTCTGATCCTTGACCTCCGCCTCCTCCAAAATGACCGGCTCGTTATTCAGTCCCATTCTTCTTTTGCTGCTGTCAGGAATCGGGTTTGCTTCTCTGGGAAGGTGCTGATCGCTCGGATCCTGAATCGCGAAGTCGAGGTGATAATCCGAAGCAGTTTGCGCCTTCAAACTATTGGCAAAACTCCCGACTTCCTCGAGTTCAGAAGTTTTATCGACTTCCGACACGCCTCTTGCGATGGGGGCTGCGTCTCAAGATGAAAAATGAAATAGGTAAATCGGCTTAGAAAAAGCGCTGTCTCTTTGAACAAAATGGATAAGAAAAAAAAACAAATAATAAATTTTCATCTCGTCCTTGAACTGGCATCTTATCGAAAAAATAAGTCAACCGGCCTTTACTTTCTAGAAAAATATCAATTTTTATAGAAAAAATCAAAGCTTTCTCGTTTTTATGGCAGCTTATCACCTTGAGAAAATGATGATAATAATAACTCTCTCACAGGGAAATACGTCTCTCTTATCATATATCAATTTCTTCATCAATAGAATTCTCAGCCAAAATGTCAATTTGCGAAATCGGCCTTGGCCAAAGTTTAGAACCCATGCTCCCTCCCCATGTGCTTATGTAAGACTAAAAAAATATAAACAAACAAGCTTTTCCGAGAATTCATGGCAGTGACCTCCATTAAACAAAATGCTCTTGAAATTATTCTGGCACGGTCGTTTTTTGATGCAAATTTAATTTCGAACCGAGTCTGCGGCTTTTAATGTACCATTTTTTTCGGTGCATTCGCAAAATAATAAGGTCATTGACGCTAGTTGAATAACAAAAATTTCAAAGAAAAATGGGAAATATTTTGTGCCCGAGAAAGAGAAAAATGATTGGGAAGGGTGGTGATGATTTTTTATCATCGCACTCGGATAGCTTCGATGATGAGTTTTGCAAGTTGGAAATGGAACAAGAGGATGATGGCGGGTCGGATCGCCTTCAGATTGACACAGTAAAAAATGCTGACTCAGACTGTACTTATCTTCTTCTCTAGCCCGATAGTAGCTTGTCAAATGAGCTTTACGAAGAAGAAATTCGCGCCGAGTTTCAATCCGAATTCGAAGATGATGCGCCAGGTTCCCTCTTTTTGTTGAAAAAAATTTTTTAATGAAGACTAAGGAGATGAAACCACAAGCTCAGAAGGAAGCGAATACGAGAAAAATGACAAAGAATACGAATTAGAAGATATGTACGCGATCGCCATGGAAGAGTCGGATTATATTACATCACGTGACTACGGCATTGGGCCTTATTGATAAACACTGATTTCCTTTTGAAAATAAAAAAGCCTGGTGAAAAAAGCTCGTGATTTTGGTGGACAAAAATGAGAAAATGAAAGTTTTTCGTTTTTTCTTCCCACTTGCTTTGACAGATTTAATAAGCTGGGGCAGCGTTGAAATTGCTCCCGAAGAACAGTCGATGATTGTTTTTTATAAAGCTGTCTTTCTTCTTTTTCAAAAATCGAGAAACGAAGCTGACTGTCTGAGGAAATTTGATGTTCTTCAAGAAACATTGGAGTTTCTGAAGGAAAATAAAAAGGATCAGCAATGGTCGGAAGAAAATCTTTTATTGGGCGAAATTAGACTTGGAAATTTCTCAGCGACATTGGCGGATGAGATCATTATTGGAAAACCGTTTTGTGAAGATGAATTTGAATATTTTGTAAAAAGCGTTGGTCGGTTAAAGATGAGGGAGGCAACAAAGATATTGAACGACTACGCGGTCATTTTCGCGGCAAAGTGCGACGCAAGAGGATTGAAATTTGTTCTTCAAGAAGGTAGTCGACATATAAGAATGAATGATCTAACTTTAGTCGTTCTGATTGAAATAATTTAAGAGATTTAGGGGCAAGTGCCATGAACACGAAATACTCGAATACTCCTCACATTGACATTCCTCTTGCGGTCAAAGTTGCTCATTCCTGTTCTGAAAACCTTTCGCAGCTCCTGGAAATCATTTACGAATTCGGAAATACAAAGGCGCTGCTCCTCAAAGATTCTCATGGCTGCAACGTCTATCACTACTCTTTCGGCCTCTGCGCATTGCAAAACAAGAAGGAAGGGATCAGAAACATGAAGATACGAATACAACTCTTATTTTATATCGCTTTTCAACTTATGGCTGTGGTTGTGGCCATGTTTTTGGCTTGTTTTTTGCTTGGAACGATGTTTTTTGTTTGGAAGAAATTATCGGCGAAGAAGGAACCAAGGGTCTTCAACGCGGATGATGTTATAATTATCGATGAAGAGGTGATTTTCAAATGAAAAAACTAACTTACTTTTGACTTTTAGGTCATCAATGATGGATTGATATTTCATGCAGGTTCAATTTTCGGCGAAAAAGTCCTCGTTAGATCCAATATCAAGGCAAATTCAAAATCTTTTCACCTCATGAATATGTTTTGTTGATGCGATTTTGAATCAAAGAAGCTTTTTAAAAAGTCAAAAATCAACGAAGAAATACAATTCTACCACTCAATTTCAAGCGAGCATATCCTTGAATTCATCGGTATCGTCCAATATTTCAACACTTCATCACTTTGCTTTTACTACGAAAACCTTCAACCTCTTTTCTCGCAAAAATCAATCCCGACCAGGGTTCGAAATCCGCCTAAAACCCCTGTTCACTCTGGAACAGAGTTCGAAATCTCAAAAGAATTGGCGACTGCCACTGCCAAGTGACTGCCAGCCTTTTTAATTGCCACTGGCAGCTGCCAGTTGACTGCCAAAAACTGTCAATTTCGATACTATTTATAAAAATTTTTAAAATCAAACTAAGTTCAAAACAATCTATTTGACAAAGTGGCCATATAAAAGAAACATTATTCGAAAAATAAATGTCTCTTTTGATAGGAAAAATGGAATAAAATAGGTCTCGGGAGCAAAATTTGATCATTTACGTTATTTTTCTTTGCTATTCTAGAAATAAAAACCAATATCTTTCGAAGTGGCAGTCGGTTGGCTGCTGCCAGTAACTGCCAGTCCTTGAGAAATGTCACTCCCACTGCCAAGTGACTGCCAAAATTTTTTCGCAAATTTTTAAAATCAAACTAGATTTCTTCGAAGCTTATGAGCACTATTTAGTCTCAAAAGAGACGTTCAAAGTAGTGAGAGGATAAAAAATCGTCTCTTCCGATAGATCTTAGTAACAAATGTTTTCTCGTCGCATTTTTTCGCAAAAATAAATTCTAGAAATACATTCTAGAAATTCATTCAAAATTGTTGCTTTTTCACAACAATTTTTTGCCTAGTTTTGAATTCGATAATAACAAATCTGCTCTAGAATTCATAAAAATCATCGATGAGAAACAAATTTGGCTCTAGAATTTGTCAAAACAAGTCGAGTGAACAGTGGACAGCGAACAGCTCACCCTGTTCACTCTGAGTAAACAGCAAATTTCGAACCCTTATGCGGACATCACGAAGAACTCATCTTATATCTGATTTTCTGAGGCTCTCTCAAGATTTTCACAGAAAAGGGGTCGAAATCTTTGACTTCAGCGAAGAAAAATGGTTTATAAACGCGTTCGGGGTTTTGAAAATTGGAAGTCTTGAAGATGTAAGGACAACGAAGAAGATTTCTGAGGAGGAGATCAAGAATTGCGCTCAAATGATTATCGATATTTCCAAAGTGGAAGTGAACAGGAAATGGTCGGCAAGCTCAGATCATAGACTTATTCTTCGAGCATGAGAGACCATTTTAAAGTCAACTTTGCACGAACGAGTTAATTCTTAACTCCGCCCCTCTCACAATCTCCATCCTAAACACTCTCGAAAACTATCATCCTTCAAAAATCTCCGACTTTCAGCAAATCATCCATCAAATCATCAGCTCACACAACTTTCGAGAGCGCAATTTTTCATCCTCAACTGTAACTTCCGCTGGTTTTTCTGAAAGTTCTTTTTCCTCTTGCGACTCGCAAAATTAGAATAGATCAAAAGATTTTGACCACGATGGGACTCGAACCCACAACTTCCTGATTCGAAGTCAGACGCCATATCCATTAGGCCACGCGGCCGGTCAACAACAGCGAGAATTCATGCATATATCAATAAAGCGTATTCACATGACCTGGTATCGAGTCTTTTCAGAGTAAAAAGTGAAGAGAGAGCAAAAAAGGCTTTTTGGGGAAAAGCTCCTAGTCATTAGTTATTCGAATTCATAAATTATACAGTAATATTGATACTCCTTCTTTTCTAATGGAAATTTGAAAGCTTTTCAATTAATAATTCCTCCTTGTTCCTGAAGAGTCGGTTCAAATCAATGCCAGTAAAAGAGAAAAAAAATGACCAACGACGTTTCTCTTTCGAACATTTCTGTTTCATTAAACAATACAAGTACCAACGACCCTAACACGACTGTTGCAACTAATACTGCTGCTGATGAATCGACAGACTATTATTTTTCTTCCTCCGACCAGTTCTATCTCTACATTGACTGTGAAATACCCCCTAATTTTTCGGAAATAATTCGAAATACGAGGTAAGAAATTACAAAAAAATATCAATCATTTTGTTTCAGCGAACTCATTTGCAAGCGAAAGCCCCTGAAAATCAGTCTCTTTGCTTTTGGTAAGAATAAGCATTTGTCAATTTTTTCTGAGCAACTCCTTTATTAGATTTGGTCTGCGCAGCGTACTTTCAAGAAAACGAAATCTACCGAGGAGTACCTAAATCGATCACGACAATCTTTCCTCAACTTTTTGAGCTGATGATTAATCCGCTCAAAGCTGTCTGTATCGTCTTTGGTACGATGGTTATCTTTCTCATCATTTCATGTACTTTCGTCAAGGAGCAAAAACGACTTCGACAATGAAGAAAAATAATTACTTTTTTTGAATAAAAAAGACCTAAAACTGAAACTCTTACTTTGCAGAAAACGCCCAGAATTTACGCAAGCATTCAATCTAGACCGTGGAAAAGTAACATCTGCTTTGTAAATTATCATGAGCTTCAATTCAATTCTGAAGGTCAATCTTGACTCGGTAGATTCAAACATAAGAAAGAGATGAAGCTGTCTATTTGTGCTTTTGTAGGGCAAGCTCTAGGAGCCTACGTTCCAGGGCAAAACCCGGTCAACTGTGGGTCGAACTACTTCCGGCCAGGCGCAGAATGGCCTCTTCAGAGTAGGCTTGGCGGAGCCCAGAGTGGAAAGACAGTCAGGAAACCTTTTCGAAAATATATTTTTGGAAGCCATAAAGGAACAGAATATTCAGTAAACTTATGATTTAATAAAATTTAACAGAACGATAAGATGCAAAAATTTTTTGTCGCTTCATCCTCACACGAATCATTTAAATTATGTTTGATAGAAAGCAATAATAAAGTCATTTAAAAAAAGCTTAACAGACTCTGTCAAAATAACTACGGAAAGACTCACTACTACGCGACTCTTTTCAACACCGACACCAATGTCCCCGTTTACTCTGCTGTGAAAATCCGGTAAAATAGTATTGTTGCTCACCAAACCTAATATTTCATAAGTCGAAACAAATATGCATCGACTTATCCTCGGCCAAGTTCAAACTGGCACTACATGTGCAACGGTCTTTGCGGAACAAGCACTCCCTCTTCCACTACATCCTTCTACTCCAACCTCTCCAGCGTCGGAAGCTCTAATTATGGCAACTGCGATCACTGGCAGCCACAGGTTTTTTCTCCTCCTTCTCTCATAATCATTTTGTTACAAAGGACAACGACTACCTCGGAAACAACGCTGCAATCGGAATCGACCGAGGCCATCTAATCCCCAACGCCCTGATGAACCAAAACGAAGACGCAGCCAAATCAACCTTCACCCTCACCAACGTCAGCCCACAATACTCCACTTTCAACCAACAAGCTTGGAATCAGCTGGAATGCATGGTCAGAAAATTTATGGAAGAAGAAATCAACAACGAGGACGTCTGGATCATCGTCGGAACTTATGGAAAAGTTGGAACAATGAATGGAAACGACTCGAGCAAGAATAATGTTGATATTCCTGAATTTTACTGGCACGCGTTCTGTTACACAGGGACTGGTTAAAACTTTAAACTAGAGAATTTACCGAGCAAAGATATCTATAACCATTTTATACGGCTCCAACAACAACTACTCGTGGGTTTACATGCAGAAAAACCAAAGCGACCAGAATCAATCCTCAGGTAAAACAATCCCTATTGAATCCTTTTCTATTGTCAAGGTGACAACTTCATGTCCGCGTCAACTTTCTCCAATACCTATTACGGCGGAGCGGCAATCTTCGACAGCGTCTGTCAAAACCCCTCTCAAGGATATGGTAACTGGAATAAGGTCATCAACGACTGGTCTGGCTACAGATCTCGATGGAATTGCTAGAATTATTTCGAACCAACTGCGCAATAAAAAACTCAATATTTTCGGCCCCAAATTCGTCTTATCAGCAGCAATCGACCTTCACGCTCTAGTTATCCTGGCGACAAATCAGCCGGTTCGATCGCATTCTAGCGCCAAAATCTATGTTTTAAAAGGGCCGCGATTCTTCGTCAGGCCAGATTTACTCTCAGTTGCAGATTCAGTCCACTACCTCAGAGAAAAAATCAGGAAAATGAAGATTTTCAGCCTCTTTTTCACCTTCAGCTTCGCAATGGATGAGTTGCTCATGATGATGATGTTCCAAAACCAGAATCTTGGCTCTTCCCAAGACCAGCAACTCTCCCAATTACTCCCTCTTCTGATGCTCTCTGACGATCTCGGAAGCTCGGAGAATTCCGATCTGCTCATGATGATGCTCATGCAAGAAAATGGCCATGTGAACGACTTCAATGCTATTCTACCTATGCTTCTCTTGGGCGATGATGACTTTTCGGGAGACATTGATTTCAAAAATTTATTTTTGCTTTCGACAATGACTCAGAAAGATTGCAGCGTTTCTACGGCTGGTCAGCTTCATAATCTTTTGCCGCTGTTGATGATGTCTTCCGACTCTAGAAATGATAATTCTACAGGTAAACCCGTCTTTGTTGCTTGAGTAATTTTCAACAATATTTAAGATCCTCTCATGCTCATGATGATGATGCAGACTATGGGTGGCCAGGGAACTGTCGACATGAACATGATTCTTCCCTTTTTGCTCTCTGACGACATGGAAGCGGATAACCTTATGTTGATGGTCCTGATGAGCTCCATGTCTGGCGGTCTTGACTCCCAACAAGGTAAATTCGTCTAAGAAAAAGAGTAAAAAACGACTCTTCTTTGAAGGATTCGACAACAACTTCAATCTCATGCTTCCCCTTCTTTTGGCCGACGACGATTCTGATCTCGATACTGATCTCCTTGTTCTGATGATGGCGATGCAATCTCAAGCTCCTGGAACTGGAATGAACGCCGATATGATCCTCCCAATGCTTTTGATGGATGATGACTCGGACAACCAGAATCTTCTCTTCTTCATGATGATGTTCAACGGACAACAGCGATGCGAACCAACTCCTACTATTTTTGGATGAAGAATAACTTGATGAAACCTAAAATGAAACTTTTTCACCACTGAATTCTGCATCAGTATTTATGTCAAAATCTTCTCGTTTATTTTTAAACTTATGAATAAAAACAAATGAAAAAATCAAAAGGTCACGAATTTTGCGTAAAAGAATGAATCTCTTCATTCAAATCTGGAACTCAAGCAAATCGGAAGCTCGGATAAAAGTCTCTATTTGATCTGAAACAATGGTCTCCAAAATCGAACTGAATGAAGTTGAGCTACCTTGTCTCGATAATCTGAATATCGAGAAAAAATGAAGAAGCTTTGGTTTTTTACGTTTTTCAGCTTTGCTTCTGGGCAGGAGAGAAATTTCCAAAAGGACTTGATACAAGCACTTATAGAAGAGCATGAGGGTCCGTATGAGATTCAGAGATTGAGGAGAGCAACGACTATTCAACAGATAAATGCTGCTGCTGTTGCTCTTACACGGTTTTCGCTAAAAATAAGGGAGTTATTGATTATCAAATTAAGGAGCATTCAACTTACTTACGACACAATTGAGTTTGTGTCAGAAGTTCAAAATCGCTCTGAAAACTACTGGACTTACGTTACAACCGATCTGGCAAAGATTCAGAACTGGGATGAGCTGATTGCTATGGAATTTATCGATCAAACATCTTCGCTTATGAGATTCTTTGTTGATTTCATCGACGAGTTTGTCTTCGAAATCGACGATATCATCGATGATCTTTGCAACTTTTATAATGACGTATTGCTGAAAAATCTCGACAAAGAAATATTTTCTGTTTTAGTTTTACTGGTTTGAAGATTTTACTGGCTTTGACATTTGCGGCAATAACTTTGAGTCCGCCAAGAACTTCATCGACATCTTGGACAACATCGTCGAGTTCATCGAGCTTCACTACCAGCTGATTGAAATGTTCTTTGACCTGTACGTCAACAGATCAAACATCTGAATCATCATTTCGGATTTTTTATTTGAATAAACTGTTTGCTGAATAGTTTTATTCCCAAATCGTCTTTTCAAGCCGTATTTCGAGTTCAAAATGCATTTTTTCATTTTTATCTGGGCATTTGTTTTTGCACAAGAGCAACTTTATGATTTTCGAGAGTGTTTTCAAGAGAAGATAGCGATCAACATCTTTGCGGAAATTCCGGAAAATGAAGCAAATGCAACGCGCTTATATGAGTTTTTTGAAGAGCTCGAACGAATCAGAAATAATTATGATGATTCTCAGCCAATCAGATTCACAATTTTCGAGAATATGAACAAAAAAGGCGTCGCAATAACGAAGAAAAGCTCTAAATGGGATTCTTCTTATGGCGAAGAAAAACTTTTCAGCAACGGAAAAATAAATCTCAAAGAATCTGAAGTCGCCAACGAAGATCTGACAGAATTTGATTGTAGTGAGCAAATTTGGGAAGAAATGAGATGGTTTGAACGGGTGACGGCGGATTCCATTCTTTTTAAAGAATCATTCTTTTTCTCAATATTCTAGAGAAAATTAGGTAAAAATAGGTTTTTCGGATATATAAAAATTCTTGGATATCAAACTCTCTGGAGTTTCCCTGATAACTGGCGCGAAGCGCACACTCGCTCCTGAGTTATTTGCATTAACAGAATTTTGTTTCTGAACTTTTGACTGTCTTTTATGCGTTGTTTCAGGTATTCTTAAAAAAGAATGATTCTTTGCGAAAAAGAACCATTCTTTGAAAAAAGAATCATTCTTCACAAAGAATGGAACCCGCCGTCTACCGTTTGAACAATCACAACTGAAAGAAAGTTCTTTCTATAAGTTCTATGTGATCGTTATGATCCGACCAAGCGGTAATTTCTTCATGACTGCGATAGAAAATGATGATTTTCTCGTTAAATTTGCCGAACGGATAAGAAGCGAAAATATCGAAGTTATTCCTATTGGGTAAGTTTTCTTTTAATTTCTTGCAAGAGACCTATTCTTCAGGCTTTTCGATGCTGATGAAGAGGAGATTGAGATGCTTTCACCTGAAAATGAGTTCAACAAAAACCGAATGAAAGACGACATAGAAGTGCTTCTTCGACCTGATAAACTGTACGAAGAAATGTGCGAGAGTATTCAGCGAAAAGACCAACTTTTGCGGGACAAACTTGAGCTTATTTCATCCCTAATCGGAAAAACTAAGTCTGAATAAATTGTCAGGAAAACTCATAATTACATATTCACAATCAGATGCCTTGATCTTTGCCTTGGTACAAGCCAAGTTTGTCTGAACGTGAAACAGTCGATGGAACAAGCCTTCTTAATTGTTTATTTTTGGAAATCTTAAAAGTTGTTAGCTACAAGCAAAACTCGTGTCAGTATTAAAGCATTAGGCGAATCGCAACATCATGAAAAATGCATATTTCACTGGCAAGTCTTAATAAGGAAGGGGAAATAGATGATCATAGAATTTTTCCGTCAATTGCATTCAGCAGCCTTTATAGCATTTATGATGTTTCGTCGATACACTTTCAGGTCCGGTTGAAGAAACTTTTTTGATAAAAACAAGTTGCAAGCAGATCTTTAGCCTTGACCAAGTGTATGAAAGCGACACTTCATAAGTTGACAAAAAATCACGAAGGACACCTCCATCCTTTTATGGAAAGCGCGAGAAGATGCGAAAACCTTGTTCACTTTTTTGTAAATATGAAATTGAACAGTAAGTCTTTTTTTATTCTACGAATAGAGAAGATTCTCTTTTCAGATCAAGTCCATGAAACCGACTACTGAATAAACCTAAAACTCGAACGATAACAGACAGTATCCCTTTAAATTTCTGTGAATAAAAAATAAGATTATCTTACAAACATCCACAATCGCTTAATAATCTATTAAATGATTTTGTTAGAGAAGCGTATCCCAAACGACAATGGGCGATTCAATGCACGGATGTTAAAAGAATTGAGAAAACAGAACTCTTTATTTGAGCTCGGAGAAATTTAGCGTAAAATTCGTTCGAGGAGTTGAAAATGAAGTTTTTGATTTATCTATTTTCACTTATTTTGGCCGAAGATTTGTACGACTTTCGAGCATGCTTTCAAGAGAAAATGAAGATCCGGATCGTTCTTTCGTTGGAAGAGCCTTGGGAACCTGGCAAATCACAGCCACAATGGGAGAGAATTTTTCGATTTCTTGAAGACTTCGAACTTATCCGAAACAACTATGATATGATGCAGCAAATTGAATTCGTTTTCATAGATCTAAGTGTGTTTTATGATTCCAATCAACGTCGGACACATCTTCTGTCATCTGCATCAACCAGTGCCTCGGAGGAGAAAAAAATATTTGAAAATGGCTTTCCTAACTTTGTTTTCGAAAAGAAATGGGTTCATGAGCTTGACAGCATTCCATTTCAATCACATCCCTCTCAAAGAGATGAGAGTTTTCATCACTTTTTTGTCTCGATTCTTGATGAAGGTGCAAGGAGAAAATTTCAAGATGACAAGAAGAGATTTCAAGATAGGTATGACGAGCTCGGATATTTTGGGAGTCGTCATGCTCAACAATTGAATCAAAATATAGATCCTTTCTTGGGCGTTGAACTTATTCCCATCAGGTACATGTTATTCATGATTTTACCCATTACATTTCAAGGCTTAACAATGCGCATTTCTATGAAATTGATGATTTCGCAACAAAAACTGGCATTTTGTTCAATGAAAACCGAGACAAGGATGATGAAAAGATGCTTGCTCGACCAGATAAACTTTATAAAGAAATGTGCGAACATATTCAACGAAACAAACAGCCAGCTGAAGAGCCACTACTAATAGTAGATTATGTAAACTATGAAGATTGGTCCTCGCCCGTTGACTCTTCCCTAGAAAATTTTTTATCTTCCCAAGGTTCAACCAACTAGTTAGTTAAACTGTGCAATCAAATATTGGAAATAAAACAAAGGGATGATTTTAACACTTCTCGTATGTCATTTATATTTCATAAGCGCCACGCTCTAGAATTTTCGGCTGAATAACCCTGGATCGCGAAGTCATGAATTTTTGATTCTCCGAAAATGGGTAGTAAATTAGGCGCAGCTCTCTCGGAAAATTGCGGAAACGTGGCTGTTAGAAGCTCGCTTCTTGTAATTGACTGAAATTGTCAAATTGTTATCTAATAAGCGAAGATATAAGCGCACTTTTAAACTAAACGATTCTTTGGCATCCGTTCGTTTGTTGAAAGAGATCGCGGAAATAGAGAGAAATGAAATTGTCTGGAAGTTTTATCTTATCTGCCATTAGTGGAACAGCAAATGCTCAAATTGGGTCGGATCCGTTTATGTGTAAGTTATTACTTAACTGATTGAACAAAAATAAGGTTTTTAAAATTTGTCTTGTTAAGAAAATAAGGGTGTCAATATCTTATTCATGCCAAAAAAGATCGGCAATCAAAGGGTTACTTTTTGACTCAAATCTTCTTCATGATTAAATTCTAGTGTCGATGATGCTCGGCGACAACTCCAACATCAATCCCTTCATGATGTCCCTCCTGTCCGACAACAAGAACAAAATGGACCCAATGACGCTGATGATGCTCTCAAACCCTAGCCAGACAAAGAACATGTCTCCAATGCTGCCACTCTTTCTCTCCGGTAACACAGCTAAAGATCCGCTTATGACAATGCTGCTAATGGCGCAACAGGCTAACCCAGAAATTAACAAAAGTGAAAGCACGATTAATCTGATGCAAATGTTGCAAATGATGAGTAACAGTTGCGACTTTGGCAAGGTTTCACTAACACAACTAACAGACGAAATATTTACTACAAAAAAATAAGCTTATAAGCATGTTGAAAAACCTCTTAAAAAGTGGCCTGGAATGTCGCTGCAATCACAAGCCTCGTGACCTTCTCATGATGCAGTCTCTCATCCGCGCCATGGAGAACCGAGGCGAGCCAGTTGATCTCTCGCCTTTTATGTTCATGATGTGGGACCCGGTTCCTGGCTGCATAGGGACACTACCCGATGGCGATGAATGCATTTGTGGAACAGGAGGAGTGGAAAATATGGTCGGAGCGAATGGCCAAAAAAGGCACGAAAAACTAATCTTTACTAAAATTAACGCATGATTGATAGAGATAACACGCTTGCAAAGCTCTTTCCTTATCTGATCATTTCTGGAACGAGCTCTGACACTCTACCTGACATGGGACTCATTGCTGACGCTATTATAGACCCGAAGGGCGAAGCTGCTGGTGGATTTTTCTCGGAAATGGCGATGAAACAAGTCCTTGGAGATGAGCTCGGAGAAATTTACTCGCTGGATAATGGGGATTTCCGGGCAGATAAACTCAATGAATTTGTTCTCGCTGGAATGGGTAAGTTTATGAAATCGCTTAAGCTTAGTATATGATGCTTCATGTTTTTTTGAATTATCATATTATTTAATCAGTAAAAAACAATAAAAATCGTTAAAAAAGGTTCTTTATGGTCTCTCAAATGCTTTTCTAGGTCTTCCTGATGGACTGATTCCTCTCCTTCTTTCTCAACCGGAAGATCTCACTGCCCCTGATCGAATTCAATTGTTCAGCTGGCTGAACCGTGGTCGTCGATTGACTCCTAGTATGATCTCCCTCATTATGGGTACTACCGATGCCAGGTTCGACTCACCCTTGATTACACTATTTTCAAGTTTATTTTAGCAATGTCGATTTACAACAACTCTACATTGAGTCGATCGTAGACAACAGCAAAGTTGATCAACTGACAGCCAAGATGATTGAGTACGTTTTCGAAGGTGGGAGAAAGGAAGATCTAATGGACTTGATGTTCCAGTCTCGAAATGGTTTCATTACCGAGGATTCCTTCGAGCCCGATATAAGCATTCTCCCGAAGGGGATCTATCCGGGCCAGAAGCTTTACTACGCGCACTTGGAAACAATTGGATACGGTAAAACTCGATGAAAAGTACTTTTTATAAATCTTTTTCAAGATACGTGTTTATTGGTGGATCCAGTGAATAGATACCCTTGCGGAATGCAATTCGGAAGCGATATTACTCCAGAACAGTGTGCTTCAATCCCTTATTGCTGCTTCAATCCGATTGATGAGACTAGACTTGTGGAAGATGAAGAAGTTCAAGAGCTTCTTGGAGATCCCAATAGTAAGTAAATACTCTGTGAATCAAACTCAACATGAATTTCAGAGGGAGTTGATGACATTCCTCTGTGCTACTACAATACCTTCTTCATTTACTACAACCAATACAGTCTCGAAGTCCAACCCTTTGGCAATTTCCCAAAGCCAGTTGACTGCCCAAAATTGTTCCGCTTCGGTTTCAATCTTGAGCCCGACATTTGGGAGTATTTCCAGCTCACGCAAAAGACATCCGTTTTGGCAAACGATCGAATTTCTTGCGGCTTTCCTGGCATCACCAAAGTATTAGTTTTCTCCGAAAACCCGTTCATAAAAATATGATTTAGTTTCATTGCGTGGCTATCAGAGGCTGCTGCTATGAAGAGGCAGATATTGATGTAAAATGCTATCTGCCACTTTCGAGAGCTGAGGAAGCGACGAGAATCGGAGATATGGACGGATCAACTGTTGAAACGGACTATCAAGATATGCTTGGGCCGATTCGGGCGTTTGCGGGAGATTGAATACGGGTTGAAATTATGCTCTAACGTCTGGTTATCGGAGAACATCGATGTTATATGTAGTAATACTTCTTCATCAAAAAAAGGTCTTTTAAATATGTTTACAAAATATTTTTTTTGCGCTTATGGTTCTTATAATTTTCAACCTATCAAAAGCAATGACAATCCTTACCGAATAAAGGATTTTTACGAGTCCCGCCTTAGCTGCAATCTTCGCGTTGACAGCTTACTGTATGCAACTGCTCAGCGAAGAAGCCCTCTCGAGGAGCCAAACAGGTATTTAAATCATATCATTTAGTTCTTCAATCATATTTTTAGGGAAGAATGTCTTTCAATGGGATGCTGCTGGGAAGAAGATCAATCAGTTCTTGATGAATACCCTTTCATTTCTCGATGCTACAGGACGGAAAGATTTGGACGCGAGTCGCCGAAGCCAGCACTTGACGTTTTGAAGGCTAGAAGCGCTAGTTTTGATGATTACTGAGTTTTATCGATATTTTCTGTAAATAAATCATTTGCATTCTTTTTTAAATCAAAAGACCTCAGATCTCTCAAATCGACATCTTCAAAAATGACGAGTTTCAGAAAACATAAGCTCATTTTTGCCATATTTATGGTGCAATAAATCTAAGTTTGTTTACAAAAAGATTAAAAGGGCGTTGATAGTGTTTGAGAAAAGAAGAAAAAAAATCAGTACAATGAGTAAGTAGTCGCCCTGGCAACTGGTTGTTCGCACTTTCGCAGATTTCGGAATCCTCTCGTAAAATCTCAAGAAAGAGGATTGATACTTTAACAAAATGAGAAGAGATTAAAAAATTAAAGAAACATGGAGAAAATAATAGAACAGGCGGCTTTCATGGAGGCCAGGAAGGAGCGGTTTCGGATACGTAGAAACGACAAAGTTAAAATCAAGGGTTGAAATTTTGAGGGCGTTTCTAGAACAATCAAGGGATGGTTAATGTTTTTACGGATTGGGGTCAGTTTGAATTTGGACTGAATTCGAGGCGGAAGCACGTGAGTATTTACGCTTTTTTGCTCAAAGGGGCATTTTTATTCAATAAATTCTTGAATTAATTCGGAAAAATTTTCTTTCATATGAGTTATCAAAATCAAAACTGCACCATTTTAGCACCAAATCAAGTCAGTCCAAACACAAAAAATGGAGCCCGACAAGGACTGTCTCCCGTCGCCTTCGTTAGGTTTCTAAGATTAGTTATTTTTTTCTCGTTTTCAATGCAATAATTTGTTATTTACCGAATTTTAAACACTTTTTTTCTTAAAAATCTGGAACCGAAAAATCAGGCAGGCAAAAAGTTGCCGATCAATCCGCGCGAAAAGATCACCTTTGAAGCCGTTATGAAGCGCCACGATGAAGGAATGGGTTGCTCTCTTTTTTAACTTGAAATTTCCTTATTGAAAAATGATTGTCAACCTTGTAAAAGCGAAAAATCTCCCAATTGCCAAGAAGAAATTCACTAGTCGTTCTCAAGCGATGACGACGAAGTTGGACAAAATAATCCTCGAAAAGGCGATGGAAGAGAGAGAAGAAGGTAAGCTCAACAAAAACCATTTTTAAAAAGTGAGAATTTTCGACGGTTTCTAGAACATCCTCAAGGATGAAAATGTTTTCCAATTTTCAACCTCTTTGATTCAGTTCTGCCGTGCGCATTTCTTGGAAGGTAGGTTTTGCGGTTTTGATAGATTTCATGGTAAAAACGGTTTTTGATAGAAGTCGCGACTATTTTGCCATCTTCCGCATTTTTTGCCAATTTTACATGGCAAGCAAAGATAAAACCACGACCTTCTCACCTCTGAACGACAAATCTTTACTGGAATTGAGATAGTTTGTACAATAAAATACCTAGTAGTAGCTGCTGAAAATCAAGAGTCCCCCTGCGGCTTCGAGTTTGAGAATACCCATTAGTAAGCCGGACAAAACGAGGCTTACCGTTTTCTTTTACTCGAAGCCGCAAGTGGCTTCTCGATTTTGAGCCGAACTAGATAGTCTATCTCAATACCGGTGAAATTTGTTGGTCGAAAATGAGAATAATGTCACTTTTTTCATTGAATCATTTCAGCTCTCGAAGAAATCGAAGCACAGGGCGGTGACTCAGATAACAAGCCTGAGTTGCCGGAAACAATGATGTCAAAGATGCGCCAAACGCGACTCAACTACATCAAACTGGAAGATGCTGTCAACGCGGCCGACCTGGAACCCGTCGAGCGAGGAATGATCGAAATCGGCCTCGGGCGAGTGGCCAGACGACTTCCCAAAAGCCTAAAGAACTCGACGACTGATGCGCCCGCGCTGATCGAGGACACTTTGGATGAGGCCAAAGAAGTTGCTTTTGGATCGCTTCGAGCCTGGAGAGTCAAGGTAAAAGAAAAAAATTCCATCAACTCTAGTAGAAGTTCAAATTTAAGGATATAGCCTGTAAAATTCAACTTTCGTAGCGGCTAAACGGGAGGTCGGATCTTTTCATTTCAAGTACAATCCTACCTAAAAATGGACGGAAAATTCAATTTTGGTACTTTTTTAAAAATTTTCACTTGAATTTTTCTCTCTAGAGCGATTTGAAATCTTACGATCGCGATTCCTCGAAAGTTTTTCACTAAATCGGTCGAGTTTTTTCGATAGGTAGGTTCTTTAGACCTTTATCTACAAAATTGACGGTTTAGTTTTCTCTAAGTCCGAAAGAAACCGATTTTACAGCCATTTCCATGAGGCTAACTCAGCGCGCAGAAGCTATGAAAAGTGCTGCGCTCGGCGCTCGCTCTCTCGCCTCCTTTTTTCCGGGAGAGCGTGCGTGTTTTTGCTAGCGCTCTGATTGGCTACACGCGATAAAGCGCGCAGGGAAGAAAAGCAAGAGCAAGAAAGAGGATAATACTAGAATGAAAATTTGATCGAGTTTGAGAATTTTATTCCCTCAATTTTCTAGCTAAGCATCATGACAACAGAGAACACGGTTTAGTTTTAGCGAATTAATGGAAAAATTTTGAGAAATCGCGATCGTAAGATTTCGAGTCGCTCTAGAGAGAAAAATTTAGGTGAAAATTTTAAAAAATATACCAGAATTGAGTTTTTCGTGCATTTTTAGGTAGGATTGCTTTTGAAATGAAAAAGATCCGACCTCGCGTTTAGCCGCTACGAAAGTTGAATTTTACAGGCTATATCCTTAAGAGTTGAAGTCTTCAACGAAAGATAATCCACATTAGAGCTATTTTCTGAGAAGCCAGATTCTCGATGAAAAGTTCTCAGTGAGAACTTCTCACTGGCGCGACTGGCCAATAAGAGTCGCCCGCTCCGTCGTTGAAATTCTCGAAGTTGAACTTTTATCTTTTCTTTTCCGAACTGAGCGAATTCTAGAAAAGAGTGCTTTTTTTCTCTGTTTCACTTGTCGTCCCAAGTTGGGACACTCCACTTTTACGATTTATATTTTCTTTTTGCTAAAATTTCATTATTTCTCGATTTCTGTAGCCTTTGTGCTGTTTAGAAATAATAATTTCATCGATTCTTCGAACTCCGCTCATCAATTTTCAGAACACTTTGACGGTCTCCCCCCGAGTGGACATTCTTCCCAAAGATGGAGTCACCTGTCCGATGGAGTTTCCCGAAGACAAGCCGGAAAACCGCCCAGCCCGGAAGCCAATGCCGTCGAAGTCGTGCCGAATGGGAAAGGCAAAGTTCAAGAAGACTCGAGCCCAACTCAAGAACAAGTTGTGGATCATGCGCCCCTGCATGCAGGACACTCTTCAGCTTTGCTACAACCACTTTAGCAGTAAGTCAACCACTCTAGAACTGAACCTAAGCTCTTCGTCTATCAATCTCTCTTTTAGCCCAAGACCTGATCGATTTGAAACGACTCGCTGCTGATTGGGGCCAGCCTATCTCGCAGCTCCTCTTGAACGTCAAATTCGAGCTTCAAAAAGAAGAGAATATTCTCCAAAATCGCTGGATTCCCAAACTCGTCGCCATCTTCGCTACCCCACAAGTCGCGCCAGAATACGAAACCGAGGATGGATTCAGAAAGACCGCAAAGACAGTCATTGAACAGCAGTTTCAACGACTCAAGGAGAAGACGCTTCTTTCATGGGCAGATCTTTTCGACCAGGCGCAGCCGCCGCAGTTCGAGATGCGAATCACCCTTGAAAACAAGTTGGAATTCTACCCATCTTTCAAGATGCTTGAAGAAAGCGCAGTTGAAATCATCGACCGAATCTCAAACTCCCTCGCTACCATCCCACTCATCGACGAGCAAATCGTTGCTGACGATGGACAAGGCAGTGTTCACTATAATACCGCTCTTCCTTCCACCGTCGTCGATCCCATCATCAAGCGTGTGAAGCTCAAGCTCGCAAAGCTCTTCAAGTCCACCCAGGCAGAGCTGGACAAGTACAACGAAAAGTACGCGCACCTGATCGACGGAACAGACGAAGAAGAAGTCAAAGCCTTCTTGCGCACCGATTTCACCTTCGCCGAGGCGACCGCTAAGGTCAACAAGTTCCGAAAACTTGTCAAGGAGATCTACGAAATCCCCTGTCTCAACTTCTTCGAAGTCACGAAACTCGACTACGAAGAAGCGAAGCATGGTCTTATCGCTGCTGCTCGCGGACACGCTGAAACGATCGTCAACAAACTGGCCTCGAAACACCGACACGAGGTCGAACGAGTCATCAAAGAATTCGAAGTGATCAAGGACCGTGCCGAGCGAGAGCCAGAAGATACCGAAGAACTCGTCAAAATCCAGGATTACATCAAGGAAATCAAGGAAACCAAGCTCAAGAACATCGATGATCAGCTCATGTCGATGCTGGATCGATTCTTGTTCATGATGGACGTGCACTTCTTCCCCGAAGGAGATCTTCTCCGAACCGCGATCGCCTTCACCTGGCCAACGAACATCGAGCCGGTTTTCGCCGCGAACTCGCTGCTCATCGAAAAGTCGCAGAACGAGAAACAGAGCGCGCTCAAAGAGCGAAGAGAAAAACTCGTCGCGGATATCGAATCCGAGCGAGAACGAATCGCCGATTTGGAAAACTGCGGCGATCCAGAACACATCCACCAGTACGTCAAAGATTGCCAGGGCATCTCACGACGCATTGCCCAAGCAAACGCCAATGTCGAAGCGATCAATCGAGAAGAAGAACTCTTCCAGTGGGAGCAAACGACATATCCTGCGCTGGAATTGCTCTCCAAAGAGCTGGAACCCTACCAGGTCATGTACAACAACGTTGCAAACTGGCAGAAGCAGCAGAAAAAGTGGTTCGACGGCGAATTCCTTGCCTTGGAAGCCGAAAAAATCTCCAACGAAATCGACGACATGTTCCGAGAAACCTACAAATCAAACAAGCTCTTCGAAAAGCGCGCCGGCGGCGATCAAAAGCAGCCCAAAGGCAAGACGGCCAAGGGCAAAGGTGCCCCAGTCAACATTCTCGTCAAGCTCACGTCTGGTACAATGGACGATATCAAGAATTTCAAGGAACATGTTCCTATGATTGCGACGCTCTGCAATCCTGGCATCCGGGAGCGACATTGGAAACAAATGTCTGACATTTGTGGCTTTGATTTGACTCCTGATGCTGGAACGAGTCTGAGGAAGATTCTCAAGATGGGACTTGAAGGATACATGGAGCAGTTCGAGAGCATCTCCGGCGCAGCTACGAAGGAACATTCGCTCGAAAAGGCGATGTACAAGATGATGGAAGAATGGGAGCCGATCCAGTTCAACTTGGTCGAGTACAGAGACGGCATCTGCATCCTCGCCAGTACGGACGAAATCCAAACGATGCTGGACGATCAAATTGTCAAGACACAAACGATGCGCGGATCCCCGTTCATTAAACCGATTGAAAGCGAGATTAAAGACTGGGAAGAGCGACTGTTGAGAATTCAGGACACTCTGGATGAATGGCTCAAGGTGCAGTCTCAGTGGCTGTATTTGGAACCGATTTTCTCCTCGGAGGATATTATGGCGCAGATGCCTGAGGAAGGAAGAATGTTCAAACAAGTCGATACGAATTGGAGAGAAGTTATGACTGCAACGAAGAACGACCCAAGTGTAAGTCTTTTCGTACATAACTTTCAAGCTAAGAAACTAAAATACCAAATTCTTATAACAGGTTTTTTTTAAGACAGCTCCTCAACTGTGGAGCGATTTTGAATACCTTGGAGTCAAGATTTTTTTATTCATTCTTTTGTATCTTGTTATAGAAGGTCTGTAGTGTGTTAAATAAGGATTTGGTGTCAACACCATCACTGGTGGTGGAGTAATCAGATAGTCAAAAATACACTAAAATCATAGGAAAAATTGGCGATGACGTCATTACTCCACCACCAACATTTGTACTGACACCAGAAAACATCAGAAAAACTTTATACTGATGTGAGGAAGACGTCTGCGCGATAAGAACATAAGTTTATTGTTTTTTACCACTTTTCAATTTTTGGGTGCCGACGACAAAAGATGCAGCATTACGGAATGATGACGTCATTGCACCACCACCGATTAAGATGAACACACCAAAAGCTTATTTAACACACTATGGAGCCTCCCCTACATGATGCAAAAGAGATAATTGAAATATCTCCATTCAAAGATACTGAAAACCGCTCCACAGTTGAGGAGCTGTCTTAAAAAAAACCTGTTTATACGAAAGTTCTGAAAATATAATTATTAATTTAATAATTAATAATTTTAAAAATAGGTTCTCGTTGCCAACGACATTCCTAACTTGCTGAATACTCTGCGAGAATGCGTTTCGCTCCTAGAAAGTATAATGAGAGGGCTGAATGCCTATCTCGAGAAGAAGCGGCTTTACTTTTCAAGGTATTTTAGACAATGTCGTACATAAAGTCATGCATCTTTTTAATTGCAAGCAGATTTTTTGAATCGTATAAGCCCGTTTATATTGTTTTACCCGAAGAAGCATTTTCAGCAACGCAATATTTTGATAACCTTAACAACTGTCGTTGAGTTTTTATCTTTCAGGTCGTCGCTGTTGGTGGAGATTCAACCTTCTTGAACAAGATGGTTCAGTCAAATGATCTTTTAGATAAGATTATGAAAGGTCTCAACGCATATTTGGAAAAGAAACGATTGTTCTTCCCCAGGCAAGCAGCACTCTTCATTTATCAATTATTATTTTTGTCCTTTTCCGCAGGAATTCATCAATTAGCAAATCAGTTATCTGCAGAGCAAGTTATAAATATTTTAATTCAGTAACAGGCCGCCGGCTTTAGCAAAATTTCGCAGAAATAACAATTTATTAAGCTTATTAATTAAATTTAACTTTAGATTTTTCTTCCTTTCAAACGACGAAATGTTGGAAATTCTTTCCGAAACAAAAGACCCGACTCGCGTGCAGCCTCACTTGAAAAAGTGCTTCGAAGGTATCGCCAAGCTCGAATTCCTGCCCAACCTGGATATCAAGTCAATGATTTCATCCGAAGGCGAATCCGTCGGTCTTTCCACCCTTATTTCCACTTCTGATGCTCGTGGTTCCGTCGAAAAGTGGCTCCTCCAAGTCGAAGAAGTCATGATCATCTCTGTTCGTCACGTGTTCATCCTCGCCAAGGACGATTACGTCAAGAAAGCGCGAAATCAGTGGGTCAAGGAATGGCCTGGTCAGATCGTTCTCGGTGTCACCCAAATGTTCTGGACTTCCGAAGTCCAGGAATCGATCGACAACGAAGGAAACCAAGGTCTCAAGAACTATTCAAAGAAATTGACCTCCGATTTGATGGACATTGTCGAACTCGTCCGAGGCAAGCTCACTCGACAAACTCGAACAACTCTTGGTGCTCTCGTCACCCTCGACGTCCACGCTCGTGATGTCGTCGACGACATGGCCAGCCAAGGCGTCGAGCTGTCGACCGATTTCAACTGGCTGGCTCAACTCCGTTACTACTGGCAGAACGATCAGGTCCGGGCCCATATCATCAACGCCGACGTCAAGTACGCTTACGAATACCTCGGAAACTCCTTCCGACTCGTCATCACGCCCCTTACTGATCGTTGTTACCGAACCCTTGTCGGCGCTTTCTACCTCAACTTGGGTGGTGCTCCTGAAGGTCCCGCCGGTACCGGTAAAACTGAGACAACCAAGGATTTGGCCAAGGCCCTCGCCGTCCAGTGTGTTGTCTTCAACTGTTCCGATGGTCTCGATTACCTCGCTATGGGTAAATTCTTCAAGGGTCTTGCCTCTGCTGGTGCTTGGGCGTGCTTTGATGAGTTCAACCGTATCGAACTTGAAGTCTTGTCCGTCATCGCGCAGCAGATGTTGTGCATCCAGCGCGCCGTCCAGAACGATGTTAAGACCTTTGACTTCGAAGGCACCGAACTGACACTCAATCCTAACTGCTTCGTCGCCATCACTATGAACCCTGGTTACGCTGGTCGATCCGAGCTGCCCGATAACTTGAAGGTTCTTTTCCGAACCGTCGCTATGATGGTTCCCGACTACGCCCTCATTTCGGAGATTTCGCTCTACTCATGCGGTTTCCTCAATGCCAAGCCCTTGTCCGTCAAGATCGTGATGACATACCGACTTTGTTCCGAACAGCTGTCCTCACAGTTCCATTACGATTACGGTATGCGAGCCGTCAAGGCCGTCCTGGTCTCCTGTGGTAACTTGAAGCTCCAGTTCCCAGATGAAAACGAAGATATCCTGACTCTCCGATCGATTATCGATGTTAACTTGCCAAAATTCTTGTCGCACGATATTCCCCTCTTCCACGGTATCACTTCGGATTTGTTCCCCGGTATCAAGCTCCCCGAAGCCGACTACAAAGTCTTCCTCGAAACTGCACACGCTGTTTGCGCCGACTTTGGCATCCAGCCCGTCCCTGCCTTCCTCGAGAAGCTGATCCAGACTTACGAAATGATGGTCGTTCGTCACGGTTTTATGTTGGTTGGTGACCCATTTTCCGGAAAAACTCAATGCCTCCACGTCTTGGCTGAAATGTCGAACAGGATGAATGAGATCCAACACGAACAGGCCGGTAACTTGGTCGAAAAAGTCAAGTACAAAACTGTGAACCCTAAAGCTATCACCATGGGACAGCTTTTCGGTCAATTCGATCCCGTTTCTCACGAATGGTCCGATGGAAACGTCGCCACAATCTTCCGACAGTTCGCTTCCACGCCAACTAGCGATCGAAAGTGGGTCCTTTTCGACGGTCCCATTGATACCCTTTGGATTGAGTCTATGAACACCGTACTCGATGATAACAAAAAACTGTGTCTCATGTCTGGTGAGATTATCCAATGTACTCCCGAGATGTCGCTCATTTTCGAAACCCAAGATCTTTCGCAAGCCTCTCCCGCCACTGTCTCCCGATGTGGTATGATTTACATGGAGCCTCGATCCATCGGTTGGCGACCAATGTTCAAATCCTGGCTTTTGACCCTCCCAGAAGTGATTCAAGAGCACAGCGAGCTTATTAATGGCCTTTTCGAATGGTTCATCGATCCATCCTTGGAATTCTTGCGAAAGAAGTGCAAGGAAGTCCTCGTCACCACTGACATGCAGCAGGTCCGATCGCTCATGTACATGTTCGAGATGCACCTCGACGCTGAAGTCTGTGCCCAAGACAACGCCAAGAAAAACATGAAATCCTGGATTCACGGTGTTTTCATCTTCTCTCTTATCTGGTCAATCGCTGCTTCTTGCGATTTGGACTCGCGAGCCAAGTTCTCTGATTTCATTCTCACCATGCAGAAGGGCAAACATGAGGACTACCCACCACCAGAAGGCATCACCAAGATCGAGAACCCTGTTTCCGATTACGTCTACGACACCTATTTCAAGATTGAAGGAATGGGCTCTTGGACTAGCTGGAACAAACTCCTTCAGGGAAAGAGCGGCGTCGACATCCGACCAGGCGACAATCTTCAGAACGTCATCGTCCCAACGATGGACACTGCTCGAACTCATTACTTGATCCACGTCTGTGTCATGCACGATCGACCAGTTCTCTTCTGTGGGCCAACTGGTACCGGTAAATCTGCTTACGTCAAGGGCAAACTCATGACTGGCATCCCCGAAGATAAGTTTGTCACAAACTTTATTAACTTCTCCGCCAAAACCACCGCTCAGCAAACCCAGAATTTGATCATGAGTCGGTTGGACAAGCGAAGAAAAGGTGTGTACGGTCCTCCAGCTCAAAAGAAGGCCATCATCTTTGTCGATGATTTGAACATGCCTACCCGAGAAATCTACGGCGCACAGCCTCCTATTGAATTGATGAGACAGTACTTGGATCATCACCAGTGGTACGATCTTCAAGATACTTCTCCTATCGGTCTCCAGGATATTCTCTTCATGGGCGCAATGGGTCCACCCGGTGGTTCCCGACAGGTCGTCACCCAGCGATTCCTCCGTCACTTTAATTTGATCACCATGTTGCCATTCTCAGATGACACTATGTCGAAGATCTTCGGCACGATCATGGATGGCTACTTCAGCGCTAACAACTTCTCCGGCGACATCAAGGGCGTCACCAAGCCAATCGTCGAAGCCACGACTTTTATCTACAAACAGGCAATGGAAAACCTTCTCCCCACACCGGCCAAGTCACATTACATCTTCAACTTGCGAGATTTCTCCCGTGTCATTATGGGTTGTCTCGTTGTGAAGAAAGATACTGTGCCAGACAAAGACTACATGACTCGACTCTTCGTTCACGAAATCTTCCGAGTCTTCTACGATCGACTTGTCGATGATTCTGACGGTGCCTGGCTCTTCAAACTGCTGAAGGAAGTCACAAAGACTTACTTCTCAAAAGACTTCGATAAAGTCTTCACTCACTTGAAACAGGGTGGTCGACCAGTTTCTGAAGAAGATTGTCGATCGCTCATTTTCGGTGATTACATGGAACTCGGCGCTGAAGGCGACGATCGTCTTTACAAAGAAATCACTTCGCTCACGGAATTCCAGGAAGTCGTCCAGACATCGATTGAAGAGTACAACGCTGTTAACAAGGCTCCGCTCTCCCTCGTAATCTTCAGATACGTGCTCGAGCATCTTTCTCGAATCTGTCGAGTCCTGAAGTCTCCTGGTGGAAATGCCCTCCTTGTTGGTGTCGGTGGTTCCGGTCGACAGTCTCTCACCCGCCTTGCTGGCTTCATGGCTGGCATGAGCACCTTCCAGCCTGAAATTTCGAAGACCTACGGTGTCCCAGAGTGGCGAGATGATATCAAAGCTCTGCTCAAGAACGCTGGTGGTCTTGGTAAGAAAATGATCTTCCTCATCACTGATTCGCAGATCAAAGAAGAGTCTTTCCTCGAAGACATCGATTCTCTTCTTAACACCGGTGAAGTTGCCAATCTCTACGCAGCTGATGAGAAGCAAGAACTCATCGAACTCGTCCGACCAGTTATCGCCCAGCGATTTGGAAAAGATGCTGATCTTTCTCCACTTGAAATGTTTAACTTCTTCGTCCAGCGATGCAAGGAAAATCTCCATATTATCATCGCTTTCTCGCCGATTGGTGATGCCTTCAGAGAGCGTCTTCGACAGTTCCCCTCCCTTATCAACTGTTGTACTATCGATTGGTTCAAGGCCTGGCCCGAAGAAGCCCTCGAGCGAGTCGCCAACCACTTCCTCGAAGAAGTTGAGCTCTCCGCTCACGAGCGAAAAGAAATCATCCCGATTTGCAAGCACTTCCACGTCTCTGCTCGAGAACTGTCACATGACTATCTCCGCGAACTTGGTCGACACAACTATGTGACTCCAATCTCGTATTTGGAATTGATCGCTTCTTTCAAGAATCTTCTTGGAAACCAGCGAGATATTGTCCTTAAGGCTCGAAATCGATACGTCGTCGGTCTCGAAAAACTCGCTTTTGCAGAAGAGCAGGTCGCTACTATGCAGAAAGAGCTTGAAGATCTCCAGCCGCAGCTCGTCATCGCTTCGAAAGAAAACGCTGAGCTTATGGAAGTCATCACAGTTGAAACCGCTGAGGTAGAGGCAAAGACTGTTGTTGTCTTGAAAGATGAAGCCGAGGCGAACGCTGAGGCGCAAAAATCCGCTGCGATGAAACAGGAATGTGAGGAAGAGCTTGCTGAAGCTATCCCCGCACTTGAATCCGCCCTGAAAGCCCTCGACACTATTAAACCAGCTGATATTGGTGTCATCAAGACTATGTCCAATCCACCCGCTGGTGTCAAGCTTGTCATGGAAGGTGTGTGTATTATGTTGGAAGTGAAACCCGACAAGATCAACGATCCAAACGGTGGTACCAAGAAGGTCAACGATTACTGGGGCCCCTCGAAGAAGCTTCTTTCCGATCTTGGTTTCCTCGCCCGACTCAAATCTTACGATAAGGACAACATTCCCGAAGCCGTCATGAAGAAAATCCGAGCCGACTACAAGCCCAATCCTGATTTCACCCCAGAGAACGCCAAGAAATCCTCATCAGCCGCTGAGGGTCTCTGTAAGTGGGTACTGGCTATGGAAATCTACGATCGAGTTGCCAAGGTCGTCGCTCCCAAAAAGGCCGCTCTCGCCGTCGCCGAAGCTTCTCTCAAGGAAACCATGGCTCTTCTTGCTACCAAGCAGGCTGAACTCAAGGAGGTCCAGGACCGACTTGCCAAGCTTAACGCTGATTTCCAGGCTGCTACTGACAAGAAACAGCAGCTCGAATTCCAGGTCGATCTTTGTGAAAAGAAACTCATCCGAGCCAACAAGCTTATTGGCGGTCTCGGTGGTGAAAAGACTCGATGGGGTGAAGCAGCTGAACGACTCCAGCAGCAGTACGACAATCTCACTGGTGATGTCCTCATTTCTTCCGGTGTTGTCGCCTATCTTGGTCCATTCGTCGCTTCTTTCCGAACACGAATCATCGCCAACTGGTCGAACGAGTGTACTCAGCGTAATATCACATGCTCGAAAGAGTTCTCCGTCTCTAACGTTCTCGGTGACCCAATCAAGATCCGAGAAAATAACATCAATGGCTTGCCCACTGATAGCTTCTCCTGCGACAATGGTGTCATCATTGACAACTCCCGTCGATGGCCACTCTTGATCGATCCTCAGGGACAGGCTAACAAGTGGATCCGAAATATGGAGAAGGAAAACGGTATCGAAATCATCAAACTTACCGACGGAAACTTCATGCGAACGCTTGAAAACTCTATCCAATTCGGTACGCCCGTTCTCCTTGAAAACGTTGGTGAAGAACTCGATCCTTCGCTCGAGCCTTTGCTCTTGAAGCAAGTTTTCCGACAAGCTGGTGTTGATATGATCAAACTTGGTGAGTCCGTCATTGAGTACTCCTCCGAGTTCAAGTTTTACATCACAACAAAGCTTCGAAATCCTCACTATCTCCCTGAGCTTGCCACGAAAGTCTCCCTTCTGAACTTCATGATCACTCCCGATGGTCTTGAAGATCAGCTTCTCGGTATCGTCGTCGCGAAAGAACGACCTGAGCTCGAAGAAGAGCGACAGCAGCTCATTCTTCAATCTGCTGCAAATAAAAAGGCGCTGAAAGAAATTGAGGACAAAATTCTGTACACTCTTTCTGCTTCAGAAGGAAACATTCTCGAAGATGAAGGTGCCATCGCCGTCCTCGACGAAGCCAAGGTCATTTCTAACGAAATCGAAAAGAAACAGAAGATCGCCGAAGAAACCGAAGTTAAGATCAAGGAATCTCGAGAAGGATACCGACCAGTGGCCTTCCACTCGTCCGTTCTCTTCTTCTCACTCACCGAGTTGCCCAACATCGATCCTATGTACCAGTACTCACTTGAATGGTTCGTAAATCTCTATGTTCGAGCCATCAAAGATTCTAACAAGACCAAGAACTTGGAGAAGCGTCTTCGCTACCTCAAGGACTTCTTCACTTACAGTTTGTACTGTAACGTCTGCCGATCGCTTTTCGAAAAGGACAAACTTCTTTTCTCCTTCATTCTCTGCACTAACATCCTCAAGTCAAAGAATGAACTCACCAACGAAGAGCTTATGTTCTTCCTCACTGGCGGTGTCGGTTTGGAAAACACCAAGGCCAATCCGTCCTCCGGCTGGCTCTCCGACAAGAGCTGGGACGAAATCTGCCGTATGTCTGATTTGTCTCAGTTTACTGGCTTCCTAAGCTCGTTCACATCCGATTGTGAGTCATGGAAGGCCGTTTACGATTCCGCTACTCCCTTCAATGTCGAGTACCCCGCGCCCTGGAATGAGAAACTCACCCCAATGCAGAAAATGATCATCGTTCGATGTCTCCGACCTGACAAGGCCATTCCCGCCATGTCAAAGTTCATCAGCGAAAAGCTCGGAAACATCTTTGTCTCCCCACCACCTTTCGATCTGCACGGATCTTTCAACGATTCCTCTTGCGATTCACCAATTGTTTTCGTTCTTTCCCCTGGTGCCGATCCTATGGCGGCTCTACTCAAATTTGCCTCCCAAATGTCCATGGATGGAGATAAATTCGGCGCTATCTCGCTTGGTCAGGGACAGGGTCCAATTGCCATGCGAATGATCAAGGCTGCGATGGAGAATGGCTCCTGGGTCTGTCTTCAGAACTGTCACTTGGCAGTCTCATGGATGCCCGCGATGGAGCGTCTTTGCGAAGAGATGAACCCCGAGAACATTCACCCCGATTTCCGACTCTGGCTTACTTCTTACCCATCCGACAAATTCCCCGTTTCGGTCCTTCAGAACTCCGTCAAAATGACAAATGAGCCTCCCACTGGTCTCAAGAACAACATTCTCGCTTCTTACCTGGCCGATCCAATCTCTGATCCTGTTTTCTTTGCTGGTGTTGCCGAAGAAAAACAATCCGCCTTCACCCGACTGCTTTTCTCTCTTTGTTTCTTCCACGCTCTTGTCCAGGAGCGAAGAAAGTTTGGTCCAATCGGTTGGAATATCGCCTATGGATTCAACGAGTCTGATATGCGAATTTCTGTGCGTCAGCTGCAGATCTTCATGAATCAGTACGAAGAAATTCCATACGAGGCGATTACTTACCTCACAGGTGAGTGTAACTACGGTGGTCGAGTTACTGACGACAAGGATCGAAGATTGCTGATGGATCTCCTCCGAATCTTCTACTCCCGCGAAGTCGTTCACCAGAACCAGCACAAGCTCTGTCCTTCCGGTCTCTTCCACATTCCACCAGATGGCGACTACGATCACTACCTCGAGTTCATCCGAACGATTCCCGAGCAAGTTCCCGAGATCTTCGGAATGCACGACAACGTCAACATCACCAAGGAATTGCAAGAAACGAAGATGGTCTTTGACTCGATTCTCCTCACCACTGGTGCTACTGCTGGCGGTGGAGGCGGCGGTGGCTCGGACGAAGCCCTCAGCGATATCGTCAACGATATCCTCGGCAAACTGCCGGCCGATTTCGACTTGGACGCGGCAATGAAGCGATTCCCCGTCGAGTACAACGAGTCCATGAACACTGTCCTCGTCCAAGAAATGGAGCGATTCAACAACTTGCTCCGCACCATCCGAATCTCCCTCATCAACATGAAGAAAGCCATCGCCGGTTTCATTGTCATGAACGCCGAGTTAGAAAATATCGCCCGAGCTCTGCTCATTGGTAAAGTCCCCGATGCTTGGATGAAACGATCCTATCCCTCGCTCAAGCCTCTTGCTGGATACATCACCGATTTCCTCGCCAGGTAAACTTTTTTCTCTTCGAAAATCAAGCTCAAGAATTGTTTTTCAGATTGAACTTCTTCCAAGAATGGTACGAAAACGGCAAGCCAACTGTCTTCTGGCTCTCTGGTTTCTACTTCACTCAGGTAAAATAATAATTCTCAAAATATATCCTCATCCCTTTTCAAGGCTTTCTTGACTGGTGCAAGACAGAACTTTGCCCGACGATACACCATCCCTATCGACGCCGTCGAGTTCGACTTTGAAGTCCTTCCAAAGGACACAGCCGACCTGCCGGGAGGTTTGCCAAAAAAGCATGACTACCAAAATCACGAAAATCATTTTTTAAGAATAAGAAATTATCTTTCTTATTTCGTTCTCATCAAATCGCATGATTCTCAATTGATTCAATTTCAAAATCATGATTCTTTGAAATTTTAGAAATTTTCACCCTTCTTGATTATTTTTTTTTTGTTTTTTGAAAGTTGCTAAATTAAAATTTCCGAAAAACAGGATTCCCAAAACAGTTCTGGTCAAACCCCCTTCCACAGCCAGACGATGGTGTCTACTGCGCCGGTGTTTACCTCGAAGGAGCCCGATGGGACCGTGAGCGCGGATCTCTGGTCGAATCCCATCACAAGATCCTTTTCGAATCGATGCCCATCATTTGGTTCAAGCCGATGAAGAAGGTCGAGATTTCCATGGACGGATGCTACGAGTGCCCGACTTACAAGACATCAGAACGAAAGGTGAGATTTAAACTACCGCTGCTTTTTATAATCATCAACTTTAGGGTACCCTCTCCACGACCGGTCACTCTACCAACTTCGTCCTCTTCCTCAAGCTCAAATCAGGTAACTCGTAATCCAATACGACTCCCCCTTAACCGTTTCTTCTTTTCAGACCTCCCTCAAGCTCACTGGGTCAAACGAGGTGTCTGCGCACTCTGCTCGCTGGACGACTAAAAGAAAGAAGCTTCTCGCTTCTAAATTTTATTTTTATACTCAACAAATTATATTTGTATAAAAAAATCTATTTTATTTAATGCAACATTTCTCTGCTGCATCTTGTAAATTATAAATATATATATCAAAATAATAAAATAATTAAATAAAAAGATTTTTAAGTCAGTATTCGTCTTGTCGAATCCTGACTATGCTTGCATTTACTATCCCTTTCTTGAATAATTTTCTTAATTTTTATTTGCAGAAATATCAGAAATGGCAGTAAAGTTTGAAAAATTAGAGTCGAGCAGGTTTCTTCGTCTTTCGAATCGCATTTGGTGCTTTTCCTTGATTCGGCTTTTTCTTGTTGATTTTCTTCGCTCGCTTCTTTTGAGGAGCCTGAGCTGATGGTTCGTCAGCTTCTCCAAAAAGCTTGATGAGTTCTTCGTCAGTGAGAGGTTTCTTCGGCTTTGATGACAGCTTGATTTTCTTTGGCACTTCCAGTTTTCGCTTCAGTTCGGCGCGGGCGAGGTTGATCGCTAATTTTTCGACTTCTTGATCGTGATCTTCGTTCATGAGGTTCAAAATCGCGTCCGCTTGAGCAGTTGTCAGAGCACCATTTTTAAGAAAAGCTTCTTCAAGAAAACCGGTGTCGTAGAAAGTGTGGACGACTCGGGAACCGATCTCGGATATGGCAAGGACAGAGACGATTCCAAGACCGGGGACGACAGTTTTGCCGAGGTTGGAATATTGAAGTTTGCATCTGCCGAATTTCGTTTGAAATGGAGTTCCTTTGCAGTTGATGCACATTGTTGGTGATTTTTAAATTTCTATTTGTTCTGAATGAAAAATCTCAGTCGACCACTTATATGAGGATTGAGAAAAGGTGGCGCAAGAACAACAGCTGTAATCAATCATGATTCATGATGAAAGAACTCATTTCCTCCAGATGATAAGTTTGAGATGCGTTCTATGATAAGAAAGATAGCAACTTATTGAACATAAAAGATCAAAGATTAGTCAAAGAGGAAGCTAGATTTTCATTTTTTGATTATTTTTGAAAGATAGAGTAAAGAATTAGTTTTTCAAAATGTTAGTCGACGGATGTTATAAATCTAGCACGGAAACAAAGCCACAGAAAGACAGTAAGCAGACAATAAGACTCTGCTTATCGCAATCAATCCCCATCACTTGTTGTTTAAACTTTCGAGAAAGCAAGCTGGTTCTAGCTTTGAAATCACCATCTTTCAACAAGTAAAGACTTCAAAAAATATTCTGAGAGGACACACCTCGTTCAGTCTTCAAAAAAAATAACTAAACAAATTCAAAGATGAAAGATCATTTTGAAAATCTCAGAGAAGTTTTTAGTTATTGGATCATCAAGACATTCGAACTAAACAAAGAAATTTTAAGCCGCTTTATAAATTATAAATTACTAATGCTTCGGTTTAACCAGACTTTATTGTCTCTTATGCTCGCTCCCTAAAGAATAAATCGGCGATTGTCAATAAGGTGATCCAGGAAAAAGTATTTTTATGTCAGAAAAAATAAAACTTGACGCTGGAAATTTCGGTCGTGGGGTCTTTTGCGAATCGTCGATCGAAGAAAATGAGCTTCTCATCAGGTTGACCATATTTCTGTAGCGATATGTTCCCAACCCGTCTATAATAAAGGATGAACTGTATTTCAGTGTGCCTATCAACGCCTTGCTAACGACAAGAAAAGCGCAGCACGTCATCGAGAGCGATAAATCAGTCTCTCAACTCAGTAAATTCTGACCACGTGAAAGGTTCATAACTGAGTTCATTCTAGAAAGATTCTCTCTCAACGGGACGGACCTTCTCGTCGTTGCCATCTATCTTGAGTTTTCAAAGCCCGATTCGAAGTGGAGAGCTTTTTTGGAGTCGATTCCCGATGAGCTCTGGAATCCTTTCATGCTCGAGGATAAGGAGCTCAATTTGCTCACAGCTAAAGTCAGATTACCTTCCAAATGTCTGAAACAAAAGCTGAAAGTAGCATCAAATTTCCTTCATCAAAACAAGTACAGCTACAGCAATTTTCTTTGGCCTTCATAAATTTTTGAAGGAATGAAATCAACAAGGAGACATTAGACTGGTGCTTTTCAGTTATTCTCAGTCGGAGCTTTAGTGGCTCTCCAGAACGATGTAAGGACGAAGGAGGGATGAAGATTGAAGTCGAAAACTCTGCGGATTTCGTCCTTTGTCCAGCTATCGATTTGATAAACCACCACCAGGACTTCAACTGCGAATACAGATGGAATCAACAGAAGACAGCGTTTGAAATCTTCGCCAAAACGAAAATCGCTAAAGGACATGAACTTTTTGTCAACTATGGGACTTCGAAAACAGATTTCGATCTTTACAACTTCTACGGCTTCATTCCCTTCTCCGAGGATTTTCAAGTTGAGCTAGAATTAGCAAGGATCAAGGTAAAAATGGCCCGACATCGGCTCAAAACGGTACTTCGGGCCGATGACTCAAAAAGTCCTCCCGCACCGGGAATCGAACCCGGGCCGCCGGAGTGAGAATCCGGAATCCTAACCCCTAGACCATGCGGGACTAACCAAGCTGCAGAATTTTAATAATATATTGTTCAGAAGACTATCTACGATGATAAAAATATCGACTTTCTTACCTCACAGTAAGATAAATGCTTGTATTTCCATTTTTTCATCCTTCAGGTTGGATATGGTTTTCGCGATGGAAAAGCTAGAATCCCGCGAGTATCTTATCACACGAACAAAATCATCCGCAGACCTGGATCGTCTTTCTAAGCGAATCGCTCAGGTCACCGGAGAGAGTGCATATTCCGTCGTTTTTTCGATCCTCATCGACCGGCACCAGAAAAATGAGGGCAGCATGCTTAGGGTTTTTCACGGAAAGTGGTATATCATTCAATGGGCCTGAAAATTTCAAAATAAGTGTTACTTGAGCTGCTGATTTCAAATATCTGAAAATAATTAAAAATTCTGACCTGGTGGTGGTGCAATAATGATAAGGATGATAAAAAAAGATCTCATCAGTTTTGTTGTTCCGAGTGATATAAATCCGTCTAATTCATCTCAAATACGAAGCTTGACACTTCCGGGAAATTGTTTGTGCAAATCACACGGTGTAATTCGCATCAGATTTGGGATACTAGGTCATAGAAACCACCCGCTGGGATTATGGCGCGCGCTAATGCTTTTTGGGCGTCCCGCGCAGCGGCGTAAAGCACTAGCGCGCAGTCACTTTCACTCACTTATCTGACGATTTGAACACCTTCCGAAAGTTTCCGAAATCCCAAATTTTGAGAGCTGAAAATTAAACATCTTATTTCCTACATATTTGAAAATAGAGAGTGTATTTTGATGTACTCAGATACAAAAGTCGAAATTGAGTAAGAAAAACCGTCTTACAGCGAATTCTTGCATTCGAAAGAAAAACAAATGCAATATTATGAATCTATTCCCTTGAATTAGTACGTTTCATTTTTTGAATTATCAATTTTGCTTCAATAGAAGACTTTTAATATTCGTGGATGGACCCCAGAGCGGGCCGCGCCGTTCCGTGAAAAACCCTAAGCATGCTTGACCTTTTAAAATTTGAAAACATCATCATCGAAGACTTTCTTGGACTGAAAGCCTCCAGTGAAGACAATCCCACCTGCAATATCAAAACTAAAACGTCGCTTCTTTCTTCTGCTACATCAAGAAATTGCTAATTTCAATAAAACAACCGATCGGCCCTAAAGACCGATAATATTGTTATTTTCCGACCGGACTTTTATCTTATTCCGCATCGAGTTTCTTAAAGTCAAAATATAAACGATGAGGAATTTGAGAGAAAGCAGTCTTCTTCTTTGCATCGTGATTATCTTGCTCTTCAAAAATCTTTCAAGTAAGTAAAGAAACAAGGATCGCTTTCTGAGTTGAGTTTTGAGATCTGATTCGAAATGAAAATGACTTTGCGCCGCAAAATTACAGATCATCGGATAACTGGAAGAGCTTCAACAGACCTTCTTTAAATGAAAAGATCGACGATCCCGAGAACGAGGTTTATATGATTGCAAACTCGAAAATACAGAAAGAATCTAGGGACAAATTGAATGGCAAAATTGTCCAGGCAAGTTAAGGTTTAATCAATTTGTAAGCAAAATTTTTAGCATAAGATTCCTCTCGAAGATTTCACAGTGCGAGAAGCAAATCATGGAGAGAATTTTGGCATGAGACTCGACAACTCGCATGTCAAAGGAAAAGACATTTGCTACACTTGTGATCCGAAGGGAAAAGTTAACAACCAAGTGCAAGTGCATCAAATCAAGCCAAATGTTGTTCCGGCGGGAGTGATGCAAACTTGGGCTACGAGACTTGTCGAAAAACATCATGAATTGGCGCAGTTCAGGAAAAGTTCAAGTCTTTCTTTTTTCTGCTTAAAATTTTTTCAAACTTTCTTGAACTCTTTAAAGCACGGTGAAACAAGACCGACTCTCTTTCACCGGAAAAGCAGAAAGATTAAACATTTGGTCAAATTTTCGTCGTCGAGGAGAAATCGTTCCATTTGAAGTTCCCTATCCTTGCTCACCAACTTCGAATCTCGCCATTTTGGTCAGATCCGCCGCGCGTGATCACGCAAAGCGCAATGAAGTCCGCGATAGCTGGGGCAATCAAAAGTACTGGCCCTCGAAGTACGATATCTGCGTTTTCCACGTAATAACCATTGGCGCGTTTGAAGATACGCTGATAAATGACGTGCTACAAGTGCCAGTGCTTTCAAGAGAGTACAATACTCCTATCGTTGATAAGGTGGCATTAAGGATCGGACTCTCTTTGATATAATTTTGAATCAAAAGTTTTGATAGTTATCAGTTAATAGTTTATGCCATATTTAATGATTATTCTACATATTTGAGGGTCAACTTCAGTTTTTTGCGAGGCAATTTTAATGGCGACAAAATCATAATTGTCGATGTGGACGTTGTTCTCTTTCCAAAGCAGCTAGAATGGCGACTCGATCAGATAACTGACCATGAATTCATAGGCGCGTGTCCGATACAAGGATGGGCAGAATCGGATGACCCGTTTGACATCGGTTTTATACCCGACGAAATGCGCAAGGAATATACTTTCACTGATTTCCCTAAAATCATTCGTAAGTTGACTATTTTCAATTCTTTTTAAAGAAAACTTTCAGCCGAGAAATCCTTCATTATCATGTCTTTTGATGCCCTTAATCGAATATCAAGTCTCCTCAATGCTCAGCAATACGCAAGCTATCCCGATTCAAGCATGAATTTCGGCCTTGCTTTTGAAAGAATGCAACTAGAAATGAAGCCGCTGGGGGAAGTTTGCCTGGGACTGAGGGTGCTTGAGAATGATCTGTTCCCTGATGTTCCTGAGTCGGCAGGGACGGAGATTGAAACGGATCCCTGTCTGCACAGAGGACTAAGGTACAGACCACAGACGAATTTAAGCTAATTCCATGATGTTCAGGCTGATTTAAAAGGCTTTATGTTTCTGCTTAAAATATGTATTAAGTGTCCGGCGATTAACGTCAATGGAAACCATCATGTCAAGCTTCAATCAGCACCTTTCGATGGACTGCTCGTCTGCTTCGAATTTTAATTCTTTCGGCGAAATAAAGGAAACGATGGAACAGATACAGGAACATCTGATGGCTAAGAAAATAGACTAACGAATAAAGATGTAATAAAATAATTTGTACAAAATACAAGGTGCATTGATTGTTTGATTGCGTGATTGCTAGCAGATAGGTATATGTATGAGAATCGAAGTTTTAGACATTTGCGCTTGAGTTATTTCGGAAATAGAAAATTTCAAATTAAACATTAAAGCATATAAATAACACAATACATATAAGTTTAAAGTGATAATAAAAAAAGGCGTGGAAGCTCCAATTTCAATGAATTTCTTGGAGCATAATTTTGACTGTTGACACCTTTATTTTTGGTAAAAACCGAAGCGGAAAAATGTTAAGAAACTTTATCAATGTCTGCTTTTTAATATCACTATTTAGATGAAAGTTCATACTTCCAAATTCGCATTCGTATAGAAAATGCCGCATTTTAAATGCGCAAATCTGAAATATCCGACATTGAACTTACCTTCACCGTCGTAATTGTTTACCCTTTCAATATCCCTTTCCGCTGATCCCATGGACGATCTGACAGTAGGTAAAGAAAATACAGAATAATGAACAATGTACATTCATTATAAATCCGACTGGGCGTTTAATCTTTTCCATTACCAGTCGCTCACTTCTCGAGTTTCATCCCCTACGAGCCGGCTTATGCTTTTGCTGCGCATATTGCGTGCGCCTCGCCTTCTTCATATAAACTGAAGAACGCTGTGATCTTTCAAAAAATTGAAAGAAAAATGAAACTTTTTCCGATGGTCCTTTTTGCTATTTCTGCGAATGGAAATGCAATTTCCTGGGCTTCTTCTTTTGGTAAGAAACAGAGTTGATTGTAAAAATAAAGACCTTGTAAGAGAAAAGCCTGTTTTTCGGCATAATCATTTATTTTGTAAGAAAAACCATTAAATTTCAGATTCGGAACCAAGCCATGAGCAGATGATAGAAGACTTCCTCGCTGATTTCGAGGAGAGCATATTTTTGAATTCACTCTCAAACGAGCCCAAATTGACTCTTACCCATCTTTTCCGGTAGATAAAAATTATCAGAGAAACTTATTTTGCCAATGCTGTGAAATAAATGTCAACCAAGAGATTCGTTATCAGTTTTGTCAGAATTTTTATTTTTGTATTTTTTTTTTGAAATTTTTCAAGAACAGTTTTGAAGTAGCAGAAAGAAGAGCAGAAAATGAATTCCCGCGGTAAATAGATCATTTTTTTGTTATTTTTTTCTAGCCCAGTTTTCTAGGCTCTCTTTTTTGTTGAAATGTAAGGTAAAACGGTGTAATTTTACAGATTTAAATAAAAGAAATATTTTAAAATACAGTCTAGTTATTTTATGCTGAAAAGATATTTTTTCTCATTTTGAAGATTTTTCTATCGTTTTGGTTTTTTCGTATAAAGGCAAGATGTTTTCAAAATTGAACAAAAGTGGTTTGGTGGAAGTTGACCGAATTCTGCAGTCGCATTTCGAGCTTTTCGACGGTAAAGGTGTCCAGATCTACTTTGAAGCAAATCTGAAATGGAAGAATTTAGAGTCTCAGCTTTAGACAGATCAAATACGTTCACGGGAAGGAAGAAATAATACGGATAATCCGCAATTATCAGACTTCCATTTTCAATTCAATTCATGAAATTCATGACGTACCTGAGAGAATCTCCTCCATTTCTCATCCCAGCCGCCGGTAATATACACTTGATTACCATCTAGCGCAATACCTGAAAGGAAAGAATTAGACCACAATATTCTATCTAACATAAATATTACAAAGGTCCATGTAATGAACACCTTCAGACGTGGGGAAAAGTAGACAGGCTGATAATAAATATTATCGAGGTATAGACTAAGGGCCCTTTACTTCGTAGTGCGATTCCGATAAAAAGATGTACCTGGCGACGAGTTGATTATCAAGTCCAAATCGATCGTCTGAGTTGATCCGGTTAGCGATATTCTTTCAACCGGAGCGACAGTTATTCTTTGAGTGGCGTTCTAAAACGATAAAATTAATATTTTGAAATTCAATTTTACTCGCAAGTTCTTCAAGCAGAAAATATACATTTTCAAAAATAGACATTTGCTTACATGCTCTAATTGCGAATGATTCTATCCATAACATAATATCATAAATTTTGCCTACTTGGTAGTATCCGCCGAAAACATAAATTTCATCCTGGTACACGATGCTCTTGTGCCATCCTCGTGGGGTTGTCAAATCGCCAATTTGCTTCCAAAGCCCGCAGATGGTATCGAACATGATCACAGAACTTGTGTATTTAGTCCTGCCGTTTCGTTCCTAATCATTTCATTTAACAACTTATAAAAGGATAATTATTTCTTTAGGACTTTTTAAAGAAAGTTTTAAAACCTGAACATATCCTCCTGTCAGAACAACATTCGCGCCAACAACTGAGGCATCATGGGAGCAGCGGCCATGTTCCAAAGGCCGGATGCTGGTCCACTTCGCAGATTTGATGTCATAAACTTCGTTCTCTCGCAAAATGCCAGTCTCGCTATTTCGCCCGCCAAAAACGAAAATCTTCCCGCTGCTTACATAAACGGCCGAAAAATGCGTTCTGCCGTAGCTCATTGGAGTAGTTTCTCGAATTTCTTCGAGACTAAAATTATATGGAAATCATTTTTAAAGAATCTAGCGCAGGTGTTACCGTGGATCGTAGATGTAAACTGATTTTGAGGAAACCTTGGCGCCAGTGGATGAGTTTTGCACCTCGCCGCCAATGATGAAAATGAATCCCTCGACTGTCACAGTTTGAAAGGAAGTCAAAGAAGGGGGAATACAGGAAGAGTCGAAATTAATCCATTGCGAGTTCTTCAGGCCGGAGATTTGAGTATTGTCACGAGTATAACCTGAAAAAAGTGTTGAAAACTACTTCCTGTTCAGTGATCGTAACTCACCGACAACGCAAATATTCTTGCTCGAATTCCTCGGGTACATCTTTGCCAAGTCATTTTCAAACTTGGCATTCCCCAAAAGATGATATGACATGGCCTGCATGATCGAAGCGGAACACGGGCCGGAGAAAATCGCGTCTGAGGCGATTTGCGTCACGATGAAATTCGGCTGGAGACACGAGAAACGCACGTGATCGAGAATCTTTGGCAGCCAAAGCGTTCTATTTTTAACGTCTTCTTTTGTCCACTTCTTGACGAGCTCGACGACGTCTTCTTCAGATTTAACGCTTAGTTCGTCGCGGCGAATGAGTTCAATGAAGGATTCAGGCGAAAGTTTCAGAATTTCGTTTTGATAGTCCGAAACATTCTCGCAGATTTTATTGAGAATCAAGTCTTGTAGATTCGATTTGTTGTATTTCTCCGCGATTTGCATGATGTCGGCGTAGTTTTCGTCAGATATAGACTGGCAAAGAAACTCAAGAATTGTCATTTCCAGGCACTCTATTCCGCCAAAGAACTCAGAGATGGAGAGGTACATGTCTGCGTTTTCTAGCGTTAGAAACAGCCGGTTTTTGTAAAGAAACTCGACGGCGATCGAAATTGTGAAGTTGTCAAACGGACATTTGGCGATTCTTCCAAAAGTAGACAGAGAAGAATCGGCACAAAAGCTTTCAAGGATAAAGCGATGGACCCAAATTCTTTCGCCGGTCGTGGATTCCAGCGCCAGATCGACTCCTTCCCCTCGTTTTTGCATGTTTCCAAGATGTCTAATTATCGAAGAATTATGCATAGACGCACTTCCCATCAACGCATTTTCTGCTCCATTGTTTTTAAAAGAAGAAATGATGCTTTCGTAATCAAAGTCGTTTTTGAACGATATCTCGTCTTGAGCTAACAAATTCGTGTTGATTGCTGCTTGTGTAGGAATCGTTTGAATAATCGGAGGAGAAACGGAACGAGGTGGGGAGAATAGATCTTCTTCTTCTTCTTCTTTCGGAACTGGGAAGTCGATGAGGTTCGGTTCTGGGGAGGGAGAGAAAGCGGCGATTGGAGCCGGCTTTTCCTGAAAATTTAATGAAGGCATCAAATGGGAAAAATGCCACGGTTATACTTAAACTACTTTCTCGGTATTTTTCTTATTCTGAACGATTGAGGTAGATAGAATTACCTCAATAAATTGATCTTCATCAGAAATAGAATTTGAATCGACAAATTGCTTATTTCCGATAGGCTCTTCCCGTAATTGATCAAATTCATCTGATTGTTGACACTGATGCTCTTCTTGATGCACATGATCTCCTTTCCATAACTGATGTTCTTCGATATGTGGGTACTCTTCTTCGTTTTGAATTTGAATCTCTTCAGAATCGGATTCAGAATCCATCGGGTTGAACTCGCATTCGAAGGTCAGCAACGGATGATTTTGATCAAGACGACGAGAAATTCTTTCACTTGATTGTTCATCGTCCGAATCAAGAACTTCTTCTACCGCAGCTTCTATTGATAGCGCGCTGATTCCTTCCTCAATTGCTCGATTTTCATCACCATCATCTTCAGATTCTTGTTCTAAATCGGGCATGGACTCGAACATGGCATTTGAATTAGCATCGTTTTCAGGAAGCGAATGAGAATCGGAGAGATTGGCATCGAACTCGTCCAGGAAGAGATTGCGCTTTGATGAAATCGGGACGATGGCATCTGGAGCTTCTGCTTCATTTGCGCTTTTCGAGAGAATCGGACGAGAGTCGAAGTAGTTTTCGTGAGACAACGAAATGGCTAGAAATAAGTTGACGTTGAGGGGCTTTTCTTTAATAGCTTTTGTGAACCCTGACTCAGGTTTCTTGCCAGGATTCTTCGCTCATACTGACCTGGTAGAGGAGGATTTGAAGCTTCGAAAACCGACGCATTCAGAGCGCTATTCGGCAGCGGAAAATTACATTTCACCGGCGATTTGAAGAGCTTTTGGAAGACTTCCAAAGACCGAGCTTCGAATTCTTCTTTTTCCTGTTTCGACTCACTCTTTGGCTCCTCGACGACTACACTTGCTTCTGGGGGGATCTCGTCTTGGACTTCTGGGCTAGGGTCGGACTTCCTTCCTTATTTTTTTGCTTACTAAGGGTCCTTACCTTAGTAAGGTAAGGATTACTTCCTTACCCTTTTTCGGATTTCGGCGGAAAAAAATCCTTACCATAGTTCCTTTGTTAGTTTTCAGAGGTCCTTAGTAAGGATCTTCAATCCTTAGCGATTTTTCCTTAATTCCTTTCCTTACTAAGGATTTTAAAAAGGATTTTTTCGACGGCCTACGCAGTTTGAGAGCGCTTTTATCAAAAATACCTTTGCAAAAGCCTTGGTAAGGAAGGAAATTAAGGACCAGTTGTGAAGGAATTCTATAAAAATGTCTCTTGTCAACTTACTGACAGCAGAAAATACCAAATAAACTTAAATTATTGCTATTTTTATCAATAAGAACATTTTATCGAATCGCATTTAATCAGATCCTTACTAAGGTTACTAAGGCCTTAGTAAGGAAGGCCCTTAGTCCTTCCTTAGGCCTTTCTTGATTTTCATCAATTTTAAAATCCTTACCCTTAGTAACTAAGGAAACCTTAGTAAGGGGTCCGACCCTAGCTTCTGGGATGGTGATGATTGTTTCTTGTGGTGGAGATTCTTCTTTGTCTATTTCTTAATTCTAGGATGCTAAAATTAGATTTTGATACAGGGCATTGTGAACTTGCTTTTTTTCAAGAGAATCTTAAATCCTGTTCATCAGAGCATATCTCCTATAGTCTCATTAAATTTTATTCCAATAAAAATATATGTCGAGTTCTTAAAAAAATCGTATTCTCTGAAGAAATCGCATATCTATCATAAATTTATAGCTAATAAATTATAGGAGTGGCTCTTTATTATATAGCATATATGGCTAGAATAGCGAACACGCTGTCCGATTTTGCCAAAATCATTGCCTTTGCTAATCTCCAATTTATGCATCCGGACCTGATTCGAACTCGAGTTTATCTTGGGTAACAGCAAGTGTATGATCTGAAGTTTGAGCAAGCGGAACATCTTCTTCTAAAGCGTTCAGCAGGTCAATTTGCGACTGTCCCTCGACCAAACTGCCGGTCAAAGCTGATGGAATCTCAGGAAGAGGCTCATCCACAATGGGTTGGATGTTTTCGGGTTGAGTGGCTTCATTTCCTCTATTTTCGGATTCCTTAAAATAAGATGGATAAAAATTGCGGATTTAATGTAAATTTGACGCAAATTGTAGATTTCATTTTTTTAATTCATTACAGTGAAAACCCGAAAATTGGCCGGTTTTCAGATATAAATTTCCGAAAAAAGCGGCCAAATTTTGGGTTTTTTGCCGGGTAGCCAAGTTTCCCCTTCAAAAGGCAAAGTTTCGAAATTTTCGAAAATCGGCATGATTTTCACATTTTTGATGAATTTTAGTCAAATTTTTGCTTGTTTAAAGACATTCTTATGAGAATTTAGTCATTTTTAATGACTAAAACAGTTTTTAAAAGCTAAAAATGATCGGATTAGCATCATTTGAGCCCAATTCTGATGAAAATTTTTTTATTTTCAAAAAAACGGCAAAATTTCGGGTTGATTTCAGGTTCCAAAAAAAGCGGATTTAGACAAAAAGCGGCCAAATTTTGGGTGGGCAAATTTTGGGTTTTCACTGTATTTAATTGAGCTGATTTTAAATATTTAGAAATCTCGAGAATATTTCTTACAACCAATTTCTGATAGTTCTTGAAAAACTCTGCAAAATGCATTGTGAGTAACAAATAACAATTGTTATTTGAGTTTCTCTGTCCCGAATTCCCAAAACAGGAAAAAATAAAGAATTTTTTCAATACATTTTTTAACTTCCCGACCAAGCCGGGTTGCCCTGTTGGCTCCGGGCCAACATGCGAGACTTTAAAAAAACCCTCGTCGCCATAAATTAAAGTCAGCTTATCACATCCTACCTTTTCAGAGGGCTCTCTTTCTGGTTCTTTCTTAGATTCGTTATTTTGCTGTTGTTGTTGCTGCTGCTTGTTGTTGTTTTTCTTTCGGTCTTTTCTCGAGCGCTGTTTTCTCGGCATTTACAGTCGAGAGGTTTCTGTTCGTAGAATTTTCCAAAAACCAGAGTTTTCTAGTTTTCGTTCTTTCTGAAATTATTTTATAACTGATGAAAATTTAGGCAAGAGACATGGCCTCGAGACCTTGACTGAAGCAGAGGTGTCCCCTTATTCGTCAGTCTCAGCCTATCCAAAATACCTTTTTTCTTCCTTTCTTTTCTTTCTCTTTTCTTTTCAGAATCGATCACGACCCTCACGCGCCCCGGGCAGAGTCACAATTGCCCCGATTTTCGATTCGGAAGATTTGCTCTTCGATTTGCTTTCTCTGAGAGACTAGGGTCTTTTTGCTGACGGCAGCAGGATACCCCGTCTCGTTGGGAACAAATAATTTCTGAAAGACAATTTTGATAATTACGAATTTGAAATTTGTTACAGAAAGAAAAAAAAATCGGGGGAAAATTTTGAAGAAAAATGTTTTCATTATTTGTTGATGAGCAAAATCACAAGTCAGGAAAGCGCGCGAAATTTAAAATTGCTACTTCTGAGCTGAGTCAAAAATGAGGAAAAAATGCTCTTCTCATTGCCATTCCGCCAAAATTGCTCAAAAGTCCTTAGATCTGACTCAGATCATCTGAGCATCACTCTCGATTCCAAGATGATCGGAAAAAGAGCGGAGACAGTGAAGAACCGCTCTTGTTCTGTCGACTTATTTCTAACTCAACTCATTTTTCGAGCTTTGAAGAATATTGAAGAATCTTAGCCGAACAAAATATTCTTCTCTCTTTCTTTGTAAAAATTCTTGAGAAGAGTGAGACGCATAATCTCTCTCTTGGCAGCCGTAAAATACGACTCTCTAAGACAAAAGACAGACAACGAGGATGATCATTTGATGATAATCAAAGACTCCAGCCGCGATGCAAGCTGGAAACGAAAGATAAATTAATTTATTTGAATGTTTTCATTTACGAAAGAAGTTGTCAACAAAACAATATACGGATATACGTATATGGAACTCCGTTAAAAATGCAGCTTGAGTCTTTGATTATCATCAAACAATCCTTCTCCATAAATTATGGACCATAATGTTTTTACCGAATACGAAAATAAAAAAATAGTAAACTGAAAAGTCTTTAGTAAAAAATTTTGGATATTTTGTCGATAGTTTTTCTATTCAAAAAGTTTATTTCAGAGTTTTCTCTTTGATATTTTGAAAACAGAGATTGTCTATTTTGAGGCTTTCGATTTTTTTTCAAATAAAGCGAGCGAGGGATCGAGGGCCCCCAAGGGAGCTCGGTATTTTCAAGTTCGAAAATTAAAATAAAAGCCAAGCAGGCGTGAAATTTTATCAGCTGTGACTAATCTTATACTCTTTTTTATATAAACCAGAGCCGGAAAGAAATCATAGACTTTCTTGAAGGGTTAAGTAGGGTTTGGTAAGGGATAATGGTAAGGTCCCTAAGAAATAAGGGTGTCACTCTGTAATCTTTCTAGGAGGTCAACACGTCTTCGTCAATTTTTGGTTCGAAATCGTATCGAAAACAATCCAGCTTTCAAGCACCAAGGGTTAAATATGCTTAGTAAGTGCTCATCAAGTTGAAGTACAGAAGCGTCTCTTGTCAAACACTGACAGTATCATCTTTACTTTCATCAAAAAAGGCGCTTTCTCTTGTCTCAGAAGAAAGCCCAAAAGAGAGATCGCCTTCTTCTTTCAGCGCACTCTGAAAGAGAGAAAAAATGGTAGCAGTAAGAAGCGACGATTCTTGACTTTTCCGAACGCTTCTTTAGGTTTCTGCCGGAGCGAGCCGAGATGGGTTTAATCATTACGCAACAGAGACGAGCACTAGAATGCACAAGGAGTTCAAGCCACGGGCGGTCCGATGTGACCAGATTACGGGATGGGCGGTCAATAATAAACCACTTTTTCTGTCAAAAGGAAATTGAGTTTTGATACTTCTTTCAGTGATTTTTGTTATAAAAACTAAATATTTTCAAAAAAAAAAACTGAGAAAAACTGACTCAAAAGTTCCCTTGGCCGGCGAACTTTCGAATTCAATGCCCAAATACGAAAGTAAGGTTGATAGTCATCAAGTAGAAAAAGTATTCTAAAAACTAATATGATGTTGTTGATTGAAGCATAAACGTTTTATGCTGAAAACATTGATAAAACATCACGTCATTATTTTTTTGCCGGTCTTTCATCCGAAAAAATAGACAGTTTGCAACAAAGACATCCTTTGCTCCTCGATTAACGGGCTGGACGAAGCATCAAGCTAATGTTGGTTTATCTGACGTTTACTATAAAGACTTCAAGGAACGATATCGAACTATAGAATTGAAAAGTTTATCCTTTACAAGTCATTGTCAGACTCAGACGTAACAAAACTGCCCTTCGATATCGAAAAACGAGAAAACCTTTTCGATAAAAAAGACATATTTGCCACTGATAGCAAGGAAGAAAACCGGCTCGGGGTGGACATCTAATCAAAATCAACGCTTTGACTAGGGGTTTTCTTAGACGTTATCTATCTGATAATGAGAGAAATTTACACAAAGGAAACCAATTCAAGAACAGAACGCACAGATGTGTGACGATGGAAATGTTTATAAAGAATAGAGATAGTCTATCTCAGATAGAGACAATAAAGTGGGATAGTTGAATTAGGTTCTTGTATGTAATACAAATGTAAATGAATTGGTTAAAATGATCTCCGAAGTATTCGTTCGCGTTTATTGATCGTTTTTGTTGAGGATATTGTTGGCTTTTGATTTTCACACTGCATATAAAAGCCTGCTTAATTCATATTATGTCATTTAAGATAGTTATTCATAAACATATAAAGCTTTAGGAAAGTTGCTGGACCAAATAGTGATGTCACTGCTCAAGCTTTTCATTATCCGAGCACTTCATTTTCTAAAAACATAAGGTGCGTACTCTTCAACATATATAAATGAACATAATCATCAGGATGCCGAATACAAATTCGCCTCATGAAGTTCCAGAATCAGAATCGTCGCTCCCAGCTTTTTGGAAAAGAAAGACGTCAAAAGACAATCATGCGGAAAAGCTCTATTTTGAAAACTCTTCGCGCTGGCAATCTATAACAAAAGGAAAAGTTTCAAAATATGGTGATTTTGATCACTTTTAATTGGGACAGACGCGGATGTCTGAAAGAAAAAAGTCTAGACTCTATAGTAGCAAGGTACTAATTTTTTGTATATAAGGCTTCATTTGATTTAATGACAAACTATTTCAAGGATCATATACCAATTTACAGGTAATTTCAAATTAAATCATAAATGAGACGTCAAATTAAGCCCTCGCCGATCACAAAAGCCTCAACAATCGGTCCGATTGAATCGTCAGGCTTCGTAGAAAACTCAGCTAGCAATAGGTAAAACAATTTTCTTTTAATTAAAAAACTTCGCTGAACCATGTCTACATGCCCTTTAAAATTATCATGTTTCTTGGAAATTATTTTATTTGAGCACTTACAACATTTTATCACTACGGCTTATTTTATGCTCTTCAGATCTTTTATCGCCATTTGTAAATTGCATTTAATTAAAATGCAATTGCGTTTTTCTTACATAAAAATTCATAAACTGCGTGCTTCAGATATTTCAAGACTCCAGGAAAGACATCTTCTATCACTTCCTATACCAAAGACTTTCCAGTCCTGAAAAACGAACGGATTCTAGCGACAGAAGCAGTTGGAAAAGCCACAGGATTCAGCTCGTCTCATTTCAGTGAGAGGAGATATGATGATGTAACAATTAGACCTTCAGGAATCCATCGACATATTTTCCCTCATTTTTCTGGAAGTTAGTTAAAATTTCAAATTGTTGATAAATGCAAAAGAATCGCTCTCAAATTTCGAGCATAAGAAATGGAAGCAATCAAATCCTGCACTTTTTCAAGAAGCCTTTTGAAGCATTTTTTTTGATAACTGAATAAACTATCCACTTATTGTTTTGATATGATTAAATATATTTGTCATTTGCAATTTTCGAAATGTACAGATTAAAATATAGACAGGTAAATTTTCAATTTTAAATGATTAGCAGATATACGAGAAGATAAATTTCAGAACTGATCCGGCAGTTCCAGGAACAAGTTCCGGCAGGACGCAGTAATTCAATCCTCCTGTTGCCGGATATTGAAGATAATTCGTCAAAATTGTGTCTCGCGCGGTTTTTCGGTTTTCGCCCGTTACAAGGTCGGTTTCAAGTGCCTCCGACATTTCTTCAAGAACGGAAGTGGCGTTTTTCTGGCCACTTTGGAAGGTGTAAGAGTTTTCTTCTTCTTGATCGCGGAAACAGATGTATCGGGAAATGAAAGACATTCGGAGCTCGGATTCCTCGTAGACTTTCTCGCCGACGCCGTTGATGAAAATCTGCCACTTGGAGTCGCCGATGTATCGGATCTCGTTTTGGTCATCTTTGTTCAGTTTTGGTGCGGAATGGCCGGATTCTGGCTGCCAAACCTTGACAGCGTGGGCAACGTGGACGCCATCAGTGACAATGGCCGAGTTGGCCACAACAGGGAAGCTTTCCATTGGCCCTTGGGGTCCTTCAAGCCAGTAGACAAAGTCGCCACCTTGGTTGGAGTTGGAGGCATTGCCGGTCAAGTATGTGATGGTCTGCACTTGTCGGATTTCCCGATCCTTGTTGAGCCCACTTAGAGCGTAGGCAACTTGGAGCCAGGCTGGTGCATTTGCTTTTGGAAGATCGGAAAAGAGAGGAATATCGTAGTGAACAGGGACAGTTTGGCCGGGAAGCATGATCAACATCGTCATGACGACATTTCTGAGGATGCCTTCCTGGCAAGTGTTTTCGAGAGCGCCGCTGACTGGAGATTTAGCCATGATTTCTGCGAGTTCTTCTCGCCTGGCACCATTTTGGACTTTTGAGATGAAGGGGTTAGCGGCAGAGTAGAGGCCTTCTATGCTCTTCCTCTGTCGGCTGATCCCTCCTGTTTTTACGTACTCGGTGGCTACGTCAATACGGCCAATGAAAACACATCGTGTTCCTTGCTTATTGACAGTGTATTCAGCTGGGCAGCGGCCGTTAGGATCAAGAGGAAGGGATTCACCGATGTTGTCGAATTGAGAGGCTGGGATGTCATCAGCTGCCATGTCGGTGATAGTCGATTCCCTGAAGACTTCGCGGATTTTGTCCATCATCTCGTCGCTCCAGATGTTTTCCAAGTACTGGACACCGACTGGACTGACGTTGCAGTTGCAGTAGCTGATGAGGATGCTGAAGAAGACTAGTAGAGTGTTCATGCTGCTTATAGTTAGTAGTTGAAGAGTTTGAATTATTATATGAGGACTGATGAATACCTGGGAAAGCAGAGGGTCTTATATACGTGGAAAGTACCGCAGGAGGGCGCATCGTTAGAGGATAATTGAACCCGGCTTTACGCTAGAGAGTACACAAACAGCATCATGAGGACCAAAAAATAGACAGCACAAGATATATTCCTATAAGCTATCGAACGGACTATTTCGAAATTAGTCTGCTGAGCATAATCATTGAAACTTCTCTCTCGTGAATACGATAAAGCTGGATAAATGCAAAATGCTACAGAAAAATTTTGGTTGACAAGCATATCATATGATATGCTGCTCATCGCAGTAGGTTAGTTATTTTTGCCTATTTTATCCTTTGAAGGACTGTCTGAAAGTTTGAGTTAACTGATAGTTTCTGCAATTTTAAGAGAGGTACTTATAGTTTGAGTAGGCATTTCTTTTATAACCATAGAAAAAGAAGCCAGCTTATTTTGAGAAAAATAGAAATACTGACTATTTTGAGCCTGATAATGGCGGACGCATACAAATTATGTCCATAAAAAGAATCTATTTAAATTCAAAAGTAGAAAGATTTGCATTATTTTTTTGTGATCTTTGATGCTTTTTTTATTCAAAATAATGCATTTTTCCTCTTTCCTGTCTATTTTTTACGATTATTATCAATCTGATAATAGAAATTTAGTTTTCTTTGCATGGACGATTAAAATAATTACTGAAGATTGGCTTTTGCAATCTCCAAGTCTTGGCGGAGGGCTCATTTTCAATCTGCTACTTATAAATAATTGTGTTCAGCTTTTCGACTTAGCTCGAACTCGCAATCGATCAATTTCGAATTGAACCTGGCACACGGTTTCGAGACTTCGAAACGATTATCTCCAATCATCAGAAAATAAGCGGCGCATGCGAGCTTCAAATTTCATGCTTAAAACTCTCTTCACATTCTTTTTTTCATTGCCAAATAAACGGAAAATATTTTGAACCATAAATTTCCGAATTAAAAATGAAGCTTGCTTTTTTCGTCATTTTCGCCGTTGAAGGCAGTTTGAGAGGAACTTGGGGCGAGTGGGGAGAATGCTCGACGAGCTGCGGACTTGGACAGAGGTGTAAATACTTTACTTCGGACATTTACACGACTGGAATTCCCTCCTGCGAGCCTTGTGATACCGGCTTTGAATGTGGAGAGGGCTACGGGCTGTGGTCAGAATGGGGACCATGCTGCCCGTACGATTCCAAAAGCGCCGGCCAAGCTAGGGTTAGAGACTGTTTCGACGGACCTGAAGGAGGATCCAAGTAAGACGCGTTTCAAAATGTGATAAAACTGAGTTTTGTCCGGATTTTCAATTATCAAAAATTTTTTTTTTAATTTAATAGTCTTGAACTATTTCAAATAGTCTATTTGGGAAAAAATTTATTGATAGAAAGAATTCCATAGGAGTAAATTGAATCGAGAAAGTTCGATAAGTGAAGCGGAGGGATCATCATCTGTCTGAGAGAGAGCCCAAGCAGCAACCATGGCAGCATGTTGCTCAGGAGTTGGCTGGTATCCGAACGCAGAGAACATCTCTCTCATTTTTGATCTCCAGGCGTTTTGCTCCTAAAAATGATTCGTGCAATCGCTTTCTAAGACGGAAACTTACAGTCGAGCTCAAAGATTGATCACGATCCGCATCAAACGCTTCCAGAATCACAAGAGCATCAACCACAGCAAAGGCAGAATTCGCGTATCGCCACTCATCCCAGCTCAAAGAATCGCTTCGGTCTTTGTCGAAAAAATACCAGTACTGAAATTAAGTCAACTTTCTATTTCCCTACAAGCGTGTACCTTGTCCATTATCGCATCGGTTTTTGCTTGAAAACCAGGGTCGGAAGAGCCAATAAGCTCAGTTACTCGCTCTCCACAGCTCATGTATTCAGATGCGGAGACTATTTCATCGTCGTTTTCGTCGCAAAATTTCTATGTCGCTTTGAAAAAACTAAAAAAATGATAAATATAGAATGCCTTTTTCAACTACCTATCTGGTTGAGAGTTAACGGCAGACACAAAGTCGTTCGCATTTGCATTGGCGTATTCAAAAACTTCATCGGCTTTTTCAGTCCAGACTCTAAACGCCCAGTCTTCCGCTGCAGGGTTCGCGAATGCAAAGCTAAACAGTCCAACTGCGAGCTTCATGTTTCCCTTTTTCTCGTTTCTCAATCACTTCGAATATAAAATTTCAACATTGGAAAAGTTCAACCTTCCTTATATAAGCGAGGAATTATTGTTTGTTTGCTTGAGTTCGCTTTTTTTAATTGACCTTTTTCATCGAAGTCGAAGAGCGAAAAATCGTGGTCATGAGCAATTTTTGTTTGCTCATTTACCATGAAAGGCGTCTGGAAATGAAAAACGGATGAAAACATAGGTTTTTTTCTTGCTTGAATTCTTCGCTAGTCGATTTTCTTTAAAACGGTCATTAAAACAGAAATTAAATCTGTAAATACAGGTCCACTTTGAAGAGTTTTCTAAATTGAGCTTAAAAGAAGCATCAAAGAGCTGAATTCCATCATTTCGATAGTCAAGTAGAAGTCGTTACATCAAATAAAAATTCAATTTAGATGCTCAATTGACAATAAATACGATACCCGCGAGTGTTTATTGGACTGGCAAAAGTACTTTGACGATAAGGCATTTCCTTCAAGAGCATTTACGGCGACAAGATCGAGGAGAAGCGTTTTTGGAAAGACAATAAGGAAAGGGTTTTTATTGCTTTATGTTTTAAATTGGCCTTTAACTTATTTATATAATTTGTTATATAATTATTAATTACTAATTAATTAATAAAATTGCATTGGTAAACATTTCATATAAATTATATGATATAATTGATTTTAATTTACGCTTTGAACAAGCAAATGCCATTCGGTCTTGAATGATCAATTTGTTTCGCCAAAAATGCAGTAGCTAGCCTTTTTAAAGAACCACTGCCAATTCTAGCAATGGCGTCCTCTCATATCTCGGCTGGAATTTCAACGACTTTTGGGGCGGTGGAAAAGTTCGCACAACAATTTCTCCCACCCAGAGCACTTACAGTATCTATAGAGGCAGGCCAACAACACAAGCATTCGAAGAAACTACTGAACTTCAGACGACAGAGCCAACAACGACGTTCGCCCCTTTGAGAACTACCGTAAAAACGGCGACAACGAAGAGCTCCCGTCCTTTTATTCCGACTTATTTTCCGGTACGAAATCTCACGATCAGCACCTTGGAATTAAGCTTATTATCTCCCGAATTTTTCTCAAAGCGTTAAGGAAGATGGACATCTCAACATCAGATACAAGAGCAATAAACGCCCTATTAATAATAGGCTATTATCCGAGATGTAAAAATGATTTTGTCCGTTAATTTCGCATAAAGACGATATCTCCACTTTCAAGTGCCAATTATCGGCATTAGAATACCTCCGTTTTAAGCTGCATCAGATTTTATTCACAATTAAAATAATTAAACCGAGAAATTTTAGACGATCCCGAGTAACTGGTCCCCAAGACCGGTTACACCAAGCACTCAAGCTCCAACAACTCAATCCGTCGTTCAAATCGACTTGAACTCTCGACGAACTCCGGAGTGCAAAGCAATAACCCGCAATGGAAGACCTATCAAACTCGACCTTTCGATTTTTGGAAATGTGCCTGAAAACGTTTTGTACAGCGAATGGGGAGAGTGGCAAAATTGCGATAAAATAACAAAACGTCAGCTTCGATCTCGATCTTGCAAAAAAGTCGAAGGAATTGTTTTTGCTTGTAGTAAGGTAATTTTCTTCCTCACAGTCTATTGATGCTTTTGTTTATCTAGCTCATGTAGGATAATTTGACCTTATCAACAGATGGAGTTAGAATTTTAATCTTGAAACTAAACTAAATTTATCGGGAAGCAGGGCTCAGATCAAAAGCGGTTTCTTAAATTATGAGATAAATATAGTGTGATAATTTTCTGATAGAACTGATTTCTTTGACAATTATTTGAGTAAATCATCTTCATATATTTACACCAGGACAACACTCTTGGCTCACGAGAATGCCCGGAAAATGACCTTCAACGAGACCGACGCCCAAGACCAAAGCCGATTTCCCTTGATGACATCAAGTACTGCGACAATCAATGGGGCCGTTTTCTAAAGGTCAATCAGGCTTTCGAACCAACACCGAGCTTATGAATAATTTTAGGAGGCGACAGTCACATGTCTAGTCGAACGAAGATGCTCGCTCTTCCGCACATGGGACGACAAGAAACTAACCTGGCTCCTAAACTGCTTCCCGAAATGGGGATTGTCGAGCAGGAACAAGAGCACCTTCAAAATGCGAGCTTTGTATCAAAGAAAACTTGCTGGATATTAATTTAATTCTGCCCCTTTTAATGTAAATACCAAATTAAATGTACATACACTTGCAGATAACAATGAAAAGGACATGTCCTCAAACTCGATCATTATCGCCGTTATTGCACATAATTTCTGTTTCCATTTCGATGTCTTCTTTCTTTGATCGACTCTTAAAACATTAGTTCAAAAGCTTCAGAAGCACAATTAACTAAAATTTTATAGTCATCTCAAACTGCGAATCTTAATATCATAAAATGAGTTTAAAGTGATTCCTGATGAGCTTCATCAAATTCGGCCATTTTTTGCATACAATCGTGCCCTACTTCAGAAAGGCATTCGACGTCAGAACCAACAAAATAGTGGCTTTTCTGCTTGGTATGTCCACCAGGTAAATAATTTTCCATCGAGCTTCCACTGCCAGAGGAATAGTTCGAAACATGGAATCTATTGAGGCTATTCAATTCATACTTGATTCCCTTTTATAGTTTATGCGATAGATTAGATGTTCGTCTTTGAATCTGATAAAGTAAATTATATTCCTTTATCTGTCTGAATTTTCATAAATAAAAGAAAACAATGATGAGTTTGTTATCGACTTTATCATCTTGAGAAAGATGGTTAACCGGCATTTTATTTAGTGTATATCATATAGACTATATTGTTTATCAACTTGGCTTCAGCTGTTTATCTATCCTTTTTATCTAAAGAATATAGCTAAAGATAATGAGGGTTAACTTATTTTAGCCTTTATCCTCGTATTTCGATGACGCCCTTCTAGCTTCGACTTCAAAGCCTCCTGATAAACTTCCAATGAGTCTGTGATATCTGCGTATCGTAAAAGTGTCGTGCAGACGGCCAAACCCATACAAAAGTCGATCATGGAAGCGATACTAGGGAAGACATTTTAAAAATCTGTGACACTGTATGTTGGAAAGCATGTGATCATTTGGCTAGTTGAAAGAATGAAGAACAAGAAATGAACATAGAAGAAACAAGCTTACCCGAGCACAATCAAACACCATAAATCTGTTACTTCGTCGCTTGAAGACCTTATCCTCATGATTTTATCATGGTCTAAATGAATGTTAGATTCGAAAAATATCGATTACCTTAAAAGTTATCACCACATTTTCTAGAACCTTAGTCTGGGACAATGTTAGATTCATTTAAATTGCTCTAACAAGCTCTCAAAAGTGTTTTATACATCAAATAATAACATCTAATCAAAGCTCTTACCATTTCTTAACACCATGAATATCAAGGCAAACATGATTCCAGCAAAGATAAATGCCATGAATCTTGTCAAAAGTAGTCCTCTTCGAAGATGCTGATTACATTTGCCCTAGTCTAGCGGTGCATAAACTTGCTGTCTATTTTTTAAAAGCACTTTTCTTAATGATCTTGTACAAAAAGCGATAGAAGAAACGATTATCATCAGGAATCCAATTAAAAGAGGTTCTACTGCTTTATGTTGGTTCAGCAATTATCTTGTTGAAAATAATTTCTCTGCAAGAACCAGTTCCAATTCCAGCAAAAGGGCGATTGATGAGCAAGTACAAGCCGCAAGCAATAAACAACAAAGAACTTGTAAGCTGATAGAGCAGTTGTCGGCCGAAAGACATGAAGGAGAAGGTTCGGAGCCCTAATTGTTTAATGCATGTATCAAATTGTTATAAATAAAATGGAATCGATCAAACTTCAATTCGTACCTGCGATGCCATATTTCCCCGTTAGCGGATCTGGATAAATTTCGTTAAAAATCTTCTGACTACTCGGGCTCAGACTAATCCCACAATCTATATCGCAAAACTTATTTCCCATCATTTCCTCTATGATCTCTTTTTTTTTGAAAAAAGGAACGCTCTAATAAATTACTGTCAATAAAAATGAACGACTGTCGGTAATAGTTATTATTAATTAATTTCTGCTTCTGTGCCCGCTGTCTTAGGGTGTCGGGAAAGACGGCGTTGATGACTTCGTCCGACATGAGCATTTTCGGTATTCTCGCATTTCTAGGGTTGTTTTTAGTCTCTTATCAGAATGAAAAGCATACGCTGGAAATCTGACTCCAAGATGGTAAACGCTCATTTCTGTATTTTTTCTAGGAAAAAAGTAAAAACCGGCGATTCTAAGAGTCTAAGACGCTTCATTAGGGATTCATAGGCTTATTAATAAGGTGATCGTGGCCCTTAGTTTCTGCCGTGTTCTTGTTTGTAAAAGTTAATCATTCAGTTATTAAAATCGACTCTCCTACCTGTTTCTTGGTGCCTTTATCATTTTTTTCTCTCTACCATTTGACTTTTTGATTTGAAAACATCTTCGCCGCATTCTATCGACTTTCCGCAGGGTTGATCCGTAATCCCCTACCTGTATATCTGAGAATAGTATACATACAGGCAGGCATTAGTCTCTCCCAACTTATCAACTGTAAAAGAGTAGCATCATTTGACACATTGACCATAAAAGAAAATTAACATAATTTCGTATGTTCAAACACTCAAGATATACCAAATAACAATAAAACTTGATAATCAGAACTCAATTACAACACTTAAGATCTTGTCAAGATTCAAATAAAAAGATTGAAGTTCTTTTATCCCTCAATTAAGATAGTTGAAGTGTAAAATTACGATCAAATTTCAGCGAAAGTACCTTTTTGCCGACTGAAATCAACGAAGAGAACCGAATTTTTCGAAATTAGAATCTTTATTTATCATTTTTGAAGTGTTGTTGTTGACAATATACAGTACGTCTAAGGCATCGAAAATAGATATTTTTACACAGTTATAGTAAGAGTTACAGTTAAGGAAAAATGACGGGTAGAAATGTGCAAGATAGAGATATTTCAATCGACGATATTACTCTTTTGGTATTATCTGACTGTAATTTCCTTTTAACGAGATGTATGAGGATTGGGATTGTAAGAATAGGAATACGGGTTGACATATTGATAGACTGGGGGTTGCATAAGAGGGCTAGCAGGCCGCTGATTGGGCGCAACTGGGTGATATGGAGAATTAGGAGATGTTTGCTGAGGTACTGGTTGGTAAGAAGTCGCATTCTGCCCAGCTGGCCCTTTGGCTGGGAAAGTTGGGACGTGGTGGTAAACTCCATCGGAGTTGGAAGAGCCGTTCGAGCCGAGATCCGTGAGAGTCGTTTTCTTCGAGCATTCAGATCTGTAGAGCAGATTCTCGATGGTTTCGAAGTGGCCGTCTTTTCTGCTGGTCAAGGCCGAGTATTCAGGAGCGTGAGTTGGGACGCGGATGATATCGAAATCTTCTAAAAATGAAATAAATAAAAATAGACTTCTCAATTCAATAATCATAAGATTTTTATGCAGCGCTATTTCGATTTTATACCGCGGCTAAATATAGAAATAAGAAAGCTGAAGTCCACTTACGATTGGCAGTAAACTGGGCGCCCTTGTGGGGATTGTGCTTGAAGTAGTCAAACTTGCGCCGGTTTTTGACGAAAAGGGCGCCCGCCACGACGAGCAGGAAAAGCAGACAGGCGGCGCCAGTCACCGACGCCACCACCACCAAGTCGCCGCTCTCTGAAATTGAAAACGTTAAAACTCTAGTTCCAAAAGAACGAAGAAAAAAAACAACCAAACACAGAGCCTTAACAGCCCGATTAGTGGGCTGGAGCAATTTTTGGAAAATATATAAACTTTTAGTTTGCAAAGTTAAAAAATGTTGATAATGGAATTTGTTTCTGAAGCCGCGTAGCGGCTTTTCTTGGTCGGAGCCGGGTAGCGGCTCTGTTAATATTTATTTATCAAGGATTTTATTAAGTGACTTAATTGGAAAGTTGATTTTTTCTAAGATTTTTCGACTTCAAAAGTCTCGGAAAAACGCCACAGTGAATTTTCCTTTGAGCTCCCACCTTATTTTCCAAAACAAAAAATTCACTTTCGGTGCCATTTTGGCGCGGTGTCTGTCGTTAAATGTTCAATGAAGTCCTTTCTCGTAATTATACAAGAGCGAGCTATTTTCTTACCTTCATCATGATTATTTTCTAAAGGATCAGAAGCGGCGATGCTTTTGAAACTGTTCCCGCGAGCGTTTGGGCACATAACAAAGCATTTTTCGAGGCGTTTTGCTGGGCCACGGCATTTGACTCCGTCGTACATTGGAAGGGGGTTAGAGCAGGAGCGTGTTTGCTTTTGGTAGCCAGAGCCGCAGCCGGAGTCGTTGTTGACTTCGCAGGCGGACCAATCTGACCAGTCAGACCAGGTTGGCTCGGCTGAAAGCGGGGGTTAGAATATGTTCTTCAATCGGAAATCTGAAACTCACTGTAGACAAAAACACTAGCCGGGGGCGAAAGACGACTTCCAACAACGGAGCTGGCTCTGCAAGTGTAATTGCCGGCCGCAGTCTTGTCAACAGTATTGACAATCAAATCGCCCTGGCTCGTCAATTCGTAGTTTTCGCCGTCGATTTTGATCGGCTCACCATCTTTGAGCCACGAAACTGAAGCATCGATTTTAGCATGATTAAGTGACCGGAAGTACTCTGGCGGCGGATTGACGTTAAAAATAAGAAGTGGTCCAAGGTTGAAGCCCTGACAGGTTAAATCAACCTCGGGCACTTCCGGGACGAGGATCATCCGCCCCGAAACGAGCATTTTCCGGATGGACTTTTTGAATTAAAAACGTACCTAATGGTTTTGGATTCCCAGCTGGGGGCCGGCAATCGAGGACAAACTTCTCTCCGAATTTTACTCCGCCTGATTGGGGAAGAGGCTTTTGGAATTTGTTGTGAAGATCTTAAAGAAAAGGATGAGTTCAATTTTCAAACTTGGCTCTAAGCTGAATTTTTTGATAGATTCCCGGAACTTACAAGAATGAACGATGAAGGATCGCTGGCTTTTGACCCATCCAGACTGCTCCGAATTTTTCCCATCTCGGATCTGACACATGCACCAGTAGTCGTCATTGCCGAAGAATGACAGGACATCCATTCGGCTAACAGTAAGGACGGATTTGACGACGCCATCTTCATCCGAGACTGAGAAGCTTTTGTCCGGAACCGATCTGCCGTTGCATTTCCAGGAGATTTCGTCGGCGTTTTGAAAGACGCACTGAAGATCGATCGACTTCTGCGACTCCAGGAGGTAGTTTTGTTGCTCTGGGACGAGTATGAATTCGGGGAAGGCAGCAGAGACTGAAAAAAATTGTTATTTGAAAGAAAAAAATGGTAAAAATTCGATTTATTTTCCTTCGAAAAGCTCCCGCGTCTATTTGTATAAGGCTAAAGCATGTAACATGGGAGTATTTGTATTCACTTTTTACCACAAAATAAAGCATACTCTCCCCCTTTTTGATATTTTCAAGTCGCGGCGCCACAACAAACGTTTTGTTTTATTTTGCTTTCTAGCGGCTGGAAATATACATTTGCGCGCACTTTCAAAAGACAAATTATTCGGGGTCAAACTTGAAAATATACTGAATTGGGATTAGTGTATAAATTTTGAGACTGTGCCAGAATTCGACCGAGGCAAAGCCGGATTATTGTTCAGGGATAAGCTGGAGTTTATTGATGTCCAAATAAATTATATAATTACAGCAACAGCACTTCAAAAATAAGGAAGATATTTATAGATATATGTAGATATTATTGGTTTGGCAGATTATTTTGCTTCTTTTTCGATATTTCGATATATTGCGGATCGAATGAATGATGGATTGAATGTTTACGCATGGATTGTCTAACAGACACTTATTTATTTGTTAAAAATAATCAAGGTACTAAGAGTTGAATCTGCGCAAAGTTCGCTAATCTTGGCTGGAAAGCTCCAACTAGCGCGTTTCGCTTTCTCCCAAAAGGTCAGAATGTCTCCACTCTGGCGGTGGGTGAGTTACGCTCCCGTTGGAAAATGATTGTTTTAATAGTTTCGCTGGCCTACCATTAGCGTCTTTTATTACAATGCTCAGTAGATGATATACATTATACAAGCTTTCTTCTTGGCAAAATATTTGGAAAAGAATGGAATTTTGAAAGGATTAGCCGATTTTTTTATTGAGTCGATCCCCTTGAAGGTAAAATATGTCTCGTACTCTAATTGTCTTTTGATTCTTGTTTAAAAGCCGCGCTTGAGGAAATACACAATCAAGGCTGGAGGACCCTTAAGATTCGTGCTTTTTGCTCTCTTGACCTCGTTATTTACCGATTTTTTAAAACCGTTTTTTTTGAAAGACAGTTTTTTCTCCTTTTTCTTGGAGCGAATTCCTTTAGCTTTATGTTTGCGCTTTCAGAAGTCAATATTATGTTTTCTTAGAGGAGACTTTTTCGGTAGAGTTTGTGTTCGGGTCACTTTATTAAATCCCGTTTTCTGAGACAATAATCGGCCGACCTCCCGGTGGGGATTTAACGTCGCTTGAGCTAGGGAGGAAACACAACAAATTCTAGAGAAGGGAGCTAATCCTTCTGTTGAAAGAAGGAGAAACTGCCTGTATTTGCGTATAAGGGATACATTATTTCGGTGAAAATGGATTTGTCTGGTAGACAAGCTGATTTGTCTGCCAGACAAAACAAAACGAAGGAAAATAAATTATGATTAAATTTAGAAAGGATTCGAAAATTCGAAAAGAATGTCATAAAAACATGATTTCCAACCCTCTGGGTAGCTCTAGAAAATTCTAATTCTCCGGCGCCATGCACCAGGAAACCTCAATTACACACTGCAAGTTTCACTTACCGATCGTCTGCACTAGAAGCGCTATTCTTCTTGCCATATTTGTGGTTCTTCGTTAACTCTGATTAATTCGATAAGTATTCACTTGTTCATGTAAAAAAATCGGTTTCCTGTAAATTGGATTGATTGAAATTGGTTTTCGTTTTTTTAATTTTTAGCGAGCGTTGGCGAATTAGCGAAACTCGGCGAAAAAACGGTGTAGATGGCGCGGGAGGGTAAAAACGCGCGGCCAGGATGGCGCCGGGGAGCCACGCACGCGCGCAGTGGTTAAATCAACGGAGGGGCGATCGGGCGGCGCCACTCTGACGCCGGAAGTGGCTTCTAAGACATCATTCCCGCCGCAAAAAGAGGGGACGCAATTTTACCCTCCCGATTAATTTATATAATCGACCCGAAATACTGTTCTTTTCGACTTCAAAATGCCGGTTTTCCTTCGGTTGGCCTACCCTATTTCCAAATTTGTTGAGCAGAGTGAGCTGAGCTGAGCTCAGCTTAGTGATTTTCGAAAATGATCTGATCTGCTCAGCTCAGACAATTATCACTCAGGTCAGCTCAGCTCAGCTCAGGTCCGCTCAATTATTTCCTAATTTGATAAGTTCTGCTCAGCTCAAATAAGTATCATTCAGCTAAGCTCAGCTCAGCTCGATGATTTTATAACATTTTAACAACTAAAAATAGAGTGAGAAACACCTCAGTTCAGCTCACCAAGCTTAGCTCAGCTCTTTTTAGGGTCTGCTCGGCTCAGCTCAACTACCTAAAAAAAGGTCTGCTCAGCTCAGCTCAGCTCAATGACCCCTGAAAAAGGGCAGCGAAATAGGCCCATAAATAGGCAAATTTGCAACTCGGATTCTGACTTACTTTTGTAATCAAAAATTTCAATCAAAAATCGTCATTCTTAGAAGCCTTATTATTATCTTTTCGCGGTATCAAAAAGTTTTCAATCCAAATCATAAAAGAAGAATCATCAGATCGCCCTCAATCTTCCTCACTAATATTTCTTTCGCCACGAGCCTGAAATCCATCAAAAAAGTCGCCGGATTTTTCGCTCTAGCCAGTTCGAGGTCATCATTCCGGGGGCCGTCTCAGCCCCGTTCCATGATTTTTAAGTTTAAGGGGCTTGACAAAGGCTTTGAACTATGAGTTGATTAATCTCAGTTCTGTCCCCAACCCCTCCCTCACCCATTATTTAAAAAATTAAAATTATCACTGTTTTTAGCTCAATTATGGTTTTGATTTAAAGTTTGATCAAGTTGGGCGAACGGCGACTTGGACAAATGGAGACCATTCTTACGACGCCCTATTTTTCGTGTATTTCCAGTAACACACAAGAGAAAAAATTGAAAAAAATGCTGGAAAATGACCGCAGAATCCGCAGTCTGCGAACTGCGAGATTAATCAAAAACTGCGGAAAATGACCGTGGAAAATTCGCAGTTCTCGAAAATTCTGCGAAAACTGCGGACTGCGGTGCGATGTGCATACGTTGCTCTGACTGCGCTGCGAAGTGCGAAATTCCGCAGTTCGCAGGTCGCACTGCGAAGGTTTCTGCGATTTCCCCACTGCGAATGTACATCCCTGTCCGGGGCCTGATTGAAAGGCTCTTAGGCCTATTTCCGAGGCGCGCTTCTTTGAAACTCGGAGATATTTCATTTTTACTGCCGTCAATTATGGCCGTGGTTATGGCCTAAGTATGCCAGCATTTGATGGAGCGAAATGACACGTCATGTGGCAAACATCAACCTTGTGAGTCTTGAGCGGAGTTTTTCCCTTAGACTAATTTTAGGAGAACTCTTATTAATTTATTATTAAGTTACTATAGCGATTTGGTGGTAGTGGAGGGAATTAGATGAAATCGAAATGTATTAATTGTAAGTCATACTCCACGAAGCTTAAATTTATTTAAAATCTTTAGAAATTCTTACATTATGGTTTCTCCAAAGCAGGAACGAAATGAAGTTATCCATGTGAGTCATCACCTCCCGGTCGGGGTCACCGAGCTTGCTGACCCGGTCGTGCTCGGCTGATTTGTTTTCAACTCGGCTTGAGTTCTGTTTTCTCAACAATCGTCAATTGACGATCTTCAGAAAAAACAAGCATTTTGTAACAAGCAGAGTTCCAGCTATCAAAATTTTTGAAGTGGTTGTGTTTTGCTTGTCTGAAATGCAGGAAATCAGTACAGAATGCTAATTTATTCAGGTGGTTATTTTTCGGGGGCACTTCCGGGAGCGCCCCGCTGCCGCCGGATTGGCGGCCCCGGACATCGTCAAGAGAGAGACTACAAATCAGCCAGATTCAATTTCCGCAGAAGTTAAACTCAAACGGCTACCTGTGGTGCCGACTGTCTGTGGGGGCAAAAAGACGACACTGATTTTTGCCAAAAACGATGTTTACAGGGAATTCGATTCCCACAAAATGAGATTTACTTACTCATCAAATTTTTAACTTACTTCGAACCGCGGTTAACCGCGGTTGGAATTATCCATCGAAGGCCTGAGAAACTTGTGTAAAAAACCTGAGTCAGAATTTAGAAAAACGCTTTTCAAATCCTGCTTCAGGTTTTTTACCAAGAAAAAATTCTGTCAGAAAACGAAAGAGTGACTGTAAGAGTCTTAAAATTTCATTGAGCAAAAAACGATGAGAGTAACCATCTTATGAAAAATTCTGACCGCCTTGCTTCAGTAACAAAAGCGTTGTTAAATAATTGATGATCTGTATATTTGGCTGTTCAGAAATTACCACCACATTGTTGGAATCTAAAGAAGCTCCAACAAAGCTGAGGAAGTCTGGGAGGATGTCCCGCTGAAAAACGACAGGATTTCTTTCGGCGAACTCGATACCTTCATTATCTCCAAATAAAAGGACGCCCATCAGGCCAGAGCCGAACGGGGCCATTATCTTTTACTTTGTTTATTAAAAAGTTGCGTTTTTCAAGATCACCCAGGGTGATTTTCTTTTTTCTTAGAAAAAAAAAATGAAAATAAGGACACTCAGGCCAAGGTGATAAAGCTGGCTTTTGTTGGACCAAGCCAACCCAAAATAACAGAAACTAGGACTCAAATCGAAGCCAGATCATTAGGAAATAACTGATAATGGGTAGAATCTAGATAGACTTAGTGATCATTGATTTTTCTGTGTTCTTCTTGTACTTCTTCTTTTGCATATGATATGTCAAATAAATCAAATATTTATGAATAGAAAAATCCAAAAATATAAAATAAAAAAGCCATTTATGGTTTTTTCGTGAAATCAAATTCAGAGTTTTCTTTTCCACCAGAAAATGGAGAGTTTCCATGACAAATTTATCTTTAACGATAATTTCGTATAGTTTTCGCTTTGAAATTTGCCTCGATGACATTTGCCTAGTCTTTCATAATTGCGAATAATGGGATAAGCCTTTGCTTGTCCATCGAGATTATGATTTTTGTCGAGAGCGACGTAAAATTATGCCCCGCGAGGTAAGCAGCTTCTCACGCGTCATTAGATGTGTTTTGCTGCCAAAAATGGACACTTAGAAGAAAAATTATCTGATGAGCGCGATTCAAATGCAGTCAAGGGGCGAGGGATTCTGAGATCCACAGATTGGCACGCTCCGTTGGCGGCTTTTAGAAATTATTTTTTGAGAATCCAATGGGTTTCTAAGGGGCAATAAAATTTGCAAAATCCTATCATTAATTCGATCATTGCCTAAACTCATAGTTGTCTATATTCGAGGACCTCTTTTTTGCTCATCATCCTCATTTTTTGGCTCGAGTTTGAGCTCTCCCGTGGCGAAGCTAATAATGCTTCTCTCGGCTGTTTATAATTGCGGAAATGATCCGGCATGAGTCCACATGAGCGGTCAATTTCGCCGCCTAGATCAAAGGTAAGCCGATCCGTTAATGATCTTGCTCGCTACTATTCAACCTTTCGAAAGGAAGAATTCTGGGAAGGAATCGAGCGGAGCAGCGGCCCGGCGCCGCCAAGTCGAAGCTAAAGACCCACTGGCGGCCGCCAAGGACTAAGCAGCAAAATATTTTCACTGCCTATCCAAGCACACGGATTTGTAGTGAATCCGGGCTTGATTTGATTTTGAAGGGATTTAGGGGGACAGATATTGGTTTAAATTAATCATGAAAGTTAGTTAAGGCGATTTTCATTGACTTTATGAAGATATATCCTAATTTTCTTGCCATACTTAATTATTGTTTTCTGACAAAAAAGCCAATGACTTAGAAAATCTTCAAACGCTGTAATTTCCGGCTCAAGCTCCATCCCTCTGATCGCCCTTCATTTCCGGCCTTTACCCTTTTTTGAGAAGCCTTCCATTTTAGCTGCTTACTAGAGCAGACCCTGACAAAATCGGTAACCAAAGCAACTTAAAATTTTGATTTTCCGGAAGTGCACGAGTGTGCGATCCATCATCATCGCCGATCAGATTTATCAAAATATACCTTTGTTATCGTAGAATTAACGCGAGTGATCGATAACATTCACGTGACTACGGCTATCAAACACCGTAAAGTTGAGGATAGCATCAGTTATATTTTGAATGAAGTTTAGTAAATAAATTTAGAGCTAAATAAACGCTGACCGCATTGAAACTGAGGTTTTCATTAACTATCTATTATCGAATGTGAAGAGATAATAATAAGACTAGTTTTTAACGGGAAAATCCGAAATTATGGTTTTCCGTCAATTTTAGCTCTTGGCACTTGAAGTTGAGAAAAAACCAAAAGCAATGAAAATATTTCATAGTTCCGTTAAAAATTGCCGTTCTCAAGAAAGGATGTGCATTCCGTCAAGTTGGTGTGCAGAGCAAATTTTCAAATTGTCGTAAAAAGGGTTCGGCAGAAATTCACAACTTTGTGAAACAAACATTCAAGCTAATGGCTTCCAAATTTTAACCCATCGAGAATGAACGACTAAATGACTGGAGGGCCCTCAAAGTCTTTATGCAAAAAGTCCCCTTGAATTTGAGAATTGAAACAATTCTCGGATTTGCCATTGTTTGGGGAGGATATTCAGCTCCCCTTGAAATACGGACTCAATTGCGCGTGACCACG